TCGTGACGGAGTTCAACTACTGCCGGACTGTTTCCTTCAATCATGCTTGGGTTCACCATCTTGAAGGCAGTCTTATATACCAAAGATCTCTATCCAAATCTTCGAAGCCTCGTGAGAGATATCGTCTCGTGAGAGCAAATGGTCTTTCGGACTTGAAGTGGCTCAACACAAAGCTCCCCATCTGTTGACAGCAGCCTATGTCAGGAGATATACGGGTCAAGACTATGGCCATACAATTCCACGCTATCAATGACCCTGCTTCCGGAGACTCGACAGCCATGGCAGCACCGCCCAGCAACCGAGTGCTCGTCTCGAGGGAAGACATGGGCACTGCTAGGCCTCCCACCGGTCGTCCCGAGCTAGGACGTTTGAGAGATTGAATGGCATGATCTGCTGCGTGATACCAACCCATTTGACGTCCCCATGGGGTTTCCCCGCGTTGGTCCAAGGTAGTTCGGTTCTTGGGTCGGACTACGTCACTTTTGATCGATTAGATCAGTCCAAGCCGACTAGGACGAGTTCCGAAGTTGGTTGAAGTAATAGTATCTTGTATAACTAGAAGAAGACACTCAGACCTCTGACTTGTAACATAAACTATGTTGCTATCCGACTCAGAGTAGGACTCAACAGCAAACTTTGCATCATTTTGTTTCACAACCGCTACGATGGACCAACGTCACGAATGGATGGTGACGGCGAAGTTCGAGAAGAGATCTCTTCTCATCGCTGTCAACGCCCTTGCCGGAATGTCAATTTTCTTCTTTGGTTCGTCTCCAACTCGTCCACACGTCGGAAGTACGTGCCTTAATACGATGGCAATGCTGACAAACCTGATGTCCAGGTTATGACCAAGGAATGATGGGTGGTGTGAACAACGCCAAACACTACATTGATCTTATGAAATTCGGATATGTCGACGCCGATGGCACTCCCGTCGTGACCGACACTCTACTTCAAGGCGGCATTATGTCTGTCTTCTATCTCGGCACCCTCATCGGCTGTATGGTCGGAGGATCCATCGGCGACCGGTTTGGCAGAATCAAGACTATTGCCATTGGTGCTCTTTGGGGTATCTTCGGCGCGTCTTTGCAGTGTACAGCCATGAACTCGAACTGGATGATCTGTGCTCGTCTTCTCAATGGCATCGGTACCGGTATCTTGAACGGCATCGTGCCTGTCTGGGCATCAGAACTCGCAGACTATACTTCCCGAGGTGCCTTTATCGCCATGGAGTTTACTTTGAACATCTTTGGCGTTGTCGTTGCCTATTGGCTTGGGTGAGATTCGACTGGCAGACTAAAATATGTGAGATATGAGACTAATCAAGTTGATCATCACAGATATGCTGTCAGCTTCATCGACAATGGCGAGTCGGCTTTCCGATGGCGCTTCCCCATCGCCTTCCAGATTATTCCGCTGCTCTTCTTGCTGTTCGGATGCTTCTTATTCCCCGAGTCACCTCGTTGGCTTTGCAAGGCCGGCCGAGACGATGAATCCCTCTACATCTTGCAGCGCCTCCGAGGCACCCATGACGGTATCGCCGAGGCGGAACTTGCGGACATCAAGGATGTGGTCAGACTTGAACAATCGGCCGAGGGAACCAAGTACCACCACATGCTCTTTGGTCTCAAGTGTGGAAAACTTCACACGGGCCGAAGAGTACAACTGGTCATTTGGCTGCAAATCATCCAGTGCTGGACCGGTATTGCTGGCATCACCATGTACGGCCCTAGTAAGTCACTAACTCATCTCGAACCATTCTTGTTGTAAGAAATACCTCTGCTAATTAGAGTCGCGAGTAGCCATCTTCCACATCGCCGGCTTCGGTCCTTCCAAAGCTCTTTGGATCTCTGGTCTGAACAACATCTTCTACATGTTCGCCACGCTCATCTGTGTGTTCACCATTGACAGGATTGGAAGACGCTGGACGCTGTACTGGGGCTCTGTCGCCCAGGGCATTGCCATGTTCCTTGTCGGTGGCCTATCCCGCGGCGGTCTTAATGCCAGAGCTATTGGAAATGACGAGGTTGCCAACTCATGGGGAGCCGCAGCCGCTACAATGGTTTTCCTTTAGTAAGTGATCTCGACACATCTTTTATACTCTGTGAATCACTGACACTTATGAAGCACGTTTGTGTTTGGCGCGACTTGGCTCACTGTACCTTGGCTATACCCGGCGGAGATCTTCCCGTTGCAGGTCCGAGCCAAGGGTAACGCCTGGGGCGTCGTTGGATGGAGTATCGGCAATGGGTAAGGCACCGAAGTCTCTCAATAATGTGGCTCAAGACTTGTCGCTAACTTTACCCGAAATCAGTACTTTGACACTTGTTCTTCCGTACATCATTGGAGCCATCAATGAGAACGCGATGTACATCTTCGCGGCCATCAACGTCATCAGTATCCCAATCGGTGAGCTGACAGGCCCCATACCCCAATTGACTGACTTCGTCTTTCTAACTGTTTGCAGTGTGGGCTTTGTACCCAGAGTCGAATCAAAGAACCCTTGAGGAGATCGATTTCCTCTTCGCCGCAGACTCGCCGTGGACGTGGGATGCAGAGAAGAAGTTCAAAGAGCTCAAAGCCGAGCACGAAAGTCGTGTTGGTGCGGTTCGAGCAGCTGTTGGGGGCGATCTGGAGAGCAAGGGAGAGAATTCCAGCACCCACGTCGAGAAGTCTTCTGGGTCAGAGATTCAATGATTAAGGCGTCTAACTCCGTCCGCAGGCAGGGATCTTTCCAATAGTGCCCACCAGGATCGCTCGGCAAGGGGACAAGCAAAATGCAGCATAGGCTTGCAGGAGTCTCGAAATGCCGGTAGAGAACAAGAAGACATTTGTGATACATAACTTTAGCACCAACATGCATTATCTTGACAATGGAGAGAGGAGGCTTCCCGGGAAGCTGGTCGCTCACAAACACTGCGCAACTCTCTCTTACTCCTGTCCCTTGGCTGGGATCTGAATCGGTCCTCCCAGAATGAACAGTTGCATGTAGCAATCCGTCAGTCCCGTGACACCGATCTAATGCCATGGAACTGTTGCCATAATGATCTCCGCGTACCACGTAGAGTTCGGACATATCAGTCTTGGTTTATCGGACCATACTAAGGTATGGTGCATGATCTGGAAGTTTCTCATACTGGTTCTCGATTGCTGCAGGTGCCAATGGCAACATGAACAAGGTAAACGACTCAAGCGAATCAAGCCAGAATAAGTTATTCGACAGAGCGCCTGACTCATGACCAACAGTACCCGTGTATCAACTGAATCCTGAACTTACTAGCCCCGTCCGAATAATACTGGCGTGGTTTTACCTGAAGTCGTGGTACCGTTCCTGACACGAGTCTGTCAGGTCCACTTTCATGCAGCCTCCGCTCCCTCGAGACGAGGGTGCGGGGTACAACAGCTGTGTAGGTGTGAACATTCCGATCCGGAGCAAGTCAAAGCGCGGAGGCTTAGGCTAAGCGAGGAGAGTGACCAAAGTCAACAAGACTACGCCGCAGCGGATTGAACCCCGGCTTGTATGATTTAGCTAAAATCATTTCCATCAACTTCCGGTCACGCTTCAAAAGGTTGAGACCGTGAATCGTCACATTGACGCGTCAAATCAAGATGTCTTCATCAAGCTGGCGACTGCTGAAAGGCAAAACAGCCTGCATCACGGGAGGCACAACTGGCATTGGCCGTGCGATAACACTCGAATACTTGAGACACGGCGCCAATGTTGCAGTCAACCACCTCGGCCTCCCTAGCGACGAAAAACACAGAATCAGCCTTATCGAAGAAGCGGAAAAGATCAGAAAAGATGCCCCCAAAGATTCACCGAAGGGCGAGTTAATTGAGCTTGCAGGCGATGTAACGGACCCGAATACCGGAAAGGGTCTTGTTGCCGCAGCAGTCAAGAAATGGGGTGGACTGGATGTCTTCATCGCGAACGCTGGTATCTTCAAGCCAGCTGAGTTTCTCACGTATGTTTTTTTGGTACGCTACTACAAGATCTTGGGTGTGAGGCTAACCACTTCGAAAATAGACTCGAAAAGGAAGTCTTCGATAAAACACTACACGTTAACGTCAACGGCGCATTCTACTCGTGCCAGGCAGCGGCGAACCAGATGGTCAAGCAAGGACGCGGAGGATCAATCATCGGCATCTCATCAATCAGCGCTCTGCAAGGTGGAGGTCTGCAGACACACTACACGCCGACAAAGGCAGCGATTCTGTCAATGATCCAGTCAATGGCAGTGGCTCTTGCAAAGCATCGCATCAGATGCAACGCTCTGCTTCCTGGCACTATCCATACACAACTGGCGGAGGAAGACATGCAGAATGAGACGAAGCGCAAGTATCTTGAGCAACGTATTCCAATGGGCGTAGGCAAGCCTCATGATCTGGCTGGGCCGGCGGTTTTCTTGGGTTGCGAGGAATTAAGTGGATTCATGACAGGATCCCAGATGTTAGTGGATGGTGGTATGTACGTTCATTTGCAGTAGTTTTTAGATATAGTTTTCGACGTTCGGTACAGAACCTCAATGTGGCACATTCTACGAAAACACATCGTACCATAGAATTAAAATAAAGGTAAAAAATAAAAATAAACCCACCCGTAAAATCGCCAAATCCCAGCCCTTCACCAAGCGTGCAAACCAGACTAAGGTACGGTCCATCCCACCGGGACCCAGTCGGAGACCGGCGGCTCCACACCGGGTGCGTCGAGCCGGAGCCGTCTCCAACATTTTTGCGGGGCACTCCAGGTTACCCCGCACGGATATCTGCCCCGTGCGCACATAGTACGTACAGTTAGTTCTCCAACCAGTCGCGACTCTTCGCAACTCCAAGTGCCAGTGTTCCCTGTCGCTTCCACCTTCCTCTTCCTAATAGCACCACACGACTCGACTCTGCATGTCGTTGCCCGAACTCCTCTGAAAGAAGCCACACATCAAATCCATTTCCCATCCACATCTACATATTACTCCTTTAGACCCAATGGCATAAGTATCATCAAGATGGGCGCTGATGATGAAGATTCACAGCCATACTTCACCCGTGGCCGCCTCAGTCGTGGCCGTGGCCTCAGAAACAGTACCGGCTGGTGAGTATTATCCCTGCCCTAGACCTGAAGATATCTCTTCGTGAGCTTGTCTCCAACCTGATAATTCCTTCTCGCAGTGCAACATGTCGCCGCCGTCATGTCAAGTGCGACGAGAGGAAACCCATATGCGGTGGATGTGAGAGAACCAAACACAATTGTCTTTACACACCAAGGCGGCCACCAAACAGAAAACGGTCCGATCCTGTCGTATCAGTCACTCCGAACGGTGATACTCCGAAGTCCACGACTCCTCGAGAGCCTCGATCGCCTCGGTCTTCCAGTCCATCAAACTCCGAGTATCAGCCCGTCGTCTGTGATGACGAGCCAGCTCCTCTACCGGCAGTAACGCTTGGAGAACCACACACATCAAGCATAGCGAGCGCTACCACAATAGCACCGTCCAATGACGAAGGCATAGATAGGTCTAATCACGCCAGTACCGGCGATAGACCAGCTTTCGAGCAAGACTCTCCAGAGCAAGTCGACGCGTTATGCACAGGTATCACACCACGTGGCACAGCACGCACGTCCAGCTCGTTCGGGGCAAACCTGGAGAACGCCACGGCCATTTGGGTCGACCTGCTTCTCCAAGATGCGGCCATGCAAGAAATCGATTTCACCAACGTCAATTTCGAAGAAGGCGTCGATCTCTTTGCAAGTTCGGTCGTGCAATCACCTGCTGTGGGGCGGAGTTTACCAAACACCAGTGGAGAAGGCCTCAGTCCTACGCCATGCGCGTCACATCCCCACTTGCATGAGAGATCTCCGACGCTCGATGAATACCAATGCCTCGAGAAACAGGCTTGGCGATCGGCGACGCCTCTACCAATCCAGGCGCAGGAACATGTTGTTTTCCAAAACTTTGTGCAACACATTAGTAGATGGGTAAGCTGGAAAGTGTCTGCTCGGAACATCCTTTGAGTAATAATTCTTGTTGGCATTAGATGGATCTATTCGAGCCTAGACGCCCATTTGGAACACTTGTCCCTCAACTTGCAGTACGTCAACTATTCTTCACCGGTAATCTGTTCTAAGTATAAGTTGAAGGCAACATGCTGACGAGCTTTTACCAAACGCTGTTAGATGCATAATGTAGGGCTGCTCAATGCCGTCCTCGCTCTGTCTGCACGTCACCTCTCTTTGAGTACACACTCAGACGGCACACAAATTCGAGACCCCAACGACGCACTACGATACTATTACAAGACACTACACTATATCCAAGAGGCGATGCAATACGACACATACAAAACGAGCCTCGAACTTCTCGCGACCAGCATCACTGTATCAGCGTACGAGATGCTCGACGGCTCGAGACAAGATTGGGAAAGACATCTGAAAGGAGTCTTCTGGATTCAACGCTCACAAGTCATTCATGGAGATTCCATGGGCTTAAAGCAAGCTGTCTGGTGGGCATGGATATGCCAGGATGTCTGGGCTGCCTTTCGCGAGAAGCGTCGTCCCTTTACTTTCTGGCGGCCACTAAAGACACTAGACGATCTAGGCCCGTCTGAGCTGGCGGCGCGGTCAGTCTACTTCTTCGCTCAAGTGATCGCATTCTGCTCGTTTGAAGAGACCGAAGCGGGGAAGAATGACCCTCACGCGAGAATCTCGGCGGCTGATGCCTTGAGAGAAATGCTGGAAAACTGGAGGCGGCACCTGACGGCCGAGTTCCAACCACTCCCCTACCCGAGTTCTCCTGATGACATCTTCGAGCCGATCTGGATCAACCCTCCGGCATTTGGTAAGCCCTCTTCTCCAGAACTGCACGTGCGATCATACTGACCATTTATAGCGGTGGCTTTCCAAATCTACTACTGCTCCCACATCCTGCTCCTAATGAATGTACCCGTTCTAGGTGGACTTGAACAGTACACACAGCAGCGGAAGCGTCTGATGGAATGCGTCAAGAAAGTTTGTGGTATCGGCGTGACACTGTCAGACTATCCATCGAGCGTTTTGTGCTCTCAGTGTCTATTCATCGGTACGTCCTCCCTTCCCTTGCAGAAACCAACCCTGATCCAACAAAGCCGGCATACCCCTCGAGAATAGTAGAGAACGGAAATGCGTTTTAAATCTGCTGGAAGCCTGCCACGCTCGATCAGGCTGGCCTGTGAAGCCACTCGGGGAGGAGTTGAAGCTTCGATGGGAAGCTTCCGACGCCTAATAATACCCACAGCCTATTTCCATTCATGCCTGTCCCGCTGATCCACAAATCTCCATCCACTCCTTCGTCTGCCGGATGACATTGCTCGTACCCTCCTCGATAAGCGTAGTATGCGGCAACCGCGTGACCTGCAACCGGAGATGTGTATAATAGTCGTCCAGAACAAGCCTGTTGACGTTTATCTTTGTCGCGCCCGCAGCGATGCACTGCTTCATCAGATCAGGCGGAAATCCGTTGGTACCGTGCAGAGCCACCCTGACTCTGCCGGCAATCTGGGCGCGTATCTTTTCGAATCTGCAAAACTCGTTATCAGTATCCTTGTTCGGGAGAGGACTTATCCAGAAGCCATATCCTGCACCCCGACCGGACATTACGTACCGTTCAAAGTCCAATTGCGGACCCAACTTTCCGTACTCGCCATGTACGTTGCCAAACGCCGGTGCGAGGGAATCCACACCCGTGGCGATGAATTCGTCAACTTCCTCGGCGGTAGTCTTGCTAGCTTCCAACCCGGCGGTGTCCATGACGCCGTCTTCGGCACCTTCTATCCTCCCGGGCTCGGCCTCGGTGGCAATCTTGCGTTCGTGGCAGTATTTGACCCATTTCGCCGTCTTTTCTAGGTTCTCCGCCTTTTCGTAATGAGACATGTCGACCATGATGCTGTCGAACGGCAAGTTGTCGGCTGCATATTGGATGATCTTTTCGTCTTGCGCGTGGTCGAGGTGGATTGAAATTGGAACGGATACTCGGGAGACAGCTTCTTTAGCGGTGCGAACGAGCAGGCCGTCGGCGTAGGTGACCGCCCAAGGGAAGAATTGGATGATGAGAGGCGAGCGGGCTTCCTCGGCTGCGGCGATGAGGCCGTGGATCTGCTCGAGGTTATATGCGATGGCGGCGATCACGCCGTATCGGCCTTTTTCGGCTTTGGTCAGGATCTGGATTGTCCTGTTCTCGTCTTTCCAGTTTGCCGGCACAGTCATGGTTGCAATAGATGCGTTCTTCGAGCTCCGCTTAATGTGTCTGTCTTATGGAACGATTGCAAAATTACAGGCCAGACCGGGCCAGACTTTGAAAGTTTGCTTTGTATTTCAATCATAATTAGGGGCCGATGAAGACGGTGATGATGTGTAATTGTGTTTGGTGTTGTCTGTCATAGGCGCGCTGCGGGCATCCAGTGGGGTCAACGTCGTCTCGAGGGAGAATTTGGACCCCGGCCCCCGGCACGATCTGATCTGGAGGCGGAATGGGCAATCTTAGTTTCGCGGGGTGAACTCCGTAGGTGGACTTGTGGGTTTCGAAGCTTCTCAGCTTGAGCTTTTCAGTGATCAGATCATTCAATAAACAGGCTTGCATACGAATCTTGGTCGAGAGGCAAACCTCGGCCTGGCGAAGTAAACCCGTTTATTCATTTCCCAGCATAGAAAGTTACTTGCCATCACAACTCGCGGCTTACAATGTCGTCCAATACAGAAAAGCTCGATTCATGGCAAGTTCATGACGAATCGTTTCGAGAAATTATTGGTTCAAGCCCATCGCTGGATCTCCTACTCAAAGTCGACTCTTATCCCTTCGCTCACGAAGCCGGTGTTTTTATCCCTTCAACCGATGAATTATTCATCACCAGCAACCAGTTCGCGGATAAAGATGGCTCTAGAAAAGTCCAGATTTCCAAAATATCGTTGCCCACCGGTGGAAAAACTGTAAAGCATGAAGAGATTTCATGTCCGGAAATCGCGATGGGCAACGGCGGCGTCAACTACGGCGATGACATCCTCTTCTGTGCCCAAGGCTCGATGACACAACCTAGCGGTCTGTTCAAGATGTCAAGGACACCACCGTATGCGACTGAGCCAGTCATCACTTCTTTCCATTCTCGGCCCTTCAACTCTGTGAACGATGTTGTCGTCAGCAAAGATGGAAGCATATGGTTCACTGATCCGCCATATGGCCATGAGCAAGGTTATCGCCCTCCTGCGACCCTGCCTAGCCAAGTCTATCGCTTTGATCCGGCGACGTCTTCTATCCGGGCTATGACGGATGGTTTCGGCAGGCCAAATGGAATCTGCTTCTCGCCTGACGAGAAAACTGTCTACGTAACAGATACAGATCTTGTCCACGGTGATGGCACGATAGACGGCAATCGGGCTTCGACAATGTGAGCTTTTGACCCAGAATTATTTAAAAGTTATTACCCTTCATAGCTCTCGGACTAACAAGACAGATATGCTTTCGACGTAGAACAGCGCCACGGACAGCCTGTATTGCTGAACAGAAGACTGTTCGCATTCGCCGACGTCGGTATACCAGACGGAATCAAGTGCGATACGAACGGAAATGTCTACAGCGGATGTGGGGATGGCGTGAACGTTTGGTCCCCAGGCGGTGTCCTATTCGGTCGTATACTCGTCGACGGTGGTGCCGCCAACTTTTGCTTCGGACGCGGGGGCGAGCTCTTCATACTCAACGAGCATCGTCTTTGGAGAGCACAGTTGAGCAAGTCGGTCAAGGGCGCGCTTCTTGGGATCTGAGATCTTTGACGGGATCTGACACGGTGCTTTGGTGTGAGCTGCTGTGGCTTCATCCCGGTCAGTCACCTGAAAATGGGAGACGCATCGGGAACGACGTCTCGTGGCGTGCACCGTGGCACATTTCTGCTATGTGGAAGTCCGCCAAACGCGGGTTAGCTGCTGCATGCATGAGTGTTGATATTGAATGCTAGTGCCAATCCAAGTCTGCGAAACAAACACCTTTGCCATTCTGTCACGCACTCGGTCTGATTGTGATTTACCCATCGGATCTCATCAGGTGACATGCCGTTCCTGTGCTACCCAGGAAAGATGCGATGAACTATCCCATGTGGCCAGTCAGAATCTGCAAATTGGATAGAATTCTGCACATTCGACTTTGATCGATACCGATTGGTGAGATGCACCAGCACTGTCCCGTCGACGAACGACATCTCTTCCCATTTCATCAGCAAAGGGACTCACATCTTGAATCAAAACGCAAGATATCGGAACTTGTCCGCAAGCTCTAAAACCCCAAGGGTCGCTGTCAATCCCGCAACTATCCGCCGCTCCAACCCCTCTCTATCTTGGCTCTTTTTTCATCGTCCGGCGTCGCATCCTACTGTGGCGAATGACCAACTGCCGTTGGTTCAGACACCGGTCGATAGCGCAAGTACAGGGGCGCTGATCCTCGCGAACGCATGCACCCCGCAGGCCACGTCTGGCAGGTCGGGTTGTTTTGGAGAGAGGGGAGCTCCGAGCCGGGAGAGCATGCGGGGGTGATACCGGATAAGTCTGGCAATGGGACGATCGACCCCCTTCTGTTAGACGGCGTGATAGCGCAACGTTGATCTGGGAGAATGCAACGTTGTTGGATGGACAATGCAGTGCAGCCCGGTTGGGGTGAGGAGATACCCAGGTGCGCGCACCTCGTTCCGTTTGGAGATATGTTTCCCCCATGTTGGACGAGACCTATCTTCTCGCCCGATAGCTGGGCCGAGACCCGACTCCCCCGCCTTCCGCCCGCCACACAACTCTAAGTTGGACGATGCTTGCGGAGGTATATAGCCTCGGTGACTTCCCCGGAGGAAATCGTGAGAAATGGTTACTTGTTTCCAAGCGTCTTCTTGGTCTTTCGACAAGTAAATCTTCCAACGGACCCGGCAGCACACGGCGTCGATTCCTCGGGTAACAATGTCCGGAAAGGTGGAGACTGTCGGAGAGGAGCCGACCCCGGCCCGGGAGGAGGATATCGAGAAGATCCCCGCACGGGTGGACAACCCGGAGCAAAAGATCTCGGACCAGATATCCCACGAGAAGCTTGAGGAGCTGGCACCCAATGGAGAAGGAGAGTACATCTTGGAGAAGATCAATGAGATGACGGAGGAGGATGCCCTTGAAATCATTGAAGAATCCGTCGAGTTCTTCAAGGACGACTGGAACTTCCCGTCCGATATGAGAGAAAGAATGAAGAAGCTGCTCGAGGGGCCCAAAAAGTACGGGGAGAACTACGACCGCGACTTGAGGATCGATGCCGTCATGATCCGTTTCTCCTCGCCCTACCCTGGTGTGCGCGCCGTGGCCGAGATTCTGGACGACCAGAGCGTACCCATTGAGACGTTTCGGGCGTATTTCTTGGGCATAGGCTGGGCCATCATCGGAACTTTCATCTCGACGTTCTTCAACTCAAGGTTCCCCGCCATCAGTGAGTGCCGAGCCTAGTCAATCGTCTCATACGTTTATTCCTCGAAATTCTTGCTAAAGCCGAGTTTGTGTAGGCTTAAGTGGTCAGGTTATACAGATCCTGCTATTTCCATGCGCCAAGGTCCTCGAGTTCGTCCTCCCCGATTGGGGCATCACCGTCCGCGGCACACGGCACTCCCTGAACCCAGGACCGTGGAACTTCAAGGAGCAAATGTTTGCTACCATCACATACAACATTGCCATCTACACCACCAACAGTTACGGCATGATCCTAGTGCAAAAGTCGCCAGTATACTACGGTCTCGACTTCGTCAATTTTGGGTACCAGCTGATGCTTACCCTCTTTGTGCAACTCATGGGAATGGGATTCGCCGGGTATCTCAGAAGGTTCAGCGTGTACCCCGTTAAGGCTCTCTGGCCGACGATCCTGCCGACAATCGCCATGAACAGAGCACTCACCAGGCCGGAACCGAGAGAGAACATCAACGGGTGGACAATCTCGCGGTACAAGTTTTTCTACGTCGTGACCATCTGCATGTTCTTCTACTACTGGTTCCCAGGCTACATCTTCACGGCTTTGGCGACGTTCAACTGGATGACTTGGATCTCACCCCAGAATGTGACGCTAGCAATCATCACAGGATCCTCGCTTGGTCTTGGATTGTTCAACCCCATCACCACGTTTGACTGGAACGTTGCAACCTCTTCCTATGCTGCTTTGGCCCAGCCGTTCTTCGCGACGTGTACAATGTACATCGGTGCCATTCTGGGTGGTGTCATCATCATTGGTATTTACTACACCAACATGTACAACACGGCGTACCTCCCAATCAACTCTTCATCTGCATTCGCCAATGACGGCACGCCGTATGTGGTGCAGAATGTGGTTTTCAACAACCAACTCAACGAGACCGCGTATCAAGAATACTCTCCGCCGTTCTACTCAGCTGGCTATCTGCTCACAGTTGGCGCCAACTACTGCTTTTATCCGATCTACTTTTTGTACATCATGGGGTTCGTACTACGACATGCCCGCCATGAGACTCAATGGCTAACACGGATTCTAGAAACCAATGGAAGACAATCTCCCAAGCATACATCGACTTCTACAAAGGCCTCCGCCACGGTAAGGGCAACTACGAAGGCGCAATGGACATCCACAGCAGACTCCTCGCAAAGTACCCCGAGGTCCCAGACTGGTGGTTCCTCATCATCCTCGTCGCCGCCATCGTCGTCTCCGTCATCTTCCTCAACATCTATCCGCTCGGCACCCCCGTCTGGATCGTCTTCCTCATGATCGCCATCAACCTCGTCTTCGCCGTGCCTCTCTCCTTTTTATCCGCGACGACGGGCACGAACCTCGGCCTCGGCGCACTCATCCAGGTCATCACGGGCTATCTCCTCCCCGGCAACACCAACGCCTTCCTCTTCTCCCAGACGCTGGGTTCGTGGGCGCTTGCGGGCTATGGCGACAATTACGTCCAGGATCAGAAGATGGCGCACTATGCCAAGATTGCACCGCGCGCCGTGTTCCGGAGCCAGATTGGAACTATTATTATCACTTGCTTCGTGGCTGTTGCTACGCAGAACTTCATCTTGGAGAATGTCAAGGGGTTGTGCACCCCGACGCAGCCTAGTCGATTCACTTGCGCCAACGACGGTGCACCTCTCTACACGAACAGCTTGATGTGGGGTCTTCTTGGCTCGGAGCGCATGTTTGTGTCTTTCTATCCGATCCTCAAATGTGAGTCAAATTTGCAGGAGCACAGTCATGATTTTGAACACTTGTGCTGACCGTTGAATAGGGTGCTTCCTCTTTGGAACGCTCATTGCCATTGTTTTCCTAGTCGGTCAAGGCTACGGTCCCAAGTATCTCCCAGGTGTCCGAGAGAAGCTACGACTTAAGCTGAGCCCAAAGACATTTGCTCGTCTGGACAAGACTCTCTTCCCCTTTGTGGCCTCTTTGCTATGGCTGAACCCGGTCCTTGTCATCCAAGGCATTCAGCATTGGGCACCGTCGAACTTGTCGTACAAAACACCTGGCTTCATTCTCGGATACATCTTCATGTACTGGCTTCCTAGGCATCGTCTGGCCTGGTGGGAAAAGTACAACTACGTCCTGTCAGCTGCCTTGACTGCCGGAGTTGCCGTTTCAGCGCTGGTGATGTTCTTCGCTGTTGGATATAACCCAATAGCCTTCAAATGGTGGGGGAATACGGTGAGCGGTGCAGGAGTTGATGGATCTCAGATCGGAATTCTCCCCATTCCCGAGAGAGGGTACTTTGGGCCTGAGAAGGGTAGCTTCCCGACATAGTCACAAAGTTCTTGACCCTGGATTCGAGCAAGGAAAGGTGCGAAACGGTCACTACCCCTCAACATGATGAAAGAGAACTGAGCGGGATATCCGGGCAGCAAGAGGTGGGGCCGAACTCCGGTGCGGGGCCGTTGTCACGGGGCTCAATGCAGTTCGGCCGCCAATGTTTGACATTGATGGACCCCTTAATCTTGACAATGTGCCAAATATCATGCCACAAATATTCACTCATCTTGACTCAATTGCAACTCGAATGGAAACAGTCGATAGAAAATATCACGAGACATAATCATGACGCTTTTCGTGCTATGTAAATGTGCTAAAGTATGGACATGAAAGTTGACCCCTAAAACAGGTCGAAGCATCAATGATGAGTTTGGTCCCAGTCCGAATGAGAACGCCGTTTCTATCCGCAGCAACGCTGCATGCAATACATATTCCAGCCTGACATCCCTGCTTTTGTGATACGCTCAAGGCACTTTCTTTACTGCTTGTCGAAGAGGAAGACGTTTTGCTCGAGCTGGCGGAGGTTGAGCTGCAACTAGTTAGTTCTACTTCTCCCCCATTTGGATTCACTCGACTTACGAAGCTGGTGCTGATGTTATGAACATCAGTCGCACCCATCTGGGCTCCATCACGGACAATCTCAGTCTTCATGATGTTGATGGCCTTGGTGACGCCCGGGAGACCGTAGCAGTTGGCGTACATGAAGGGACGTCCCATACCCACGGCCTTGACGCCGAGGGCAAGAAGCTTCAAGACGTCGTTTCCGTAGCGGACACCGCTATCGGCAATGACATCGACCTTCTGGAAAACCTCGGGGGCGTTGCGGTAGATCTCGTAGGCGATCTCGAGAGGGCCAGGGGTGTGATCGAGCTGGCGGCCGCCGTGGTTAGAGATGTAGATGGCCTTGGCGCCCTTCTCAATAGCAAGAAGGGCCTCCTCAGCGGTGGTGATGCCCTTCAGGATAATGGGCAGGGAGGTCTGGTTCTTCATCTGGTCGTAGATGTCCCAGGTCAGAGCAGAGGAGACGGAGTTGGCGTTAGTGGTGTCGTAGCGGGCAGCACGGTGACGGACAGAGTCACCGGGGGCGTCAATGGTCCAAACGATGGCCTTGGCACCGGTGCGTTCGGCACGGCGGATGTTCTCCCAGGTGACGGAGAGGTTGGCGTTGGTGTAGATTTGCTGGAAGATGACCTGGGGTCCGTTGAGGGTACCGTTGACCTTGCCGGTGGCGATTTCCTCGATGGACTTGGAGGCGTACATGGACGGGATGTACAGGATGTTCTCGTTACCGGCGGCGCGGACGAGGTTTAGCTCGGCGTCCGGATCTCCGTAGACGGCGCGGGCGGCGGGCGCGATGAAGAGCGGGGCGCTGAAGTTGTAGCCGAGGATGGTGGTGGCCATGGTCTCGTTGAGCTTGGTGACGTCGCTCAGGTGCTTGGAGCGGAGCTGGACCTTTTGCCAGACGTCGAGGTTGTGGCGGTAGCTGTACTCGCCGGCGGTACCGGTGCGGTAGAAGGAGTACTTTTGGTTGTCGAGGTGCTGGCGGGCCGCCCAGTCGAAGTCGGGGATGGCGCGAATGTCCTTGAGGAGAGGGAGGGAGCCCTTGGTGTAGTTTGTGCTGTCGAGGTAGGTCTCGAAGCCGGTGTCGACCTCGTTGACCCAGGGCTCGCCGGCCATGGCTACAGCCAGGAGCTGCGTGGCGATGAGGAAGGACTTCATCTTGTGCGGTGTGTAATGAACGTGAAGAAAGAGTGAATGGATGGAAGTGACGATTCTTGCTAAGCAGCGTAGATATTCTCCTCAAGAAAGCATGGCGATCCCAAAGAACTTATACGTCTGCCCTTCCGCTCGCTTTCCGCCAGCAAACACCCCTCCCCCTGATCACGATGATCTCCATTCTACTTACACCGCTGACCTTGTCGGGGCATTCTATACCCGGCGGCCTCAGGGTTGGGCCGCATGGGCTTCAGAAACCAAACGGTACTGGTTCATCTCATGTCTTGGGAAAACAAACATGTTGGGTCTCGATCCGAGTCAACCGCCAAGTTGGAAACTAGGGCCCCCCTTGATGCACGAGTCGAGAGGAGACGAGACATACTTTCCTACTGGTTAGACACGATCTAATCTAATCAATTCGACGGATCCCAACTTTCTGGATTCCTTGGCTGAGGCACCCCTTCTCCGTGGGGGGCCATCGTCAGTCATCCTGACTAATTGTGGATGTTCTGGGTCCCAAGGGCAACCGAGCCTCACGAGAAGGTCTCGAGTTGCCTAAACGGGATGGTTTTGGCGATACTTTTGACCCTCTCATGGATATCCTATCCACCATCGTCGGATCACCGGCGCATCAACCTCTAGTTTAAGAGGAGTCACCTCATAGCGACAGAATTCTCCGCGAGGCGGTCTGCTAAGGACCATCCTGTCTAGGTGACGAGAGGAGCAACGTGCTAAGGGGAGAATCTCTATCACAGGAAACCAAAATTCCTCACAGATAGCCAAGATTGCGCACGCCGAAACCTGTCAAGAGACCTGCCCGAGAAAGCAGGTTGATCGCAGCCGGATCCGGTCCTCCGAGGTCTTGGCTCGGACCAAGACTCCATGTCCAGCGGGTGCGAATTTCGACGACATTGTTCGCTTGCATGTGCCTGTCGGTTGTGTTTCTTCTTTGGCACTGGCTTGATTTATGCGCGTTTTCTGACCCAATGTACCGGAAACTCCGCCATTGTGGATATGCTTCTGGTATGTTTTGTCGTACTTTTTGAGCAGAGTTTGGACGAACAGGAAAACGAGAGAGCCCTGGTCAGGCTGGTCCCAAGTCCCAAAGAGATGAAATTAGGTTCCCGGCTCTAGCAGAAGAAGTGGGCCGCTGTCGAAATAGAGTGAAGGATCTCTTGTCGATTCAGAGCTTGGCGCGGATGCAGATTGCTTCCCTGCTAAAAACTCGAGTCGGGCTTAACGGTTTGAGTTATTATTCCCCGGGGGGTTTAACGGGTCTTTAGGAGAAAATCCGCCTTCGTCATTGGGGCTCCGGAGTCCTCCAGCTCAGCGAAGTTGGCAAACTTTCTCTCCCTAGCAAATTTGTGGGCTTCCCCGGTGATTCCATAAGCCAAGTATGGAGTCTCGCGCGCGGTTGTTCTTGACACAAAATCACACTTGAGGAATCAAGGTTTTTTATGATGGGAAGTGATGTGCCAATTTTCGTATGTGCTGTGGCTGTTGCTGTACCCAAGGCATTGCTGAGAATGCAAACATTTCAAAGTCTCAATGATAAGGTAGTTACAAAAAGCAGATTTGATGGGCCGCCGAGAATTAGTAGCTTTGTTTTCGATATCGAAGAATGGTTAGAGGATATCATCACGTAATCCCCGCTACCTCTGACGCATAGCTAAACGATCAATCACCTCGAGTAAGACAGCCAAGCACCAAATGTAACGATGATGGGAATAGTTTCTGATACGCTCATTGCGGCTCTGCAATATTCAAATACATGGAATATCCACGTGCTTTCCGTGGGCGTTGACTATGGGATTTGATGATCAATTAAGATGAGGCTTTCTTGGTCTGAATGACACAGTCGCATTGAGATGGGTCCAGTAATGAGACCAAAGAGCGCGCATCCGACCCGACTCCCGACGCGACTCACGCGAGGGATGGAAAACCCCCACGCCCAGATCGACAAAAATCCGTGCTCATCCTCGCAGCCATCTTCAAGGTCTCATAGGGCTTGGGACCGTGACGCTTGGGGAAGCTCTGAGATCACAACTCATTTCTTACCCCTGGAGGTCTCTAAAGCTTGGACACATCTTGGGCAGCACGGGGCTCGGAAAGGAAGTTAAGTATGGATAATTACTTAGCCTGGCTATCGAACAGCTTGATCCGCAATCATGTGAAAGGCATGCTGTTCAGGGCCAGTGACGCAATACTGAGCCTGGTCCCTTTTGTGACATGCAAGCAAGGGGTAGGTCGAAGATCTTTCAAGTCACAAAACAAGAGATTTCCAGGCTCAATTGAGATCACATACAACATTAATTGATTGAAGCTCATAACGTTTTCTATTCTTAGATGCTAAGTGGCTACAGTAGCACAATTCGCAATGATTTCTTTGTATACTTTTCTTCGACATCATGGTCATTCATCGTCACATGCATTTAACAGACTATCATCATCGTCAGTAAACTTTCCCCTTCTCCAAAGCACAAGCTCAAGGGCTCAACTTACTTCCAATAACACCGTTCACGGGAATATCAATCGACGTCGTATAGCTCGCAGCGTCGCTCAAAAGGTAAACGTACGCGCCACCGAGCTCCTGGACCTCGGCCAAACGGGGCATGCCGCCGTAGTACTTGAGCTGCTGCTCCCAATCTGGCTGCTGCGGCACCCAGTAGGTCATGGCCGTGTTGACGAGGCCGGGCGAGACGCTATTGACGCGGATGCCGTACTTTGCCCATTCCATGGCGAGCGTATGCGCCATGTTGCGGACGCCAGCCTTCGAGGCGCCGTATGGTGCCGATGGGACGCGCTGCGTTTAAGTCAGTCAGTATGTGCTCGTTTGCTCCTGGTTCAACGGAATAGAGAGTTGCAGCATACCTTGTTGGGGCGGTAAGAAGCCATGGAGGCCGTAAACACCACTGAACCCTTAATGTTCAACTTGATGAAAGCCCTCGCCGCCGCTCTGGCAGTGTAAAAGGCACCAAACAACTATCAAACCAGTCGTCAGCACACGCGTTCCATTATCTTTCAAATGTGTTTCTCATCAACATACGTTGACACCAAACAACGACTCAATCTCCTCCTTTGTGAAATCAAGCGCGGCCTTGTGGTTCGTCCGGCCAGCGTTGCAGACAACGCCGTGGATCGCGCCGGCCTCCTCGACGATCTTGTCAATGGCGGCCGTGATGCTCGCCTCGTCGGTGACGTTTGCCGAGATGGAAAATAGACGGCCGGGGAACTGCTTAGATGCCGCAGCGAACTCGTCACCGGGCTCCGCGAGGTCGATAGAGTAGACCTTGGCTGCGTTGTTGAGGAGGCAGCATTCTGCGACGCCGAGGCCGATGCCGCGGTTTGCGCCGGTTACTAGGGAGAAACTTTGTGAGTAAAATGACCAAGATCATCTTTTTTTATTGCCCAAAGAGGCTTGATGATGATGGCTTACCTGCAATGACCTTTCCGGAGAGTGTCAGAATGGGCTGGACGTTGACGGCCTTGGGGTCAACGGCGGCTGCTCCCGTTTCGACTGCTGAAGGTGCCATGGTGAATTGCTTCAAAGGTATCTGATTCAAGTCGAACTTTTGTAATAAGACGACAAGGAGGGCGCGAATTGACTTTTGCTAGTATCTGTCTCAGTCGATGCTACACGCAAATTCAACAGTGACATATCAAACCCCAGGGGTTCGTCTGCTTTAAAAGCTAAAAGCTACAGCTTACATGGTTTCCCGCATCTCCGAACACGCTTTGCCGAGTTCCACATCCCCCAATTCCCTATGCAGGTGTGTACCATGGCATTCGTCACATTGCAGCGAAGTCTGAGGTCTCTGTTTAGCTACAGTCCTGTCATTGTCATCCCTCGAGACGACTGGGAATGGTCTCATCCAGACATGGGCTGGAGAGTCGAGTTCTCCACAATCGCGGGGAAATCTGGAGCCATTGCCCTCGAGACGAGGAGCGTGGGATGCGGGATGCGGGGGAATCTCCACCACCGAACGCCCAGTCGCGATAGACATCCCTCCGGCTGTAAGAGAGGCTTTCTTTTTTCTTTTTGGTCTTGGGAGAGCGAGTCGCGCGTACAATGACCTAATTGCGCTAGTTCTCGGTATGCTTCCGTGTCAGAAGGGACCCTCGAGTCGGCCGAAATGCCAAGTTGAAAGACACGAATCAATGCTTGTGCTGGTGACAATTGCTGATTCTACTTTTGGATTCTTGAGCTAAAAGAGCTACCCCTGCTTGCCATCTGCGGCCAGGGTCTCTGAGCATGTAATAAGAAGTCGACGTGAAGATTATCTTGCTTTCTTTCCATCAACTAAGCTCGCCACTCTGTTGTCGTTCTCATACCTAGATACCCAAAAGACGAGGAGATCAGAAATCACAAAATGAACGCCAACTTGCTTAGATCTCGCCTCTTGCCGGCGGTGCAGGCCGCGCTGCCCAAGCAGCAAGTTAGGAGCGTTACCACTCGCTCGGTGCAATGGGAGCTCAACACGGGCGCAAAGATCCCCGCCATTGGCTTCGGAACGTTCCAAGACGCCGATGCGCAGGAGGAAGCCGTGAAGACGGCGCTGAAAGTCGGATTCCGTCACATTGATACCGCGAGGGTGTAAGCATTCCCGTCCATACCAGCTTTATCACCAATCAGACAGAATCGAGGCTAAGTTTCTGTATCTTTAGGTACGACACTGAAATCCAAGTCGGCAAGGGCATCAAAGCCAGCGGCGTCCCGCGCGAGGAAATCTTCCTGGGCACCAAGCTGTGGTGCAACTCGCACCACCCAGACGACGTCGAGGCCGCCCTCGACGCCTCCCTCAAGGACCTCGACACGCCCTACGTGGACCTGTTCCTGATGCACTACCCTTGCACGTTCCAGCGGGGCGAGGACCGCTTCCCCAAGGGCGCGGACGGGAAGATGATTATGGGCAAGACGACGTTTGTCGATACCTGGAAGGCGATGGAGGCGCTGCTCAAGACGGGCAAGACAAAGGCCATTGGCGTCAGCAACTTCAGCAAGGATGAAGTGCAGACTCTTATTGACAAGGGATCAGTGGTACGTTTGACTTGACCTCGGGAAAAAAGAAGAGGATGAGAATAGGGGCATATGAGCGTGAAGCTAATTGCAGCGAAACCCAGGTTCCCGCCGTCCATCAGATGGAACTCCACCCCTACCTCCAACAAAAGTCCTTCGTCGACTGGCAGCGCGCAAACGGCATCCACATGACGCACTTCTCGCCCCTCGGCAACCAAAACTCGTTCTACCGCGAGGTCTCGTGGTCCAAGGAGGCCTCGCATATGGCCCGCGTCATCGACCACCCGACGCTCGCCGAGATTGCAAAGAAGCACGGCAAGACGCCCGTGCAGGTCGCCCTCGCGTGGGGCCTCAACAGCGGCCGGTCCGTGATCCCCAAGAGCGTCATTGAGTGGCAGATCAAGGAGAACCTCGAGTCCGATTTCCTGCTGGACGGGGAGGACATGGACAAGATTGCCAAGATGGATCTGAAGGCGAGATTTAATGTGCCGTCCGAGGAGTATAGGTGGCAGCTGTACAAGGGGTTGGATGGAGTCGAATACTGATTGGTATCACCGGCGAGTTGAAACATGCATGTAGTTACTCTATAGTGGGCGGTCAGACCCTGGACTCTCGAAGAGTATTGTAAATTCAAAAAATGGGTAGGCCTCTAGTTTTAACTGATGAAACCCCTGTTTCCGGAATTGGATACGAAATTTGAGCTGGATTTGTGTGAAGCTAAAGGCTATATGTCCATCGGAGACCGTGAGCGTGATTTGATACCGTCTTGATGTTTACCATGTCAAGCCCTAATGGCTCTAAATAATGATATGGTTTACCCCTGGTTAGTCAAGCACAAAGTGATTTATTGAGAGAAGAGCAGGAAGCCTCCAGAACAGTCAAAGATTGTAAATTTGAGAGTGGGCTGTGTCAATGACTATACTTACCTTAGTTTTGAGGGCTCGCAATGTGACCTACCTTGAAGCCAGTATTCACTCTCACATAATTTACCCGCTTGCAAGTTTGACAAGAAAACGTAAGTCATCGTCAAGCTGGACCACGAATCAGTTGTTATTTGTCAGGTTTCTTCTAGGAAGAGCGGTTCAGCCATACGGCGGGTATATTGTGTTTAGAGTCTTCACGTTGGTAGTACAGTCTACAAAATTCAACCTTCAAAACAGGAGTCATCACATCACATCGCACCTCACGCCTCCGTCGTCCGCAGCAAATACCGCAAAACACACTGCACAGCACCAACAACAACCCTCGGCCTCTTCCACCACAAGAACACGGCCCCGACGACGAGCGGACTGCACACCAGCGCCTCGAAAGTCTTCATCAGCACCTGGCCCTGGTGGTCGCTCTTGGCCACGACCTCAGAGTACCGCTCGTTGCCGAAGCTGACGCGCGAGTACTTTGTCTGCCAACCCAGCCCGGGAGCGTACACCGACATCTTCTCTTCGAGCCACTTGCGCAGGCGGTAGCGTGGTGAGAGCACCGAGGCGCGCATCTCGACGTAGTTTTGTAGCGCCAGGTCGTTGATGGAGTGTGCGTCGGGCACGCGGTTCGCCGTGTACTCGGCCAGCGCCGCGCCGCGGTGGTAGGCGACGGCCGCGTAGGTGCCCGCGGCGTCTGCTTGGCTTCCCGACGGGTCGTTGGCTTGGGCTTCCGCTAGCCGACGGTGCTTGTCAAGGATGGAGAAGAGGATGCGGACGTCTTCCAAGCCGGCGTTCATGCCCTGGCCGTAAAAGGGGACCATGGCGTGCGCGGCGTCGCCGACGAGGACGGCGGAGGCGTCGTAGTGGTGGGGGCTGCACTTGATGCTGATCAGGGGCAGGTGGGGGTTCCGCTTGAAGGACTCGATAAGGTCTTCGGCTGGGATCAGGTCTGTTACACCTGGGAAGTGCTTGTCGAAGAAGGCTGGTAGACTCGACGGATCTTGTTCAAGAGCCTCCGTTTGGTTGTTGGGGAGGAATAGCGTGCAGGTAAAGGAGCCATCCTAAAATCTTATTAGTCGGGTGTATAGAAGCAGGTTTGAGGGATGCTCACATCACTGGGTATGGCGATGAACATGAACTCCTTGCCAGGCCAGATATGCAGATGATTTGGTGAGATTCTGAATTGCGGCTTGCCGTCCGGTGATGAAGCTTTGGCAGGCTTGATCTGAAACTCGCACCAGAGGGTGTCGATGTACTCTTGCTTGTAGTTCATCTGAGCAAACTTCATCAGGTGGTATCTGACGGCGGAGTGTGCGCCATCGGCGCCAATCATAAAGTCAAAGTCAATCTCAATCTCTTTGGCGCGGCCGGTAGCCGACCCGGAGGTCATGTCCTCGAACCAAGCCTTGCACTTCTTGAAGTCTGCGCCAGTGAGCTTGTGGCTGAAGAAGAACTTGACATTCGGCATCTCTTCAAGGATGTCGAGCATGCGCTTATTCAAGCCGGCGCGGTCCACGGCATAGATGGCCTTGCACAACGATCAGCATCAGGTTGATATGGTTGGCATCTCGGATAAGATTGGGCTCAGTTGACTCACTCTGCCGTGGACATCGTAGTCCTGCGAAGCCTCGTACAGATCACCTTTCGGGGTCCTGCCGTGAATCATGCGTCCCCGCATAGGAATGGTGGCGCCAAAGACATGTTCCAGTAACTTTGGTTGGCCAGCATTGCGCATGGCGTTGATGCCGCGCTCGGAAAGCGCCAAGTTGATGGAACGGGTGAAGTTTAAGAGAGTTGTTGTGGGGTCTCTAAGGTCTACATGGTTGTCACAATTAGTCTATGTTCAGACTCATATCAACTAATAGTAGGTAGTTGTGTTGTTGTGTTGTTGCTGACGATTGATAACGACGTTAATCCACAGAGTGGCCGAGATCAAGATCCCCAGATAAGGCAGAGAGAGAAGCAAACAAACACTGCCTTATCTGCATCGCATCCACCAACAGGGCATCACATCATGGCAAACAAGACTATTGAATGCGGCAATTGGTGGGGCAGACGAGGGGGAGGATCCATGATCTTCAACGGCGCGCTGAGCCGGGCGGGAACAAGAGACTTTGCCAAACGGAAAAAGAAAAGCGACAAGCAAACTTACCGGCTCTCAACTCGTAGATCTCAACCTCGTACCCGCGCTGTGCTGCATAGAGCGCAGCCAAAGAGCCGACGGGGCCGGCGCCGACCACGACGACCTTTTGGTTCTTGGCCATGTTTGTTTGGGTGACAAGTTTACTGGTTTACTTGTGTCTTTTATCGCCAGCTTCAAGACATGTGAGAGGGAACTTGGAGAAAGGATCGCATGTAATAGTGGCGTGAGAGAGGAGACTTGATTTCAGAGAACCCGCATGATGATTCGACCCTTGGGCGGGTCAAGCCGGCCGGATGAGAGGATTGAAAGGGAACAGGCGTCAACGACTTTTTTTTTCTTTACTAAGGTCAAGCAAGGTTCTCTGTGTTTCCAACCCCCCGATGCCTTGAGCATAGAGCGCAGAGCGGCGCAAGTCGGATTCGGTCGCTGCTCGGTGGTGTTCGGCTCGCGGGTATTCCCCGGAAGCTCCGACAAGGGAAGCTCCGCTCAGAAACTTTTTCTTTATTTCAGGTTTCTTGCAAGCCGTTTACCTTACCTAAGGCACCTTTAATCAGTTCTCGTTTCCTGGCCCTGGCCGTAGCGCATCTGAATGGGAGTGGCTTACAAACTCAATCGTGTCTATGTCTTATCGTTATCGATAAACCTGTCGAGGTCCTTTATCGATTGTCATTGTTATCAGCCCCGAGATTGAACCGCAGGTGAGAAAAAAGGATTTACAGCTGCCCTGTGCAGATTGCAGAGCAGCGTGGTGGCTGCGGGGAGCCGCGCACAAGCGCCTATCACAGAGCGTGGGACGGATACGGGCTTGGAAATATTTCTTTCGTCAGGTCACTTTTTGTTCGTTCGTAGCCGAATCGTCAAATTTAGGGCGTGTGTTTGAGAAACTGCGCCGCCGCCTCGTCTGTCCGAACCCTGCTCCAATTCCAGGGTCCTCTTTCTCTCACTCCTCCACTCGTCGATCATCGTCGAGCAATCGTTAGCCTCTTCTTTTTGCGAATCACTAGGGAATACTTTCCGTACTCGACCTCACCTTGTCGCATATCTACTTGTTGTACCCCTCCACGACCGCCCACCATGACTGAACCTCCCGCGAAGAAGATGTGCCTCGGCGTCGACTGTCCCAACGAGGCTGGCACCCTCCAGTGCCCGACCTGCTTGAAGCTCGGAATCAAGGGCAGCTTCTTCTGCTCGCAAGACTGCTTCAAGAAGAACTGGGTATGTCGTCTGCTTCATGTTAGACATCGTCCTCGCTGACCTCCAATCGCAGGGCAACCACAAGTCCATGCATAAGTCTGAACAGAGTATACTTCACCATGTCCTCCCGCCAAAGGTCGTCTCTAAACCAGATCCAGAGACAGGTGTATTCAACCCCTTCCCGACATACCCCTTCACCGGACCCCTCCGACCCGTCTACCCTCTGTCCGAACGCCGTACCGTCCCCAAGCACATCCCCCACCCCGACTGGTGGAAGGATGGTATCCCCAAGTACCCGAGAAGCATCCTGAACAGGAACAAGGTCGACATCCTGGACGCCAAGGGAATCGCCGGCATGCGCAAGGTCTGCCGCCTGGCGCGTGAGGTTCTCGACATTGCCGCCGCCGCCGTCAAGCCCGGCATCACAACGGACTACATTGACGAGATTGTCCACAAGGCCTGCATAGAGCGCAACGTAGGTTACCCTCTGGGCGCAAATGATGCGCGCCGCCTAGGAGGAGGAGGAGCAAGAAAGCTGACCAGACCAAACCGCAGGCCTACCCCTCGCCCCTGAACTACAACCACTTCCCCAAGTCCGTATGCACATCCCTCAACGAGGTCATCTGCCACGGCATCCCCGACCAGCGCGTGCTCCTCGACGGCGACATCCTCAACATCGACGTCACCCTCTTCTTTGAGGGCTACCACGGCGACCTCAACGAGACGTACTACGTCGGCGACCGCGCCAAGGCCGACCCGGACGCGGTCCGCGTCGTAGAAGCCTCTCGCGACTGTCTCGACGCCGCCATCGCCGCCGTCAAGCCCGGCACGCTCATCCGCGAGTTTGGCAACATTATCGAAAAGATTGCAAAGGAGAGGAACTGCAGCGTCATCCGCACGTACTGCGGCCACGGCATCAACTCGCTGTTCCACTGCCCGCCCAACGTCCCCCACTACGCCAAGAACAAGACGGTGGGAGAGTGCAAGCCCGGCATGACGTTCACTATTGAGCCCATGATTGCGCTGGGCAAGTACCGCGATGTCACCTGGCCCGATAACTGGACGAGCACGACGATTGATGGCAAGAAGACTGCGCAATTTGGTAAGTGGTTTCTTTTGTATTGCGCATGTTCTCCACGATGCTGTGGAAGGCCATTGAAACGAAAGAACGGCAGCTAACGGGGATGAACAGAGCACACTCTTCTGGTGACCGAAGACGGAGTCGAAGTCCTCACAGCTAGAACGGCCACGTCGCCTGGCGGCAAGGTGCCGATGCCTGGAACGAACGGCGAAGAGAAGGAGACCACCGCATAATTGACAACATTAGCATGGGACACGGGCATAAGCGAGCACGGTGTAGAAGTACGAGAGGCGTTGAGTGAGAATTGAAGAGGGCGGGATACGTGGCGAGCGGACGCTGGGATGTGAGCATGATATGTGAGCAGGCATTGCTCTGGCATACACGGTGTTTAGGGGGTGATGCCATAACAAAGTGCCATTAAACAAAAGCAATCGGCGCGATGGGGTCAGGGGGCGTCGAATATCAAAAACGATCAAAAGTTGACGATGCTGAGAGGAGGCCACGTGAGGGTGCCACAGCCGTCTGCCACCAAAAGAGGCGCATTGTCGGTCCGAGAGTACCCTGTCCCATGCGACTGGGGACGACAGCTGTCATGGGCAGAGGGATGTGCCGGGGATATCCTGAATCGCCGTCATGGTGAGGTCTATGTATTTCTCAACCCCGCGATTATCAAAGGCCCGGCATCGGTTCTGTTCAATACACTCCGTAAACAGTGCAGTACTTGCCCAAGCCAGCAAGTCGTGGAAGGCTCGCATTATGTCTTGCAGAGGCAGATATTCACGTGATAGCAATGCTTGGATCATGATATTGCCCTTGACCGAGAGAGGCGAGATGGAGGGGGATTGAAGTTGAACCTGGCTCTTCCCAGCCACCCGGTGGAGATAATGCGATGGCTTTCCACCCCGCCGCCGCTTTCGCACTTTGCCCTCCAGACAAGCCTCACCGAACGAGGGATTGCGCAAGCGATAGTATTGGGTGGGTAAGATGACAAGACAGAATCTGGAATGTCTTCATAGCCCAGTGCTCTCGTGCTGTCGTATAAAGAGATGGAATTTGCGAGTTCGCTACGATAAACGAAACATTACTCTGCTCCAATGATGAAAGTTGGAAGATACCAATGGAAGCGGTACGTACCATTGCTGACGCAGCTGGGAGCTGTGAGGTGCACCTCAGATGGGTGGGAAGTGGAGTGGCGCTAAGCCTGTCAGGGTTTTCCGGGGCCTACTACGTATCTGAGCCCTTTGCCCCAGCACTGAACAGCAGCACTGACTGAATGAGGTGGGCTGGGCTGGCGGGGAGAGAGGGGAGCCCTGGAGGGTCCAGTCCCCCGTGGCCCACGGCGCTGTTGGAGACCTGAACAAAGATAATCAGCGTCTTTCATCATCAGAAACCAAAGGAAGAGGTCTCCCAAGCCCCGTAACCCACCCTCCCGATTTTCCACGACTCGACTAGTGGCTCCCTGTCGCTCGCTACGCAACCCAACCCAACGCTACCCCGACGGGCCAAACCAGAGAACCATCGAACCAACGGAAACTCTCTTCACCACTTCACCTCGCTCTTCCAACTTTGTCTCTCTCAACCCACGTGCTGAACATCCTCCACCTCTTTTCAACCACACAACTTCTCACCTCTCATAGCTGCCTGACCAACAGACACGTCTGCTTGCCACCTAGACACGCAGCCAAACCCTGCCATCCATCCATCTACCTACATACCGTCGCCGCATACGCAGACACAGAGACAGAGCTCCATCTGCGCCCATCCATCCCTCCTCCTACATCACCCCAGTGACGTCGAAGCATTCCACCTGTGCTCGCACGCATACAAGCTCCAAGTAGCCTCGCGAGCCAAAACCAAGCTTCAACGCCGCCAAATCCCACGAACAGCAACTGCACTCGCAACAGCTGCTGTTGTCGCAAATCTCTCTATCCTCCCTTTCCATCAAACAAATCCAACTAGCGCAGCTCGCTGCCAAGTTTCCGTCAAGATGTCCGGCGAAGCGTGGTTATACCTCTTCGCGGTGCTGATAAACGCCGTCAACCTCTTCCTTCAAGTCTTCTTCACCATCATGTACAGCGATCTGGAATGGTACGTTGTCCTTCGTTTTATCCACTCATCTTCTTCCCGCCTCGCTGCTGCGGCATGCTGCACGGCGCACGCCAGCTTCTTTCTTCCGTGCTCAGACGAGCTCGAGGCTAGACCGTGCTGCATGCTGCGGAGCGGGCGGACGTGATAAAGCTGTCATCCCATGATCTCTTGTAATTGCATGCTAACATACCAACTTTTACAGCGACTACATCAACCCCATTGACCTCTGCAACCGCCTCAACACCTACATCATCCCCGAAGCTGCCGTCCATGGATTCCTGACCTTTATGTTCCTGATCAACGGATACTGGGTACCTTTGATCCTGAACCTGCCGCTCGTAGCCTACAATGTCAAGAAGTACGTTGTCCCTCCGAGGCTCGCCTGGTGGTGTTGGCAGAATTCGAGAAAGCTGACTTGATCCTAGGATTGTCGACAACACCCACTTGTTGGATGCTACCGAGATCTTCCGCAAGCTGAATGTCCACAAGAAGGTAAGAGCCGCAACCCACCTCAGACCTAGCCGGCCGTGTCTAATAAGCTTGCGCAGGAATCATTTGTGAAGCTCGGCTTCCACCTGATCATGTTCTTCTTCTACCTCTACAGCATGATCGTCGCCCTCATCCGCGACGAGTCCTCTTAAACGGTGAACCCTACCCTGCGCACAATACACAGGACGGATTCCAGTATATAGATACCATGCCACGTGGACAAGAAAGAACCAAACGTACACGCCGATGCGCTGTCATCCTCTCAAACGATGCACCATTCGGAGCTACTATCCAAGAGGGATGGAGAGGTTTCGGGCGGGCAACCGCTGGACATGGAGGGGAGCCATGATACCAGCAATGCGGGGTGTCAAAAGGAGAAACGACAGCTGACAGATATGGTGTCCCGGAGTTACGGGCAGAGATTGGTGTCTCTGTTTGGATTCTGATGATGATGAATGGGAAAGAGAAAACGGAATACGACACACAAACACATGGTGGAGGAGGGCATGAAGGAACGAAATGGGCGGGAGACGGGTTACGATGCGAAAGACCAAATACCTAGCTGTTTACTTTATGTTGCTACCAGGCCGGCTGGTCCTGGGAGCGGCGGGTTGCGATAATTGAGTAATGACAGATCTTCTGAATGTCTCTAGACCATTTCTTTGCACCTTGTTGACTTGCTGCCCCAAACTAAACTTTTCCACACGGCTGTTACCTGACGTTCAGACACCCTTGAGTGTGAGTTTGGTGTGTATGTGGTACCAAAAGCTGCCCAAGCTTCCCGTGCGCTTGCTTGCGCCTTGAACCTGAGCTTCGAGGTCGAAAACCGCAGATCCCAAGGGTAGCTCCCCAAAAATCCTGACATCAGATCACGTGATACCAACTTTTTGCTGCCGCGAGCAGGAACACCAGCAACCAGTCGCGACCAAACATTACGATTCTGCGACACCAGCAAAACCCACTCACTCACTGTTCAAATCTCTTGCGACGGACGAGACGACGGCACCCAAGATGTCGGGCTTCGGAGACTACCCGCCAAATATGGCGCCCCAGGACGCGCTCATCGTGCGGCAAGAAGCCGAGCCCGATCACGCAGTCGTCCCCTACACCGGCGAAGACCTCGCCCGACCGCGCGTCGGCCCCGCGAACCCCTTTAAAGACGATTCGGCCATGACGCTGAAGCGCAAGAACGTGCTCACGGGAAGAGCGGAGGAGACATACATTTCAGAACACACCTTCCGCAGCAAACACCGCGCAGTCGAGCGGAAAGGCGGGCCCGAACGAGAGTACCAGACGGGCGCGGCCGTGAAACAGGAGAACGCGCGGATACGGTCCGGCCGCGAGGGCAAAGGCGACGCTACAATTGTCGAGGGCGACGGGGCGTACTTGGGTCCCTGGGCGCGGTACCGCCGCGAGGAGTACGAGGTCGTCGGCGAGGGCGAGGCCCTGGCCAGCGACGAGGAGTACGAGGAGGTGACGGACGACGGCGAGGACGACGACGTAGTGGAGAGCGGGACGGTGCTGCGCGCGCCCGAGGCGGCGCTGGCGAGGCGGAAGGAGGTGGAGGCCATGGGCGAGGAGACGACGACGTTCCACGGCGCTGCGGAGACGGATTACCAGGGCCGGACGTACATGCATGTCCCGCAGGACCTCGACGTCGACCTGCGCAAGGAGGCCGGCAGCGTGACGAATTACATCCCCAAGAAGCAGATCCACGCGTGGAAGGACCACACGAAAGCCGTCACGGCGCTGCGCTTCTTCCCCGGGTCAGGACACTTGTTGTTATCTGCCTCGGCGGACAGCACGGTCAAGATTTGGGACGTGTATCACGAGCGGTCGCTGCTGCGGACGTTTTCGGGCCACGCCAAGGCGGTGTCGGACGCGACGTTCAACAACGACGGCACGCGGTTCTTGTCGGCGAGCTTTGATCGGCAGATCAAGCTGTGGGACACGGAGACGGGCACGTGTCTGAGCCGGTTCTCGACGGGCAAGACGCCGCATGTGGTGCGGTTTAACCCGTCGGCGGAGCACGCTCACGAGTTTGTGGCGGGTATGTCGGATAAGAAGATTGTGCAGTGGGATACGCGCGCCGGCAACGAGATTGTGCAAGAATATGGTGAGTACCCCCTTTATTCATGTTTTCAATCTTTTGATCCAGGAGCTTATGTACTAACACTTACAAGACCACCATCTCGCCGCCATCAACACAATCACATTCGTCGACGAAGGCCGCCGCTTCATGACGACGTCAGACGACAAGTCCCTCCGCGCCTGGGACTACAACATCCCCGTGCCCATCAAGTACATCGCCGAGCCCTACATGTACCCGATGACGCGCGCGGCGCCGCACCCGAGCGGCAAGTACGTCGCCTTCCAGTCGTCGGACAACCAGATTGTCGTGTACGGCGCCAACGACAAGTTCCGGCAGAACCGCAAAAAGTCGTACCGGGGCCACAACAACGCCGGCACGGCCATCGACGTCAGCGTCAGCCCCGACGGGCAGTTTTTGGCGAGCGGCGATACGCAGGGGTTCGTGTGCTTCTGGGACTGGAAGACGTGTAAGATGTATCATAAGCTCAAGGCGGGGGATCAGGCTGTTACGTGTGTCGCGTGGCATCCGCAGGAGACGAGCAAGTTTGTTTCGGCGGGGGCGGAGGGGGATATTCGGTATTGGGATTAAGCTGAGAAATTCCTCTGGAGAAGGTGTCACCAGCCTGTGTCTAGATGAGAGAGATAAGTCTTTGTATTGTATGGTAGGCATTGCTCGGCGTTGGGAGGGGATCAAAATGATATCGCCCGTTACTTGTCTCATCACTCATAAAGCCAATTCTTGATGACCTTGATCTGTTTCATTTGGCATCGGAATGTACACCATTCACATGAACGCTCATCAATCCGAGAAGCCTTTGCTCTTTTGATGTAGCTCTTTCCCATCTCGATATCCCTCGCCTTCCTCCTTCCTGCATTCGAGCACCCAAGGGCATATCTATTGTCTTGGTGATGTATTGCACGGCAGTGCTTCATAATACACACCTGGGCTGGATAGATCACGATACCTTCACCATCGCAGCTCACCTATGACAAATATACACCAAATACGAGCCGCAATCTACCTCAATCACAGGTCTCGGCCACACACGGGGATAGGTCCGTCCAAGGTCCAATTTCCTACTTGTCCCTTATCTTAGTGCGCGCAATTTCGACGGCTCAGCTACTAAACAGTTAGAACCTCGCCTACACGCGCGACGCACGCTTCCTACCAAGAAAATTTCCCCGCTAATTCAGGGGAGAGAGAAATACCTAGAGAGGCACGGGAGTTTTGGGGGAGAGGGGTGGTGACCGGAATCGGACTACGTTGTATGTGTGTCAGACGCGGCCGGCCGCGTTCCGATGCGGCCTTGTTACCCCAACGTTTATGTACCGTATGCATGCGTGTCTCACTGCTTTGGGATGATATCGTAACATCGTACGGTGATGGAGGGGAGAGAGAATTCCAGACATCACATGGTGTGTTTTACTTCAACGTCTGTTGTGGGATGATGTTGGTCTTTGATCAATTCAATTGAGAGAGCTTTAACAAAAACAAGCTATTTCATTACGATTTCACGGGATCACCAGGGCGAGAGAAGATGGATGCAGTCTATTGGGATATCTTCCCCGACGCAGAAGACGCCGAGGACACGGAGAGCCTAGAGGAAGAGGAAGAGGAAGTATACGAGGACACCAACGCCTGTTCACCAGACATCAAGGTTCCCTGCGATAAATGCAGACGCAAGAAGCGCTCATCATGTAAACGATGCCGCAAGCGGCAGCGACAGCTTCAGCTTCAACACCAGCCAAGTCCTCACACTCATCCTCGGCGAACGAGGAAATCGTCCCTCGAAATCGCATGCTTTCCAGATCGCTCATCATCCTCTTACTCATCATCTTCTTCCAATTCATCACATCTCATTCATACCTCACCACCATCCACCTCGGCACAGGACGCAATCCCAGAAGTCATCCTCCAACAACCACCAGACGACATCCCAGCAGACACAACAACACAGAAAAACACGCTCACCGTTCCCCTCGGAGGTCCGAGTTTTGCAGCGGTGTATACCAACTCCCCGTCGTGGATGTCGACGTATACCTCGTCCACGTGCTCGACGACGTACACCACCATCCACGAACGTTCCCGCAGAGACGGACTCGGCAGCGGGGAGAAGGACGCTGGGGACGGGTGGTTGGATGTCAGGAGACGGCGGAGGCCGAGGCCGCCTTATCCTAGACGTCCGCGGACTGTTGGGCGATGGGATCAGGAGGGAAGGTCTTCGATGACTGCGGTGACGTCGTCGATGATGAGGTCTAGATGGGGTGAGGAGACGGTGGAGGGGTGGGATGAGGCTGAGATGGAGAGCGGGAGTTATTGTGTTGTTGAGGGGGCGCGGTGGGAGGAGCAGAGGTTCATCACGTCCAGGAGGGCCGCGAAAGCGGTGGGGACGGGTATGGGGAAGAGTGGTGCGAGGAGGCGGGGAAGGGGGCACTGGAGGGGTGTTGTTGGGTATGGTGCCAAGAGGAGAGCGAGGGCGGTTTCGTTGGTTGATCCGCCTGTGCCGAGGATCATGTTCGATCTACTCGCGATGAGGATGGGGATTTCAAAGACGGGATTGAGGGAGGGAGAGAACAGAGCTTTATGGGGGTTGCCGTTTGTGGATGGAAGAGGGCATTCCCGGGTCGTTTTTACGATGGCGTATGTGAGAGGAACGGCACATGTGAAGGGCCTTTGGGGGTTGTTAAGTGATAAATGTGACGACACTGGGGGTTTCTTTGGATCTGGTCATGGCGGAGGATGGAGCGTTGTGTTGAGATATCTTGCGGGTATACTTGGCTTCTATAGGCGTGAAGGTCAAGATGATGTGGATTAGAATGGTCATATGGCAGCGACTTTGGCTCAGCATCATCGATACATTCATCAAAAGGTTGCTGGTCACCATTGTCTGAGAACTCGCGTATTTCTCGATCGAAAATCTGGATGGTTTGATGTTACCTTCCTTCGTATCCCGTCTCAAATATCCGTGATATCAACATTGCTTCTCGTACTTAATTAAACAAAAAGAAAAAACCCCCAAGACCGCCCGCTGTCCTCAATGATGGACTCCCCTATGGTCAGTCTGGAATACCCATGAGATCAAGCTCCACGACGGACAAGGTACGTTCTGCCAATATAGATCCAGTGAATGAGATGGGCGCAAGGGACTGCATTTGCTATGGCTGTGATAAAGGCAAAGAATACAGAAAGCAAGACACACGTCAAGAGGAAGCCGAGGAGGAAGGCGCCATTCAGGGAGCAAAACATCACGAAGACGACGTACCCTTTAATAATCGATTAATCTCATTTCCTCAAGTATGGAATTTTTCCACGTCTATCAACAAAAAAAGATACTCCTAGAAGATAGAAGCAAGATACCCCTCCTTACGCGGGAGCAGCAGCCTCCTTCTTCTGACTGCGAAGGCCAGTTCTGGTTCCCGGCACCGCCGGCTTGACGGGCTTGGCAGCTCTCTTCTTCGGAGCTTTGACGGGCTTCTTCTCCTCTGCCTCCTTGATATCCTCTTTGGTATCCTCCTTCTTCATCTTCCCATCGTTCCCTTTGGGGGCCTCCTCTACTTTGCTCTTCGGGCCCTTGGGCTTGGTAGTCGTCTTCTTGGATTTGGTGGCAGTCTGTTTGGGTTTCGTCTCGGACTTCTTGGCCGTTTTGGCCTTCTTGATGGGTCTCTTGCCAGACTCATCGTCTCGGTTCTTCTCTCCCTCATCTTTTTCGTCCTCTTCGACCTCTTCTGCCTTGCGCTTCTGGCCCTTGGGCTTTGTAGTCGTGTTCTTGGACGTGGTAACAGTCTGTTTGGGCTCATTTCCGGACGTCTTGGTCGTCTTCACCTTCTTGATGGGCTTCTTACCAGACTCGTCGTCTTGATTCTTCTCTCCTTCGTCTTTGCCGTTCTCTTCGACCTCGTCTTCTGCCTTTCGCTTCTGGCCCTTCGGCGCTGTATCTGTCTTCTTGGGAAGGGATGGAGGGGTCACGGGCTTGTAGCCGCAAAACGGGGTCATTTTAGTCATCTGGCCAGGCCTGTTGTAAGAAGGTTGAGTATCCTCATTGTCCGAGTCCTTATTTCCCGTGTCTTTGTTGTCCGCTTCGAGATCCTCCTCCGCCTTGCGCTTCTGTGACTGCGGCGGGGTGGTCGTCTTCTTGGGTGCGGTCTTGGTTGTGTTGCCGGAATTCTTCTTCTTTGCCGGCTGCTTTTTGGCCCTGCTAGCCATCTTCTTCTGCTTCTTCGCTCCTCTGACCTCGGCATCCTGCTCGTCAGACTCTAAGTCCTCAGACTTTCTCTTGGAACCAATTGAAGGGGACATGTCCGGGGGAGAGGCGGTATCCACGATGCAGCTAGAGCGACCGCCCAAGGTCGGCTTGATATTCTTGACCGCATCGCTCATCTCGATGCTGGGAAGAGGGGCCGCCGAGCCCGTACGCGACGTGCGCGAGCTGCGGCTGCTTCGGGGACCCCAGGCTCCGGGAAGACGGCTGGGACTCGTCGGTCCACTAAAGTACGACGAGTGCCCAGGCGGGAAGAGGCCGGGCAGGTTGGGAGGCTTGCCAATGACATCCTCAATAGTGATCTCGACCTCTGCGAGGCGGCGCTCGTTTCTGGCGCTGCGGGAGTCGGTCACCTCTTGTTTCTCCTCGAGTTGGTCCTGCTGGTCTTGGAGCTTGTCCTGGCGCTTCTTCGTCTCGATGTTAGTTTTGCGAACTTCGTCTTTCAGATCTCCGAGTTGGGCGTCGATGGTGTTCTGCCATTGGACGAGATTTACCTGGGTCTTGTAGACGAGTTCTTCGCCCATGTCGAGGCGCGCTCTGAGGGCCTGGATCTGCTCGAGGCTGGAGTTGCGAGGGTGGAAGTCTACCAGGATTGGTTTGGATGAAGTACTCTTGAGGGACCTATGAGGTGAGGCCGTGAGGTATCGCTTCTTGGATTGTTGGGCCTGGGCCGGGGGCGTTCCCTTGAGTTCGAGCTTCACCTTGGTAGGAGGCGAGCTGGGCGGAGTACTCTTGATGGAAGTCTCCTTGATGGAAGTCTTCTTGAGGGGAGTCTTCTTCACTGGAGTCGTGGATTTGGATGAAGCGGCGTACTCGGTCGGCGGTGTGCTTTCTGCTGGAGATGGGCTTGCAGCAACCTTTATTTCTTGGGACAAGAACGAGGAGTCGATGTCGTCTTCCTCCTCTTCGTCCTCTGAAGGTGAATATTCCACGATCCCATCTCCGGTCGGATCGTACTCCGTGCTTGGGCTTCGGGAGATTTGGATCTGATACTGGCCGAAATTCTCTCCAGTTGGGCCAGCGAGGGCGGTCCTTCCTCCCGAAAAGCCAGTTTCCGGGGAGGAGCTCGGCGCCATGTTGGCTTCAGGCGCGATATATGATGAATCCGCCATGATGTTGGAAGGATGAGTGTGAGTTTGTATGAGATGATTTGGAGGAGATGTAAAGTAGAGAAAAGGACAATGTGGAATCTGAGTTTGGGGTGATTGCTGTGTAAGTGTGTGTATGTGTGTGGGTGTGGGTTTGCGCGGGTGAGTGTGTGTGTGGTGAGTGAGAAAGTTACGAGCCAACAGACAGGAGACAAGACTCGACCAGACGGGTATTTGAAGAAGGTGCCTCACCACCCGGCCTGACCAGGCGTCCACTTGTTCAGGGTTTCCAAACATATTCTTCAAAGGGTCCCCGAGTTGTTTCTTCACCACAGTCAAAGGACACAAAGGCCTATTTTTATCTCACCGGCGGTAAAGATTCAACATAAGTTGTGGGATTTCATCAAAGGCATTGTCTCCCATCTTTGTCTGATTGTTCTCAAGTCATCGAGTCTTTCTCACAATGCACGCAGCGTATTTACAGTAATATCTCTTACACAGTGAGAGAAATGAATTTGATCGATCACTTTGACCCGCAGACAACGCGACTTCCCCTTTTGGTTTCCTCCCCATCGTACCTTCCCTGACGGGTCTCCAGAATCAGATCAGGATTTTTCAACCAAACCCAATGCCCCGTCTCATTTCACCAAAGATGGTTCTACCAGCATCTAACATTTACTGGACAGGCTTGAGAACCATGAGATCGATCAACGAATAAGCAATCTCGGCCGCGGCGAGAACAGTGGTTTCCCCGTTATTATCGTACGCAGGCGCGACCTCAACTACGTCAGCACCCACAATGGAGAGACTCTCAAGGCCATCGAGTATGGTAAGAAGCTCCCTCGTAGACCAGCCACCGGGCTCAGCAGTGCCAGTTGCTATGAAAAGTCAGCTCCCTTCCTGCAGGCTTTTCCAAACTACTCACCAGGCGCAAAAGCCGGATCAAGCACGTCAATATCAACGCTGATGTATACTCGAGAGTCGCCGACTCGCTCCTTAAGCTTTGAGATGACTCCTTTGGCTCCAAGCTTATCCAAGTCGCGTGCGGTGACAATCTCGAAACCACATCGGACGTCGTTGCGCAGGTCACCCTTTCTTCGGATCAATGGGGCTCGGATGCCTGCATGGATCGAGGTATTCAAGATTAGGTGCTGGGCATGTCAGCTTCTTGCACAGATTATCTCGACTGATGCAACTAGAAATACCTCTTCGTGGGCAATATGAAGGAATGTCCCATGGTTAAGACCTCTAATATCGGTCAAAATCCGGCAGTGAGCAAGCCTGTCTGTCTTCACTTACGCGTACTCGGAGATCCCGCCACCTGAAGCGCGAAAAGGCGTTTGATATTAACTTGGAGAGCATCGACAATCTACAAGGAAAGACTTACCCAAGACTAATGGATCCCATGTGTCTTTTGGATGGTCAGCCAGGTATGAAAATCCCATGGCGAAAAGTACTGACCGATGTGACTGTCAAAGTGGATGACTGAGACGGGACCCCATCTCTGGTAGGTCGACCGCAAAGCAGACAGAGTCGTTGTGTGGTCTCCTCCAAGCGTGAGTATTCTAGGCGTGGTTGACACCGACGAGTTCGCTGCTGGTCTGCCAGAAATAACCTTTCGCTCCTTCATCAGCTCATGGTCCAAGAGACAGCTCAGCAGAACATCACTCAACGGTGTGGGCCTTGTCTAGAAGCTTAAGAGAAGCCGTGTTGTCCAGCCAAGTCAGGCGGGCATCGCCGCAGTCTACAACTGTCGCCCAGTCTTGCAGAGGGTTTCTTCCTATTGATAATTTCTCGTCAGATGAAGACATCTGTCAATACGAAGCCCATGCAGAAGAGTTACCCGTGTACACGCTCCATTCTCCCGGCGACTTTCTTTGACTGCCGCTCCGAATGGCAGGCGGGCCAAAGCGAGCTCCTGGCCGGCCAGTGGTAGTCTGCTCTAGGGGTTAAATGATGGCTCTACAAAGTGTACAGAAGCGAGCTGTAGTTACCGTGTCGTGTGACGCACCAAAGACCGCAATGTCATACTTATGGCCCTCCGCATTCTCGTCAGAGAAGCAATCTACGAAGGGCAAGTTGGCAAAGGTTCTCAGCCCGGCAAACGATGTAGCACCATAGATGTTCAGATCATCGTCACTATCTGTGCTCAATGGCACTTGGTGACCATGAGGTAACTGGATGTTATCAAATGCTTGGTGGGGAACTTTCCAAGTAGCCCCGCCATGGACATGGAGGAACAGGAGGGAAACACGAAAAAATGATGAAGTATACATCGTTGTCATGAAAATGCTGTTGCTTTAGATCATTGGCTTTGCATTTGACGAAACAACAGCATGAAAAATTATTTCTTGTTTCCTCAGAGGAACAAGGAGAGTATTTCCTGCCTCTCTTCAAAAGGGCAAGTCGACGTCATCGTCTTATTGGCCCCTTCCCTCTGTGCCTTATCGCGACCCCTCACTGAAGCTCCCTCAACATCAGCCACATGTTCGTGTAAGTGGAGGTGTGGCTTGAACCCCGAGAGCCATCCTTTCCTTTATGAAGTCGAACTTGAAGGGAAGGCACGACACCGGTGATAAATTGGAATGCTCCTTCTCAAAAACATTACGCTGTTTGGGTACCTCGTCTTGCGCAGAGGCCATGTACGGGAGCCTGAGGTGCCCGGCGCAACTGCAAGCTGCTGCAACTCGACACTCCCTCCAACATCATCCATCTATATTGCCGTGCCCTCAATCATCAACCTTGGCATCGGGCATCAGTAACTCTCGTCGCATTCCATCCTTCCTCTGTTGCCAGGCCATAATTAACCCAGACTCTCTTCTTAAGCCTGTTATTGAGTATCTTTAGAATCGAAACACATTTGTATCCCTCATGTCGGACGACATACCCTCCCCTCGATCCTCGGCCACGAGCTCCCGCTCATGGAAGACCCTCAGAAAGCGAGTCAAGTTTCAGCAGACTGAACACGACGGCGCAGTCGACGATGACGATAACACGGAAGAAGGACCCCCGCGGCCCCTTCCTAAGAGCGACTAGAAGTCCATATACAAATGGTGGAATGACGAATACCGCCTGGTCGCAGTCTGCGTCATCGGAGCCATCATTCTCGGCATCATCTTCAAGCATTACGACCGGCAGCCAATCCCCCAACTGATGGATGGCGACCTCGACTTCGATGTCATCATTGTAGCCATGTTCACTTGCGTCCGCGTAGCCATGAGCGGAATTGTTGAGACCTCCATTAGCCAATCTGCCTGGATCTGGGTGTCTGAGGCCCGGCAACGTCGTACCAATGACAGTCGAGCCAGGTTGGAAGACTTCAAGATATACGACGAGGCTTCGCGCGGGCTTTGGGGCAGCTTGTATCTCTTGTGGCGACTGAGAGGAAGGTATCGTGAGGCGCCTGTTCTCTTTTGCCCGAAATACTACTGCTAACTGATGACGTGCTAGACATCTTGCTTGTATTGGCGCCTTGATTGTTATTCTTGTCCATGGATTGGAGGCATCCTCCCAGCAGCTCTACCGGTATGAGGGCCAGCCACGAGTAAGGCTCGATAAACCCGAAGTCGCAGCGCCAGAGAGAAGCGATTTGTAGGACTACACTGTCTCTCGGGGCCTTGACCCGCGTGAGTGGTGATGCGTCACTTGTCATATGTATCACTTACTAACACGTAGCAGTACCGGCTCTCAATCTATCCACCAAAGCAGCCGTATACAGTGGTATCCTATCCGTGGATGTCAAGAACCTTGATCTCGAATGCTCTGGTGTGAACTGCACGTGGCCCATCGTGCCAACGCTGGCAGTTTGCGGCGAGTGCAACCCCCTAGACATAAGGACTATATGTACCGACAAATCGCAAACGTGCCGGTACAGCTTGCCCAGAGGCACATCAGTAGAAATCAGCCGAAATGCACCGACCACGGAGCGATTCAAAACGGCAGCGTCGGAGGGCATCATGCACCGAATGAACTCAACGACACAAACATACATATCCGTCTTCGACGTCCTGTGGGTCATGAAAAGCAAGCGAGAGACGAAAAGTATTGCTCAGGAATGCGCCTTGTGGTTCTGCATGAAGAGCTATAACTTTACGATCACCGAAAGCCAGCTTAAGCAAAAGCTTACCATGAGCTGGAACACAACCCGGTTCGAACTGGGCAACAGCGCGCACGGCGACGAGTACGTCTTCGTTGATATCCCAGCAAAAGACATGAATGTTGCGCCAGAGTCCAGGTACAGTATTTCCAAAAAAGCGCTGGCTGCATTGCGGAGGTTCGTCGACCCGATTGTCGAAACCACCTACGAGAAACAATACACCATCATCAACTTTTCGTCAGATTGGGCCGAAGGGATCTACAACGCGAGAGAAAAACTACCGGAATGGATTAATCGATTTAGCATCAGTCTGACGAATGAGGTGCGACTTCACGGCGAGATTCGGGACAAGGACCAACATCGATATACCGGACGAGCGTATGAGATGGTGCAGGTCATTATGGTAGACTGGCTGTGGATGCTCTTCCCAACAGGCCTGATCATAATCAGCATCTACTACCTCTTGCACACCATCATCAGAGGCGCTCGCGACGGCATATCGGTGTGGAAAAGCGACTCGTTGCCGATGCTCTTCTGTCGGATTGATGGTTCAATTCTCGCAAAGGTCGGCGATGGCATGGATGTGCCCAACGGACTGGATGTAGCTGTCGGTAATGTCAATGTGTGCTTATTGAGGGAAGATGATGGCGACTGGGTCTTCAAGCCAATCGAGAGCGAGGAGTCGTCTTCTTCGTCGTCGTCGTCCGAATCTGATTCTGACTGAGAGGTATCGTGGCGGTTCTAGTCAGAAGTCAGAATCGGTGGTGGTACGCATTGATACGATACATCATCTCATCCTAAAAGCTCCGTCAATGAACAAGGGCAATTGACGTAAAAGAGTGTCAGTCTGCGAGGTGTGTGTCCTCTCTTTAATTCCGCGTTCTGTGGTCCCTGACATGGCTGGGCGGAAGACCTCCGAAAGCTCGGGGTCTCACCGTTCATGATGACGCTAATGACTCGACCCCAGCCGTCAGTCGGGGAATAGGTTCGTCATGTCTGATTGGTCTGCATCGCCGAGCTCTTGTGGAGTTCTGCGTGAAGTCGCCGCGGCGACTCGGCAGAGGTGGTCGGCAAAGGAGTTCCTTGAAATTGACTGACTCTCATTTGCTATGTCAAATTCAACCCTCCACTTTGCAGTCTCGCAGTCTTCGGCCCCAAGTTCTAGCCCCATGTCCAAGGTAAAGCACTACCTGTTCGGCATGCACTTCGCTGAGAGGGTGAGCGGATTACAGATCATTAGTGTTTGCGCCAAGTCGGCGCAAGAGACGAGTCAGAGTATGAGAATGAGAGAGGGAGGGAGAGAGAGAAAGGACCAATTCCGATCATTCCGATACAGACCCGGCTCCAGGCTTGGATGATAGCTTCCCCTGGTCACAGCTCCGGCCCTGTAGGATACCAACTCAGGCTCGACCTCCGTGTCTTCGTGTCCACCACCATGCCGTCCCCAGACATCTAGCGTCAAAGGATCGTCGACGGCTCCAGACCCCAGAATTTCGACTCCAGAGTTGCCATGCAAGCCTTTCCCCTCTTCCCCACACCCCGCAAAGTGTTCCCGTCTTCCGTCTTCGGTCAAGTCGCTGAGTCCAGGTCTGGGAATCTCAACATTTTCAACTCTTTTTTCGCGTCATCTGGTCCCGTACTCAGTCTCCGTAGACAAGTTTCCCCTCGCTCCAATCCCTTATCTTGCGGATCCCAGTGAAGAATCCTTCTTGCGCGATCCAAAGTCTAGATAATGGCATCTGAGACCACACCTCCCGAAGTCTCCAAGCCCAAGTCGCAAACCAAAGTCCGCAAGCGCGCACCCAAAGCCTGTCTATCATGTCGCGCTCGCAAAGTGAGATGCGACGTGTCTCAGCGAGGTCGCCCATGCATGAACTGCTATCTCGACAGTGAGAATTGTGTAGTAACTGGGCGCGCATCACGGTTGTAAGTAGCTGTGTTCTTGTTCTGCACTGTTGATAATACTAACCCAGCGAACAGTCGAAGAGCGCAACAAAGAGATGGTGTCGACAATGCGGAAGGCGCATATCCGCAGTACGACGCAGAGGCCGGCGAGCAACTTCTTGTCGTAGATCCCATCACAGCAACGAGTGACGACTCTCGGCCAGTTCCCTCAAACGAATCAGACACCCAACCACAAGCCTGCAACCATTCACACGGCGACGACATCACAATACCAACAGCCACCGACCGACCAAAGAGCCCGGTGGTTAATGATAGCCATGCCCAGAATGAGCAACCAAAACCAAGCCGTCACCACGCCAGGCCTTCAGTAGCATCGACGAGCACGTACGAAGCTTTTCCTTCCAATTCTCTGCCCTTGAATAATCAGCCCTTTACGACGCCATACACCGCTGGTCAACAAAATACCATGGGAATAGACGTTACATACTCTTTCTACCCGTTCCTGGCATTGGGCAATCTTCACGGAATCCCACCACAGGATGTGAACTATTTGGAGCTCCAGGGATGTCTTAGGGTGCCGACACGCGCCATACTTGACGAGTTTGTTCAGCAATACTTCCTGCATGTCCACCCACTGCTGCCAATGATCCATGAGGGCGACTTTTGGGATCTCTACTGCGTGAATCCCACCAGTTACGTGCCTGGCGAAAAACTCTCACTGCTCGTCTTCCAGGCAATGCTGTTCGCTTGTTGCAACGTACGTTATCCCCATCCAATCTCACGGCTTTTCAGGGCACAATTCTGACAATCAAATAGTTTGTCTCCCGCCAGACCATCAAGACACTTGGCTTTCCGACCGTTCGAGCCTGTCGCGCCGCTTTCTATAGACGTGCCAAGCTTCTTTACGACCTCGAATCCGAATCGTCTCCCCTCGCAATTTCACAGGCTTCCCTTCTCCTCTCCTTCTGGTCTTCGCCTACCTCCCCGGCATTCCGCAAATCAAACACAGCCTGGCTCTCCATTGCGATTCAAAATGCGAAAATGGTCGAAGCCCATCACTACGCCACGCGCACAGCATCTCCCAAGAAGCGCAACCTCCTGAAGCGTCTTTGGTGGTGCTGTATCATTCGCGATCGAATTGTCGGCCTAGGCCTTCGCCGCAGTCTGCAGATCACGCGGAGTCATTTCACTTTTGATCCGAATGAAAGTCTTGGGTATTCGGACTTGGCTGATGAGATTGAGAGGAGCAGGGTGTATAACCCAGGCACAAAACGGTGCTTGGCTGAGATCTTAGAGCAACTGGTGGAGCTGTGCGTTGTGCTGACCGATATCCTGATCCTGGTTTTCCCGCTAGACGACAGACCGGGTTGGGGCAGAGAGATGCGAGCCGAAGAGCAGGACAAGGTGCGAGTATGTAAAGTTGCGCTACAAAGGTGGTATAAGGGCGTGACGATGCGGTTTCCCATGTTTGGTGGCGGTTCGGTTGCGAGGATGAAGGCACCAGGGAACGAGTTCCAACACGACTCTGTGATATTGTACACCAATTTGATGTACATGTACTATCAGTAAGTTACTGTCGGGATTCGACCTACTGACAATTACTTACATTCGCTCAGCTCCTCGCGAGTGGTTCTCAGTCACCACGAAGTCCTGCACCTCGCCATCACCGCCGCAGCGCCATCTTTCAACGCCATCCCAACCTCCGATCTCATCATCATTGGAGAGAACCGACACGAGCTTCAGGATGCCGCTTCCGGGGTAACGGAGTGTCTCAAGGAACTTATCCATCTTCGTCTCGCACGTTGGCTTCCCATCAGTGCCGTAGCCTGTACCGCTTTGCCGCTGGTTCTGCACATCCTTGATGTGAAGCTATCGGCCTCTTCACGATCCTTCGACCCCAACACGCAATCGGCGCTTAAGCAACATCGCCTCAACATTCTCATAGAAGCCATGAAAACATACCAACCACAATATGACGGCGTCGACTGGGTCAGCGAGACGATTCGACACATTGTTAATCTAGCGCAAATTGAATCGCCAGCACCAGGGGATTCCGCAAACGCAACTCCCGGCGGCGCAGTCATCGCAGACTGGACCGACATCCTTGCCTCCCAGCCAAGCTCCTACCTCCGCCTAGCCCTGACGATGGACCTCTCCCTCAGCAAAGGACGGCTTCCAGAAGACGGAGACTTCCCAGTCAGTCTCCGTGGCCTCTTCACAGGCGGCTTCAATCCGCTCAAGGCGCTCCTCGAACGTAAGAGGAACGAAAGCAGAGACGCCAGCAGGGATACGAGCGGGGGCTTCTCGGAGCCTGCAGAGCACGCCACAGATCGTATGACGGACTTTGACGCCGCAGCAATGAGAGTCAACCTCTTCCGGATGCAGCCGCCCGGCACCGTGACAGCCATCCCGTCAGACGAAGATTCCACCTCGCCGACATCAGCGGGCAGCCACAGCCAGGACAGCGTTACGGACGACACATCACCGCGCACCGGCGCGGAATACCAAAGCAGCTGCGATGTCAACATGGCAGATCGCCCACCGTCGGAGGGCATCGACGGTCTGGCTGCCGAGGTCCTCGCCGCGTTTCCGCTGGATGATCAGTCTGCGAATGTAGCTTCTGGCGACTTTGATGGCATGTACTTTGACGGGATGCCGGGGCACGATGGGCCCGGCGGGTGGATCGAGACGGCGTGGAATGAGCTTACGCAACATTCTGCTGCGCCGGGGTCTGGCGAGGATCGCGGGGATAGGGATACGGCGAGAGTGCTGCTTGATGCGTTGAGGGAAGGGGAGCTGGCGGAGTGTGCTGCTTGAGATTTGTATGAATGTAAGGGTAAAATGATGACTTGACGACTTGATGTACACAGGGAGTGTTAATGCTCACTCTTGTTCTTGCGTAGATAGCTACTGAGCTATCAGAATAATACTTGACGTTTGATTTTCTGCAATTCAGCGGCCTATGCATTCTGACGCATGTGTGCGTTCTCCGGCTTAGATCCGCAACTCTAGTGATTCCCGTTCCCGCGATCTGATGTCTTTCAGTCTCAGATACCTACTTCTACCTCAACACCCTCTGTCACGATACTTGTTTTTGGCAAACACCGACATTGCTCGCAACCCAAACTGACGAAGACTCGAGAATCGCTCAGAGACCCATGTCAGGAAATCATAGTCCGAGGACGCAACGTGGATTGCTCTCCCCCGCACGATGCATCTTTCTTGCACTTGGGGTACATGAACCCCTAGATTCTCCAAGTCCGCTGCATTCACCCTGGCGTGTCGTCTCCCCCGGCCAAGGGTTTCTTTTTAGAATTTAGGTTGGGCGGGGGTGGTCCTGTCGATCTTCGGTCGTCGGCAGAGAACCACGGCGAAGTGGATGTGCCGGCAACATGAGGTTCCGTCTCTTGGTTTGCCGGTGCTGACCGTCAATACCGCGAGATTTTAAATAATGAAGCCGGTCTTCAGTTTAGCATGGACTTGTTGACTTCTACTGCGGTCAAGAAAAAAAACAAATCTGTCTGAGAAAAAAGGGCTGAGGGTTCTTATTGTGGCGATATAACTTGTGGCGATAGGACGAGCGCTGGAGGTGTATCGCGTGTATCGTCAACAACCCAAACATCATTCAGGCTCCGGCTGAATTTCCCATCATGGAATCAAATAGAGTACCTTGACTAGATATTAAATCACTCTGGAAGGGAAAGTGCTGGTTGCTACACCATGTCCCGCTCATGCAGTGACGACCCAGCACCTGTCTCAACATTTGGCAGGTACTATGTATCATCCGCTGCCAACAACCCGTCTCCTTATCACGTAAGAAACAACCGTCTCTTCACATAGCATCCTACGAACCCTACACCATCAAACCATCCGTCAGTCATGTCCTCCACAGGAACTCCATCCCCAGCAAGCACCAAAAGCAAATCAACCAGCCTCCGCACCCTCTGGTCCGGCACCCAATCCACCCTCAAACGCATCCTCTCCTCCCACCTCAGCCTCGGCCTCAGCAACCGCACACCTTCGTCGCTTCTCTCGAGAACAGCCTCGCGGTCCGAGCGGGGCAGCGCCGTTCGCTATATCATCACTTTACCTCCCACGCCCTCGCCCCCGACAAGTACGACTCCAGGATGCCTCTCACTGAACCTGTGTCTACGATGCCGGTGTTGCCGCTTCAATGGGGAGTGTATTATTGCGATTGCGTGTCCGCCTGTGGCTGTGTACCGCGGGGCGGCGGGACGGAAAGTTGACAAGAGGGTTGGGGTTGCGGTTGTGTTGACTATTGTCGGATGGGTTCCTGGAGTGATTTGTAAGGAAAATATGGATGGATGAAGGAGGACCGATCAGGGAGACACGATTTTGCTGACGATGCGAGATAGATGCCCTTCTGAGCGCTCCTAAGAAGCCAACGTCGCCGTATTACTGGCATACGAACGAGAGGTCCAGCTCGGCTGTGGTGAAGCGTCCAAGGAGACGAAAATCGACGATGCCGTCTGAAAGGCAGGTCAAACGGGTCGTGTAAGGTGCCCACTAGGATGTGTCAATACACAGATAGGGAATCTACTCGTCTGACGGAGCTCTTTTTCCAAAAAAGCAATCGCAAGCAGCAGACATTGGGAACGAGCAGTAGGACATGGGAGAGAAGACGAGGCTTGTATTGTTTCAAAGTCTAGTTCCATCATAAATCGCGTTACCCCTATACACCCTGTCTTTTTCTTTTCTTACAAGGTCCTACAGAAGGGTTGGATTTTTTCCTTTTACGTCCAGGCTTTTCTACGAAAAGGTTCCTGACGTGACATTAGATATACATTTTTACATACGCCCGCCTAAATAGGCGACGTACGAGCCCCCCTCCGTTCCGGTATGCGGAATTCCCTCAAGGACCCGCGGACGGCCGAGAGGGGGGGGCTGTGATGTTGATACACGGGTGGCACTTGTGTGCCATGGTTTGGTCACCATATTTCCGGATACAAGAATTCTCCCCCGAAAGTTCGGGGAAGTGTCTTGATCAGTGGCTTATTTGGTGCGCTTGGCCTCCAACTCCTTCTGGTAGTTGGCGCAGAGCTCCTTTCTGTAGATGTTGTTAGTAAAATTCAACCGGAGTAATGTCAAGGGGGGTCAACGTACTGAAGGTGAGGAGGAGCGGCGGCGTAGTGGCTGAACTCCATGCCGAACTCGCCCTTGCCCTGGGTCGCGGCGCGGAGCTGGGAACTGAAGCCGAACATGGCGTTGAGACTGCAGTCGGCAATAAGCGTGAAATCCTCGGTGCCGACCTCGGTGTCGTGGATGGTGGCGTTGCGCTTGTTCATGAGCATGATGATGTTACCCTGGAATTCGTTGGGCGCGGTGATGGTAGTCTTCATGAGGGGCTCGAGGACCTGGCCGCCGGCATCGTCAAAGGCCTTGCGGAAGGCCATTTGCGTGGCGAGGTTGAAGGCGAAATCGGAGGAATCCGTGACGTGGGTGGAGCCGTCGTTGACAATCATCTTTGTGCCGATAACCTTGTGGCCGAGGAGGGGACCCTTATTGGCGGCCTCTTCGAAGCCCTTTGAGCAAGCGGTGAGGTACTTGTCCGGGATGGTGCCGCCGACGACCTGGGTCTCGAAGAAGTTGGCCTCCGGGTCGTCGTGGGGCTCGATCCAGCCGGCGACGCGGGCGTAGTCTCCGGGACCGCCGGATTGTCTGCGGAGGAGGAAGTCGTACTCCGTCTTGCGGGAGACGGTCTCGCGGTAGGCGACGCGGGGCTTTCCGGTCTCGCAGTCGACCTTGTACTCGCGGCGGAGGCGCTCAACGTAAATTTCGAGGTGGAGCTCGCCCATGCCGGAGATGATGGTCTCCTCGGACTCCTCATCGACGTGCAGGCGGAAGGTGGGGTCCTCACGCTGGAAGCGGTTCATGGCCTTGGAGAAGTTGTCGGCGTCGCTGGTGCGCTTGGGCTTGATGGAGAGGGACATGACGGCGTCGGGGACGAACATGGAGGACATAGTGTAGGGGAGGCCACCGTCGGTGAAGGTGTCGCCCGAGGCGCAGTCGACGCCGAAGACGGCGCAGATCTCGCCGGCGCCGACCTCGTTGACGTCCTCCATCTCGTTGGAGTGCATGCGGACGATGCGGGGGATGCGGACCTTCTTGTCGGTGCGGGAGTTGAAGAGGTAGGTGCCCTTGCGGAGCTTGCCCTGGTAGACGCGGATGTAGGTGAGCTGGCCGTAGTTGTTCTCCTCGAGCTTGAAGGCGAGACCGACAAAGGGGAGCGAGTTGTAGGGGACGAGCTTGACGGTGGCCTCGTCGCGCTTCTTGTCGAGGGCCTTGTTCTCGACCTCGGATGGGTTGGGTAGGTAGTCGCAGACGGCGTCCAGAACGGTCTGGATGCCCTTGTCGGCGAGGGCGGAACCCATCATGACGGGGGAGAACTTGAGGGCGATAGTAGAGCGGCGGATGGCGGCCTTGACCTGGGCGTTGGTGGGCGTCTGTTCCTCGAGGTAGAGCTCGGTCATTTCGTCGTCGACGTCGGCGAGCTTCTCGATGAGCTCCTGGCGCTTCTCCTCGACGAGGTCCTTGTAGCCTCCGGGGAGGACGTCGGTGGTGCGGACGACGGTGCCACGGGGGCCCTCAAAGTAGTGTGCCTTTCGCTCAATCAGGTCGATGACGCCCTCGAACTCGTTCTCGGCGCCAATGGGGATCTGGATGGCGGCCGCGGGAATCTTGAGCTTGGTGTTGATCTGCTCGACGGCCTTCCACGGGTTGGCACCCATGCGGTCCATCTTGTTCACAAAACTGATGCGGGGGACGTTGTAGCGCTTCATCTGACGGTCGACGGTGATGGTCTGGGACTGGACGCCGCTGACGGCGCAGAGAATCATGACGGCACCGTCGAGGACGCGGAGTGCGCGCTCGACCTCGATGGTGAAGTCAATATGGCCGGGTGTATCGATAATGTTGATGTGGTAGGTTTCCTCTTTTCCTTCTTCCGTCTTCTTCCAGTCGGCGAAGGTAGCAGCCGACTGGATGGTGATGCCCTTTTCTCTCTCGAGATCCATAGAGTCCATCTTGGCGCCGACAGAGTCCTTGCCGCGGACCTCGTGGATGGCCTTGATGCGACCCGAGTAGAAGAGCACGCGCTCGGTGACGGTCGTCTTTCCGCTGTCAATGTGGGCCGCGATACCAATGTTGCGCACGCGCGACAGGCGCTTGGCCTCCTCGGGGCTCATCTTGGCGGCGACCAGCTCGGGGGTGAGGGTGGAGGCGTTGTCCTGGGCCATCTTGAGGGCCTCAGCGGCGGCGTCCCTGACCATCGGGGTCGTTGAGAAGGCGCGTACGGAGTTCTTCTTCCATGCCGTCGTCGTTGTTGTCGAGGACTGCTTCTTTACGCAGGCGGCGAAGCTGCTAAATTGTCGTGCATCGACTTGAGGCTTCACGCCTGCAAGCAGACCGCCATTCGGCACTCTGACGGCTCGTGGAGCCCTCATCGTGACCAATGTGTGTGCGGACGAAGAGAAGGGGAAGGGGAGGATGGGAATATGCAATGGGGAAAGATATTACAGGAAAAGGGAGCCGGGATCCATTCGGGACAAATGGTCTGATACGGGGCTCATCTTTTTTTTTTTTTTTTTTTTTTTTTTTTTGGCCTTGCTGTCTTCCAATCGCCCAGGCGAAACTTTTTTTTCTTGGTGACCAGCAGCGACAGGGATTCCGATTTCGCGCCGTCGCGGAGGCACGTGTTTTCGTGGATGGGTGGGTCTTCTGCCCGGCAGTGAACGAATCGTGGCATCGGGATTACCTACGCCGGCCGGTTCAACGGGTAATCGCCGGAAGTGGAGGCCGGAGCATGTCCGTGTGCTTTACCTAATACTTGTATATTTATACTAAATCACAATATGAGTAAGTATGTAGAACACCATTGTGATGCTCTAAAGTGAGTTGGGAGGCTTCTGGAGAGTACACATCTTTGCACGATGCAGACTTGGCTGCCCAGGCTTCAGGTCAGGCAAAACGTGGGCCCAGCATTTGGGTTCAATTTGGAGCATCAGACGAGATAGACTCATGAGCGTATTCCGGCCAAAGATGAGCTTCAAGCTTGTTTTTTTGTTGACATTCCTCCAAATCAATAAACGCTATCTTGCGCCCTTGAATGAGATACCCATCTTTTGCAATAACGCCGATACCTTTCCCAAATTGGCCATCCCTCTATCCAACCAAACGCCCTTGTGTTACACACAATCCTCAAATCCAGTGGTCATCCAAAGCTCGATTCTTGTCGAGGTAATCGTACACCTGCTTGTAGTCCTTGCAGACGTGCTTCGCATCCCAACCATCGCTGCCCGTGAACCCCGGGGGGAACGTCGTCTGCGTGCCCTCCAGCGCGACATCGCCAGCGCACATGATGGCCTATTCCAAGCAAGATTAGTTCCCCATCCACCAGACATATCTCGGGGGAGAAATAAAAAGATCACTACTCACCTGTCGCAGATACTCAAAACAATGCTGCAAATGCCAAGGCCCCTCCGCACCCTCCGTGCCCTCGGGAATATGCGAGTGCATATCGACGTTGGCGCTGCCGTTGACGGCCATGCCCGCGTAGCTCTCGAGGATGGCGTACAGGCAGTGCAGCTGGTGCGTCATCGAGGTCGTGAAGACGGTGCGCGGGGCGAACTCGGGTAACGGCACGGGGAGGTTGTCGTGGGCCTTTGGGTCCTTGACCTCGAGGTAGCCCAAGCCCTTGGGCACGATGGAGAGCCACTGCTCCTGGAGGGTTGCGTTTGTGAAGAGGGTTTTTGGGTCGTCGGGGACGAAGTCTGTTGTTGGGTGGAAGGTTGTGATTTGCTGGGAGACTGTTGCACACTGTTAGTTGTGGTCTATTTTGTGGGTAGCAGTGAGTAAGTGATGGAAGATGTATTGGCGTACATTTAGGTGCGAATCCTGTGAGGTCGCCGACGGGCTCGAGACGCTTGTCTGGTGTGCTTGTTGTTTGCAGGCCCCTTCGCTCGAGGAGCAAGCCAACGATGACTACGAGGAGAAAGGTATCGAGCAGCCAGCGCCATCGGCGGAAGAGGTTCCGGGTCTTGGCGCATCGACTCGCTCGTGATGATGGTGAGCATCTGCCATCTTCAATATCTGCCCGCTTCCACGGCTTGCCCTCGTCGCTGAGGAGCGACACACTAACGTCGGTCATGGCATCGTCGGTGATGTCTGCCTCTCGACGGGCGTCGGAGTAGGGTGCATTGCTGGGTTTCATGGCGCCAGCTCTGGTTATCGGGGACTATGTGACGAGAAAGGGAATTATGTGAACTATTCAAACGAGTAGGTGGCAGATAGATATGATATTCCTGATGACTTGGAGTTCGCAAGCCAAAGAAGTACAGAATCTGACCAGCAGAATGTCACGTCTCCGAGTGCCTCAGCCTACGTTGCTAACTATGGGAAGGGGGCGACTGTGCGACCTCACCCGCCGCCCTTGCATTCTGTGTTTTGAAACACCACACATCTGGGAGCCCTGGGCTGATGTCGACGAGGGCGGCGGCGCATGCCTCGTTGAGTGGTTGCGCGGCGCGTTGGATGATTTGAAAGGAGCTCCGACACTTTGTGTATGAGGTGAGCGGAGCGCGGGAGGATGTTTGGGACCGTGCAGGGCTGCAGGCTGCGTCAATCGTCAGTTGGAGTGGTCGGGGTCGGTATTGTTCATTGGTGGTTATTCGTATCGCGCATTCATTTTCTTTGATTGTTTTTGTCACTTTGAAAACTTGAAGCTGTATTGAAAGAGAGATTTCGGTGTGCAAATGGGATGCCGCCAAGGTTTCTACGAATTGACCACTCTTGACCCCTTTTGGTGAGAGTTTCTGTCAACACCGGCAAACATTTCAATCAGCCAAACTCAGCCTTACATCGCACGACTAATTATTTCTACCATTCCTGGGGGCAGATATCTAGAGTATTGATTGCTGAAAGAATACGCACAGCGTTTGAAGGGACTTTGGAGTTTTTGTGACTGAGTTTCATCTGCAATGTTGTATGAGAATGCATTCAGAGACCAATACTGTATACCCAGAGGTTTCTCTCAAACTGGCGGCAATTGACAAAGTTCGTCGACACCATTCAAGGGGGGTAGAGGGCAAGGTAACAAAACGAAAGACGGGCAAAAGATGCATCATTACATCGAGTAAAAATGGCAAAATGATAACTGTGAGATTCGAACTCACGCCTCTTGCGAGACCAGAATGCTCATCCGTTGGACGGATGAAGCTTTTGAAGCTTGAGTCTGGCGCCTTAGACCGCTCGGCCAAGTTACCTGTTGATGATTCGGCGGGCTGAAATGTCAAATATGTAGCTAGAGCCACCGCTGTGGCTGCTTGTTGCTTTCTGTGTGCGGCGCAAAAGCTTAGCCGCTAATAAGCCGCTCGCAGAAATAAGCTCTTGTTTGACTTTCGGGATCGACAAACTTTCATCCAAACCATTACCATTACCGCGTGATTCACATCATCTTCCCATCACGGAAAGCGACTTTCACTAAATGTCTGAATATGTAAGCCTTTCTTCACTAAGCCCAAAACCTGATGCTGACCGCCCTTATCTCGGATCTAAATTCGATCCTAGAATGAAGATATCGGAGTGGATCACCGGCCTCGGCGATCGCGCAAGCGCCGAGATGGATCAAGGAAAAAAATGTCTGACCCTGACTCTCGAATCTGACAGGAATCGGGCCGCTATCGTCGTTGACCAAAATCATTCCACATTCCTCTTGGTATCGACGTATCGTGGGCTCGTGGAGCACAGAGCCCCCCGGTGGGATTCAGAACAGCGGAGACGGCTCCAGAGCGGGAGTTGATGTCGGCAATCTCATTCTTTCTCTGTTGTTGCGAATTGCATCTCTTGATGCTTTTGCATTCTTCGAATATCCTTTCTGGGCTATTGTTTAGTAGGTCTAGACGAACATGTTGCTTCTCATATCGGTGACAACACCATCATTCACCAGACACTCCCGTCCAGCGACGAGTCTATACCATCTTAGAACATCAACGCCATGCACAACTACCGCATCCTTGGACTCCAATGACCTTACCGGCGTCAACATGAACAGCAAAGCAATGCTTGATGAGCTGTCCCACAACAAGCGCCCTGCCGCCAACTAGCAGTCTAGTGTTGGCCGGGCTCATCCGTTCGGCACCACGCGCCGATTCCACCCACCACCACTTCCCGCCTGCCTGCCGCCCTATCGGGATCCCAGTGGCGGCGGAGCCCTTCGAGAATCCTTTTTTTCCTCTGCATGGAAGCCTTCTCCTTTTTTCCTGTCGGCACCCTTCCACTCTGGACCCAACACCAAGGATGGTGTACGAAAGAGTGGACCTCGGTGGTGCAATGAGCGGTCTCCATTTTCAGCCTCTTTCGAGCCAAGTTTATATCCGGTCAAGGGGTCTGGTCTGGTCTGACTATGGTCTAGTCCACTTGTGACTGTCCGCCACGCATCTTTCGCATTCACTCTTTTACTCCTTTTGCCGTCACTGCTACCCGATGGGATTTTTGTTTCATACCGCATGGTTTCTTCCTTCTTGGTACTGCTTGTTCTATATTTGAGTTTCTCGGCTTGGAACGACCATAAGGCCATCTTCGGCGATTTCCCACCATCCATGATCGCTTGATGCAAGGGCTTACATTCATACTTAATGTCTAATCTATCCTGAAAGACGCTCTCCTTCACACTCGTGTCGCAATAGCGCGCCGTAACTTGCAGAACCAAGATCGCCACCCAACGTTGCAACAACAAGTCGGTCCGCCAAGAAGTTCCTGAGCAACCTCTTTCATCGAACCAGGGATATCAAGCAAGATATACCTACCTATCTGAACAGCAACAAACAAAACAGACACAATACAGATCACGCCCACAATGACTGTCCGAGACACAGACACCACGGCCGAAAAGTCCGGCTCCGGCCCGGACCTTCGCTCAACAACCCCCTCCGAAACGACCCTCTCACCGGCCACCCCTTCCGACCCGGAACCCCAAGCAACCCTCGCAGCCGGCGCCGAACCCCGAACAACATCCACCCCGGGCCCCGTCCCAGACGGCGGCCTCGAAGCCTGGATCCAGGTCCTCGGCTCCTGGGTCATCCTCGCCGACACCTGGGGCCTCGTAAACACATTCGGCGTCTACCAGACCTACTACGAACGCACCCTCCCCGGCGTCACCCCCTCCGCCATCTCCTGGATCGGGTCCCTCCAGGGCGCCCTCCTCATGATGGTCGGCCCCATCTCTGGTCCCTTGTACGACGCAGGCTACTTCCGCGAGCTCCTCTGGGCGGGCATCACCCTCATCATCCTCGGCATGTTCATGACCTCCCTCTGCACAACCTACTGGCAAGTCCTCCTCGCCCAGGGCGTATGCGTAGGTCTAGGCTGCGGCCTCGTCTTCCTCCCCTCCACCGCGATCCTGAGCCAATACTTCCACCGCCGCCGCGCCCTCGTCATCGGTCTCGCGGCGACGGGGTCCCCGATCGCGGGAATGTGCTTCCCTATCCTCTTTGGCCACCTCGAGCCCCGCATCGGCTTCGGATGGGCCACGCGCATCATGGCCTTCATTCTCTTGGGGTTGTCCGTCATCCCCGCCGTGAGCATGCACACGCGCCTCCCGCCGTCAGGCCACAAGCGCTCCCTCGTCGACCGCACCGCGCTGCGCGACCCGGCCTTCATGCTCGTCATGGCGGGCTCGTTCGTCGGCTTCCTGGCCATGTACGTGCCGTACTTTTACATCCAGCTCTTCGCCGTCAGCCACGACATCGGCCCCGCAAACTTTTCGTCATACTTCGTCACGCTGCTCAGCGCGGGGAGCATCCCGGGCCGCGTGATCCCGAATTACCTCGCAGACAAGGTCGGCGCGTTGTACATGCAAATCTCCGTCGCCGCGGGCTCAGCCGTGCTCATGTTTGCGTGGCTCGGCATCCGCAACATGGCGGGTCTGGTGGTGTTTGCGATCCTGTACGGCTTGTTCTCCGGAGGCATGGTGAGCATTTCGCCGACGGTGATTGTGAGCTTGTCGCCTGACCTCGGGCGCGTCGGCACGCGCATGGGCATGATTAACTTTGTGGCGGGTATCGCCATCTTGATCGGTACGCCGATTGCCGGTGCCATCTTGGGTGACTATAGCGGTGTTGCGTGGCAGTCCATGATCGGGTATGGAGCGGCGGCGTTGACGGTTGGGTCAATGGTGCTTACTGCGGCAAAGATCTTTCAGTTGAAGGGGGAGAGGAGGGATATGAAAGCTTGAGAGTCGTTGGTAACGGTTGACGATGTATAGATGGATAGATTTCTTGCAGTTAGACTATATACCCCTTTGCGAATAGATGAGATTTATTTACTCGATACTCACCTCATCCACCACCATCCACCAACCGCCACCGCAACGCTCCCAAACACCACAAACCACCTCACCAACCCCTTGATAACCTGCTCCTTCGCAAACGCATCAATCGCATCCCCATCATTCACCCTCGGGAACGGCACCCCAGGCACCGGCCTCCCCAACGCCTCACACAACGGCCCCCACCCGTCCTTAACATCATAAAACACCAACCTCTCTTTGTCTACAACCCTCCTCACCCAAGCCTGATGCAACTCCCACACCCGTCGCGTAGGCAGCACCCCGTCCCCTTCTTCTTCCGGGGGGAACAACTCCCCCCACCGCCCATTGGGAATAGCATCGATATACCGCGGAAACCACCTCATCGTAGGCAGCCAAAACAGCGCAAACGACAGGAAAACCTGCAGGCTCCGCTCCCCCGTCTGCCGAATACTCCGCACCCACGCCTCCGCATCGCGAACGGTGCAAATGACCACCGCGTCGGGGTGCAGCGCCGCGAGTTCCTCGGTGAAGAGCATCCCGGGGACGTCGACGACCGCCGCGTAGCCGTCTTGGAAGTGTGCGGTCAGGGTATCGAGGACGACTTTCTCGTCGGCTGCGGTGCGGATGGGCGTGTGGGAGAGGCAGGTGATCCAGGAGCGGATTTCGGACTCCGGGCCGCGGGTGAGTTGGGTGCCGCCGTGGTGGACGGGGACACCGGCCCCGTCGTCGTCGGAGAGGAGGATTTCGAGGGCTTTGGCGAGAGAGGCGGTTCCGGTGCGGGGGAGGCCTGCGCCGATTACTTGGAGGCGGGTGCCGGGTTTCGGTTTGGAGGCTTCTTGGCCCATGGTTGGAGGTCTCGTGATTCACCTGATGTTTCTGGAAATCTGGTGTTGGTGTAGTCTCTTGGTAGTAGGCTACTCACTTCATGATCGAAAAGTGAAAAGGAGAACAAGAGAAGGAAAGTCATCAGATTCACTTCAACGCATTATGTGAGGAGAGGGAATAATCAGCTGGACTGACTGCATGCAGATTTCTGTGCTGATGTCAGACCTGTCATTGTCAAGCTCGTTGCCAAAAGAGGAAATATCAAGTATAGACCTAGTCGTCAGCTCCGTTGACAGCCACCACCAAACACTGGTTTGATGTAGAAAGCAATTGATGGCGTTTCTTGGTAGACGACTTGGCTCGAGCCAAAGAGCTGGGCAGGCTGACGAGGATGTAAGAGGCCTGCAAGTCTGCTGGTTGCTTCATCACATCATGTTGGCCATTGCTGCTGTCCATGCTCAGGGCGCCTGAGGAATCTGCAATTGGCAGAAGATAATGTTGACTTTCTTTGTGGGTGTCAAGGGTAGAGAGATTAGAGAGACATTAAGACGGGGTACTGTATCGGGATAAAGGCTGCTCGATATCTCTCCTTCAGTTAACCTTCGTCTTCAACGAATGTATGGTATCGCTCCAATGGCTGCTTCAGTGACAACTAGTCTTGCGATGAAGTAAATGATTTTGAACGGTCCTTCGCATTCTGGAGCGCCCTTTCCAGCCGAGGGTGGGGCGTGAAAAGCGTAGTCTACTCAGGTTCAGTCTACTAAGAGATGGATAAGTAAAGAATGGCGAAGGAAAAAAAGATGGAAGTAGCTCGAAAAGCCAGCAGCGATGGAAGACATCTTATCCGCCGTAACGTCATGAACATGGAAACCTCCCTCGTTCTCGCACCGCTGGGGCTGATGCTCCACCCTCAAGTCATGGCCCGAGAACGAGAACGACAAGCAGATTCCATTTGCCTGGTATTACCACCAAGACACGCGGATGACAAACTGCTCAACGCCAAGTCCAAGCTTCCAATCGATATTCAAAGGGTGTCACCTTGCTCACCTCTGAAGAAAATGATTCATGATAGAGCTCCAGCGTTGGAACCTCGTCCTGCAGCTGTATGGAGCTCCTTTCCTAGCGGGGACGGTAGGGCGTTGGGAACATGCAGCTGCCAGCGAGTAGTATGCAGCTCCACCCTATCAATTCGGCGGAGACGGTCTTGTTGCCCCGTATATTGATGTGTGGTGCTGATTCAGCCTTGGATCATGGCTTGGGCGGCAGCTTAGCAACGCTTACTTTGTCGTTCTGTGGCTTCTTATTCCCGCGCGCGAACAGATTCGCAGTGTGAATAGTGACAGGTGCCAGCTGCTGGCCGTGACTAAAGGTGGAATGTACTCCGTACTCCGTACAGGTATTGTTGTACCTTTGGCCCGTGCTTTCTGCAGCCAGCTCCGACCGATCTCTCGAATTTCGATCCTCAATCTGTCGGCTCCGTCACCCGTGGGCATAGCCGTGGCCGTACCTGTCAGCTTCGTGGGGGACGGCGGTGGCTCATTTGTCAGGTACTACTAATCTCGTCCAGTGAGGTATCCGTACCTTGGCTAAGCCAGTACGTACACATCTATACTACGCATCGGCTGATGAGGTCGAGATGAGTCTAGTCTCCCTTCACCGTCTCTCGATCTACCACCTAGATGAGCACATTGCACCTTGTTGTCGCCCGTGTTGCTTGATAGAACAATTCTACGGGATTACAAACTCGACGAGCCGCTCGGGTGGTTTCCACTTGATCGAGGCATTCAGCGCGCGCGCGAGTTGGTCATCACCAGAGCATGATGCTATTTCTGATGGCGGCAGGCCTTGGATCCGAGGCTCCTCCGCTCTTAATCCGTGATCCGAGAACCTCTAATTCCATCTGTACTCCCCGTTACCAAGCTTACCTTACAGCTCTCCCCGATGACCAGGGCTTAGGAGCTTGCTCCGTAGGCTAGCAAACAAGTGCCGTTCTGTCATGGCGTAACGACTTTTGGTATCCATAGCTTATCGAGCTTGTGGGAAGGGATTGCCCGTGTATTTGGTAAGGCTTATGATAGCTTGAGCTGGGGTTGTTAAGCACTTATTCAGCACCCACACACCAACACTTTTCGTCACTTTCTCTCTCCGGCCCGCCCTGACCGTTTGCGAACTCCTGGCCGTGGTCTCCCCGGCTGTCACTACCTTACGTAGGTAGTATTGGATGCTGTGCAGATGAAGCAAGGTAAGGTGGTAAGGTAAGTAAGGTAGCTTGACAGGGCTCGGATGGGGTAACGTACGTAGGTTACTGTCACTACCTTACTGCAAACAGTCTACGGACGGTCGTTGGGGTGTTCTTCGGGACCATCACACCCCAACGCCAAAACAAACCATGATCTTGAAGAGCCCGTCGCATTCCATCTCGCCCGCACCCGTTTGATGCTTAATCGGTCCTTCCGTCCGTTGACCGAACCTACGATGCCGTCGTCAAACTCGCCAACTGAACTCATCTTAGGGTGCCTACTAGCAAGCAGCCTGAAAGATGAAGGAAGTACCTTAAGTAAGGTACTTGTCACGATGATACCTGAGGTACGGGCAACGGAAACGACATGAACCCCCTCCCCTGCCCCTCGGTGGAGCACAGACCCGCAGAGAGGGGCAGACACCAGCGGTACGTACAACTCTACCTTAGCTCCCCACCTCATGCAGCTCCAGGTACCTCGTCCTCACCACCACATCTCCTCCACCTCTTCCAACTGCGTCCGTCGTCTTGCTGACTTCACCTTACATGAGCAGCCATGGCAGCATATCTCTCGTGTACGGATAGTCTCAATGGCTCTACTGTAGCTAATGCCCACTAGACCGATGAGCCTGATGAAACCGCATCCCAAGGATACCCGACTGGCCCAGCCCAGCCCCATTCCGCATTCCTCTCTCTCTTCCCTCTTCCGAGTCCCATCGAGTCTTTCCAGTGGCTTTGCCCAGCCTAGCGTGCCATTGATGATGCAAGACGCCCGTCTCAGTCCCCTCTCTTTCCCATCTTTCCCATCTTTGCCTGTCACCTTGTCTCTGTCTCGTATGCTCGGCGGGGGTTGCGCGCGCCTGTTCATGTTGATATAAGACCACGACCTCCCCCTCTTGTTGTTTCGCTATCTACACCCATCATCTCTTTATTGAGCACCAATTCACTCTTCCTTTCCCTCATCTCCATACAAGACATCAATCCGTCACAATGGCTCCCAAGATTGCCATCGTCTACGTAAGTCCACTATTTACTACAACCTAGCACTTCTTTCCTAATCGGGTAATTTCTTGTCACTTCCCCCTACCCCACATCACCTTACTTCACTTTACCTCACTCTCCCAACACACACCGCAATCTCAACCATTGAGTGCCCCAATGCCTCTGGGAATCTGGGTTCATCATCTCAGAGACACAACGAAGATGATGATACACACGTTCCCACTACATTCGGTTGCGCGGCTTCTTCTGCCGACGCCGTTAATGACACCATTATACGGCCGGTTCGCCCGCACGAGAGCGCCCTGAACCAACCCCACCTTACACCTCACATCGCTTCCCCAACCCCAAAATCCCGAAGAATAGCCCCCTGCCATTATGACCGTCCTGCTAACACCACGATCTTCCAGTACTCCATGTACGGCCACATCCGCCAATTGGCCGAGGCCGAGAAGAAGGGCATCGAGAAGGCCGGCGGCACCGCCGACCTCTTCCAGTACGTCTTTCCCACCCACACCTCACCGAACGACACACCTTGCCCGTACACACATACAAACCACCAGCATGCCCTAATTAACACACAACAGAGTCGCAGAGACCCTCCCCGAAGAAGTCCTCACCAAGATGGGCGCGCCCCCAAAAGCAACAGACGTCCCCGTCCTCGACGACCCCGCCACCCTCGAATCCTACGACGCCTTCCTCCTCGGCATCCCAACCCGCTACGGCAACTTCCCCGCCCAGTGGAAGGCCTTCTGGGACAAGTCCGGAAAGCAGTGGTCCACGGGCGGCTACTGGGGCAAGCTCGCCGGCCTCTTCATCTCCACCGCCTCCCTCGGCGGCGGCCAGGAGTCCACCGCCATCGCCGCCATGTCGACCTTCGCCCACCACGGCATCATCTATGTCCCCTTCGGCTATGCCAAGGCCTTCCCGCTCATGGCGGACTTGTCTGAAGTCCACGGCGGTGGCCCCTGGGGCGCGGGTACTTTCGCGGGCGCTGATGGATCCCGTCAGCCTTCGGCGAAGGAGTTGGAGATTGCCAAGATCCAGGGCGAGGCATTCTACCAGACTGTCGCCAAGCACGTCGGTTGACTGCATGGCAGCGAGAGCGGTGGTGCTACCGCCGTTGCGGACGGGGTGAACGGGTCCGAGAAGCCGGCTGCGGCGAAAGCGGACCCCGCGGTTCCGGTAGCAAAGGAGCCGGCCCCGGCGACGGAGACCCGAAAGGCCCCTCAGGAATTGGACGACAAGGACGTCAAGGCCGGTCCGTGCGGTCTGCCTAGCAAATGTGTCGTGCAATGAAAGGATGGGGGGGTTGTTTTTGACATGATGCCGTTGAAAATTTACTGAAAAAAAAGATAATAATGATACCTCACTTACTACTGATATATCTCAATCCGTTCCGATGAAGTTGACCCACTACCTTGGCTGCCCTCCTTAATCGACAAATCTTGACCAATCTCTACTGGTATTGTAATGGCCGAAAATCCCTTCCAATCATGCCTACTCAGGTGGATTGATTCAATGGAGAACCGGGGAGCTCCCCAGACTAACAAAACTGAGTTCAGATCAAAGCTTACTGCAGTCTGCCGTAGAGCGCGATACGGGATGGAATACTTGAAGGTCTGGGCTCAAAAAGAACTACTGACAAACCATCTTGCAGACCACCCATCCATTCTCACACTTTTTAATCCCTCAGGTAATTTGAGGGTGTGAAAACGCCCAACTGACAAGCTGCAGCAGTACACTCTCGTGAGACCAGGCGTTCGTGATAAGATTTGGTCAGACCCCTGAAAAAGCCTCCACAATGATGACTGCTCTGCGTTTCGTCGGCTACATCTGTAATATCAATTCTACCGAACCATTTCTTCAGCTGCAGAGGGATTGAGTTCACAATCTCAGCGATCCAGTGCGTCTTGGTATCCCTGTCAGAAGAGGATGGGCTATGGGACACTCGCAGATCGGCTGGAATACCACGAATCTTCAATCCATCTAGCTTCACTATGATTGGCAGAGCGCTTGTATGGCATCAGACATTTTCACTAACAACACAGACATGCAAGACAACCACTTATTGAAACGACTTTCCCGTGTTGACCGATCTACTGTAAATAACGCCAGTGACCATGCACATTTTCGCCCCGTGCAGTACGCTCCCTATCAAGCCAGCAATAACAAAGTAATGTTTACATATCCCACTTAGTGTCTGCCACCAAAGACAACATTCTTGCTGTCGTGGACGTTGATCATGGTGTACTCGGCAAGGAGCGGGTCCTTGTTGCCCAAGTTCAGGGTGACGGCGAGCAGGTTGGGCTCGGTCCAGGTAGGGCGGAGACCACGGGACTCAAGACGCTCCCACCAGTCGAGGAAGTTAGAAGCAGTCATGCCGTTGAAGAAGTGAATCTCAATCATGAGCTGACCAACGGGGAGCTCCTCGCCGGCGCGGATGGGGAAGTCCTCGCCGAAACCGTCCATGGCCTCGAACTCGGCAAACTCGATGTCCATCTTCAAGATGTCACTGCTGTGGTATTAGTGGATGATCGTTGTTACTTCAGCGTGAATGGAACGTACATGTACTCGTGGCCGTTCATCTTCATCAGGTCGGCAATGCTGTAGAAGGGGGGCGTCTTGGTCTTATCCGTCTTGCCAGAGATACCGGCCTGGAGGAAGTGGGCTCTGGCACGGTTGCCGGGCTCGAGTTGCTCACCAAAGTCGACGACGGAGAAATCGTAGGCCCAGACAACACAGTTGGTGCGGCTCAGCATCTCGTTCTCTGGAGGTACGTCATCAGTGATTGTTCAAACAAAGAGCTCAACAGGTGTTTGCCATATTGCATGCAAGGGACCTTACCAAAGCTGGACTCATCACGGACACCGAAGGAGTAGATGACACACTCGCGGTCTCTGGGGAAGTTGACATATCTCGACATGCCACACACCCACTTGCCGCCGTCTCCCATACGTCCGACGCGCTCCATTTCGTGAGGGCAGCTGTACGAGGCCGGGGCAAAGTCCCAGACGGAGTAAGGGTGCTTTCCGTAGGCCGCGGGGTCGGTGGCAGGGAACCTGATGGGAATATGGGTTAGCCATGTGATCTACGACGGTGTCGGCATCGAACCCCCATCTAGTGGATATGGAGAGTGAGGCGGCAAGGAAATGGAGATGGCTTACAAGGGCATCAACGAGGCATCACCGTAGTCCTCAGCAATCATGTCGTGACGCTGCTTAACAGTCTTGGCCCAAATGGACTCGGCAGTGGCCATGAACTCCTTCATGGTGTTGCGACCGCCATCGTTGTTCACGAGGGCGCCAACCTTGTTGCTGGCCCATTCCTTGGCCTTATCAGGGCTACCAAGGGAGTGCAGCAGAGCGAGGGTGAAGAGCAGACCGGCGGCGAGCCATAGCATCTGCACCATGCGCTTGGAGCCTGCAGCGAGGGCCATGTTTGCTATCAGGAGGTTTGGTTTCGTGACTGGGGTTTTGGAGATTTGTCGGAAATCCGAGTGTATAAGTCGATTCGCGGAGGCACAGCTGTCACTCTGGCGGAAGTGGACAGAATCGACACGTAATCGAGGGGTACAGTATCGATGAAGGAACGACGATGGGCGTCACGGAGAAAGGTGAATGAGAAGAACAAGAACCGCAATCAGCGCTGGTCAGCAGCCGGCGCGGGGAGAAGGGCAAGCCACGGGCGGACGAAGTGGACTTGCGCAGATCTCTCGAATGGTGCCAAGAGAGCGACTGGAAGAAGAAGAGTGAGGAGGCCAAGGAGATAAAGGGAAAGGAGACGAGTCACGCCAAGGATGGATGAAAACGTCAGGACGAGGACGAGGCGAGAGAAGGAAAAAGAGGAAGCTTGTAGACGACTACTTAAGGTTCCTTGGACTGGGCAGTCGTCGGTCGTCGTTTGATGGGGACAGAGGGACCGGAGCATTGTGTGAATGGAAGGGGAGGGGGGTGGTGGCCAGGTTCCTCCCTCGAGACTTCCAGACCCTTGCGGATCTCGAGATTCAAAGGCGGAAGGAAGGCGAGACCAGGAAGTCACCAAGGTACGAGACTGCACTTGCACTTGCACTTGCACTTGCCTGCACTGCGTGACTGCCACGCTTGCCCTGAGTGACTTCCCATGATGATCCAGCACGTTGAGTGTGGCATTCTCGAGGCAGGAACGGGCAGGAACGGGCAGGGAGCCAAGGCGTGTGTCTCTGCCTCCCTTCCTTGCGACTTACGAGGGGTTTGGGTTCATACCTGGGAGAGGGAAGGAGCTACATTGTTCGTTCATTCCTTGGGTGCCATTGGAAAGAACTTTGAAATGTGGAAGAGATGGATGGCACTTGAGAAGGTACCTCAGGAACAGGCTAGAAAAGATGGCAAGTGCCACAGATGTGCGCCTCCCCAGAAGCCAAAGTGCATCTTGTTGGCTTGTACAGTAGGTAGGTACGAAGTACCTTTTCTCGCCTTGTAGCTGTGGAGGCACTCGAGGGCATACTTCTTGTTGTGTCCGAGATAGATTTAGTACTGCACCGAAACATGTCGTGTTTGGCGTCGAGAGTGGGGATACCCAGCCAAGCCCAGAGTATCCAACTGATTGACTAGCCTCCAAATGGCCGATGCACTTGGGAAGGAGGCATCTTATTCTTGGCTGCTACCATTCGAATGGCCAAGGGCAGGTGCCGACTGGCAGCTGCATGGATGGGAAAGTGCCGTTCTGTCGGGTGCACGTGACGCAGTTCGGTCAATTGAGGGACGCCGACTGCATTTAGAGTTCAAAAGCTGGGACGGGGAAGCACGAAGGCAGCATCGAGCAGTGGAGGTTGATGTGCGGGATACCGGGGAACAGGAGAAGGTGGGCGATCAATTGTCATCCAATACTCCGTACCGAAGTATCAGGCGCTTTCTTTCTCTCTTTCTTTCCCCTCGGTACGAAGTTACGGATCTCTACCAGTCTGCCTCAACCTCTAAAGTGTCCTCTTCCGTAGTCGCAAAGCTGAGCCGACGAGAAAATGCATTTTTATTCTCCTGCATTAGAATGGCATTCAGGTCCGACGGTGGCGTCCAATAAAGCCTCGCTATTGCTCGTGATACAATCATGTCAGATTGTCCAGTCCTGTCAGTCCTCCGCAAGACACCTTTTACCCCTAATTCAAAGGGAAGCTAACTTTGGCTAACGACCAACAGCTGAAAAATGTCGAGACGCGCTAACTTGATAACCTTCATTCCCGTCCTCCCGCGCCGTCTGTTCCACTGCTTGCTCCCACCAACTCCTCACCATGTGGCGCTCTTATCCTGGGTATCATTGCTTTTTCGAAGTCCTTCTCCACCTTTGCCTCCTCCTCAATCCACAACACCACCAGCAGTTCGCAGCCCTAGCTTCCAGCAGCCCTTCCAAGTTCCGAGTATCGACAGCAGCAATGGCGGATGCCCCTACTCCGTATTCGAGATCCTTGCAGCCACGCGCGTCCCCTCTGCCGTCTTCACTGACTAGATAGACAGACCCTTGGCTCGGCTCTGCTTTCTCAATTGACGGGGAACGATATCACCAGATGAGGCCCACTTCTGGATTGTGTCTTCATTTCCCTTTTCCCTTTGCACAATCACACCGACTTCAAACCCCCCTCTTGAAAAGGTTTGTCTGCGAGCCGAAAAACGGGTTGGGCTGATACGACGACCGGTAGTTGCCCATCTCTGTGCTGTCGCCTATCTTCCCGTCTGAAAAGTCGCAGGGCGCTACTTTGATATCGCCGCGCATGATTTCCACCATGGACACAAGGGGGAACAGCAGCACGAGAAGCGATAGCAGCTGGCCGAAACCCCAACCTCTCTCGCCCTGATCGCTCAGCTCGTACGAAGGGCCATTGCCAAAGGCATCAGAAGCAATGATGCATCGAACCGCGGCGCCAACGGCCGACGCTGCCATAAGAAGGATGCCGATCATTTTGATTATGTTGATGAACTTTTGCGTCCGCAGGTGGAGGTACCAGCTTGCCAGAGCAAAGACGAGAGCGTTCGCGATGATGACAACAATGGTGCCGACGTAGCTGATCCCTTGTTGGTTTCCTTTTCCCTCGTCGCCGACCACCCACACGCAGGCGACGGGCAGCTTGGATTCCTGCATACCCTTTGATACGCCTTGCAGGATGAAGACGCCATACACGACGTTCAGCGTTAGATTGACAAACATGAGGAATTGGCGGAGCCATCGCAATACCCAATCTCGGCGGAAATCGTGGACCAGAGCGAGAAGTGTCGCATTGTGGACGGCCATGGAGAGATTCGAGAGCATCCAAATGATGAAGAAGTGATAAGGGACCATGACGTTGATCCTGGCGAGCCCGACACACGCGATTCCGATGCCCTGGAGGATCTGCTGATCTGAATAACTGTTGAGAAGTTTCCGGCGAATGTTTGACGGGTTTCCCTTCATCTCTTGGAAGATGATGGAGGAACTGATGATGAGAGCGAGGCCGGCGGTGATGATGAAGGAGAGGAGCACGCCTCGGCCGGCCACGCCGGCATCGCTGGCAACTGGGGCATTGTCTGCGACGGTGCAATTCGGACTGTCAAAGACGGACATTTCGGTGGTGGAATCGAAGAATTTCGTCGGAGCTGTCGTCTTTTCCGAGAAGATATGCGGAGTCGAGCAATACTGGGTTTAAGGGGGTGAGACTGAAGGGGAGTCTCGATTGATAAGGCTCAGTGAGTGAAGCCGCCACGCGAATATCGGCTGTGGGCAGTATTGACTGGCCCGGTCAGTCAAGTTCGCGATTTGATCTGCTTCGACAGTTCGACTCGAACCAAGTTCAAATTTGCAGATCAGATCCTGATGGGAACGTCTGACTGCATATATGCGCAGGATGAGCCAGGAACTTCGCCCTTCTCCTTTTTTTCCCTTCTCTTCTCCCAATGGAAATGACGTACCACTAAGCGCTGCCCCTGTCGTCTGAAACGGCCCTCCGCTGGGGAAGACCCTTGAAGCCGATGGACAAGTGGCTCTCAGCGTCCGCCGTCATCTTGTGGGCAGCGTTGGTCGCTGTGGCTGTGCCCCACCATTCGACCCCCGGCCCCGGGAGAGAGGGCGCCAACGCCCTGCAGATCGCCCCGCGATCCTCGGCTGCCACCCGCTGCATGTCCCTTGGAGGTGAGCTCGTACGTATGTTTTGCTCCGTATCGCACTAATTCATCTACACAGTCGTGGCAGTATTTTTACCCACTCATTTATTTCGTATGCTCAAAATTGAATATGGAGAAGCAGGCAAGCAAGTGGACCTGCTTTGTAGAGCATATTATATCCGAAGTTGATGATCAGACGCTTCCACTAAGCCAAAGGCCCGTGGTGAAGGCTATGTGCTGATTGGTCCAGAGTCACCGATAAGTGGATATATACCCTGGGTAGTAAACCCCGTTCGCTAAGGCTCAGACTACTGTGTACCTAAAGTAAGGAACTTCAGGCACTGACTCCGTTGCCGCTCATCACTACCCATCGCGAATGAGTGGACCGCTTTTCGATGAGGGTCATTGAGGTAGAAGGATGCTGTCAACAGCGCTCAGTAACCCTCTTACGGCGTTGAAGATGGACGGTTGGGTAGTATGTACCATCACTGCCTGAGGGTTTCCCAGCAAGGTGTGAGCTTTTGGAGATACGTCGGATGCTGGAGGTTGAGGCGAGGATAGAGATGGATGGAAAGGTAGTGTTGAGGATGATGAACGTTGATTTGTCATTGGCTGATATGTAGTTCCCTTCTTTGGTATCTTTAGACTTGAACAGTTGATTCAGTAGAAACGGGACAGATTAACTTGGACCTGGTATAGAAACATCTCTTCCGACCCCATTGGCACCCTATAATGCCTTTGCTACGCGGGTCAGTATCAAGGAGCTCCATATCGGCTCCGACAAAACGATGGGTTCTCAGCCGACGATTCGTCAGTAGTACGTTATCAAAAGCATGCCTGCGACTCATTGGATATTGTTGTTCTCTATATATGAGGGTCGCCGTGAGTTAAGAGTGCCGTTGGGAAAATAGGATTCGTGTCGAGCAGATCGCCATTCAAAGTAATGTCAATCACAGACTTGCTACCGCCAAAGCACATCTGAAGTTCATTTCGTCAATTGTTCCACTGGAAGCATGTTACACCACCTGATGCCGTCGAATGCCGGCTTTCATGTGGACGACACATATAGAGCTTGCGCCGATCTTGTTCTTGCAGACGATAGTCTCCTATGGAATCTTTCGGGATCTACCGCAAACGGCTTGATACACTTCTTCAAGGCAGTCCAAAGGGTAGTATTGTGAATCTTCTCTATTCTCGAATTTCTTTCCCAGGCTCAGGTGCTGGGGTCTAGACAATCTACGTCTTGGTATCTTAATTCTCGCAAACTCTTACAAAATCACAAAAAGCTAACAAAAGAGAAAAAAGAACGCCCTCATTACTGAGCACTCGCACCAACATCTTCACCATCATCCCCCATAGCGTGCGTCCCCTTCCCCTCCGCAGGCGGAAGCCTAACCATGAGCAGCAACCCCAACGCAGCGACGCAGAACCCAGCGACGCCGAGATACGGCAGCCCGATCCACGCCCCGCCAAGCTTCATCCCCAGACTAAACAGCCCAGCGAGCATGGGCTGCGTATACGTCTGCCCCGCCGTCTCGACGAGCGAGATAATAGAATACAACCGCGTCCGGTGCGCCGCGTCAACGTACACGGCGCAGAGACTCCGCACGTAGCTACCCCACCCGGAACCCAGCGCCAGGATCGCCAGCCCGCCGATGAAGGCGCCGATGGTCGGGGACGCGGACATGGTTAGCGCGCCGAGGAGGAGGGCGACGGAGGAGAGGCGGCCCAGGAAGAGGTCACGCTCGTGGTCGTCTGTGTAGCGTAGCGGTTTCGGGGCTTTGGCGGAGGCGAGGAGCTTGGAGAGGGCGGGGAGGATGGCGACGATGGTGAGGAAGACGCCGAAGCCGTAGAGGGAGGAGAGGTACCCCGTTTGGGAGAGGGAGACGTGGTACCGCTTCGAGGCGAAGATTGTCATGAACTGGTAGGTGGACATAACGACTGGGTAGGAGCTCAGGGTGGCGACCATGAGGATCACGAGGGAGGGGTTCTTGAGGAGGGCGATGGATTCTTTGAGGCGGGCGAAGGTGTGTTGGATTGTGCCGATGACGGGGGAGTCTGCTTCGGGGGAGTCGGCGATGGGGTCTGAGGAGACTTTGGCGGCGGGCGGTTTGGTTTCCGGGACGAGGTGGATTGTGAAGAGGAGGGTTGCGAAGCCGGCGTAGGCGAGCCACATTACGGGCCAAGGGCCGGTTCGTTCCATCATCCAGCCTGCGATGGCGGGGGCGCAGAGGTTCCCTATCATGGAGGCCAGGTGGACGGCCATGAATTTCTTGGCTCTGTTCGGTGTGTTAGTGAGTTGTACATGCGGTACGACGGAAATGATGGGGGACGGACCTGTTCTCCGAGGTTGTAACATCAGAGAGCATCGAAAAGACGACGGCAGATAAAACGGCGTTGCCCCCGCCAACGAGCAACATCGACGGCCCAACCCACAAAGCCTTGAGCGGAATCACCTTGGGAAACGCACAAACAACAAGAAACCACGCCTGATCCAGCATCTGTCCCAACACCGCCAACGAAAAAACCTGCTTCCTCCCCAGACGGTCCGCCACGATACCCCAGGGGAACGCAGAGACGGCACCGATGGACGCCTGCAGCGCGCTGTAGACGGCGAAGATCATGGCCACCTCGCTCTGGATCTCGTCCTCCTTGCACTTGGACTCGTCGATGGCGTCCTGGGTGTAGAGGACGCCGTAGTACTGCCGGCAGACGATGTCTTCTACTTTGCGGGTGGTGGGGATGGTCCAGAGGCCGCCGAAGCCGGCGCCGAGGAGGATGATTGTGACAAAGGTCGCGACGATGGCGTCTGCGTTGTGGAGTTTGGGGACGTGGAGCTGGGTTGCTGCTGTGAGGAGGGAGTCTGTTCTGCTGCGGCCTGTTGCTGGTCTCTTTCTGGGTGTTGCTGTTGAGGATGAGGTTGCGAAGAGGGGGGTTGATTCTGTTGATGAGTCTGTGGAGGATCTTGGAGAGCCGGCGTCGTCGACGACGGTGTCTTCGTCTGAGTTTTCAGCGCGGGACCGCATCTTGAAGTGTATACGGTTGTCGTCCTTGTGAGTTAGTATCCGCGGGTATGTTGTGTTCAAATCGAGTTGCGAAGGTTGTGCGACGATGAGGTCTGGCTGTTCTTATATGCGAGGTGAAGGCGCGCAAGATATCCGGGATGCTACAGCCGGTCTCCTCAACATATAAGACACAGAAAGTTGTGGTGTGAAATGCCGAGGTGTGGGTAGTCAAGAGATGAGTGGAAAGGGAAGATAAAGAAGAGAGTCTAAGATGTATATGTAGCTGCAGAGTACAATCTTATCCCTAGGATGCGATGCCAGTTTATTGCCGATGCGAATTGGGGGTTTGACGGGGCCTGGACTGGGCTCTCAGACACGCGCAGAGTTCTGAAACGGGGACCCTCCCTGCGATAGTAACGAATGGGTTCTGACTGTAAGACGGACAGAATATAATGCGATTCTTGGTTATGCGAGTTGCGTGTTGCTGCTGCCGGATGCGGGCTTGCGTTGTCTGGGTTGTTGCGTCTGACGTGACGACGTGCGTTTGCTGGAAGAGGGGAGGAAGAGCGCAGCTATTCCCCCTTTTTTGCCTGTTTAGGATAGGTATTGGGATTCGTAGGGCGGTAGGGGCTGGGACTTTGGGTACAGGTTGCTGTTGATAATAGGCGGGATGACGTGCTTACGACATGGGTAGGGAAAACAGAAAGAAAGGAGAGAAACGGAACAACTGGTAAAGAATGAGTGAGAAGGAAACGCGACGGATCGACTCTTCAAGGGTTGCGTGTGTGTGCTGTCGTTATCTCTCGTGATGGCGCGGACATTGAGCTCCGGAAGGAAAGGGAAGAGAGAAAGATAGAGAGGAAGAGAGGGAGAAGAGACACCGCACCACGCAGCTGTGCCGTCATCAAACGCAAAAAAGTTGCAAAAGAGTGCGAATTGCGGCTCGCTGCAAGGTCAGCAATGTCGCATACTACGATCTCATAGGTTCGATAACTTGCGTGCCCCGGACATTGGACAGTTGGGGCTGGCGACAACAAAAGGAAAACCACGTCACTTCCCAGATTTTGTCTGGGAGGATCAATTACGCGTTTTGTCTCTTTTCTACGGATACAAAAGTCCTCTCGGACTTGTTATCCGTAAGACGGGGAAGTTGACAGTTGAGGATGGGTGTTCCAGAAAATAAGCACGGGGCTTCCATCAGGCCGGTTTTCCATTACCCAGCTTCTTCTTTTGGGATCGGCGCTTCCTTTTGGTTGTGGGCACTTGAATTTCCTAAACAGGACAACGGGTGCGCTGTCAGTTTACCGCCCAATTAAGAAGATTCAAACGACACTTTAGATAACTAGTACGAAGAATGAAACTATTGAAGAGGAACGGATGGGCCGGCACGGTAAAGCTCACCTCCAAATCTACCTCATTTGCACGTACGAAATTGGAGCTTGAGCTGGTTGCACCCTCCCGCCGGGAACTCAGCTAAGTTGAGCTTGACTCGCAAGACACGAAAGTTTAAATACTGGGACGGACGCCGCGGCTCAGGAACGAACGAGGAGCTTGGGACACCGAAGCTCGCGAAACCACCCCTTCTCAACATTGTTCGGACGCTGGAAGGCTTCCGATTGGGGAGCGCTCTCATGTTCGAGAGCGCAGACCTCTGTAACTGATGTGGTTTGACCCTCAATCATCTTGCTCTCTCTCTCTCTGCTCTCGTCGGCAATGGTGTCCGGCGATGGTACCTGGCGCAAACAGCCAGCTTGGATAGAGCGCATTACTGATGAGTGAGCGGGTGATGAAGTTGACAATTTCGCAAAAAGATCTACCACAGTTCTACGAATCATCAAACATTTTGCCTTTCCCATCTTCCCAGTTATCGAATGATCATCTCCTCTTGTGTGAGGGTTTCCGAGGTGCTCGTCTTTTCCCCCTCGCCTAGTGAAAAGCATCTGACAATCGCTGCTTGGTAACAAGCCTTTCCCTCAACTCAAAACCCCAACTCTCCTCTCCGGTTCCTGATTGATCCCTGGCTTTTGCAACACGGACGCGCGTTCAAAGTCGGCAGAAACTCTTTTTCACTTCTCCATCCCCCAACGACGTGAATCCGACAAAGCCGATGGCGCGTATCATTCTTATTTGTCGTATTCAGCACATAACGACCAGGAACCGGGACCCAACCGTCTGTCACGGCAAGTATCTTCAAAGACGTACGCACACCCCAACGCTTGATCTGTTCGGCGAACTGTCCCAAATGTGTTTCTTTTCAAATATTTCCATTCACGCTTAGAAGAGAGGCGAAGAGTGTCGGTTGGATGTATGGAAGGAGACTAGGACATGCCCTTACCGGCCGGAAGTGGCGGAAGATGCCGTGGGTCCCCGGCCGGTGTGCGCCGCCTCCGAGACTCGTGGTGGAAACCCGGATCGATCCGGCTAGCTGCCGCCGCGCCGCGCCGCGGGTAGCCTGGGATAGCCCGGCCGTGTACTACTTACCTCCGAGTGGCACGGAACACCGTTACACTGTTATTGATCTCCCTGCTGTTTGGCCAGTCTTCCTTGTAGTATACAGTCTTATTGCACCAGTCCGTGGGACTGTCAGAGGGCTTTTCCCCTTCCAAAGGCTACTTTCTCTCTCTTGGACTGCGATTTCATGTCATCTTTATTGCCTAAATTATTGAACCCCCTGGATGGTATGTTACCCCGACGCACATTTGAAAATTTCTCAACTGTTCACCGAAGCACATATGGCATTCGCCACTTCTGAGTTGATTTGGTTCAAATCCACATAATCTGAAGCAGATGCCGTTGGAACTCATCACTTGTCTCCCTAGGGGGAACTGATCAAGATTGGGAACAATCCAACCAGACGCCTTTGTCACCGACTCTCCAATTTCTTTCACCTGCCTGTGCCGGATTCGGTCTCCTTTAGTGTCCAACACACCATCTCCCACATAGCACATCTGCCGCTTCTTCACTCTGTTGGTAAGCATACACTTGGGATCGCCGCAAAAGTCTGAGGACATGATTATCCCGACGACTCATCACTGACCCTCGACCATCTCCAGGCTGATCGCTTCATAGCCGAGTCCTGCTAGTTTGAGAACGACACGTGCGGGCAACGTGACGCACTCGTGTTGATCATAACCACCGCCGCATACACTATCGGGCTGCTGAGCGCTTAAACCGGAATACCGAATCCGACCTTGTCCCCCCGTTCCTGTTGTTTTGGGCTGGAAAGCGGTAAATGAACAAATGATAGGGGAGAGAGACGTGTGACAAAGTCACAGTGGCCTAGTCCAACAGCGCAACCGTGGCCCAACCAACACAATGTTCAAATTCCAACAAGACCAACAGGCGCCAAATGTGAGGTGTGAGGTGTTATTGTATCGGGCCGTTTTCAATGGACTCTCGTAATCCCATTGTCCGCATCCTCTACCGGAACACGACCGGTGAGCTGGATCTTGGGTTCCGGCAGAACTTGACCTTTCGCCAGGCGAGCTGACTGACATCTGACTCCCTCTCTCTCTCGGCAATGTATCGTCCCGGCGGGAGATGATGGATCGACCATGCTCATATGACACTTGAACAATGCCCAGTCTGGAATATGACCCCCAAAGAATGGCATAAACTGGTAGGTAAAGAAATTGGCCCGTCGATCGTCTCTCGCTCTGACCTCGACTGGCAATATTAAATCAAAATGTAACATCGCGACGGATCGACATCAAGGCCTCCGCTGTCCATGATCTAGATCAGGCCCGGCCGCGGTTTCACACTCGCGGCCTCGCGCCGAGTCGCGCCGCGGAGAGAGGTCTTGTGACTAAAATGAGCTGCGGCTTGCCGTAAGGAAACGCAGCAGGAGTAACAAGGTGCTTACCATCTCGTATAACAATAAATCCATGGATATACATGTCCACAAAAGAAGCAAACAATGGCTGACACATTCACTTCACTTACCTGTCCCGGTTCCCTCCTGGTCTCTTCTTCCAGTCCACCCGCTCTTTCTCTTAAGCCTTTACGCCGCCTGGATCCTACCTCTCCTCTCCTCTCTCCCTCACACCCCTGTCAATAAAACAATCTCAACGCATCTGAATTAATGCAACGGGAAGCTCCTAGCGAGCTTACGTTGTGCGGAATAGCGGACGAACTCGAGATCGGAAGAGAGGAGAGAGGAGGGGGGAGGGGCCGGGGACGGGGTTCCCGGCCTGAAGGGGAAACCCAGCCCGCGCCCGCTCATCGGCCCGCAGGACGGGGCCATCTAAATCATCACACCTCATCTGCGAAGACTAAGGGAGAGGGGCGATTGCACTAAATCTTTATTCTTTTTATACTCAAGTTCCCCGGTCCACTTAGACGAACCAACATGCAGTATTCGTATCTTTGACCAAAAGTCTTGCACACGTGCATACTGCCCACACGCTCTCACACATATATCTGTACATTGATCACAGTCGACGTATTGCGTAATCGGTTCACAAATGCCACCGAGGGGATGTTCGCCAGCGGCAAAGCGAGTAATACCGCCTCACAGAGCAGTCAACTCCAAGGATCACGGAGCGCAGTCCGCGCGCGATGATTCGGCTCAGGTGGCCAGATTCGTCAACGGCCGAGACCACAGCGCCCGTACGGCCTCTGGGCATGGGTCGGGATTTGAGAAGGGGAAGCAAACAAATACATTCGAGCAGAAATCATGCTATCATGCTATCGGTTGGAAGAGGGTATAGTAGGTGATTTGGGGGACCACGGAGCAAGGAAGGTAAAGAGAGCAAGAGGAGGAGCGAGCGAGCGAGCTAGACGGCCACCAACATCCCTAGATCGAAGCTTGCAGGCATCTTCCGGGCTATCGGATGTACATGGCGTTGGGAGGCGGATGGGATGGGGGAAGGTTGCACAACGTCTCCGAGACTACTCAATCTCTCCGAGTAAGAGGGAAACACAAATACAATGAGAGAGAAGGGAAGGTGGTCTTCAGGAAAGGTTGTCGACAGGCTTCCCGCTCACTCGTTCCTCCTATGGACACCTCCCCCCAGTAGCAGCGTATTGTCATCGGGGAGGCGGGCTCTAGAACCGAGGAGGAGAGCCTCCAAGTCCGTGATCCTCCGTACTCCTTTGGCTTCTTCTAATGGGTGTCGAGGATGGATTTGAAGGTAAGTAGATCAAGACTTCAAGAGTCAAAACCTCGTTTGTTGCCCAAGATCCAGGAACACAAAATCTCCAGCTCCAGATGTACGCCTCGAGGGCCCCCGGAGGATGTGGATACATGTATTCAAAGGCGAAGCACCTTGACCAACCCTTGTTTTCGATGTTGGTTGCACAGTTGCAACGGCTCCAACCACACCCCTGTCCTGCCAACGAGGAGAGACCGGGGTAGGGGTGTTGGATCGATGCCTACTCAGGGCATTGGCAAAAAAAGACCAGCATCGCCAACGTCGTTCCCGCTTGTTTGTTTGCGGCTTTGCGACCAGCGCTAACAAGGGGGGCAGGGCTGTGAGAAGAGAGACTCCGAAAAAGAGAGTCGAGACAGAAGGACCTCGACCCGCGGCCGAACGTGCAGGGGGGGGGAAGGGCGGGTTCCGATCCCCCGTCCCAACTCACCTCATTTCTACTTTTCACCAGGTTGTTGGAGGCGGCACGTTCAGGAATTTGAATAAATTCCAGCACGCCGGAACCGACACGCTGGGTCGTCACACTTATCACACCAGATGCTACGTCGTGTAATCTCCCTTCTTCCACTCTCGTATGCAGTTTGCTCTGGGCGCACCGTCAGCGATTCGAGCGGCTGGTCATAATTATCGACCACAGTGGAGCGGGGAGCTTTCGTCCTCTACCTCTGCCTCTGTCTCTGCCTCTTTGTCGTGTAATACCAGTTTACGATGCGACGGGGGAACGTGGTTGAAGGATATGATGCGCGACTTACAAACGGTTGTGCAGGTTGCATATCACCATCCGCAATTCCGCCCTTACGATTCGTGGCGTTGGGCTGGCTTGTCGATGTGTGACTCGTGAGACCCGTCAGGCATCACTCGCCTCCCCCTGTCACCATCAACGACATTGTTTACCTATTTGGGAAGACATGTCTTTGATGCAGAGGAGGGCAGGCGGTGTTCCAGATCCGCTTCCGAAACCTCAGTAGGCATGCTGGACGATAATGTCTTGGACAGATCGCGCCCTTGATCCCCTTTGGAAGAGAACAGCTGCAATCCAACTTGACCACAGCTTGCTCTGAGCAAGTTATACCTGCTATAGGTCTCGAATAATAGACGCTGTCTAGACCGATGCGACGGAGAGTGTCCGCTTTGAAGTGGGCATCCGTTAATGGTGAGCGGAAGGTTGATGGTATGACATGACCAGCCCTATTGTGCAACTTGTCCAGTCCTGGACAAGCCCACCACCCCCATCGTCTCGCCATGCCGTGTTCAAATCAGACTTCCAGGAAGTTGGGAACCGCCAACAGAGATGCGGTCCCAAAACCCGGGCTGCTAGGAGCCCCAGAACCTGGTCGAACACCCCCCCTTGCAAGGTGCAACACGCTTGTTGGTGCAAGACCTTACCACAGTCTCCCACGGCCTACGAGAAACTCGAACGTCCGTCCATCTTTGCCTTTTCCTCATGCCAATTGACAAGTGAAAGCCCCCTCCCATCTCTCCACTTCTTCCCTCTCTGGCATGACGCCACTGCAGGGCAAATAAGTATTCACCCAGGTCTGGCTCCCCTTCTCCTCTTCATCCTCCACCCGTCCCCTGCGTGTGGTTTGGTGCCATGGTACCGTCAAAATCTCTCTGTCTGGTTATGGCGTCTAGCTAGTCTAGGTGCCTCTTTCGATCTGCAACTGCAGGGAAACCCTGGCCCGGCCGGTGAGGGTATCAGAGCCTGCGATAGGCCTTGAGGCAATGTCCCCTCGTCTAGTTGACCAACTAGAATCGAGACTCCGAGGAGCCGCGGATGTCATCGTGCTTTTCCGGCGGCCGTGTTTGTGTGCAGATTCTTGTCCCGACGGGAACGGGCTGGTAGTGATGTCAAGAGCGATGGCAGACGAAGATGAGGTGGTTGAGGTTCCTCTGATGACCGATGGCCGGGACACCTAAATAAGCAGAAGGACATGAGAAGGAATGGCATGAATGGGATGAGGTTCAAGACTGTCGAGTCTTGTCGTTGGCAATAGGTTGCTACGGTAAGTCTTGACGGACCAAAGAGGTAAGTGAATCGCCCACTTCTCACTTTGAAATGCATTATCTGCAAGTTGCAAGACTTATACCCCCTTCCCCTTGTCAGGTGTGTAGCCGCTGCTGCGCGTGCTTGTTCGTCTCCTTCTCTTGTTGGAGGTGCAGGGTACGCTTGTTAGCCCTTGCTTGGCTCCTCCTCATCCTCTTTTCCTCCTTGCTTCGTCGTGACGCTTGTTCAGATGGCCTGGCCTCCCGTCCTTCATGCAAATTCACTATCCAAGCACCTGGATCTCCCAGACAGTGTATAAGAACTGGACGACCGGAACTACACCTCGAAATCCTTCCGATCTGCCATATGAATCTTCATCCCAGCTGACATGATATTTGGTTGAACTTTTTCTCAGTCTCGACCTTCTCGTAAACTCCTACTCGTGGGTTTGCCTGGTTCAGTCTATGGAAGCTATCTTGAACCTAACACTTATAAGAACATCTTCTCGAAAGGAAGAATCGAATCAGCCAAGAGAGACAACATCCTCCCGAAATTTAACGCCCTTCAACATGGCACTCTCAGCCGCCGAACACCAAGCTAGAAGACGCCGCTCGACTGCTGCCCCAAGACGTCGCATAGCCTCAGACCCATCCATTACACCTATTCCAAGACGCCCGAGGCTCCTCAGCAACCTCCCAAGTCATCGACGAACGTCTACACCCCCAAAACGAAGCCAGACATCCAGCCCAATCCAGGCATCTGTAACCGGATCAAGCCCGCCCACGCCAATCGTCGCCTTCTCCGCCCTTTCGAGATCAACTCTCCCCAGGCCGTACAATGACTTTTCCCACTTCTTCCAGGACATGTGCCCTGCCCTCCGAAACCGGATTCTCGACCAAGTCGACTGGGACTCCTTGCACGGAGGGCCAGACTGGCGCACCCAGGGCTACCAGCCGTGGTACGCATCCGACTCCTGCAAGACGGCCTTCATCATCCACGCTGAAGGAAAGTTCCCCAAGATCTGCGGGTGGCCGGAGAAGGAAGAAAGTAAGGGTAAAGGCGACGGCAATAAGAGCTCTACAACAAGGGATAAGTCTCAGGAGGCTGGTGGTACTGCAGCTTCACCGAAGGGGTACGGGTGCTATCGCTGCCACACAATCAAGCCTGAGGCCGCCTTCGAGAAGCTGCCTGACTACTTTGTCGTGTCGTCTGAAGGTTGTATCGTCGGGCGGTACGCCGGCAAAGCCGATGGTGACAAGGAGCAGTCGAGGCTTCCGACACTGCGGAATGGGGAAGGTCTCTTACGTCGCTTCTGTATCGAGTGCGGTGTTAGGGACGGTCTGTATGAGAAGAGGAGGCTCATCACGTCGTTGACGGAAGAGAGGTGGTCGGTTTGTGACTGTCGGCGTCTGCACTGGGTGCCGTCGAACGAGTCGTACATTGAGTGTGAGCACTGTCTGGTGAAGAGTGCTTTCAGACCTCCGGTGTGATGCCTAGACATAGACATGCTTCCACAAATGTTTGTGAGAGTTGAGATGCTTGTCTGTCTAGCCTGGAATTGGTCGTCGGTGGCTATTTGGGATAACTTGTTAGGGTGGTTTCTTCTTCGTTGGTATTCTGTGCTAGCCTGACGGGATAACTTATTTGTCGTTACTCGGCTTTATTGGAAGCGCATTTCATGCACCTGGCCGGTTGGTCTTTTGTTTCCATTCTTGTTCAGCATGTAGGGTTGGTTACAGCATTGGCGGTTCGTTAATGTCTCTTCATGGACTTTGATTCAACAAAGCGCTCTCAAACTGTTGAAGGAAAACAGGACTCCAGTGGGATAGGAGGGGGAGGAAATACTGTATTGTTAGACTGGGAAGCGGTGCTTGATACTTGGAATAGTCTTGATTCAATCGGAGCTTCTATTGATACTGATTTTTCCTGCCTGCATTGTTGAAATCAGCGTTTTGATTCTGCGTATGGGTTGCCCCCTTCTGGTTTTTAAATGTGTCCTCCTCTCTAATATCTATCCCACGAATCCTTTCTTAAATAGTCTATTTGCATTTATCCTTGCTGATTTTGTCTGCTTGCTGGAGAAAACGGCAGCGTTGATCGATATCGGACTCAGTTATATCCAGATCTGCCTTTCGGTGAAACGCCGTGGCCATGTTCGCGGGTTCGGTTGTAGCCGCTGCGGCCCTGGGGAACTTCGCGTGATCGATCACTACTTGAGGTTTTGACGTAATGTGAGCCCTCATTGAGTCTTCCGCTGGTGTCTCGGTGCCTTGACTGCTGGCTAGAAGCTGAGCGGCTCGATCTACTTGAGCTTCTGTAGTCCATTGTGATGAGATCTGTTGACTAATATGAGTATTTTGCTCTACTGTGGCAACTTGTTTCATTTATGTACCTGAAAGAGACCTTGCTTGGTTTACAAATGATGATTCCAAGGAGTTGAAATGAGATATTGGCTGGTGATGAGCGATCAATGTGTCTGATGGTTGAAGCTGGAAAGATGTGATGGAGCAGCTGCAGACAGGTGAGAAAAAAGGCTCATTCTTATGTGTAGACTGCAAGTGAAGGCGAGTAATGCTTCTGATAACAGTGGACTGATTCAATCATGGGATGGTTGATAACGGAAGCTCGTCCATTGCAAAGAGACGGGGACGTCCATGGCTTGTATATCTCCCCGGCGGGCTGCACCCTGAAGGAAAGTTCTGCGGGCATGGCATGGCATAGCATCCCATCGGACCGTATGACGAAATGCCGAAGCAAGGACGAATTTTGGCTGCAGAATAGAAACGCAACAAGAGCAAAAGTGTAGACAGGAAAAAAGAGGCTCGCGCATTGCATTGGGACAAGCTACTTGACATGTGCCTGCTGCGCATGTGGGCTTCACTCTTGTTGAGACTCGGCCGAGGGCGTAGTTCTCCGTCTGAAGTAGGGTCACCGCGGCATGGGTTCCTGGCGAGACCCGGTCCTTCTAGCTGCGTTCGATGATCGGACGTGGAAGCCTGGCGGATCAAGACTACCCAAGGGGGTGGGAGAGGAAGAGAAACTGATGGGTTACGATACACCCCTTCCGGGCACAAGACGGGCTAAAGGAACCATTTGCGAGTTGACCAGGGTAACACATGGAAAATTGGGCAGTGAGTTTAACAAGTTGCAACGATCAACGATGGGTTGAGCCTGAACATCGGACCCGGAACCCTTCCTAGAGGGCAGCAGAAACATTGAGCTTTGCTACCTGGCCATGTCTTCGCCCAGTCACGGAATGAGGCGTGAGCTTCGGGCATGGCTGACCATGCCAACGGGTCTCCCGGCACGCGGGGCCGGACGGAGGAGAAGCTTTCTTTGCAACTCTGAAGCTCGGATAGACTCCAGAGTCCACGGAATGGAGACCAGCACAGTTTCTTGTCGTTTCTGCTCTCCAAGACTCTAAACCCTGCCCCGGGTACAAGAAAATTCGCTCGTCTGTGGGTTGATCAGAAGAGTCAGTGCCGAGAGAAAGAACTTTTTACTCTCTCTCCTCAAACTCAAGGGCTAAACGGCCGACAGGGCGTCTCATCGAGTTTGGGAATTGCAGTGCGAAGGAATAAGATGCGACTCCTGACCAAGAGTTTGAAAAGTGGGCGGCATGGAAGGGTCCGAGTCGAGGAACCACCCGCCGGTCTACCGGCTCCGGACCTCACGTGGAATGTTCCACTCCTTCGGTGCGATCATCGATCCCAACGAGGCGGTGCGCATACTTGCCAGCCACTGCAGGACTGCCTTAACTCCCATCCCTCTCGTCTTCTTGGTGTGGCTAATTCCATCGCTTCCGCTTGCACCTCATGTTCCCTCCCGTGAACTTGACGGGGTCTTCATGGATGCTCCTAGACATTGTCAACTCTTGCTGGACAGTCATCAGCCCTATCCCTATCACAACAGAGCAAGGCTAAGCTCGACAGGACACGCAACGTTTCTCATCAGATTGTCTCCACGTTGCTCTGCTTTCCACGCATGCTTCACCCCGTCACGAACCTTCGACCCTTGAGGTACGTCATCAGGCATGATGCTCGACTCAAGAAATGTGTCTGCCTGTCGATGCTTCGCTCGACTTCGCCATGCGCCGGCATGAGGCAATACCTCCGTCTCTACGCGACACCAAGCGTCTCTCTTGCGCCCTTCCTTTCTTACTCTTCGTCCCTGCATACTTCAAAGAGCCTTTCTCTTTTCTATTCCCGGCGGGAGGACCTTGCATAAGCTCCGGACTATTTCTGTCAAAGCGCGAAACAAATGGCCCGAAAGAACTCGTGGCGGTCTCGATTGGGTCGTACTTTACGCACATGTCAAGTTTCTTCCGGCTGGTTCCCCGAAGAACGCGCATCTAGACGTTGTGGATATCGGAACACAAGTGACTCATTGCTTTAGACCTCAGAAGTCGAAACCTTGCTTATTGTCGCAGCGTCAGATCCACAGCCTCTCTTTTTGGAATTGTAAGTCAACATGGACAGGTGTCTTCTCAGATAGGCAAATGGGTTTGACAAGCGCAGCCAAAGCAGTCATAGGCACACACTACCGTGCGAACGATTGCTTCACATTATCCTTCACTTTTGCGCAACTTTACCACTTTGCTGATATTCTTCCGAAGAAGCAAGTTTGATCTGCAGTGTCTGTCAGAATGTTTCTCGATTTCCCACGAGGCTTGGCTTTCTGCTCAGGCCAAATACCTCCTGGACCGAGCGCGCTCCCTGCCTGCGGTTTGTTTGAAACGGGGGAGCAACGCCCGGTTTGTTGAGGGCGCTGGCTGAAATCTGCGACGTTGCGCCTGGGCCATGGTTGACGGATGAACACTTGCATTTAGCAGCAGCATTGTCGCAATCGGCTCGTCTTCCGGTTCCGGGCTTGTGTTGTAACACACATGCAGAGCGTAGCGCCGGCCGGTGCCTGGCTTTTCGTCTTGTTTGCCTGTCACAGTCTTCGGACGCCCTTTCTCTACACCAGGAGACGTTGACGCGGGTTTAGGCCGGCCGATGAGTGGCAGTCGAGTGGCTGGATCGGTATGGCGGCACGGCTTAAGCTGCCCGGTTGAGTTCAACCACAAAGGCTGAAGCAATTCCACCCAAGTTGGCTCTTAGGCTGATGACTCAACTGGGCGATCCTACTATTACTGTGCCTCTTGTTTTGCCAGCGTTGCTTTCCTTGGTTCATGTTGCTATTGCATACGTCTTCGTCGTCAGCCCAAGACTATTCAATGTTTACACAAAGAGAAAGACATCTATAAAGAGCATGTGGACGTTGGCAACAATACAATGTGCCTACTTGCCTACCTTAAGGCCCTTTTCAAGCGAGACTTGCAGGAAGTAGAGATGAGGTTTCAAAAATCTGAAGTGCTGAGAGGTGGCTTTCTTCTGAGGCTTCGTTCTCAAAGATACTGCCTTGACGGATTGGTTGACCTATTGAGTCTCTGGCCACGAGAACGCCCCTCTATCCTTGTTCGGGAAACCTCTTCGTTGGAGATATGTGCCTTGAGTAATCCTGGAAAGTCTCAAGTCTCATCAGTACTCAAGATGATTGATTTGGTGAAAGGTGACTGACTTCAAAGTCCTCAACTATCAGATTGACTTTGAGCCCCCGGTTCCCTCCCTGTTGAGAGACGATCCGTCCCTGCTGTTCCTTCACCACAACTATACCTTATGGAAGAAGTTGTGGTTTATATAGACGACTTCTTGAAGCGAAGTTATGAGGCTCTCAAGCTGTGTCTATGATCGTATTTATTTCAGCTTGATAAAACAGGAAGTGGGAAACTACCACCTGCGATTGCTCGCTCCTGCCATGTAATCAATCTCATAACATCGGGTGGGTCGTGCCTCCCAACTTTGGCCATCAGATCAGGAAAGGAAGGAACGAATACAATCGGCTGAATATAAAGCCATCCAAGCTACTTAACGGCCTCACTTCGCCTCAGCCCTACCTTAACCTCTGATTCTTCTCCTTTTCACTCTTCATTAGGTCTTTACCTCGTCTGCTCAAATTTTGAGATTCTTGCTTCAAAACAGGGACAACTATCGAGAAGATTTCTTTGACTTCTACAACAGTGAGGTTGTTAGTTATCTTTTGCTCTTTGTTTTGCTTTTGTTCGCACGAGGCTTCTGCTTCTGAATATCCGTCGGTGTATTCGCCTCACGTGAATTCTGGCACACACTTCTTTCGGTATGTGGACACACCATGATATAATTGCTTGACAACAAGAGCAGCAATATTTTTGCGACTGAAATTTTGCTGACGAAAATATTTTTTTGTGCAGCCAACGCTTTTTGTTATCATTCTGTTTTTACTCGTTTGCCCTGGAACACTTCCCAACACCAACCACAGACAAAGAAGAAGTCTTGACACTACACTGTGAAGCTTCACTTTCCTCCCTCCACAACAACATCACCAATCTTTTGTTTTCCTTGATTGCTTCAAGAAGAATTCAAACAAAAGCAGCTGCAGGAGAGCATATTTAAGAGATTCGGCACCCAGAATCACTTCGAGTGTGAACTTCCTACCTACATCATCAACCTACCTCATTTCTACCATGGAGGCCATTAATTCTTTCCCTCTTGAAGCGATTCATCCTCAGAAACAAGGCATGGCCCTCGACGACTTCTTTGTCGACTTCCAAGTCCGGGCAAAATTTCACACCGACACACACAGCTTTCATGCTGTCCTTGACCTTGCCGTCGAAGCCAAAATGGCCAATAAGATCTTGAGCCTGAGCAAGCCGCTCGAGGTAAGTGCGACCTGGATTCCGAAAATAGAAGGATCGGGCCAACAGCTATCACACACAGGAAATCAAGGCAGAATTCCTGGAGTTCCAGGCATTCATCGACTCAATTCTGCCCCCTCTTCCATACTCCCAGATCACTTGGAAGACGGTCTACATCGCCGAAGGCATTATTGTCGATGGTGATGACGACGAGGACTACGAAGTTGAGGAGGGCTATTACGTAGATTGGTCGCAAGGCTCAAGCGCCAGCAGCGTCACTTCCGAAGGGCCCTACCAAGGGTGAGTCTTCTCCTTCAAATACCACCTGCCTATCCTAATAACTTGAAGCAACGCCTTCGCCAAGCTTGAACCTCCAATCCTTCTTCAGTCCGCTGAACTGCCGCTCCTTACAACCTACAAGAACTCTCACGGCACCAAGGAGCGCTTGATCATCTTCTCGAATGAGTTCTTCGAGGTTCGCAAGTCTCCTACGGCTGGCTGGGGCGCTTTCGCGACCAAGAAGCTGTACCAGGGCGACCAGATCCTCGTCGAAAAGGCCCTCTACCATGCCATTTACGCAGATGTGACCACGTCCGTAAGATCTCTGCCGGAGAAGGAGCGCCTGGTCGCGAACGACATGTTCGGTCACAAAGGCCGGGATGGCGAGACTCACGAGGAAGCGGTCTGGAACACAAACGCGTAGGTTACCTGGTCCTTCCCGTTCTCTCTTCAACTTGCTGACCCTGACTGAATGATAGCTTCGCGGCATATGTCCCATCCAAGTCGGGTAATAAGAGGAACATGCCAGGTCTTTTCGCTGTCGCGGGTCGATTCAACCACTCCTGCTTGCCCAAGATTGACTACAAGTACCGTGCCAGTCACGAGTCACTCGTGTTCACTGTTAGGGCCTGGGTCATTGAAGAGGGCGAGGAGCTGACAATCTCGTACGGTCAAGATCCCTCGGTGCTCTACTACAAGTACGGCTTCATCTGCGAGTGTGGGCACTGCCGTCGATTCGACCCGCGCAAGTCTGAGTGGTCTTAAGTGACGTCAGATCTTCTTTGGCTTTACGGCTTTTTGCATCGACGTGGCAATTGGACATAATGGTACACAGCGGAGGAGCTTTGATACAGAAACAGGGGCTTTTGGAAGACCGATAGTTGGTGCGATGTGGTTTTGGTGAGAAATGATACCCATCTTCGTCCATAGAGAGACGAACCGCGTGCTGCGTACAAGGCATAGACGCCCCCTAATACAAGACTTTCTTGATTTTCTGCAAACAAATCATGTCCATGTAGTGCTTCCTTTGATGTTGGGGTTCTTCATCAAAACATACAAAAAAATGAGCTGTCTGTGGCATTATGTAGGACCACCAAATTCGAACTCGCAACCCTTACGGGACCCAATTATGCGTAAATACTTCCACCACTAGGTCATAGACACATTCAGACGACGCTCATTGCTTGCTATGCAGAGAATTTTGGCCTATAAAGTCAGGGGTGGAGTGGCTGTGGTTTAATCATGAGCGTATTCCATGTCCTTCGAGGCCCAACCCTTCTGGACTAAGACGAAATCGTTGCCTGGCGAGTCGGCCCTGATCAAATTTTGATAAGTGGAGGAGCAACAGAACGGTTTGTTTTCCTTTCAGCCCTTTGACGTCTTTTCACATCGGCGTTATGCACATTCAGAGAAGACTGGCTCAAGTCAAGTCAAGAAACATATGCTTTTGGGTAATATGGTAGGTATCAAAGGCGCAACTACCGTCACGTCGACTGCCATATCCAGTCCTCATGAGTTTAGCCTCTCAAGATAAAAAAAAAAAGATTCCATCCAATACCATCACACCACCACCTTACAATCTGCGGAGGATATCCTCGATAACCTCAGTGGTCTTGGCGGTACCGCCCAAGTCGGGGCTGAGAAGCTTGCCCTCCTCGAGGTTGGCATCGACAGCGGCGTAGATCTTGGCGGCAGCGGTCTCCTCGTTGAGGAACTCGAGCATGAGGGCGGCGGAGCGGATGGTGGCAATGGGGTTGGCGATGTTCTGGAACTGGATATCTGGGGCGCTGCCGTGGCAGGGCTCACCAATAGCGAAGCCCTCGCCGACGTTGGCGCTGGGCACGAGACCGAGGGAGCCGACGAGGGCGGCGGCGCCGTCGGAGAGGATGTCGCCGTACAGGTTGGGCGCGACGATGACGTCGTAGTCCTCGGGCTGGCGGAAGAGCTTGTAGACCATGGAGTCGACGATCTGCTCCTCGACGGAGACCTTGCCGGCGAAGCGGGAATCGGCGAGGGCGGCCTTGGAGGTTGCGCGGAAGAGGCCGTCGGTCTGGGAGAGGACGTTGGACTTGTGGGTGATTGTGACGAGGGGGCGGGAGTGGATGCTGGCGGCGCCGGCGTCGCGGATCTTTTGGCGGCGGAGGGCGATCTCGCCGGCCATGGCGGCGATGCGGTGGGAGGCGTTCTCGGAGATGCGCTTGATCGCCTCGGCGACCTTGCCGTTGGGGCCATCGTACGTCTTCTCCTCCTTGACGTAGAGGTCCTCGGTGTTCTCGCGGACAATGACCATGTCGATGGGCTTAGCGGCGGTCAGGACGGTCTTGACGGGGCGGACGTTGGCGTAGAGATCGAGCTTCTTGCGGAGGGCGACGATGGGGGAGGAGTAGCCCTTGACGGGGGTGGTCGGGGAGGAGACGGCGCCGAAGAGGGCGCCATCGCACTCCTTCTTGAGGATCTCGACCGTCTTGTCGGGGAGGGCGGCACCAGTCTGCTCGAAGGTCTCGAAGCCGGCCTTGAGGTCGGTGAACTCGAACTTGAGGCCGAGGTAGGAGGGGAGGGCCTCGAGGACGCGGCGGCCGGCGGGGATGACCTCCTTGCCGATGCCGTCACCGGGGATGAGGCCTGTGGGTAGGTATGTTAGTGTGGGTTACAGGACGAAGACAGGTCAATTGACTTGTTCAGAGGCAGTCTCACCGATTCTAAGGGTTCTGACAGACATGATGGGCGTCAATTGGCGTCCAAAGTGCTGGTTTGGCGGATGGATGAGGGAATGTTTGAAGCAGAAGCTCTGGGAGAATGAGTCGCAAAAGTAAAAAAAAGCCCACCTCACCTGCACGGTCGATATCGGAGGTACGGGCCATGCACACCGAGGGCCGATCCGGCGAGCGACCAATTGGTGGTCGACACTGACAAGATCCCCCAGGGTCCTCAGTGCCTTTACTGGCTTACCTTAGCCGCGGTACGTACTTTGCGGGTGTGCATCGGAGCTCTCTAAAACACGGTTGATTCCGTACTATTGCGTCAAGTCACGGTTACATTGGCAAATCTGGGATGCACGGTAGCACCAGAAGCGCGTCTTAGGACTCTTTTTGATTCGCTTTCGCGTCAATTGAGCTGGTCGTTCCTTGCTTAGAAGTTGGAACGCGGCTTTGGTAGGCTTGGGGGTTGATGCGCTGTCAGCCACGATGTTGTCAGCATCCAACCACCTTGCCTCCAGCATTTGTCAGGCTTGATGCCGCAGACTTGCCGCCCTCTGTGGGCCATAAGTGAACGCGAGAACCGTCTTCTGAGAAAGGACTATAAATACGCTCGTCGCCGACTTTCGGCCAAGTGACGGACTGTGCGGAGGAAGCCGGTCAGTCGGCATGGGAGAGCGCTCACGATTCCACGAAAGAGTAAGAATTAGCCCAAAGACAGACCTAGAGGCTGGAGCAAGGGCCGAGCTGGTGAGAAATTTCCTCCCCACATTCTGCACTTCTTAGCGTGTTGGAAAGGGACGGTCGAAGGGCGGGAAAAGGGCCCCCAAACCCGGTTCTTCCCTGCTGCTGCGAGCTTCCAGAAGGCGGGAGGTTCGCCTCGCGCCGGGGAGCGGTATGACCACCCCCAGAAGCTGGAGTCCTTGAGTCCAGTCCTTGCTCCTTCCCCTCCGTGTCTCCGTCCCGAGATGGGAGATGATGTTCACTTGCCACTGCTGGTGGACACGGCTAGGACACGTATCGGAGGCGGGATCGAGACGGGAGTGATTAACAACTGGGTAGAATGAAGAGGGGTTCCCAGGTTCTAGTGTTCCAGATACACACCTTCTCCTCACTACGGACATTGAACAGGCACGCGAGGCAAAGAACATGACGGTAGTTTTGAGGTTGTTGATTGATAATGTAGATGGGGCACTTTCTCGTAGTTGCTGGAGCAGCCGGACATGGTAGCAATAATGAAACGGGACTGAATGTCAACAATGCTAACTTTTTTTTCTCCTTCCGCTGCTGTACGGATACCTGCGCGTCTTTTTTTCTCTTCCTTTGTCCCCGCGCGTCTGAGGGGCTCGAGGAGGACCCCCTTTCTTTTCAACGAATAATGCATTATGTTCCTGTATAATGGGCCAGAGCTAAGGTACGTTAGACGACAAAAGGCGGTAAGCCAAACCGCATGCAGTTACAAGATACACGATGGGCTCTGCAGATTACGCACTAATGCACAAAACGGATAGGAGATTGAAGAGGCCATCTGAAACAGGAGACCGTGCATAAGTATCTCGATACGTAGCTTTGCATTTTGGAGGGGAAAGAAAGTGAGAAGGAACGGAGCTGTTCAGAAACACAAAGTTGCGGACAAAGAAAGAGAGGAAAGACACAGGAGGGAACGCTTGATAATTGGAAATCAACGGCCAATACCCGTCACGCCAACCCGTCTGGTCAGGTACGAACCGGAACAGAGTCATTGCTCTCCGGCTAGCCGATTCCGATGTCTGCCAGACAGACACTGGCGCCGGCGTGTTCGTGTCGTCCAATTTTGCCCGTGCCCCGATTCCCGAACGAACCGTTTAGCAGATTTGCTCACTGAGGCTTTTAGCACGGCCATCGTTGACACAATCTTCCGACCAGCTTAGAACATCAATTTCAGGTGGGAGGGGCGTCATTGGGGGCCAGTTGGCCTCTTTCGTTTCCCAACTCTTAGACTCTTGAGGCCCAAAGTATGGGTAATCACGAGAACCCAAGCTACCTACCTAAGAAAAGGGGGCCAGCGATGAGATCCCAGGGCCCATCGCCAGTAACTACCCACCACTCTATATGGTGAAACCAAAGAGTCACTGCCATTCACCCAAATCGTAGTGTACTCAGTTCTGACGTGTCTGGAGAAGCTGCATTTCGATAGCAGAGCAGTGGCTCGGAGGAAATGAGCTTCCTTCCAGAACCATGTTCTTTGGTAAATTGACCCCGGCTGAGCCAATGGATCTCCCACTTGGGGTCCCTGCAGTCGAATTCGAGAAGCGAAAGAGGATGATCCAGGGCCAGTGACACTGGGTGGGTTGCTGCACTGCTGCAGACATCCTGCATAGAAAAGGCATATACCCGCACTGGTGCTGTGTAGATGCATAAGTACCTATTCTTACACATTACTTTTGGGATAAGGCACTTGATGTATCTTAAAACTGGATATCTTTGCTCCACTCAAGCTTCAAGTACCTTGTACAGCACCCGTACCTTAGCTTGTACCCAAGTGTGTAAACGCATGTATCTTACATAACATCCCACCGCCTTGTGAAGGTGTCAGGAGTGCAACTTTGTATCTGGCAGGCTGGCAAGCGCGTCGGGACGGTTTGGTAGCGTGGTAGCAGAGCGAGCATGTGCGTTTATGGGAACCCCTGAATTCCAGTCCAAGTCCCTTACCCCCTACGTAGTATGGTGAAGTGTCTGTCTGTACTCTGTAGCTGTACCAAGTATGGAATTAGGTATGGATGAATGGATAACTGGTCCTGGATAGTTCAGCATAGACGGACAGACAGACACATTTACTCGGTCGAGAGCGATTAATAGTAGTGGTGGGCTCTTTTGGCTCGTTTGGATCGATCCAGTCACACGCCCATTGCCCAAATATCCACGTCGGCCGTCCCTTTTCCGCCTCTGATTATGATTATGGGGTGTCCGTAATTTAAATGCCAGCCCTGAAGGCCAGCAACCTCACTTCCCTGAGTCTTCCCCTTCTCGAACCACCCACCTTTCGACTCTCGTCTTTTCTCCCCCATACAACACCGGCATTATCTCTCTGATCTGGGCGGCACGGACAGGCAAACGCGCGACGGGACTGACCACCTTACATCTTACACCTCTGAGTTACAACCTACCGAGGCCTGGAGACGAACGAGACTTTGGCTGAGACATCCAAACAACACATCACCCAATACAAACTGCATACAACACCAACCCACCGCAACAATCAATCGCCTACCGTCCGCTGTTTGACTGCTTCAACTACCAAAATTCCCCCGACCTACTGTTGATCATGCATCTCCAGCTGTCATAGCAACTCGCTCTTCCTCCACCAATTCTTGCCTGACACCCAAAATCCTCCAGCGGTTGGGCAGTGTCTGCCTCACTGCACTGACACCGCCGCGACGAGCCCCGTCCACCCCCCCTTTGCGCCGTTCCGCCTCGACGACCCTCGAGAGCTGTGTCGCGACTTCAAGTGCAGCTTTCCTTCCCTTCGACCTCGATTTGTATACCGACTCCTCCGCAAACACGAGGACAGACCGGGCATGCGCCTTCTTTCCGGCAACATTCAACGTTCGAGTCCGCCATTGTAACCCACCACGCCTGGCGCACGCGATTCTTGCCTCTAAACTTCTGTCTCGAAACGATCCACCCGTCGCAACTTCCACGTATCCCACATAGCTTCCTCCAACACCTTGATTGAAAAGAAGTCGCTCGGTAGCGACCCAACACCGCCGCCATGTCAGCCGTTAAGAACCTCCGGGCTATGTTCGAGCAAAAAGCCGACTCGAGCCCCCCGGATCGGGGAAGGTCCCCTGGCCTCTCCTCCAGTAAGTTTCCCCGCCGTTCTTAGCTCCATGGCAATACCTAGACGCAGCTTCTCTCGGCGAGCTTGCTTTGTCGACCTCTTCCCAGTTCATAGAACTGCTCAGCTTGGCTCTCCAAACACCATATATCCATCGTATACGCATTTCAACTGACCTCATACTTCTACAGACGGCACCGAAACTCCTCCTCCATCATCCACCCGCCCACTCTCCAAGATTCGAACGAGCTTTGTTGCTGTTGAAAAGGACGGAAGAGTAGGACTCCGCCGAGATCCCAGCAACGAGTCGAGTGTGTCCCAGCGAAGGCTCAGCAGCCATACCGAGGGAGAGGCGTCTGTATCTGGCCTCTCTGATAAGACAATGGCCACCGAGGACACCTCTGGGGGCTACAAGACAAACATCGTCGGCAGCCCCATTCCCGAGTCACCTCGCCGCCTTGACGCGGACAAGCCGACAAACGGAGCCTCCCCTCGTAGCTTGGGGGCTCTGAACAACCACCCGAGCCACAACCCCGACAAACACGTAGACATCGAAACGCCTACGCCAGAGCTACTCCCAGGCGACCCGACGCAAGTGTCACCCGACCAAAACGTTGCCAATGGAACAGCTGCAGCGAAGACCGCCGGGTCCACGGCTTCCAAAACCTCCACAAAGACCACCGCCAAACCCCTGGCGAAACTGGCACCTCCCGCTACAATTACGAGAGCAAAGACACCGTTGAGATCCCCAGTCACTGCCAAGACCCCTACCACAGCAACGGCAGGCTCCAAGCCGAGCGCCCCCAAGGCTCAGCACGACGCCGCAAAGAAGCCGGCCGAAAAGACGGCGACTTCGACCCCCAAGTCCGCTGCGAAAACGGCAGGCGCCGGCAAGAAGCCAGCACCCGTGCAGGTTTCTCCCTCCAGCGGCATTGGCTTCGTCAAGCCCAAGGTCAAGTCGCCCACCAAGCCCGTGAAGCTGCCTGCTTCGCTGATGGCCCCGACTGCCGCCTCCGTCCAGAGAGTCAAGGAGGCTCCTCGCGAAACCCTTACGCGCGCCTCTGGCAACCAGGGCCGCCCGGCTAGCAGAGCGAGCGCGCCAGGTGCTGCGGCGCCGCCCAAGACTCTGAAGCGCCAGAACTCAGTCATCAACCGGCCCCGGCCCAGCATTGGCCCGCCGCCAAAGAAGCCCCTTCAGGACCACCCCATTACGAAGAAGGATAAGGAGGTCGATGAGGGTTTCTTGGCTCGCATGATGCGACCCACGGCGAGCTCGACCTCAAAGGTATCAGAGAAGGCTCCCGTTACCCCTCCTAGAAGCAGGAGCGCAAAGCCAAGCAGCGCCAAGAAGGCTTCCGCATCAAGGAGCCCCAAGAGAGCACTCTCTCGACCGGCAGCGGTGCGGGCGGGAAGCCGCACAGGTAGCCCTTTCGCTAGCAAGAAGGATGCCCCAGTCAAGAAGGTCGTTGAGACCGCAGAGGCTGAGGCCATCGCTGAGGCACCGAGAACCCCAGAGGCAAAGGCACCGGCCACACCAGAGCCTATTGTCGAGGAGACTGCGGCTGAACCTAGCCCGGCCAAGGAGGCTGAGGCTGAGGCTCCTGTCGAGGAGAAGGAGACCGCGGCGCCTGAGCTGGAGGCCGTGACCGAAGAGCGTGTTGAGGAGCCCGAGCTCGACGACATCATCCAGCAGACTGCCACGCTCGACCTCAAGGAGGAGGACGCCGAAGACCAAGAGCTTAAGAGCCCGGATGAGTTTGAGGAGCTGCTGGCTGATGAGAAGGAGGCGGCGGAGGACAAGACGGAGGCAGCTCCGGCCCCTGTTGAGGCAACTACAGAAGTCAAGACTGAGACTGCATGAAAAAAAGAATTGTGTCGAAGAGTGGCGGAGGTGATTGTATAGTTTTAGAAACCATTGGGGTGTACCATGATACCTGACCGACAAAAAGGCGTAAATTACTTCGTGAGAGATTTCAAGGTTCCGGAGCATGGAGAAGTTGGTGTCTGGAGCCCGAAATCAGTTATAGAGAATGAATACGACTCGCATAGCATTATTTTGAAATTTTGGACATTTAAATGGTTTGGTGGTGTTATATGGAAAGTGAGTAATGCGCTGTGCTGTCCTCTATGGGGGTGGGTGATAGCTTGTTGAATGTCAGGCTCGAGCGTAGTGCTCCCCAAGAATAGATATCGCTGCAATCCGGACACGAGACAGAAATGCTTCAAATATGGTGTGTTCGTGTCTTCTCTAGAATACAACTTTTGTACAGTATATGGAGGACATTTCTCCTACAGAGCAGCAACATGTTGACTTTGACACCTGCCCTGTGGTGTCTTCTTTTTCCCAAGACTCCTTTTCCCCGAGGCCCAGATGCTCTCTCCTCGTAGGGAGCGGCTATTCAAGGTCTCCCTTCTCTAAAGGCCATCTTTCTTTCCCTCTGACCTACAACAAGGTCTGTTTCCCCTTCTTATCTCGCCCGGCACAACACCATACCGCCAACTTTCCTCGCCAGCGCCTCCCTCGCCTCCAAGATACCCCTATCCGTAGAAATAAACAGGCACTCTCCCAGCGCCAACCCCTTGACGAGGCCGTTCTTGGTCGGGAACCCGCGGACGACGAGCTCGAGGTCCTCAATGTGGACGTTGATGGGCCGCGTGGGCTTCGTGACCATGGTCAGGCCGCGGAGGACGGGCTCGTTGTTCCAGTATTTGAGGCCGAGCCAGAGGCGGCGCGTGGCGACGTTGGCCGAGGTGACGGGTTCCGGGTCGCGGAGGAGGTCTTCGGGCGCGGGCGGGGTCGGGCCGCCACGGTAGAGGGAGGAGACGAAGCCGGAGCGGTGGAGGGCGAGGGCGAGGTTGAGGTTCTGCTTTGTGTTTGTGACGGAGGTCATGCCCAGGCGTGCGCGGGAGGCGTTTTGGAGGTGGGAGCACATGTTGATTACGTTTGTTAGGCCGCCCATTTTGGATTCGGTTTGGGGAGCCTTGGGCTCGCCGGGTATGTGGGTGAGGATGTGGTATGAGGGAGGGTTCGGGGTCGTAAGGGGAGTGTCGTCGAAGTCGTCGCGATGCTAGGTGACGGTTGTTGGTGATTTGCGTTGAAGCTCAATTGACGAGCGGGAGCTTACTGTATTGATGTCAATTGACGATCAGTTCGATGGTGTACAGTTCGTGAGATTCGAAAGGAGTGTGCGTTGCGCGTTGGCTGGCTCCAGTGGTACCGCGAAGAATAATCCGTCACTCACGCAATCAAAGCCGCAGGGAAGCTATCGCCAAAATTTTGGACACGCCCAGCGCAGCCGTTGTCGAATGATGACTAAGGCAGAAGTACATCGGTAGGTACTTCGGTCACCTCACCTCCACTCACCGAGTCACCATCCTCACCTTTCTCACCGTCCCTTATCTTATCTGAGAAAAAGGTCCATGCTCCACGGCGCACATCGGACCCCACTCCCCGACGACGGCACTTTCCCGTCGCTGTCCGTTCCTCGCAGTAGACAACCCCGGCCGGAGCTCCTGATTGGCTGTCCCCGACGTCTTCTAAGCGCCGAGTTGACCAGTCGATGCGACCAGCTGCAGCTCACCACCCATGTATTTCACAGCAGACGCAACGCAAGCAGGGCCTGGCACGCGCATGGTCTCTACCTTAGCTCGGGAGCTTCTGGGACTTGGAGGAGAATGGCGGGGATAATTGGGTTGATTGGCGTTTTGCGAAGCAAGACCCCCAAGGTAAGGTAGCGTGCCTGGTTCTTCCTTTTTGTCATTTGCGAATTCGTTTTTTTTTGCTCATGCCACTGGAGGAGGGGGTATTTGAGGCGGTCTGGCTACTGAGTGGTACCAAGATAAAGAGAGAGAAGAGGGCTAGAGGGGTATTGGGTGATTGATCACACGAGAGGAAAGCAGAGAGAGAGAGACACAGCTTTGGATCGTCAAGACTGGTCTGTTCTGGTAGTAAGCAAGCTACACAAAACGTCGACACCCTCGGCGCAAGACAGTCCATCTTTCCCACCTCCTCCTCAAACGAAACTCTTTTCCCCTTTTCCACCTCTCACTCATCTTGTTCCTGAAATAACCAGGTGCCACACACACACACACAAACTCGTCTCCCTTCCAATTTCGCCTGCAATACAGAGCTCTGTTGGTTCTCTACTCGTACCTGCTGCCGCCCTTGGCTACATTACCTTTTACCTTGACCGAGGCGGGGTAACAATTTGCCAACGCTCAACACACCCCCGAGAGAGTTGCGCGCCTCTCTGGTGCTTGTCAATCGGATCATCGGCCCAAGGGAGTGGTCCCGAACCCTTGGACAGAGAGAAGGCAAGGAAGCTATTCTTGGAGCTTCCTTTGTTTGGCGTTGTTGGAAGCTCGGCAAGGTAAGGTAAGGTTTGGAGGGGCTGCTCGCAGTAATCCCACAATTAGAGAATGGCGACCCGGCCGGGAGAGGAAAACGTTGCTACTCTGTGAGTTCTCGTGTTCTTCTTGGTTTCTGTCTTTCCGAAAAGGTTGCAAAGAAGCGTAATAGCTCGCATTTGTCTTCTTACCTGGTCCTGTTCGCCTGTTTTCCCTCTCACTCTCTCTGGCTCTCGACACCCACACTCGAAACCATACGTGTGATTTTGCGATTTGCGACCCATTTGCACATAGAAAGGCGGCGCATACATATAGAAAAAGATGGCGGCTGCTGACTGGCCTCAAACACTCAACAGCTTCGGAGACGTTCACTACTTTTACGGCCCACCGACGAGTAATCCGCCGCACCACCGCTTCGACAAGGGATCTTACGTCTACCTTTTCGAAAACGCAAACGACCGCCGCGCGCGCATTGAGATTGCCAACCAGCCCGGCACCGAAGATCAAGATGCCTTTGACGGATGTGTGTAGAAACCCATGTATCCTGCTCCGAGAGCTCTCTCTGAGGCTGAAGCTGTAGCTTCCACATCTAGCTTCAGCTACAGCTGGAGCTAACATGGTATCACGTCCGCTAACCAACATTCACAGTCCTCGACAAGACGCACGTTCGATACTCGTACAACCACCAGTGCATGGTAACCCTCATCGTCGGCGAGACGACGGACCAGATGGAATGGCACCTGCCCACCTACGACCCCCAGAACCAGAACAAGTACCACTACAAACTCCACTCGCTCGACATCTACTTCTGGAAGGCCGACGACGCCCTCCAGTTCGTCAACGGCATCCGCTTCGTCCTCCCGCCCGCCCAGGTCGAGATCCTCGACGAGCCTCAGCAGCAGCAGCAACACCAGCACCATGTCCAGCAGCACACACAACATCAACCCGTGAGCTCCGTCGTCCAACAGCTAGAACACGTCGCGATATCGGACCCGAACTACGGTTCTCCAAGAGGAGGTGCCTCCGCACAACAGCAGCAGCAAAACGGCTCAGCGTTCGCAGGGCCACCTACCTCAGCCGTAGCCACCGCACCACCAGCCCATCAACAACAAGAACAGCCGGCGAGCTTCGCACCAATGGCATACAATCCCGCCGCCCCGGCCGCCCCAGAAACAATCCGCCACAGAGAAAAGACCCCGCCCCCCGAAGACGGCGTCGCGGACCCCCTGGCCGCGGCGGTCGCCTACGACGCGCAGGCTCCGTTCTCACCGGGCTTCGTGCCCCCTCCCGGATTCCAGAGCGCACAGGGACACGGGGGAATCGGCCTCCCTCCTCCTCCCCCACCGCCGCAATTCGGTGGTCCCCCAGGCCAGCCCGTCCTCCAGCGCGCGGCAACGATGCCGGCGCAAGCCGTACACGGCGGCCTCGCTTCTCCTGGTCTAGTCAACCCCTACGCGAACGGCAGCCCGTTCCCCTCGTCCCCTGGCTTCGCGCCGCCGCCGCCGCCGCCCACTCAGCCGCCTCAACTTCAACAACCTCAACCGCAGGTGCAGCATGGAACACCCCAACCGCAAGCCGGAGCCGCCCACACTCCCCCGACACCACCCTCAGCAACGACTGCGGCCTCCGCGCCCCCGGCTGCAGGGGCGCCGATGTCGCCTCCGCCCGGTGGGTTCTCGCAGTACTCGTATAGCAGTAGTAACGGGGGCGGCCAGCAGCAGCAGCCGGGGGCGTTCGACTACTCTATTCACCAGCAGGCGTATCGGCCTACGGAGGTGGAGGCGGGCAAGTATAAGGGGTACACGGGCAAGCAGGACCCGTCGGGGCGTTTGGAGGCGAATGTTGGGAGGTTGGAGAAGGGTGTTACGGGGATGTTTAGGAAGTTTGAGAAGAAGTTTGGGTGAGTAGGATACGTGATGGCGATGTGAGGGAAAGGGGGAGGGGGCGGGGGCTAATGTTTTGGATGATTTCTCTTCTTTTTTTTTCTGGTTTCATAAGGGGGGAGCAATCCTGGGTGATTTAGGTAGTTTGATCATTGAGTACGCAACCTCAATAGATAATTCTCATGTTCGCAAATATCCCGCATGCCGCGTGCCTTGCCGAGTAGTTGACTCTTGCCTGGATGTATACTTACAAACATCATCAATACTGAGCGGAGTTCCAGTAAATGAGGCATCTTCACCCAATTCTCACTAGGGAGACTGGACATTTATTACAGAGTCTTTAGACCGGTATGCACTTTTGCCTCTCTCTCCACTTCCACCCTTTCTGTTCAAACGGGTGAAGCTGAAAGAAGGTGACTACTTCAAAGTGCTAGGCTCCCAACGATGATGAGGAGCCAATGAGCCGTCATCAATCACTCTGTCCTCACCCTGGTAGTAGCATTTCGTCCTTCAGAATGAGGCTTCTCATGCCGTTGGCGAAGATCCTGGCCGCGTGTGATAAGCCTTGAGTAATTAGCTTCTACACAGCATATATCCGAACGCGGTTCGGCCGTCGCAATTTGCTCGCTGAGGCTGAATGTTGGGAGAAACATGCGAATAACCCGAGAAGAAGAGCCCTAATGCTTGCTCTCCGGATAGGAGGAGGTATTGGAGAGTTTGTAGGTTACGGGTTTTCATAAATGTGTTTCCTGTAAGCATACTTCACGAGCAAGACGAGACTGAAACCTATGATCTTGCCCTCGGAGCTAACAGTCTTACTTTAACAGCGGAGCGTTACATGCGCTATTGACAATTTCCATACCATCTCGGTTCAAATACTTTACCGATGTAGCATTCTTTCTGATAGCTCCAAAACCAAAGGCGGGAATGATATTGCTTTCTATCCACTACGCAAGCGCGTTTACTACCTTATTGATGCAGATAGCGATTTTCATCGGGAATAGCATCCGTCTCTGGGTTGATATGAATGGGCAGCGCAGGCAGCAAGCAAAGTACACCAATCTCACAGTATTTTGTCGATCGGCACTTGTATCCCGTACGTCATGCACGGATGGCGATTGACAACGTGGTGGCCTGGCACGCCCGGGGAAGGATTCGCGACTTTTTGGGGGCCGGAATGTCGCTCCGTCAGAACGGCCCAGGTCCAGTTTCTTCCAAGTGGCAAAGTGATGAGGCTTTGTTGGTCTCGGCATGTGGTGGAGGAATGGTAGGATTCATGATACAGAACGCAATGCGTGGTGATGAATCCTGCGAGCGATAGCTGCAGCTGACAGTGGATGGGTCTCCGTGAAACAGCGGGATGGGGTTGCCAGGTGTGATAGCGTCTTGCCTTTTTCATATGATGGAGAAGAATGCCTCTCTTTTCCCAGGCTCTCTGGTACTTCTCATTTGCAGGGTCTTTCGTCAAGTAGAATACCAAATATGTTCGGATACTCCGTACACGACAATTCGTTCTCCTTGAAAATATTGACAGAGGAATTGGGACCAAGCTTCAGCTCGTATAAGTCAAGATTGTGGCACCTTGAGAGAACCGATTCAACGTTGCTTCGCCTTATCCTTAATGCGGAATAATTCCAGATTTCGCGCGGGGGTTGCGCTGGACGGCGTCTTCCAATGAGCTGACACAACGGACCTAACTATTAGGTCGTCCGACCCGAGGCACGGCCGGCTGCCCTACAGGCAATGCAGAATGGCCAGTCGTCTCTCTCTCCTTGAGTCCTGTCAGCGCTACTCGCGAAGGTGGACGAATTAGAGGATGCGGCTAGGCGATTGGGTGGTTTAAGACGGCGTGCAGAAATGTCTTAGACAAAAAGTGCATCTGTCTTAGACTTGCATAGCAGCTGGGCTTTCGTTCCTGAATAGCGTTGCGCCCTCAAGGAAGTCTTGATGACCGTGTATCAGTCTCTGGGTGTTGATTTCGCAACCATTTGACTGAATCTGAAGAACAGAATATAAGATATGTCTTCGAGAAGGGCTGCGGCAGCCTTCGAAGAATGACGATGGCGAGGCATTTGGGCTGACTTGACTTGCTTGCAGCGCTGGAGTAAGCCCACGCAGGCGGTAGCCCCTCCGTCCCCAGCCACATGGTCATCATGATGCAGATGAGGCGGTGCTGGAGACCGCGGGGCATCCCTGCCATTCCTCGACTGGCTCGCGAGCTGCCAGGCAGCCCCAATGTTGGCGGTTAATCTTCTCACAAGTCACATCCTACCCACGCTATCTCACCTGTCCCGGGGAACCCTGCCAGCTTGCCATGTCTGTGGGCTGTGGCAGAGCAGCAGATTATTTCGCATATTGTACTGAGAGGGAAGCAGTCGGTGGCTGGTGAGAGCTGCTCTACACTATCCTCTGGAGGCTGGTGCGTCGACGTTGCTTTATTTTCGTTGCACTGTTGCTGGGCCATGATGCTTGTTGCTGGAAATAGTATACCGTTACCGGGCAAAACTGGAGACACAGCGCTCGAGTTCTTCAGACTTCTTGGCCAAGTGGGTTCCAGTCAATCGAAAAGCCCAAGCCGGATGGCGGCATGGCATAGCGACGGCGTTCCTGAGGAGGCCCCTGCTAATGCTTAAATTCGTGACACGGCAGGCGACGGAAGCGAAATCACTGCCCTAGGGCATGAAATCAAAAGAAGGGGCGGGAGCAGTAACTTCTTGTCAAGGACAGATTAACCCTATCGTCGACTCGTCAGGCGTGAGAGATGGTTTTGTCTGATGTCACCCGTGGACCCAAATCAAGACAGGAAACGGGGAAGTCGATGGAGCAAAGCTGATGGGGGGTTTTGACATTTCGTGGGCCAGAAGCTTTAGGGCCGAATGACACCGTTGCAGCAAGCCGCAAGCCACACGTCAAGCCTCAAGGAATGGCTGCCGGCGCGATGGGATCGCCATTGATGATGATAGCGCCAATCTGGATGATGTCTCCGTAGCCTGTGTGCCTGCGCAGAGCGGGTGACCACTGACAAGACAGGCGCCAACACCAACACCGCCCTGCCCTGGGCACTGCCTCACGCCCCGATGGTCTGGGTTGGGCTGACTGAAAGTTGGGGCCCCTGAGAGGTGTCTAACGCAGCGGCCATGGGCTCGAATGTTGACTGCAGATGTATGGATGGTCCTGATTTGGCATTCGTACTTGGGTGATTGATGTCAGATGGTGATTTGGATGGAAGCTCCTGATGCTCAGTGAACCCCGGAGAAAGACAAGTTGGTCTGGCCGAACGCCGTGTGCGGAAAGGGGTTGATTGGAGAAACAAGACTCGTTGTTTGCTCTGCAAGTGAAGTTTGACAGACGCAGAGGACAGGCCTCTTCTCCTTCACGTTTCGCCCAGGCCGTGTTTGCAGATAGTCTTCCTGTTAGGAGTACGGATTGCGTAGTAGGTAGGTATGGCGGTGTCATGTACACGGATAGGTACTTTGGAAAACGCCGAGAATGATTCGACGAACGGCGTTCGCTGATTTGGGGTAAACTCAAAACATTTGATAGCTTGGTTCATTGGTTCATGGGCGGTTCGGTCGGCCTGCCATCTTATGTCTACCCGGAGCGGCATTGAGAACAGTCGGGATTGTCTTGTCTGATATCATTGACAGCAAAGGCCGTTGCTGTTGGCTCGAATCCGTTCCGCGGGGTCCAGTGCAGCTGCGTACGTGAGACACCAGAAATTACTCCTCAGAGAGAGAATCAGAGAATTGGAGAGGGAGGACGCGACGACTTGCATCGTCCTCGAGCAGAGTTGCAACGGGATGGGCGGCGCGCAGAGCAACGTGGAACCTGGACAAGGTTAGCGCATAGATTCTTCCCGCCGCCGGCACCCACTAAGGAACATACACGAGCGACGCTAAGGTGAGCTACGAGGCGGCCCACCTCGAGGGGGGAGTGGAGGATGTTTGTTGTGCGAGGTACCTCGTTTCTCACGTTGTAGTGGGTTGTTGAAGAAGTACCTTTGAAACATGGCCAGAGAGTGAGAGCCAGTGAGTCTGTCAAACAAAGATGTCAGGAAGAGAGATTGGGAAGAGAAGGAGCCTCGGAGTCCAGCTGGGAAGGGCAACCGCAGACTGAGTGAGGTGCAATTGCAACAGCAGCTGCAGGCGCGGCCGTGGGCAGCTGCAACAATCCACTTTTGCTTCCTGCTCTGCTCCTGCCTCCTTCTCGTGCCTGCATGCCTGCCTCCTGCCTTCCGTCGAAGCTCTAAGGTACCTCACCTCACACCTCACACAGTACGTACCCAGGTCCTGCTGCGCTGCGCTGAGGCACCCGCAATCCTCGTCCTCATCCTCGTCCTCATCTTCACCCGCAACCTCGACCGTGACATCAACCGAGACCTTGTCCGTTCACCTTTCCTCCTTCTGGTCTTCTTCTCCTTACCTACTACGTTCTGCAACCAACATCACTCCAGCTTTTTCCAAACAACGCCAAACAATCCATCATTCAATACACATGACTTGTTCAACTGTCCACTATACGCCGGCCTGGTCATCCTGACGTCCCACGTCCAACATCCAACACGCAATACGCTTACGGATACCCGCCTTGATTACCTTACTCAGGCAACCCAAGAGACAATCGACAGCGGTGATCCGATCCAGCAACGCTGCTGCCTCTCGCCCATCCGCCTCCGCCTCCGCCTCCCTCCTGCATCGCGACCAAGACCAAGACCAAGCACGCATACGGATACAGAGCACTTCAAGGGCAAGGCACCGACCTGCTGCTCCGTGCCTCCCAGCCTCACAAAGCTCACACCCTAGGTTCCCGGATCCATCAAACCCACTCACCCACCCGAAAGGACCCTTCATCGTTCACCACCGAGTCCCACTGCGCTGCACAGCACTGCGCACAGAGACGAGGCACAAGTTTACACCCAGTCTGCGGGCACGGATACGTACCTCGCCGCCAGCTTCTGGACCCCCGGACCTTTCGAGGTTGACCCTGTGCTACCTACTACCACCACGACGCCGCTACCACCTACCAAGTACCAATCTGCACCTTGCCTGGACCTGGTCCCGTCAGTCTTCTCGCCTCACCTCACCTCATCTCACCTCCAACCGCCAAATCAACCGACTGCTGTTGCTTGCCTCCTTCTTTCTCTCCCACATCACCTCTCGACTTCTCCCACGTCCACAACACTTCGACCATCATCTGCATCGCCATCCTCTCGTCTCCGATTTAACGCGTCCCCATAAGCGTCCCTGCAATTACCGAGTCTCAATGTCCCAGTCCTGACGCTTATTATTCGCTTTGCGCAGCTGGGACGCCCCGCCTTAATCCGCCTCGCCGTTAACTCCAGCGCCTCTCGACCTTAAACCGCCGACCCTTCCGTTTCGGTACTCTGTCGAAATCCAGTCGCTCGTTACACGCAATGTACCTCAAAATGCGAATACCACTCGACTTCTCCGCCGGTTTCCAGACCGGCTACCCTGCGACATTGCAACGTCGTGAAGAAATCGACGGCAGGAAAATTACCACAATTGTAAGTGACAAGACACATGAAGGGCTCTTTCCCGTCCTCCATTACCCTAGACTAAGCCGCTGACGCCATACCGCCAAAGGTCATCCTCGCTGTACTGGTTCTCCTCATCTTTATCGCCTTTGTCGTCTTTTCCCTCCGCGCATCTCGGCGCTCTACCCGCGGCAACAACAAGAAACCTAGCGGCGGCGGCTTTTTCAAATCAATATTGAAAAATGGTGGCAGAAATAGATACCGCCAGGCTCAGGATGAAGACTCCACCTCTACCGAGCGACTGACCGACCGCCGTCGATCCCGCCCCTCTTCTGTCGCATTCGATGCCTCGGCCGATCAGTCGCAGGCCGATGCCCGGTCTCCCAATAGCGCTGTCAACCGCAATACTTCGATTCGTTCGATTATGACGCTGCCTGCTTACCGACCTGATCCGAACGAAACTGAGCAAGTTCTGGGTCGCGAAGGTGAACGCGGTGGTGTTGATGTGGTTATCGAATATCCCACGGAAGAGACAGAGGAGGATCTGCGTGATCAGGAGATGGAGGCTCTTTACCAGATTCGCCTGGCCCGCCGTCAAGAGCTTGCTGAGCGGGAGGAGCGGAGGGTGGAGCGCCGGGAAGCTCGGGAACGTGGCGACTTTGTAGCTCTGGACAACATCCGATCCAGAGCTCGGGCTGCCAGCAATAACAGCGTCGTCGCTGTGCTCCGAGAAGAACATGAACGCCTGAAGAATGAACGTCAGAGAGCTGTTTCCAGTGTTTCCTACGCCGACCTCGGTGTTGCTCGTCACGATGGTACACGACTTCGCGCCAACAGCAATGAGAGTGAGAGGATGGGGCTGCTGTCAGACTCCGCCAGTATTGCGGCCACCTCAATCCGATCTGGCGCCGGATCAGCCATGAACCACAGGAGAGGCAGCTCTGTAATGAGCATCGAAAGCGACCTACCTTCGCCAGGATTCGCTTCCAGATCTCGGGCGAATTCTCGACCAGATACCCCCCGCCTAGATACCCGAGCAGGGTCTAGCCCGGACGTTGAAGCTGACGTAGGAGACGCTGGCATGCCCATCTACTCTCCACCTGGATACGACGAAGTCTCGCTGGATGACGAGCGGTCCAGGAGCAATACCCCTCAACCTGGCACTGAGCCTCCACCGACGTACCCCGGCCCTGCCCAGCAACGAGCGGAGAGCATTGCCTCGAGCATGGCCGACTTGGCTGCAGATGAGCAGACTACAAACAACTCCGCAGACTCGCGCCGGAGCTCAAGGGTACCACGACTACCTAGTTTACGATTGCAGCAAGTGCCGCAAATTGTGATAGAACCTTCCAGTGCCAGGCCTCACGACGATAGGTGACGGCCTGAGCGGGGATCGCGCGAACGATATTCAATCTGATGATTACGGCTGAAGGCAATGAGCTTGTTGCAAACGAATGAACGCCTGGAGACTATCTTGTTGGTATATACGAGGTCTTGAAGGGTGAAAACACATCCAGGTTGGACGGGGCGCTTGCCCTCCTGAGGCAAGGTCTTGAATCTTGTTTGTATAATAGTCTTCCGGCATACCGGATACCGGCGTTTGGCGAACCTCGTTCCGGATTGAACGAGTGCAAAGGATACCAAAGCGATTTTTAGAGAAGTTGCTGTGCCATGTACAGTTGTAGCCTACGCGCTCAACGTAGGAATGGCTTGTCATTTTTTCGTCCATAAGAGAACACAATCTTGATTGATGATCTTGCGGTAATTGGTTGTGTCTTCTGTCACGGCTGGAGCAGTGACAGAGTGTGCCCGAATGCCTTAGATGTTGAGTGTAGGTAGATAGGCTCACTACGGCAGATGAAAGGGCGAGTATGCCTGAGATATATATATATATATATATATATATATATATTTGGATGAGACTAGCACCAGCCAACCGATCAGGCGCCTCTGTCTTCAGCAGTATTGACACAAGAGTCACAGCAAAAAAACACGATCGCTCTCAAGGATTGCGCTAGCCTTGAGACTATTAATGAGTTTTCAGCGAATTCTGAGCACAGAGAGAATGAATGTAATTATGCTTACCCTTCTGCGGCTGGCAGTTTCTGCTGTCAGTGGCTGGGTGCTTTCAGGAATCCAAGTATAGAACCAAAGCCTGTTTTCCAAAGCATGGCTTAGGAAGTTGATAACGTACCCTCTGTGATGCTTCATACGGAGATACGAGGAGAAAAAAGGCAGACGTACGGATAGGAATGTCCGTTTGGCATCTATCTGATGGGAATATTGGCAGAGGAATGGTATGTCGGCTTCAGGTGAAATATCCTTCAACAGGACTTGTAGAATAAGTTTTGCGAGTGTCAGGAAGACCGCGCGCAACGTCTTGTAGTGAGAGCTTCTACAACCAATGATCTCAATGTGAATCATGTTTTCTTCTTTGCACGATTCCAAGCTCAATCAAAATGAGTGGCTTTTGCATCAGTTACAGAGAAATATCTCCTACATAAGTAAATCGTTGGAGATCTCCAGACTTCCTCATGGAGGATATCTGCCTGGTATCTGGCATACCAGACAAAAGCTGGGTCCTCTGAGATCCCTCCGGTTATGACATGGAGAGCCTTAGGGTCTCTCTACACCTTCACCGAGAATTATATTTACTTCACAGAGATGAATAGAATTAGACTAGGTGGGTGTAAGGTATCGAAATGGCGGTGGGAAGAGATGTGTGTCAATTCGAGCGTTCTGCATGGGAGGTGAGAAGACATCTCGGCGGTATGTGGCTTTCGTCTTTAGCAACGCCCATCGACAAGCAGAGGCGAAGAGTCAGGACTCATTGGATGAGGTAGCGAGAGCTTTGGGTCAGCAGATCTGCCATTTCCTGAAACAACATAAAGATAAAGCTTCCGAGGCACAAAGGTCGATAGCAGAACAGGTTCATGGACTGCCTGAACAGCACAGAACGTATGAGGTATGAGAACTGAGAATCACATTAAGCAAAACTTGATTACATTGTCAAATTGGCGTGACCATTCGGATAGCCGAGCATGGCATAACGTCTTCAAGCAGATACCTACTGCTCCGGGAACGCTACACGCATATACGCCTCGAGTTTCTCAAGAGCCTCCACAAGCACCTCGGTATGACATACATACCCAATCCTCACATACCCCTTAAAGTCCCTCCCATGACCAAAACACTTTGAGCCCGGCACAAAAAACACATTCGTCTTCTCCAACACATCCAAGCAGAACCGCACATCGTCCACCGGCTCGCCGCTCCTGTGCGTGAAGCGTATAAACGCAGTCGTCCCCGCCAACGGCCTCACCCAGGAACACACGCCCTTGTGCTTCTCGATGAACGCTTCAAGCAGAGCCTTGTTGGTAACGGCGAGCCCGACGTTCCGACGTAGAAGCGGCGCATAGACGGGTGGTGACAAAGCGTAGGAGGCGATTTGGTCGTCGATTTGGGAGACGCTGATGGTGGTGTAGTCGCGTGCTGAGGCGACGGCTTGGATTATGGACTTGTCTGCGGAGGCAATCCAGCCGATGCGGATGCCGGCTAGGGCGTAGGATTTGGACATTGAGCCTGTGACGACGACTTTGGGGTAGTTGAAGGTTGTGAGGGGCGGGGGCACATCCGCGTCCCCGCTTGAGGAGGAGAAGAGGTTGTGGAAGAGGGGGCGGTAGACCTCGTCTGAGAAGAGGATGATGTCCCTGGCTTTGGCGAAGGCGACGAGGGAGGCGAGAACTTGCGTTGGGATGGGGATGCCGGTTGGGTTGTTTGGGTTGTTGATGATTATCATCTGATGAACGGAGTTAGTCCCAAAGGGCCGTCGTCATGGATGAGGAGATAGGCTTACCTTTGTGTTGGGCTTGACGAGGGCCTCGAGTTCGCTCACATCCGGCACGAACCCGTTCTCCTCCTTGAGCCTCCACAGAGAGACATCTGCGCCGAGACTCTCGGGGACGCTGTAGAGCTGCTGGTACGTGGGATACACGCATATGACATGGTCGCCGGGGTTCACCAGGGTGTACAGTAGGAGGAAGTTGGCACCAATGGCGCCCTGCGTGATGAGCACGTCGTCTTCGCAGAGTACGTCGGGAGTTGAGTCATCCGAGCCGGCCCCGGCGCCGCTACAGAGCGCCGCGACTCTCTGACGGAGCCGGGCGGATCCGCGGATGGGGCCGTAGACTAGCTTTGTGGAGAGGTCGACGGGGCCGGGCGCGTGCTTATCCTCGGAGAGGGTGACTAGGTCGTTTACGGAGACGGAGGCGGCGCAGGTCTCGGCAATGTTGAGGCAGCCTGGGGTGGTCTCGTACTCGTCCATCCATTGCTCCACGTCGAAGGCCGATATCCGGACCATTGTGAAGGTGGGGGAGGGGAAGAGGGGCCAAGCTGTGCGGGATGCGGGATGCGGGATGCGATGAATGAGTGGCTCAGGATGATGACAACTGAGCCGAGTAGAAGAAGTCTAGTGGTCAGCAATAAGCTTGGGGGATGATAGCGTAGGGGAATCGTGGAGGAGCGAGACGTTTGCGATTTGCGCCGGGTTGGATTGACACAATGCCAAGGCTGGCGGGATTATGGGAAACTGAGATCTCAAACAAGAGTCATGGTCACTTTTGCTTATACATACATGGACAAATACACACAAACACACTCGCACAGTTGCTCCGACCCCGTCCATAAGGCGACTAATGGCAATCCCGCGTATCAGCACGGACGGGATGCGTCTTCGGCCTGCTCAGAGAAACATTGGACTCTCTGAGCAGACGGCGGCGTCCCGGGCCTAACGCATGCCAATGGCCCGTCAACAGGGTACGCATTGAAGACTGTCTGCCACTAGGAAGACTCTCCGCGGGCACAGATGCATGGGATTGTGGTTGTTGGAGAAAAGCATAATGCCGCGGATGTTGGGTACCTGAGTGAGGTTCCATTCAATGCGGGGAGCAAAGGCAAAGGTAGAGCAACAAGATCAAATCGGCTCGAGCTGAGATCAGCTGTGGCTGGAGCTTCTAGCTTCAGTGACAAACGTAAGGAATCATGACTAGGACCGAGGTTAAACGAAGATAGACTAGATGTTAGCTCTTGGTGTGCCCATGATATGTTGTTTGTATCGTATCGTATCGTATCGGGTCAGTGCCAGTTCCGGTGACATTTTCTAGTTCCAAGGTAGCCAAAACGTGTATGAGAAGCCTTTGAGTAATTCTGCTTGATTGGCACAGCTGAAGATGATAATCTGTTGTGTTGAAGGAATCATCTGCAGCTATACTTCGTCAGGCTCGACTTTGCTCGTGAGGCTACTGGCTGAAATCCCTGCTGAATCCCATCGTCTGTACTCTGCTGAACTGTGCCCATGGACTATCTTTTGTTCGAGATCAAGTACCATAATCCCTTCAGATTCGGCCAGTCGAAGTATGTGAGAATGGAGTACACCACGAGTGGCAGATCCACCTGAAAGTCAGATGGGTGGCAGATGGACATGCCTGGTGCCTGACTTTACGCTTAGATGTGCAATCGCATTGTATCGATGTGTTTCAACGGCGACGTCGCTGGTGGTAAGTGCAAGGTCGCAGAGTGTAATGCTCATGGATCTCGCAGTTGGCAGGCGTCTTCCCTGTATGTTTGTCTGCATTGGGCAGTAGACGGCATGAGCTAAGCTGTTGAGGTAACTACTCATCTACACTACTCAGTAGATAGGCACCGAGAACTCGAGGGAGGGGGGAACAAAGAGTCAGACTATTCTTAGCGGCTTGTCTCGTCCCGTCCCATGGAACTGGTTGACCGAGGGAAACGGCGGGGGTTTGGCCGCTGGGGAACAAGAGAAGAAGTCTGACAGATTGAGCTACAGGATGTGCTAAGGGCAATGGAAAGGCACCGGACGTAGGTATCTACGAATACGTACCCAGGCACATGGTCAACGAACCTGAAGCCTCAGGCTCTTTGCGGTACGAACTCGGTAGGTTCAGCCACCCCACGGGACGCTGATGCATGTTTCCGACTGGCACAGTGGGGTCCCCAGCCTGTCGAGGTACGTCTCCTACAGAGTTATCCACTGTGACGCCACCGCCACCTCACGATTGGACCGTCCCGTCCAGCTGGAGACACCTCGGGTGCGGGTACGTACCGCAGTAAGGTACCAGCAAGCCGCGTCGCTGGTTGCTGGGCGCTGGATTGCTGGGTGCTGCTGTTGCTGCTACGGGTTATTATCGGCCGGTAGTACCTCTGTTATCGGCTCGGTGCCTTGGTCCAGCGCAGGTCATCCACGTCTGCTTCACACGCCTCCTCCCGCAGGCCAAGAGCTTCCACTCCTCCTCCATCCTCCGCCGCTCTGTTCGCAGCCGTGTCCATCTCCGTTGGGTCCAGTTCAGTCCTGTCTATGATCTGACCTTCTTTCTCCCCTCTCTGATCTGCTCCCAACATACACCTCACCTTCCTTTGACATCGACATCCCTCCCGCCACCACCACTCTTGATCTACTGGCATCCGACTCGGTGTCTAGTCCGCCACTTCAACACGCCCATCATGGCTCCTCCCGCCTTGAGGAGCCTCCTCATCGGGGCTCTGGCATGTCTTCCTGTCCTGGCTTCCGCTCAGCGCAACTATTCCACCACGGCCGACATGCTGCGTGCCCAGCTCACCTTACTCGACGACCGGCCCTCTGATTGTCCTCCATGGTGAGTGCTTTTCCGTCGAGAGGTCGCAATCTCGCGATCAAGCTGCCATCGCCTGTGCCTTCAAGCCCCCAATGCTAATATACATCCTTGGCGCAGCTTCAACTGTCTTCTCCCTGCCCACAAGTGTACCCAGTTTGCCGGCTGCAATGACTTCACTGGCAAATGTAGCTGTCCCGAGGGCTTCGGCGGCGATGACTGTCTCGATCCACGTACGTCCACACGTTCCCCCGCCCTGCAGTCGCACAAGTTTGGCGCATCACTGACACGTACTCCATAGTGTGCGGATCTCTCTCCCGTGGCGACAACACCGATAGACCCCGACGGACCGGTGACAATTGCGAATGCGACGACGGCTGGACCGGCATCAACTGCAACGTCTGCACAGAAAATAAGGCCTGCGACGCCCTCATGGAAACTAAGGAGGGCGGTGTCTGCTACCAGAACGGCGAGGTCATCAACCACAATTACCAAATCTGCGATGTTACCAACAAGAAGATTACCGACCTTCTCGGAGAGAAGCGCCCCCAAGTCACCTTTACCTGCAAGAAAGAAGAGGGCAGCTGCGATTTCCAATGTAGGCCTGTCGTCCGTACCCTTGGAACAGGGACCAAGCTAACCTGCTCTAGTCTGGGTCGATGAACGTGAATCTTTCTACTGCCATTTGAACGAGTGCAGCTCAAACGCCGATATCAACGACAGCCAGAACAGCACTGACTACAAGTGTAACAAGATCCAATGCGACTGCATTCCAGACCGCATGCTCTGTGGCGAGAACGGCTCCGTCGACATTGGCGAATTCTTGGTAGAGGAGATCAAGGGCCCTGCAGAGTTCGAGTGCTTGCAGAAGAATGGAGGCGTCAACAATTGCGCCTTCAAAGAGCCCGCCATGGACGACCTGATTCTGTCCTTGATCGGCGACAGTAGCATCCAACTGAGCTGTCGCTCTGGAGAGTGTCTGTATCACACCGAAGTCCCAGGTTACGAAAGGCCGGTCAAGAAGATCAACACCCCACTCATCGCCAGTATCATCGCCGCATGCTCCCTTTTCGTTGTCGCCGTCATCCTCCTCACGTGGTACCTCTCTCGCCGACAGTTCAAGTATGGCGCCATCGCTCTGGACGACTCCGACGACGAAAGCTTGAAGCTCATGGCTGATCACAAGCCTGCCTCTCTCTACTTTGAGAATGTCGCCTACGAGCTCAATGGAAAGAGAATCTTGAACAACATCCAGGGTATGGCCCATCCCGGAGAGGTGACCGCCATTATGGGTGCCTCAGGAGCTGGCAAGACCACTTTCCTCGATATCCTCGCACGAAAGAACAAGAGAGGTCAAGTCTCTGGCGACTTCTTCGTCAACGGTGAAAAGGTTACCGACATCGAATACAAGAACGTCATCGGTTTTGTCGACCAAGAGGATACCATGCTGCCTACCCTGACCGTGCACGAGACCATTTTGACGAGTGCCCTTCTTCGCCTGCCCCGGAACATGGGTCGTGCTGCTAAGGAGCAACGCGTTTTCGAAGTTGAGAAGCAGCTGGGCATTTACCACATTCGGGACTCTCTCATCGGCTCTGAGGAAGGCAAAGGCCGAGGTATCTCTGGTGGAGAGAAGCGCAGAGTCGGCATTGCCTGCGAACTCGTTACGAGCCCGTCTATTCTGTTCTTGGACGAACCCACCAGCGGCTTGGATGCTTACAACGCTTTCAATGTCATTGAATGCCTCGTCACGCTCGCCAAGAACTACAAGCGTACTGTCGTCTTCACTATTCACCAGCCGCGGTCCAACATTGTTGCACTTTTCGACAGACTTGTTCTGCTGGCTCGTGGTGGCGCGGTTTACTCGGGACCTTTCTCTCAGTGCCAGGCTTACTTCGACCACATTGGCTACTCGTGCCCTCCAGGCTTCAACATTGCTGATTACCTGGTCGATCTCACCATGCACGCCGGTGCCTCTACTTTGGAAGATGATGGAGCTCTGAACGCCGACGTTGCCAGCCTGGGTCCCAGCAGCACGACTGCAGTCAAGTCTATCGCTAGCATTTCTGGCGGTTCAATCGGTGACGACAGCCTTGTTGAGTCTTCGTCTTCGCGTCCCAAGAACCACCGCCGTGATTCCGTCAAGATTCGCCAAGAAAGAGAGCTCTTCACTCGCCGCAAGAACACCGTTGACACGGCTGCTTCATCGGATGCCGGAGGCGAGGATGTCGGATCGTATAAGCTTCAGAATCAATCCGGCTTTGTCCCGCCAGCCAATGCTGAAGATCCTCACGACCTTCCCCCTGCCGCATATGACGGAACTGATCTCGACGTCTTGATTCGATCTTTCGCCGAGTCTGATATCGCCGGCTCTACGCACGATGAAATCCAGCAATCCATCACTGCTGCTCAGGGCGCCAATGGACAGAATGCCAACGGTTACAATCCCGAGGGACCCAACATTCACATCAGCGCCATCGGCAAGGGCTATGTACGCGTTGGCTATACCCGCCAGTTCATCATTCTGTCTCAACGCACGTGGAAGAACCTGTACAGGAACCCGATTCTCATGCTGACCCACTACGCCATTGCCATCCTCCTCGCGGTTCTGTCTGGGTACTTGTTCTATGGATTGACTGATGATATTCCGGGTTTCCAGAATCGCTTGGGTCTTTTCTTCTTCCTCTTGGCCTTGTTCGGATTCAGCACTCTGACCAGCTTGAACGTCTTCGCCACTGAGAGACTCTTGTTCGTGCGAGAGCGCGCTAACGGCTACTACTCTCCCATCACCTATTTCGCTGCCAAGATTTTGTTCGACATTATCCCATTGCGAATCATTCCGCCGCTTCTCATGGGTGCCATCATCTACCCGATGACTGGCTTGGTTCCGGATGCCAGCCACTTCTTCAAGTTTATTCTCGTTCTGGTCTTATTCAACTTCGCTGCCGCTGCGATCTGCCTCTTCATTGGCATTATCTGCAAGGACGGTGGAGTAGCCAACCTGATTGGTAGTTTGGTTATGTTGTTCAGCTTGCTCTTCGCTGGTCTGCTGCTCAACCACAACGCCATTCCCAAGGCTGCTCTCTGGCTCCAGATGCTGTCTATCTTCCACTACGGTTTTGAGTCGCTCATTGTCAACGAGGTGCTGCAACTCACACTGGTGGACAAGAAGTATGGCCTGGACATCACTGTTCCTGGAGCCGCCATCTTGAGCTCTTTCGGTTTCAACAATGACGCTCTTTGGACCGATGTCGTCAGCCTCGGTACCTTTGGAGTCGTCTTCCTTATTCTTGCCTATGGCGCCATGCACTTCCTTCTTGTCGAGAAGAGATGATCATCGTGCGTGGCCAACTCGAGGCGACGTTCCAGGCGCTGTTTGGTATACAATTGTAAGAATACAAGCGTGACGGCCACTGTAGCAAGAGCCGCAATAGCTTCGGGTCATTTCATAGAGACCACACACAGAGATACATACAGCAAGTTTCCTTTCGAATGGCAATAATCTGTCAATGTGCATATGGGCAGCTTCACGGCGTTGGAGGATTGTCATGTCGTTTATAGTTTGACATTGATGGCTTTATAATGCTACAGAGAATTGATAGTAGTACAAGTTGACTTGTGCGCTCTACGGCGGCCCTGCAACCGAAATTTTGGTATGGTGATATGCAGAGACTATGACCCAAAGCCACCACAACGTACAAATGTGAGATGTTACAACGGTCAAAACACCATTTTGATATTTTTGATACAACCCACCGAATGTGCCGACTCTCCAAAGCTGAGCGGCGGGCCATTTCTGACGTGTGAACCCCTTTACTCCATCTTGCCGCCCGTCAGCTCCTCGGCAATCGACTTCTGCCTCTTGACGGTCCTGTCCTGGTCGCTCGTCTGGAAGTCGATGGCCCGCTGCTGCGTTCTCAGCATGTCGTCCAGCATGGACTGCACTGTCGGTGGCTGTCCCCAAACGTCCCAGGCGTTGTCGGCGTCGTGGGCCATGGACTTGCCCTGGCGCTTCCAGAAGTCCTCGGAGAAGAGTTGGTCGAGATGCTTGCCGAGCTCCTCCTCGGTGACGATGAACTTGGAGGCGTTGATGTACAGCTCCATGAGGGCGTCCTGTCTCGCCTCGCTCTTCTTGGCGGCGAGCCTGGCCGTCCGCGCCTTGCTGGCGTTGGCCTGGTCGTAGCGGTCCTTGTTGGGCGCGACAGAGGCGGACTCGACAAGGGAGGAGAGGACGGAGCCGCGGGTGAGGCGGTCGTCTGCGCGCTCGGGGGCGAGGGCGGCGCGCTGGTGGTCGCGGAGGCGGCGCTGCCTCTCGGCGGTGACGGTCTCGACGCCCTCCTGCTTGCGCTGGTAGAGCCCCTGGAGGGCGATGCCGAGGTTCTCGCGGCGGGACTCGGCCATGCGGCGGCGGTGCTCGAGGCGGGAGCCGGGAGGGGCGGGCTTCGTGGAGGAGGCGCTGGTGGGCGCGGGTGCGGTCTCGAGGAGGTACTCGGGCTGGACTTTGCGATCGTTCTCCTTTGCTGGGAAGACGTCGCGGGGCGTGGGGAGGGTGCCCTTGATGATGGGGGGCTTCTCCTCAGAGGCCTGGGATTGGGGCGGCGTCGGGACCTTGATCCAGTCTGGGTGTTGGGGGGGCACCTTGAGCTGGGCCGTCGTAGAGGAGAAGGGTCGTGTGAGGTTGAGGTTGGCTTGTCTGGGGACGATTGTGGTCGGGAGGCGCGTCAGCCGCGCGCAGGAGCATCGTGACGACATTGCGGCCGGCTTAATGGGGTATTCGGGGCCGTAGTCGCCTGGTTGTGAAAGGGCTGTCGGCAGGCGGGATTGGGAATGGAGTCAATTCGTGGCTTGAGATGGGCAAGCTGCTCTGCTGTTGGGATGGTTGAACCTGAGAATTTCTCGAGGGCGGCCCTGGATTGGATAGGTGCACGCTCAGGTGTGCAATGGGTAGCAGCTCTGCGCTCCAAAGTTCTCCTTTGCTCAGTTGAGATTCCCGGTCTCTGAGGAAGATGGAAAAAAGAGGGCCAGCCATTGGGGGCGTGTAATTGGAGCTGCAGCTGGGGAGACACCCCCTTCTCACCTGTAGCATCGTTCATTGGCTCCTCGGTGCAACGGCGGTTGTTCGTCCCGAAGTGCTCCAGAAATTTTCAGCAACTCCACTAAAAAATTCCCAAGGGACCCCACCACCCGCAAGAGAAAGAACTTCCTTTTTACTGCGCGCGAAGCTCCAACCTCCTTCTCTCAATCCTCTCTAAAAACTTCACCGACTCCAACTTCCGCCCAGTCTAACCCTCCCTTCTCCCTCAGTCTTCCCTTTCATTTCAATAAGGTCGACGACTGGGCGAGTTCGCGGTCACAAAAGATGGGAACCGGCAAGAAAGAGGCGAGCCGAAAGGTTCGCCAGGGCAAGACCGGCGATGGCATGGGCAATGTCAAGGTCAAGGGCGAAAATTTCTACCGGTAGGTTTCCAAGTCTCCCTTGGCTCGATATCTGCGAACAGATTGCTGACGCTGCAATGTCTACAGCTCTGCCAAGCGGGTGAGGCAGTTGAACATGTACAAGGATGGCAAGCCGCAGCGCAACGCCGACGGCGAGATCACCAAGGCCGCTTCCTTCCAGAGCCGAGAAATCCCCAACGCCCGGATCGAGCCCAACCGCAAGTGGTTCGGTAACACCCGTGTCATCTCCCAGGAGAGCTTGACGGCGTTCCGGAGCGCCATGGCAGAGAAGGCCGCGGACCCTTACTCGGTCCTGCTCAAGAGCAACAAGCTGCCCATGTCCTTGATCAAGGATGGTGCCGACAACGTCAACGGTATCAAGCAGCACCAGGCCAAGATGACGATCGAGACGTCCTCCTTTGGAGACACGTTCGGTCCCAAGTCTCAGCGGAAGCGCGTCAAGATTGGCGCCGGTTCCATTGCGGATTTGGCTGGCGAGGTCGACAAGGACCTTGACAAGTTCAATGAGCTCCAGGAGCGGAACAAGCTGCTCAGCGGCCAATCTGGTGGTGCGGACGAGGACGAGAGTCACGTCACCTTGTCGATCGAGCCCATCTTCAACAAGGGTCAGAGCAAGCGTATCTGGAACGAGCTGTACCGTGTGCTGGATTCCTCCGACGTTGTCATCCACGTCTTGGACGCTCGCGACCCTCTGGGAACGAGATGTCGCAGTGTCGAGAAGTATCTCCGCGAGGAGGCGCCTCACAAGCATCTCATCTTCGTCTTGAACAAGACGGACTTGGTGCCCACCAGTGTTGCTGTAAGTTTTTCAAGCTCCTTTTTCTGTACTCCCATCCCATACCCCAGTGTCTTTGTCAGGAAGCGTTCCGCACTCTTTGAGTGCTTACAATGGAAGTTCTCCGTTAAACACTGGGAAAATCGAGGGCTGTCTCGCTGTCCTGATCCTTGGATCAGGGCTGATGGGATCCGTTTTGGATTTCCTGTCATGAGACAGAATTGCTTCCGATGAGTTGAAGTCTGCCAGTGCTCTTTCGAGCCTTTCGATGGTGGTATTTCTTAGTAGTGAAGCATACATACTTTCCAGATCACTTTGATTCTTCAATTATTTGCTTCATGCAGAAGCTAATTCGATACAGGCCCGTTGGGTGAAGCACTTCTCAAAGGACAAGCCTACGCTGGCGATGCACTCCAGTCTGACGAATCCCTTCGGAAAGGGTAGTCTGATTGAGCTGCTCAGACAGTATGCCAAGCTCCACAGCGACCGCAAGCAGATCTCTGTTGGTCTTATCGGTTACCCCAACGTCGGCAAGAGTTCCATCGTCAACACCCTGAGACAGAAGAAGGTCGCCAACGTTGCACCGATTCCCGGTGAAACCAAGGTCTGGCAGTACATTACACTCACCCGCAAGATCTGTAAGTCATTGATTCATTCTTTTCGACGTATTTGAACATGGAACTAATCTCTCATAGACATGATTGATTGCCCCGGTATTGTGCCGCCGTCGCAGACCGACACCCCTCAGGATCTTCTCCTGAGAGGTGTTGTTCGTGTTGAGAACGTCCACAACCCTGAGCAGTACATCCCTGCTGTGCTCGAGAAGGTGAAGACACATCACATGGAGAGAACATATGGACTCAAGGGTTGGACCAATCACGTTGAGTTCCTCGAGATGCTTGCCCGAAAGGGTGGTCGTCTGTTGAAGCACGGAGAGGCCGACTTGGACGGTGTTGCCAAGATGGTCCTCAACGACTTCATGCGTGGCAAGATCCCTTGGTTCACTCCCGCGCCTGTCGAGGAAGAAGGCACGGAGACTCCCGAGGGCATTGAGGGCCGTGGTGGCAGGCTTGGCGAGATGCCCCAGAAGCGGAAGCGTGACGCAACTGATGTGGCCGAGAGCGTGGCCGATACGTCAATGGGACCCTCCAGTGACGAAGAAGAAGGGGACGATGAGGAGTTTGAAGGTTTCGGGTCTGACGATGACAAGGCTGAGGGTGACAAGTCCTTGGCCGAGGCATCTGAAGACGCAGGTGAGGCCTCGGACGACATGATCCCGCTGGATGATATATCAGACGATGACTCTGCGAGTGAAGATGGTGGTGACGGCGCTGCCTCGGAGACAAGCTACAACACCTCGGTCCGTGCTGTATCGGATCGTAGTGCTAGCAACGCCTCCAAGAAGAGAAGAAAGACAAAGACGTGAAATCCTCAGGCGAGAACCTGCTAGATGAATCTCTTCCGCTGCAACGCCGAAGTTTCGGCAGCCTCACCAGCACAGGTGGGAAGCGGCGAGTCCACTTGGGCTGAGGCTGACTCGGAAAAAATCAAAACGAAACGAAAAGCGAGTTTGGCCGCACCGTCCGCAATCGGGGACGTCCAGGAATCGTCAGGCCTTTGTCCTGCGAAAATCACGGGCCAGCCAGGGCAGCCGTTTCACGACACCTGAATGTTTCCAGACATTGAGGCTGTCCAGCGTCGGCACCTGATTGCGGCTCTGCCGTAGGACGCAGACCCCGGGTTTCCGCCCTTCCCTGTTTCTCCAGCTCAGCACGGGCGCCAGCCGCGGGATGTTTCCCAAAGTTTATTCCCCCGCCATCTCTATCGAGGGATGTTACGCTCAGCGTTGTTACCGTATGATACCCCCAGATGATCTATCTCGATTGGCAAGTTGCCATCTGTGGATAGATATTGTCCATACCTAAAGCCTCTTTTAAACGAGGTCTCTTCAGTTCAGAAAGAACCGAACTAGAAACAAAAGAATCTAGAGATAGACAGTCAACAGACTGGTCGCCGTCAGTCAGACAAGAATACAAAAACATGATTCACCGATGAAAACTTTGTTCCTGTGCCCTCTTTCCCCTCATGTTCCCTCTTTCGGCTTCTGTCGTTCGCTTTGTCGGTTGTCTCGCCGCGACGTCGACCCTTGCAACTTGAGCAGAAAAAAAAACAAGACATCGGCCAACGGAGAAACGGGGATTCGATGATGTTGTTTAAAGTTCCGACGTAAGGTTCCTCGTCACGACTAAGCAGGAGAGTTTCCCTCAACTTCACCCCGTCTCAACTAGCGAACCTGACCCGACTCGACTCTTTCCTCATTGAAAAGCAAAGTTTGTTCTTTCTTTCGCTTGTGTCTGCAAAGAAAGGGTTTCCTTCTTTTCATCTAGCGTGGAAACGGTCCCTTTTCTTCTTGGCTCTCCTACTCTTTCTGGCACTACCGACCCCCCTTCCCCTCTCCTACCCCCTCCATCTCGATTGCAAGAAGAGAAGTGTGTCGACGATCGTCTGATGAATATGAGTCGTGAGAGAAGGTTTATTTAGAGTTCTTACAACGTCCCTCTCCGATTCGAGACTTGGGAGACTCAACTCAACAACAACCAACACACACACATACACAGTCAGGCGTCTCTTTGGAGGAATAATTCCGACGAGAGGGCAAGTCTCCGTCGACCCCACGTGGACCGTGTAATCCGATGTTTTGCTTGTCTGGTTTCTCTCACCCTCTTTCTTGTTCCCCCTCTGCCTTGGTTTTTGTCTCTTGCTGGATGACAGAGCAACCCTTGCCCTTGCCCACATGTAGGTACCTCACCTTACCTTACCTTACCTTGCTGGGTACGCTTCTTTTCACTCTCCTCATGAAGAGTCGAACATCGTGGAAACCAAACACGCCGGTCTGTCCGTCACACCCCTCCTCCGCCTCCTCTCGTCCCCTCACTTCTCGCTCGACGTTGTGTGTGTGTCCCTTCCTTACTCGGATTTTCTGCTCTCGGGTAACTACTAGTCAAGTCAAAAAAGACTATTTCGTGTTCGCCAGTATTGTATGCGAGGGTGGGTGTGTGTACAGATGTTTGAACCCCGCCTCGCCTTTCCCTTTCGTAGATTGAGACAAGAACGAGGGAACTTCGGCAAATACTCAAACTTCAGGGTGATTTCCAGAAAGCATAAAAAGATCAAAGTCTTCCTCCCGTTAGAGTGTTAGTCTCCTTACCTCTTCACCCCTTTTTCTTACACGAACACCACCACCCAGCATTCGCTTCTAGTTTGTGCTGGAAGAAGGATCAAAAGGCTTCTTCTCTTTTTGTAAACCTTACCCAGCACATCATCCTTTTTCTCCCCTGGAACACGGGCCATCGTCACGAGGTTATTACTTTCTTACCTCGGAGCCCTAGTTTACGGTTGGTGAGTGACCGTTTGTCGTCATCACTAGTACAACCAACTCCACTTCTAGTCTCTCGTAGACGTAGACGGAGCAACACGCAAAAACAGCACAGCATAGGAAAAACAAGAAGAAGATGCGTCTTTCTTTAGTTACAGTTGTATCCCTGGCCACGAGCTCTCTCGCTCTAGCCCTCGTGCCCAGGGAGACTAACAACACCATGGACTCGGAACATTACCCCGGAGGCGGAGGAGGAGGCGGCGGTCACGGCGGTGGAGAGTGTAAGGGCGGTGATAAGCCGCCCGGTATGCCCGGTGGTGGCGGCGGCGGTGGAGGTGGAGGTCACGGAGGCGGCGGCGAGGGCGGAGGCAAGCCTGGTGAAGGCGGCGGAAACGGCGGTGGAGGTGGTGGTAAGGGCGGAGACGACTGCAAGGGCGGTCATGGAGGCAAGCAGCCGCCTGGTATGCCTCCCGGTATGCCCGGTGGAGGTGGTGATAAGCCTCCCGGTATGCCTGGAATGCCCGGTGGAGGCGGCGGCGGAGGCGGTGGCGGTGGTGGAAAGGGAGGAGATGACTGCAAAGGAGGCAACGGAGGCGGTCATGGAGGCGGTGGAGGCGGGGGCGACAAGCCGGGCGGTGACAAGCCTGGCGGCGGTGGAGGTGGAGGAGGCGGAAAAGGAGGCGGCGGCATGACGGAATGCAACTCGTTCCGCATGCGAGCCAAGGGCTCCGTCTCGGGCTGGGTCGGTCAACTGGAAAGCGGCCAGCTGAGAATCGGTCTCGAGCCTGTCATCCTCCGCATGGAAAAGGGCGAGATTGTCGATACCCGCCGACGCGGCATGTGGTGGACTCGTAAGTTTTGAACCATTCTCCCCTTCACTTCCAACAAAACAGATGGACTAACATGCTTGAACAGCTCCTACCGAGACACTCCAGTGTGATCCGGGACAGAAGCCCGACAAGGGTTGGAGCGTAGGCTGCGACGGCAAGATGACGTTCCAGGAGCAGACGCGGTACTTCCAGTGCGAGGCCGAGAACCAGACGTACAACCTATACAAGAAGAACGACCAGGGTGTCAACTGTGGTGAGATTACGCTCTACATGAGTGGTTGTGGACGTGGCGAGGGTATGGGTGACAAGCCTCCTGGCGGCGGCGGTGACAAGCCCCCCGGAGGAGGTGGAGGTGACAAGCCTCCCGGAGGAGGTGGAGGTGGTGGTGGCCACGGAGGCGGAGGGATGTCTCCTCCTGCTAATGGGACGGCTACCCCTCAGAACGGAACCAAGCCTATGCCGCCTCCTGGAAGGTGATTGTTGAGGTGAAGGATAGCAATCTCGAGCTCCGGTTGAGGCTTAAGATGTGTGTTGAGCACACTCGGACTGACTGAAGATTGATGTAGAAGACATCAGTCCTGGGGATGGATCGCTTCAACGCGGGACCACGACTTTGTTCACGCTTTGCATGCAAGATGTCCCGTAATAAGGAATACAAAGGGAGGATACTTTTCCTAATCAATACATGTACTCATAAACGCTTCGTTTCGATTCTGATGGCTATTCAGATCTGAATCTTCGGCCTAGTTCCTAAAGCAGACCTTGTTCTCCAAGTGAGAAAGAGTTCCATCCAAATGCTTATGACCCAAGTACTGACGATTGATAATCAATCGTCAAAATCCAAATCGTAATATTCGAAGAGATCCGGCTCATCCTCGTCATCCTCGTTCGGAATACCCAGAATGTCATTGGTCTCCTTGATCCAAGACGGCGTCGGACCCGTATTAGGTATCGCAGCCGGGACATCATAGTCATGAGCTATGACAGATTGAGTGCCTTCGCCCAGCCTGGCGCCCATCCAGGCATCCTTTGCGTTCGGCTTGAAGCGCGGATCCTTCATTTCCTCGACTTGAGGCGGGGGCATGGCCGGGTTCTATCCGGGACCAAGCACCCACGAAGCGGCGCTCGACTCTACAAAGCCAGTGAACTCGCCCTTCCTGCCCCACTGGGCGGTGCCAGTCTCGCAGGGCTCGACGTCGAGGATGGCCTCGTTGGTGTGGATGTCGTACGTGACCATGTTGCCGTTGCAATCGGGGCGTGTCTCGGCGATGGGGTTGGGCTCGCCAGTATACGGATCAATGAGGCAGGTGAGGCGGCCGATATCAAAGGGGCCAAAGTAGCCGTTGTGAGCGAGGGCGCGCGCGTTGCCGACCCTGACTGCGATCTCCGCTGGCGGTGAGAGAATGGGCCCGAGTTGAGGGCTCTGGAGCAGGTCCAAGTTCCAAGCAGGGCCCGGGTTCGCGAGCAGGTCGTTCGGGGGCAAGGAAGGAGGCGGGTTGTTGGCTGCGAACGTATTCATGGATGAGAATGCGCTGAAGAGTTCGTTCGGAGACATGGGAGGAGCCAGGTGGCTGAACGAGGGATCGATATTCATTCTCATGCTGCTCTGAGTCTGATGAACTTGGCTGGCCGGATGGCCGCGGTTCGTAACGATGAGCTCATCGCTGCTCGACTCGTCGGTGGTGCTCTCGAGAGACAAAGGAGGGGAATTGACACTTCGGAGGGCAGAGGGGATCGGGGGGCTGCTCGAATTCAGAGGCTTCTGCCGGCTGGCAATCTTAACGACTGAGGCTCTTCGATTCTTGTCCATCTCTGTTTCCGAGGTAGGAATTAGTGAGATGAAAAAAGAAGTAAGAAATGGTTAGCCGGGATGGGATGGATCTCACGAAGTCGCGCCTTCAAAGGGGGCTGCTGCCCGGACAAAAGCGCCGCCACCATCGGGTTCTGCACCGGACGGCCACTGGGGCTGAATGTCGTCACATTCGCTGAGATTGATTAGCGGAGAAGCGGGCAAGGTCATGAGCTTGGAGTTGAGACGTACGCAACGAGTGCTGCGGAGGTGAGATATTCATCACCGAGTGCTGGGGTACCCCGACCGGGCCGACAGGACTTGAAGTAGTGGATTCTGCTAGGTCAAATCAATGAGAAGTTCATCAAATAAATGGGTTTTGCTAATGGGATGAGACTCACGAAAATAATGTTGCAGAATGGATGGCGGTATCGTCTGATGAGATGGAGTTGTAGACTGGACGTTGGGGCATGAGTTCGCTGGGCTCGCTAAGTTTGATCAGTAAGGACTCGATCTGGCCAAGGAGTATAGGAAACGTACCGGGGCGGAGTTGTGAAGGTGAAGAAGATCCAAGGCCGGGACGGGGAGGTGTCGGCGCCTGGGTGCTCGGAGCTCTCCCAGCAGGAATACTCGCAGGAGCAGCGCCGCCACCGCCAAATGGGCCAATGAATGCGACAGGAGCACTGCCATTCATGCTATTTCTTACCGATGTATCGATCCGATGTCTTACTGTTGTAGGATTTCCACGCATCCGGTCCCCTTGATTCTGGAATTCATCTTCACCTAGGTGTGCTGTATTCTCTCGGTTGAGCCTTCTCAAAATCTTAGCCCGGGTCTGGACCTTCAGCTTTTCGTTTCGGTCCATCGGTATGTCTATGGCGGGCAGAAGATGGCTCCAGTTACTACGAGTAACGCGAATGTTTTGATTTCTGTAATTCTACTACTCGTTAGCTTCCATTTCTTGAAGGCTCTGTTATCTCTCAATTCGGTTAACGTGTGATAATATATCGATGACTTACTTACTCAAGGTGGAATATGATGGGAATGAGGGAGATGAGAGAGATGATAAGGCAGAAGAGATGTGGAAAGTAAAAGCGGGATTCAATGTGGGAAGGATATAGCTTGAGGGTATGACTGCTTAGCCATCGTTCACAGCCTGTCTTCGAGGCCCATAAAATATCGAGGCACCTGGCCTGACTTCGAGAGGAGTCCTGGACACTGTGGAAGAGTCTTGCTCCGAGAAAGGACGCACATCGCCCGGCTGGTGCATTCAAATTAATGGGTTGTCGTGGCTATGGTGTATGACCTCAGTCTGCTTAACAAGGGAGCATGAGGCCATGAAGCTACAAGACCTCGATTTCTTTGACAACTTGTACTAAGAGCAAGGCGTTGTGCTCGCGTTGATCGAGTCCTGCCGAGACACGTCTATGCTACAAGTCAAGTCAAGATGAGACTAGAGAAGACTACAGGATTCTAGTTGAGACTCGATGCAGAGGATGACGAGTAGCTCCCAACTAGAAAGGCGGATAAAGACGTAGCAAGTAGTTTATGAGAGAAGTGACAGAACAATTTAGACGGTAGCGTATCGTACATTTGCCTTTGTTCTCGTTGTTTCGACTAATCCTGCGCACGTAGCAAGACTCTACATGTATCCCAACATGTAGAAAGTCATCAAGAGAAAGGATGGGTATGTGATAAAAGTAAGGAGATACGACTTGGGCCCTGTTGTGAGCCAACAGTCCTCGAACTTTGCATGTACTCTGGTTCTGCTAACTAGAATGGAGAATATTCAATCTTCGCCGTGTCTATCAAAATATCTCTATCACTTGTGGTTGGATGAAGTCGAAGAAGCAACGTTCCTCGCTCTGAAGGCTCTCATCGTCATCCAAGTCGTCAAATGTAGTCTCCAACTCCAACTCAAACGTGCCAATTCTTTTGTAAGCTGGCACACCATTCAACGAACTTCCCCCATTCATCTTGACCGGCTGTAGAATCAATCCGAGTATAGTCCAGTCGGCAGAGTACCCGCGCACTCTCTTGATCTCCAGTGCCACGTACCCCTCAGAGCCTGCAGACTTGACGTCTACTTCATCTAGGCAATCAAGGTGACAGCTGATGTTTCTGGTACCCATGAGCTTGGCCCCTGAATCGAGAATGCCTTGTGAGCTCTGAGGACTAGTTATATCAAAGGCATCTTCCGGATCATTCTCCGAGTTCCCTGTCAAATTATTGATGAGGGTGGCCGCCGCAAGTCTCCCACGGAGTCTAAGCCGACCTGAGTCGCCACGGACGTCGCCGTAGGGAGCTTTCTTGTTCACTGGCTCGGCCGAAACAGACATGACTTCGGCGTGGTAGACTTCTGTCGCATCCGTCACATCGCCATCGAATGTAGGGATTTCCCAACCGTCACCCAAAGCCACGTAAGCTCTCACACTGCTATTGACGGCAAACCATGACCACGAAGGCCCCTGATAGACCGCAGCCCGATTTAGCCGCTCATCCTGCTCCACTCTCCAGAGCAACTCGTCGCGAATGCTCCTTTTCCAGAGACCAGCGGCGTACTCATCGCCAGTCAACACGGCGAAGCGCTCCGCGACTCCCGACATGGCCAGAGCACGATCAGTGTTGAAGGATAGAGTACGGCTGGTGTAGATATCTACCAGAGCGCCCCACGGGGATGGAGTCTTTGAGCAGTAGCCCCAGTTGAACGAATCCTGCCTGAGGTCATTGGGCTCTGCAATCTTTCTCCAGCCGTCGGTTGCACCCTCACCGACGTCGAGACCGTATAACGTGTCGTTCCCGGTGATTGATGGAATTGATTCTTGACAGCTCCATCTAGTTTGCCGTGTTCCGAACTCGACGATCCTGAGAGATAAAAGACGTTCTTGGAAAGTCCACCCCCGCTCATCAATAGGTTCGTGCCCTGTCTCCATCTCGATCAAGATAATCGATCCCATCTCACCCTTTTCAGACTGCCATGAGAGAATAAACGCTTGATCAGACTCTTTGAACGACTCTCTGTCCTGGAGGAACCCTTCCCACGCAGTCTTGGCTCTGGATGCCATAACGGTGAAAGACGCTTGACCATAGATGTACGGCATCTTAGCGATTTCCAGAATCTTCTCGTCGTTTCCTTCATTTTGAATGATGCATAGAGCATCGACCCAGATATACTCGACTCCGAGCTGCGAGCAGACTTTGACGGCGTCCTGTATAGTCCGAGGCAGCTTCTCAAAGGGAATATCCTTTTTGAATGCCTCTAGCGTAGACATTTCGCATTTCACCGTCTGGTTGCCGCCCCAGCAATAGCTCAAAGCTGCGAATCTCGGTAAAGGGTTCAGGTTCGCCGTATCTTGCAAACGCAGCGAAAAGCTTCCAGCTGTAGAGTTTGCACCAATATAAATCAGCCTAACAGGCCTGAGTGCCGACGGCCCAGACTGCGTCTTCAGCTCTCTACACTTCTCGTGCTTAGCCTCGCAGTCTGCCAGCCATGACTTCACTGCGGGCAGACAATTCGCAGGATCATTCTGTATTGGCCGGGTCCAGAAGTCGCTGGCTGCCGCGTTATCATGAGGCGTACATATCTGCAGACCCTTGACCGTCCTATACGAGACGAGCTTTGTGCGCGGGTCCCAAAGCCCAAAGTATTCTATAGTCAGGACGTCTGGCGTGTGGTCACCACCCATACGGAACGGGGGATTCGTCTCGGCTACGAGGACGTAGTCGACGTACCCATCGCTGCGGCTCTGGACGGCATGGCGCATGGAGGGAAGCCTGCAGTCCGGGTCCTTGTCAATCTGGCCGTGGAACTGCTCGAGCTCTTCTAGGTCCATCTGATAGACCTCGCCAGATATGTTGTCGACGCATTCACCAATGTCTGGTCTTGCGATGCACTCCCCGTCGAGGATCCAGTCTATGAAGGCACATGTTTTCTGCTGAACATGCAGGAGATCCGTGAGACTGGCGTCGAAGACGATCTTGTTCCACCTTGCGTCGTGTCTATCGCTCCGATCCCGACGCGGAATATCGGCTTCGGCGTGTATGACGAGGAGCCTGCGACACCACTCGCATGAGTGAGGCTCTGGTGATGGTGAGGGCATGATAGGCGAAGACTTCTCGTTATCAAGGCATCATAGTACTGGAAGGGCACTGAGAGCGAACTCGGCAAATATTGGCCGTGATAACGAGCTATTGGGTTGACGTCGTAGCCCTACTATCGGCGAGTGGTGTGGACTAGATTGAATCCGCATATCCAATAGGCACTTGACTGTTGATGCGCGATTGTGGATGCCTGCAGACTTATGCATGTCAGACAATTGACCAGGGGCTTGTCAATTCAAGGGGCGCCGGAAAGCGGTCTCGACTAAGACCTAGTTGAGTGAGTAGATATAATTCGCCTTCTTGAGGTGGCGATGAGGATCTAGGAATTCCTGCGTTGACGAAGAGTGTATTCACAATGATTACTATGTTGGGTCGTGATTCCCTCACTTCTTGAGAAGATCCTCAACCTGCGAGGTGATGTCCACCATCGGGAAACTAGTCCTATTCCCAGAAGTAGAGCCTGCGACAGGAGCATCCGCAAAGAACTCCTCAACCATGAACAGACTGTCGCCAACTTGTACCGGAGCAGTGACAATCCCTCCTTGAGCATCAGTGGAATTATTCGGTACCGTGCCAAGGTGCTCGGCAGACTTCCAGGACCCATCTTTTGACCGCAAAACAGTCACGCCTTTGGTATTCTCAGCGATGAGCAGCACCTTTCCACCGTACCTTGGTGGAAGATAGATGGCATCGGTGCCCGCCAGCGTCACATTCGGCGACCTCGGCACGAGCACGGGAGCGCCCTTGTCCGCTTTCATATCGAACCGGTAGATCTGGGCGTCCTCGTTATTGTTGGACAGCAGGATATTGCCAGTGGCTGCGAGGCCGGAGAAGCCCATCTTCGTGTGGTCAATTTTCGCAGGGAGGTACCACGGGACGACGGCAGAGCCTTGGCGGTCGACTTTCATGATTGTACCCGGGAACGAGCCAACGACGTAGGTGTTGCCGTGTGTGTCGTGCTCAATGTCCTGGAAGCCTCCGTATTCCCCTTTGGTCACGGCCGTGATGTTCTTGTTCCACAGGACCTGCTTTTTTGCCGGGTCGTACTTGATGATGAAGTTGTCACCCGACACATCTTTGCCGCCAGTATTAAAGGGGGCAGCGGCGTCGACTACAATCGAGACTAGTTTGGTGCGAGTGTCTACCTGCACACCACCGATATGTAAGGCAGGGTTGTGTGTGATGCCGTCGAACGTCAAGATATCGAGGACGGTGTCCTTGTAAGGATCGTAAACTACAACGCTAGCATTGAAGAGTGATCTTGCCTCTGCCTTAGCACCATGAATTATGTGTGAGTGATACATGTAAGCTTACCCAAAATAGACGATGCAGTTGTTGACGTCCCAGTCCGCATTTTCGGGATAGAGTTGGTACTGTTGAACAACAAAGCTGCCCTTCTTCAGAGGCGGACATTGTCTCGCTGGCTTCGGAGAGCTTTCTGCTTGAGAAATCATGCACAGAAGGAAGGCGAGAGCTACTGCTACGTGCTTGAAGCTACTCATTGTAAGCTGCGTTGAACGCCACGGGCGTTACGGCAAGTTGAAGAAAGTTAGAAACGAAAGTAGTGAGAACGATGACGGAAACAAGACTCTGGGCATTTTCAGCTACCAAGATGGATGACCACCTCCTAAGTATCATCTTCAGATGACGATGAACATGGGTCAAGTAGACGACTAGACTCCGCTCTCCTTGAAATCCAGGTGGATACTACTCGAAAGAGCTGCTGGTGGTCATTTACTCATATAAATGCTTGCATTCCCGTCGTAAGGAGAGATGTTGAACGCCACATGGTGTCTGGGACAGGACCCCTGATTAGAAGGGATGACCTTGGATGGCCCGAACCCATCCGGCACCGTCCCGGGATGATAGAACCGGCAGTTATGAGAGCATTGTCTGGGCGTTTGAGGTGACAGGCAGGTTCCGGATGTCGACATCGGCAATGGCCAGACAGACAAGCTTTGATCGGAAATTGGATGGATATCGACTCGTTCTTCAGTGTTGCATTTGGAGTCTTGGACTGCTGAGATTGCGGAACTTCGTCACTGAGTTCTTGAATAAAGTGACTGTATATTACATCAAGGTTGGTAAGCATTTATTCAACTCGCTTGGGCGATTTGTCAGTCAAAGTCATATAAGAAGCTCAACGGCAAAAGTAAGCAAGGTGGCATTTCCCCGTATGAGGAGTTCGTGGTTTGCGCTGGCCCACTTGGAAATGGAATTGAGATGTTCGGCGAGCCCTGTAGCTTGCCCTTTGATGGCCGTTAAGTTTGCAGCAGGGTCCACCTGTCGAATTTCACAAAGTTTGACGAAGCTTTGGGGAGAAATGCCCGCCAATCAGTCCGACGTTGGCGAGGCGGCGCAACGTGGAAGCAAGGATGAGTCGCTGGCTGAGTAGCAGACATGGTGAAGTCAAGATTGAGAGGCTTTGAGGTCACGAAAAGACCATCTATGATATGACGGCTCATGAAGCATGTGAGGATGGCAATTGAATGCAAAACACTGGATTGATGGAAAAGCCCATGACTGAGAAGATGTGCAAGTGAATGTTCCTTCGTCCAACTTTCCTGAGCTCCTTCCTGGGTGCAACGTTTCGACCCACTTGGCGCGCTGTTAAGCTTCTGGCCCTTTCTCGCTAGTTTATCCAAAAGGGGACAGCGCTAGGCGATAATCGGCAGGTATGCAAACAAATAACGGGTCTTCGGCGCTAAGCTGCCGCACTGCGGGGATGCTTCTAGCGGGGTGTACCTAAGTATCTCATTGTATGGTTCTTGAATGCTTGAATCCTTCCATTCCCATATTCCTTTTCATCAAGCTTTTTTATTATCGTCGACGAGACCGCTCTGATTCGATAAGAAGATGCAAATACCCTCCCACTGGTTCTAATTCGGTTCATGCTTGATTACTTACTGGTTCTCGCCTTTTGGTAAGATTTCTCAGGTCTTTCTAATCGCCGTTGCGCGGATCCAAGCAATTATTCAACAAGTGGTCAGCACTTGGAACTCTACTACCACCCATCACCTTGCCAAGACTTGCCAATGAAATGGCCCGAAAGCTCGAGGTTGGCCATCGGGCGAAAACTAGCAGGCCCCCAGGCCTGGGTCCCATCTCTCTCTCTATCTCAGTGCCTCTTCCATCTAGGCGGCAGCAGTGAGACACGCATCTCGACTTTCGCCAGCTCCAGCCTCCTTGCTTCAGACAAGGGCCTCATTCATATACGAAGTCCAATAGCGGAATAGGCCGTCTCGGCTACACTTGGTACAAGCAGTCATCGTCACATCGGCCGCTTGCCCATCTGCCGGTGGAAGATCAATTCGATCAATTCGATCAATTCTTTAATGGTCATCCATGACCCACACCCAGAGCACGGGTTTCATCGCGAACTTTACCACAGCAAGTCTGACATGAAGCAGAGAGGCGTTTTCGATGAGCATCTCATCAATCAGTAGGTATCCGTACTCCCTAAAGAATGCGCCTCGGCTGGTTTCCCTGGTCAGCCACACGTGGACGGGCCATGGGGTTGGTCGTCGTTCCCACTGAGATCGCAGGTATCCAAGGGGGGCCCCATCTATGATCTGGGCCGAGCCATAGGGGCTCAAGCCACTCGGCATCGCCCCTGAGAAAGCTTACTTCTGCTCAAGCGTTCCCGCATGTATCCGTTTTACCTAGCCACCGAACGTTGTGTGCCGCGATTTGTCAATATTCGGCCTCCCTTTTCGACTCAGCTTCCTCTCTATCTCCCCAGACTGCACGATATGCCTTATGATCCGCTCACTCTCCAAGTGGACCAAAGAAGACCTTACAATGTCGTGAGTTAGAGATCGAACGGCCCGTCCCACGTATCGCGTAGCGTACAATGGCTCTGCTTTGGAGGCGACCGGAATCCTCAGAAACAGGGTACCAGCGCGTTTCTTCTGGTAGCCAAGACCCTGGGCAGGGCGTTTCGCAGCACGCCTAGCTCAATGGAACATGTCTAGCCCTCCGAGGCATCCCTTTTCTGATATGCAGAACCGGCGCTTGTGCAGGCTGACAAGTCGGTTGTTGAATGCGACGCCAAATCTGTACCTATGGCCGTCGCACAAGTGTTATCTGATATTCCTAGCCACTTGGGCGAGAGATGCTCTTCCGTCCCAAGACATGGCGTATTAGAAGCACAATGTCACCCACCAAGACCGTCTTATCGTCTGCCCTTTCGATTTCCTACATATTTCGTCCGTTGTGTCGCATTTCACAGGCGTCGTGCGTCGGACTGTTACTGTCTTGCTTTCCGTTTCGAATTTGATCTTCCTCCTCTTTCACCCTTTCGTTTCCAGCTTTTCTAGCGCTGCTGCTGTTTTAGTGGTATTCGCGCTTCGATATCACCCACTCCACGCCTTTTCGTACCGGCTGGTTACAGTCAATCAATTTCTCTGGTTGTCAAGATCTGCAATGAAGGCATTTCTTGCACGGGATAGAGTTGCCGAGTCTGCGTCTACGTCCGATGACGAGACTGTAGTCGCCGTACAAGATGGAGTACGCTTGAATGCCGCAGGCTACAAGGATCAATTGAATCGCCAATATGGTTTCTTTGGACTGGCAAGCATGGCTCTGACGGTGGACAACGCCTGGGTCGCCTTGGGATCGTCCATCTCTGTGTCAATCCGTAAGTTTTACTAACTAGACGCCTATTGTTTGCAAGCCGGACGTTGTAACGAGCCGGGATCAATCTAGTCAACGGTGGCCCACCCGGCATCATTTACGGCCTTCTCGTCGCCGTCTTTTACTACTCCCTCATCGGCTTGAGTTTATCAGAGGTTTGTCTTCTCTTATCTCAGTTCTTGCAACTACCTCTCTCGTTTTCCAAAACAATGTGAATCACTGAGCCTGACGCCTTTCTCCAAGCTCGCTTCGTCAGTCCCCACCGCGGGCGGCGTCTACCACTGGGCCACCATCGCCGGCGGCCCTCGCTGGGGCCGGGTACTCGGCTTCTTCACCGGGTGGATCAACTTTTACGGCTGGCTCTTCTCGCTCGCAGCCCTGCTGCAGATCTCGAGCAATGTGGCCGTGAGCATGTACGCCGTCTGGAACTGGGATTCCTACGTCAGCCAGCCCTTCCACGTCTTCATCGGGTACCTCATCATCCTCTGGGGGTGCGCGGCCTTCATTGTCTTTGCCAACAAGTATGCTCCGTACACTCAGCAAGCCGGAACAATTTTTGTTTTGGTCGGAGGCGTCGTCACCATTATCGTTTTGGCGGCGATGCCGAAGCAACATGCGAGCAATCACTTTGTATGGGGCTCTTTCGATGAGAACAATGCCACAGGGTGGTCAGGGGGCGTTGCTTTCTTGCTGGGCGTTCTCAATGGTGCCTTCACGATCGGGACTCCTGACTCGGTAACCCACATGGCTGAAGAGATGCCACATCCCAAAAAGGACCTCCCAAAGGCTATCCTTTTGCAGATATCCCTGGGCTTCGTCTGTTAGTCAATAGTCTGCCAGTATGTTGAGCCCACGACTGACCATCAATAGATGCCTTTTGCTTCGCCGTCGCGTTGTCGTATGCCATCACGGACATAACGGCTCTCCAAGGCGGTTTCAACTCCTTCCCGCTGACCAACATTTATGTGCAAGCCACTACGAACAGCGATGGAATTCGGAATCCGGGCGCAGCGTTTGGTCTGCTATTCATCATGCTGGGCTGTACGCTGACGTGTTGCGTGGGCCTGACTTTGACGGTGAGATTACCATCCACTTGAGCTTGTGAGGTTCCAGTTGCTGATATCGTTCTCAGGTTTCGCGAACCTACTGGGCGCTCGCACGCGATAATGCTGTGCCACTCTCCAATGTCTTCGCTCAGGTTAATGAGCGCCTGAGCTGTCCTATTTGGTCAACCTTGTTTGTCTGTACGTCACCGCGTTCTCGTCTCCCCCCAACCTCAATGATTCAGAGATTAACATCGATGTTCAGGTGTCGTCGCAACCGGTCTGGGTGCCATACCCCTCGGAAGCTCAGCAGCCTTCCTAGCACTGGCAAGCTCGTTCATCATTCTGACATCCGTCTCATACGCCATCCCATTCGCAGCAAACATGCTCTCGAGGCGAAAGTACTTCCCTCGTGGACCCTTCCATCTAGGAAAGGCGGGATACATTATCAACGGACTGGCTGTGCTATTCATTGTCTTATTTGATATCATGTTCTGTTTCCGTAAGTCCTTGTCCGATCCATAAGTCTGGCCAAGCCCTAACGAGTACATCAGCATTCGTGTTGCCCACGACAGTAGCGACGATGAACTGGAGTGCAGTCATTTTGGTGGGAACGGTGGCGATTACGGGACTGTGGTGGGCGGTCCACGCGGTCCATCATTATCCTGGACCCAAGGTGATGGATCTTTACATTGCTACCGAAGGTGTAAGCCCCATCGCTACGGAGAAGAACACGACGACTGTCGCTTCGTCAGAGCTGAAGGAACCTCACGCATTGCAATGAAGATTAAGGTACTTATTAGAGTAGACGGCAGTTGATGGAACTAAGATATGATGTGATCAGCTTATATTGGATATCTAAGCTCTTTGAAATGGAAGGGACCAAAGATCATATCTTGACGCGTCCCTCAAAAGCAGACCGAGAGCCACACCGAGAGCTCCGCGGAAACTCGGTGAATTGACCAACCAGACAGGATCAAACTCATCTTACGATACGTACCCCAGAAATGGATGCGTCATGGTCCCTGTCGTCCTTATCGATAAGAATTCCATCGTTTGCCGCAAGGAATCTCGAGCTTCCTCGGTCGCATTTCTCTCTTTCCCGCCAATTCTCCCATTCGATCCTGATTCTCCCTTCGACTTCCCCCCTCCGATTCTCGCCCACCACATTACACCAATCAGTTTCGAAGTAATGGGATCCTCTTCCTCAAAGGCCGCGCAAGGCGTAGCTCGCAAATTCCCGACCCGCGCTCCGGGCGCCGTACCACCACCGTCAACCGCCGCGAGAGCAGCTCCCGCTGCCCCTCCAACGCAGCCTGCGCAGGCCCAGTCACAGGCGAAGACGGCGACACTCAAACCAGAAGGTCAGTTTGAACTCTCACACACTGGACTTCTCGATCAATCATGACCTCAAAGCTGACCGCCAGGACCCAGATCTCACATCCGCCACAACCACAAACCCCGAGGTCACCGCCGAATTCTCCTCGCGCCTCCGCCAAATGGGCATCGTCCAGCCGAACCCAACCTTCTCCTCCACATCAACAGCCAGCGCCGGCCCCGCTCCCGTCGCAGGCAGCCGCCCCGGTCCGAGTCCTCACGCCGACCTAATCCAGAACCCGGGCCCCTTGTTCCCGTCAACATCCCGCAACGCGACGCTCGGCACTCTCGAAGCCCGCCGCCGGCTTCAACAAGAGGCCGATGCCGAGTTTGACGGGCTCGGACGCAGCAGCAGTGGCGGGAGGGAGTTCTTGGATCTCAAGACGATTATTCAGATGCACCTGATGCGCGAGAGGGGACACTCGCCCGCTGAGATTGAGGCGAGGCTGGATTTGAAGGCTGGAGTTGTGGCGAGGTTGGGACGTATTGGGATCACGTCGCCTGCTTGAGTTGGCATTCGCGCAGAGAGAGTGTGTTTGTTGGGAAAAGTTGTTGAAGGTGTATAAAAATTGTAATTATAGGTATACTGCTCTACGAAAACCACAAAAGCTCCCAAACTCCTCCATAGTCTTTGGAAATAATTAACGACTAATCATCAAAAGACCCCAAAAACAATCATTAAGCCCGCTTTTCCTTTTCCAGTCTGTCCCGAGGTTTTTACCAGGCGCAGTGTCCACCATCGATGCGCAGGTCGCTGCCCGTCATGAAGCTGCTGGCGTCGCTGAGCAGGAACACGGCGGCGCCGCGGTATTCGCTGGGCTGGCTGAGCCTGTTGAGCATGTTGTGCTTGGGCCACTCGACCTTGCGCTCCGGGTACTCCACGAAGAGCGCCTCGACCATGGCGGTGACGATGTAGCCGGGCGAGATGGTGTTGACGCGGATGCCGTGGGCGCCCCATTCGGCGGCCAGGTTACGGCCGAGCTGCAGGACAGCAGCCTTGGAAGCGTTGTATGCGCTATAGTACCAGTATCAGCCATCTTGATACTGTTTTGATGGAAATCAAGTTTGTAGGTATAAGAAAACTTACGGGCAGATCAATCCTCTGTTGGCAACGGTGCCGCTCATGCTGGCAATCAAGACGATGCTGCCGCCGGTGCCGAGCCGAACCATCTGGCGCGCGACGGCCTGGGCGGTCATGAAGGAGCCGGTGACGTTGACGCCCATCATGCGGTCGACGTCCTCGGCCTTGTACTCGAGCGCGGGGGTCTCCTGTTGGATGCCCGCGGCGGCGATGAGGCCGTCCATGCGGCCGTGCTGGTTGGCGATGCCCTCGACGATGTCGTTGAGCTGTGCGACGTCGCGGACGTCGACTTGGTGGTAGGAGAGGGAGGTGCCGAGCTCGGCGGTGGCGCGGAGGGCGACCTTTTCAAAGTCGGGGTCGGGGGTAGGGAGGCGGTCGATGGCGTGGACTAGGGGTCGATGTTAGTCTTGCGCTTTGCATTTGTGTAATGACACATCTATAGAGTATATGTCTCTCTTAAAGAAAAGACAGGGAGGGAGAGAGAGTTGAAGATTGTTAGAAGAGTTGATTCTTTACCTATTGCGCCAGCTTCGAGGAGAGCCTCAGCCTGCGTGAGGCCGAGTCCGCGCGCGCCACCAGAGACGACAATGACCTTGCCCTGTAGGCTGAACTCGGGGAGGCCGCGGGCGACCTGGGGGGTCGTGGCCCCGAGGCCGAGGGACTTGGGGGTCGAGTTGAAGCTCCTCTCCTGCGCGACGAGGGGGTTTGCGGGTGCCACGACGGGGGCTTCGACGGGCTGTACTGCGAGTCTGGGAAGTTTCCTTGGGGTCAGATGAGGTCCAATGAGACGGAGTGGCCGGACGCGGGTTAGGTACCGTGACATGTTGCTGCCGGCTTCAACGAGAGCTGCGGGAGACATTTTTCTTCTGCTGTGTGTTTTTGGTGGAAGTTCCTGGGTAGGAGGATGGGAGGGAAGAGGCCTTCTTGTTGGCTTCTTCAGGTATCTAGATGATGCGGTTGGTTCCGTGAGAGGTAGTTTGATGACGGAGGTGGTTGATGCTAGTTAAAACTAAGACGGGCCGAGATGGGAGGGTGTGTTGGACCAAATAGAATGATGGTTGAAAGTCGATGGAACTCTGGTATAGCTTGCTTATTGTCTATAAGACGAGAGGAGTGATGATGATGAAAAGTGTGTGTGATAGTGAAGAGAGACTAAGAGGTTAGGACACCATCGTGAAGCCGTCCTCTTATACATCGTCGAGCTCTGCCTTTCACCCTTTTCCCAATGGGATGAGCTTCCCCGCACCCACGTCTCGTCCCATTGCTTCCCACGCCTCTCACACCCCCTCACCGTCTAAGTTCTTCCCGTCATGCCATGACCCTTGGCCCATACCCCCATGGGCCATGGCAAGATCAAGATCAGCAATCCCGAGCAACAATGAGCATCCGTTTTAGCAACCAACGGGCTAGCGCCGGCCGCGGCGGGCGAAGGAACAAGGGGATGGGATTGGACTGACGGGGGAGCTTGCGTTATGGTGAGCTGTCTAGGATTGTCTATACTAGGTCGTATGTATCGTCTCTGCCGGTTCCGGAAATGGACTGGTGACGAGACGTCGGGCTCGCTCGTGTGCCGTCAAGTTACCGGTAACACGTACTGCAGTGTGTCTAGTGTGCGGTATCAAGCTCGAAGCTCCCTTCGCCTCATCTTTTCTTAGAAACGGAACCCCTAACACCACTGTTTTTTTTGCTGCTCGTTGGAGTCTCTGCGGGACCTGCAAATCTAAGGTTTGTCCATCCACGCCGGCGGGTACGTTTCGTTGCATGCCATGGGCAGCATGTGCAGCAATGGAGCTCCAGACTTCTCTCTCATCGAGGGCTAGAACCTTCAAAGATGGGTCTGCGATGTCCGAGACAGGTCATGCGGGATGTCAGATTTCAGAATAGAGATTGGAACGCCCCCGCCTTGCCCCCGTGTTCCCGTGTCTCTGTGTCTCTGTGTCTCTGCATGGACTCCCCCCGGTTCCCTGGTGCCAAAACTGGTTCCAAAAGCTCCGGGAAAGCAGTTGGACGCGCTCCCGCGTGAGAGTCTAGTCTTTGCTTGGGTGAGAGACATGGGGACATGGAGACATGGGAACATGGGGGCGGGCAATCGGGAATACTCCACCTTTGGACCCCTCCGCGCGCGGCGGAAACTCAACCGGCTGCCCGCGGTGCGGAAAATCGGTTGGTTTACCGAAAGAACCACATCACGATTCACCACTTTTTCAAGTTTTCACTGGCATGAAACGGAAAATGGCAGGTTCAACTACCACCCGTTGGGCTGCGAGACGCCCCGACATGTCTGAGCTCTGATTCTCTGAGTCTTTGAGAAGGGTTCTGGTAAGGCTCTCGTGGGGCTTGGCTCCATTTCTCATTCCCATACTCATCTCTGGCCACAGCCGCCACACTATTGGGACGGAACTGCGGATGTTTGTTTCTTGAGCACTCAGACTGTCAGAGACTCAGATTTGTATTGTGAAGCTTCGTGAGAATGGAGCAGAAAAAATCAAGGGACCTAAACTGGGTCTGAACTGCAACGTAGGGTCCAGAACTCATATCCACCCCCATTATCATCCCTGCCTCTCAGTTCTAGAGTCCAGACCAACATTCACAGATACCTGAGTAACCTTACCTGGGCGGCGGAAACCTAACACGTCGGTACACATCCAGATAGCCACTACTACGCACGCTAGACACTGGACTGCGCATGTCAACCAAACAGAGACTAATACGGCAAGGTAGAGACTTTCGAGCGGTGGGGAGACAGCTGCGTCCGGGGGAGAAATGCGGAGTGCAGTGTTGCTTTGCGCATGCGGTCCCGGTCCACCGGATTGCTCCTTTAGGAAATCCGAGCTGCTCATCCCTTTCTCGTCCCTCCTTGATCCCTCCTCATCCCTACTCACCCCTACTCCATGCCTTTACTCACTGATACCAGAGTGGCAGAAGCTCAGAATGAGCATCAAACTATTTGCCTTTTGTGATCATGTGTGTTGTATCTCATTGCCTGCGCCACCAACAGACTGGAACCCAACAAAATGAAGAAGCAAAACCCAAAGATCGGTCAGCAAACCCATCGTTCAAATGTCAGACAATTCAAGCATCTGATGTCTTCGTGACGCCGCAGGATGAGCTTGCCCCCCCTCCCCACCATCCTCCCCCTATCCCGTGCTCGGCTCCGTACGGATATCCCGTAGGCTATCCCGTACCGCAAATCCGCAACCCAGCACCCCGGGGCCAGAACAACACAACGCGCAAGCCTGCGAGGGTCTGATGCTCTCGTGACTCTCAGGACCATCGTGAACTATACCGACACCTCCGGCCAAGACCCAAAAGACCACTTATCCTCCAGCCTCTGCACCCCGGCGCCGCCCTCGCCATCGCCCTCGCCGGCCCCTTCCCTGGCGATCCACCGCTGCACGCTCCAAAACGCCTTGAGGTACGATATTCCCAGCGCGAAGTCCTCGAACCCAATCGATAGCCCAGTTACGGCCATCTTCCTCCTCACGAATCTGCCCTTGGCATCCGCCGCCGCGTTCGGGACCGCCACCAGCATCACCCAGAGGAAGATCCCCGGGATCCCCTTCCACGTCGTCATGCTCACGCTCGTCAGGCTGGCATACGCCGCCTGGAGCATATCAGCGTCGTCGAAGCGCGAAATCTGGCGCAGAGACTTGATGGACCAGCTGTAAATTACGGCGGCGATCCTGACGGTTTCGTGGATCCGTTCCTTTTCGGAGAAGTAAGAGGCGACTTCTGTGGGTCTGGCTGCTGATGTTGCTCCTGCTGCCGCTGCTGTGCCTTGTTCCCGCAGCTTGTCGTACAGCCATGATGCGGTTGATCGAATCTTTGATTTGCTCGCCGCCGAAGTCATCGCCGATGCCGATGTGGCGGACTCCGTGAGAAACCGCACGTCGTCCAGGATCTTGGCCGTCGCGCCGCAGATGCCGAGCTTCTCTGCGATGCTCTCGAACCGCGGTGCGGGCGCCAGTAAGGGGCTGTCATAGCAGTCTGGCCAGGTCGTCGGGACAGGTATCTCTTCGTCACGCGCTGGGTCGTTCTCTAACCAGTAGAGATCCGTCTCAAAGGCACAAGCAATCTCATAATCAGTCCTTTCAGAGGTTATCAGTACTTACAAATTGCTTCAAGCTTGGACACGAACTCATTGGACTTACAGAATTATGATTGATTCGCCTACTATATCTCTCAGCCCTCGCATGCCTTTACGGAGTTTGATCATGCGCTTGATGCCTCTCATGTGAGCAAACATGCTCTCGTCGGCTCCCCAAAACCACTTTGAGAGGAAAATCAGTTTCTCGTTGGGAATGGTTCACGAAGCTGTGACCAGGACAAGACGCTGCACTCACCTCCATGACGACCAGATTCACAATGCACCGGACCATCTCAACCGCGATAGCGTCGAACGGTCGCCGCATGTAGTCCGCTATCATCGACAGCACCCAGGACTTTAGGGCGAGCGACTCGGGGCTCTTTGCCACTTCTGTCCCTCGCTCAAGCGACTGGGTCATCGAGGACATGAGGATGCCGATATTGGGAAACAGAGGGGATTGCAGCATCCAAGGCAGGACCTCCTTGAGGAACACGGGTGGCTGACTCTGGCCATCAATCGACACCATGTTGGGTGCGACAAAGTGAACATCTGTGGGCGGTCTCGTCAGCTACCAATGCTCCAAGTGATGATGATACTGGCCATCTTACAGAAGTGTAAAAGCTCCGTCGTTCTGGGCCCTTCCGGGAGTGGCATGCCGTGAAGGGTCGTAACTTCAGTGAGGATACCACCGATCGATGCGATACCGTTATGGAAGAAGGCATGGGGATCACCATCTCCATCGAGAAAGAGGTTGGCGCGAGTCTTGCCCTTCAACATGGCCCTCTCATCTTCTCGATGGTCCTTACAGCAGTCTCCTCCATGGCGTGCGTGATCATGGGCCGCAAGGCATCTCGACCTTAGCTGCTCCCTGCAGCGATTTCGAACAGGTAGTCGACCGGGTAAGTCCAGGGACGCGATACCGGGTAGCGAAGTGACACAGGGACCGTGTGAGATCACCTCTGTCTGCTTCTCCGATTTCGTGGAAAGCGAGGACAAGTCAAAGGTGAGGACCTGTGTTTCGTACACCGGCTTTGGGAGACATGGTCCAAGTTGGACAATGGTACACTCCACGGGAGGGAACCGCCTCGAGCAGTTGACGCACTGCGTCTCAGGCTGTCGAATTATGCACTATGACATGTCCATCCTGTCAGTCTTGCATGAACTCGATGGGATTCAAGTGATCAGGTTCGGGTCGTTCCTGGGTATGTGATGCCGTTACATGGCGGGTGACTTGGTGTTGATTTGTGTTGGACTTTTGGTCAACTCACCTTCTGCTTCCGCCTTTGACACTCGGTGCACGATTTCTGGAGCCTCGCCCGTCTCTTCGCGGCGGTTGGCGGCTTTGACGATTCAGAGGCCATGATATTCGATTCATGATACTCAGCTCAGCATGTTGAAGATGAAGCAAAAGTGAGAGGGGAACGAAGCACTAGATCCGGCCTTTGAACCACTGACACGCTCTCAATTCAGCCACGGCTGAGGGCTGAATGAGATATAGGTCCATGTCTCGATTGAGAGATAGTACGGGATAAGATGAGTGGACGAGCACCTGAACCAACAGGCCGCTTTTGACATTTTCTCAGCACATTGTTTGCTCTGTCTCTTTTGTCCCTTTTCGGATTGATGCATTTTGATGCATTCAGCGCCGACTTTCCCCCCTCATTTTGTGTCTCACGAAGGTCACGTACGATTTGACGATTTGTTTCCGTTACTGTGAGGCGTCGCACTTTAGAGAGATCGACACCAGCTGGCGGCGCTTACTTGCATGAAAAGGCTGCCTGCGGGACGGGACACGATCTGTGGGTGAGATTATACCCGGCGGTGAGACGGAACGGAAGGTGCGAGATGAATCCAGCATTTGCGACAGTTTTTTCCACCCTAGAAGAAGAGAAATGAGTTTCTATAATAGAAAATGAATTCCGCATCACGACATTTGCGTTCTTTCTTTCGCCATCGAGCGCCCGTAGTCAATTACATTCATTTCGAACCTCAATGACAATTATGACCGGTCAGACGCCAACGAATATCACCGGTGGCTGCCTCTGCGGCTCGGTCAAGTACACCGTTGCCGGCGGATTCGGATTCGGAGTTGTCTGCCACTGCAACAGCTGCCGCAAATTTACGGGTTCGTCCTTCGGCGCGAACAGCTTAGTCGAGACAAAGGTACGATAAGATTCCCGCATTCCGAGTTTCCAGCTATCAGTTACTTATCAATTATCCAAAAAATCTAGAACCTCACCGTCGAAGACCCGGAGAAGAAGATCAAAGTCTACAAGGCCGGGACGTCCAACTCGGGCAACTCGCTAGAGCGCTCGTTCTGCGGCGCCTGCGGCTCTTCGCTGTTCGTCGTCAGCGAAAAGGATCCCGGCCGGATCGCCGTCACGTCCGGGACGATGGATGACGTGCAGGGTGTGGAGGGGGATGGCGTCGAGCTGTGGAAGCCAAAGTTGGAGTTTTTCTGTATTCGCAAGGCGAAGTGGTTGACGACTATTGGAACTGCGCAAAAAGATACGATGTGAATTGCTTATGCCACACCAGATGGATTTGGTATTGGCGTTCCTATGTGTCGTATGCAAGGCGCAAAGCAAGGTGAGAACCACGAGGTTTAGATAGCCTTGTCTGGGCCGTCCCGCTCCATCTCCTGACTCAAGGGCAATTCAGAGACGAAGAAGAAAATATATCTGCCCTCGCTCGAAAGGCTGGCTTGATTGGCTGTTGATATCCATTTGGTGAATGCAACATCACGGCTACGGCCTTCGGCTCCCAGCTCCGGCGGACTAAAACCATCGGCTTCGGCCGTGTCGAGCGGCGGCGAAGGACTCCACCTGTCAAGTGGAGATCGTATCCTCCGGCCGTGGGCGATCTGTGATTGCTGGAGAAACTCAAGCCGAGCTCAACCGCCAGTGACAACCAACGAGAACCAACAAGGACCAACGAGCTGTTGGTTGGAAAGCTTTCAAGTCACACTCAAGGACTCTTCAATTCTAATGTTGGCACCGCCAATCTACTTTAGACATACCATCATTCTCATCAGAGATCCTCAAAATGACCTCTCATGAAGATGGGCCAATCTTCCTCAACCCCATAATCCCGGGCTTCAACCCAGACCCAACAATCTGCGTAGTTCCAGCAACAGATTCAACCCCGACGACATATTTCCTATCTACTTCCACCTTTGAATACTTCCCAGGCTGCACCATATACACCTCGACGGACCTCATCAACTGGAAGCTCATCGGGCACGCACTCACGCGCAGAAGCCAGATTGAGCTGAGGACCGTCGAGCCGGGCGCCGGGAGCTGGGCAAGCACGCTGCGCTACCGGCCCCAGGAGAAGCGCTGGTATCTCGCTAATGGGCTCTTTCAGAGATATCGACCGACGAGTGATGTGAGTGAAGACTTATGCCTTTAATTTCAAGACGATGCTCATCAGAATTTACAGGAGCGCATCTTTCCTCGGGGATTCTATGTTTGGACAGATAACATCTGGGATGAAAGCTCTTGGTCAGATCCCGTGTACTTTGACAATCCTGGATTCGATCAAGATGTGAGTGGCCGCTTTGATCAGGACACGGGCACAGCTGATCACAATTCTAGCTCTTCTGGGACGACGACGGAAAGGTCTACCTCTCAACAACAGTCCGCATGGGAAAGCGAACGCCAGGCCTCAAACTAAAAGACTTTGCCATTCACATTTCAGAAATCGACATTTCTACAGGTAGAACACTCACCCCGCCGCAAGTGATCCGTGAATCCCCACACGGAATCGCAGAAGGATCACACATCATCCGCAGGGGAGAGTACTACTACCTCTTCACCGCCGAAGGCGGCACAGAAGCCGGCCACCAAGAGTGGGTATTTAGAAGCCAGAAGGGGCCGTACGGGCCGTGGGAGGGGCAGGGTAATGCTCTGTGGTACAACGGGCCCGAGGAGGAGGTGCAGAGGACCGGCCACTGCGATGTTTTTGATGATGGTCATGGCAAATGGTGGGCTGTGCTTCTTGGTGTACGGCCCGTGAAGGTTGGGGATAAATACCTTGAGCCGCAGATGGGCCGAGAGACGTTTCTGGTGCAGGTTGACTGGGTGGATGATTGGCCCGTCTTCAACAATGGTCGCAATATCACACTCCAGACCGCCGGCAGGGAAGCGATTGAGAAGGCCGCCGTTGCTGGTGCTGACGGAGTTAAGTGGAAGGCAGACCTGTCCAGATCATCCCTGGAGGTTGGCTGGTATCACAAGGGTGAGTGTACAGTCTGAATCCTAGAGCTGAAGCTGATTTGATCTTTCTAGATACACCTATCAAGCCTTGCCATAGCTTGACAGAACGTCCCGGCTTCCTGAGGCTCTACGGCAACTGTTTCGATCTCAACAGTCCCGAATCTCCGGCGATGATCTTGAGGAAGCAGACATCGTACAACGAGACCTTCAAGGCTACAATGCTCTTTAAACCCAGTCGGGTGGGATATGAATCTGGTGTTACTGTATGGTGGAGTCAGTACTCCTACGCCACCATCGGCATTGGTGCTATTCAACCACAAGATGGAGGACCCGCCGTCCCGACAATTATCACGAGGGAGCCTACGGGCAAGGTCAACAAGCTCAAGGTACGTTATAGGCCGCTTGATAGCGTTCGGCGTTCTTTCTAATGTTTCAAGGTGGCCCACCCCCTGTTGGATTCCGCCATACCAGCTCTTGATTTGAATCAGCCGGTAAAGCTGTTCATCACCGCGAGTTCCTCCGACTATGAGATGAGTCTCTCAGTCGACGGGATTACGACGACCAAGATATTCAAGTCAGAAGCATTGACCGTCTTTCCTCCCGTAGGAGGTGCTTTCTGTGGCGTCATGTACGGGATTTACTCATTCGGGCAGAGTGAACCGGTGCTGGATCCTTCAGATTTCACGGAAATTGAGATTCTAGAAATTTGAGGGTCAATTTCAATAAGATGCCAAGGTTGGCAAATCTTTCCAGCCCTTCTTCAATGGCTTACTTCCGTCGGATATCAGCTGGCCTAGAGGCTCAAGGAATGAACAGCCAATGAAAGGCTTTGCGAACTTGATAAAGCCTAGCCTGAGACATGTTGAACTTCCCTCTCAAACTTAGAGGCCTGGATTTCATCCCGAGTTCTTGTGAGTTTGAAGTAAACTCATCTCAACATATGCAAGAGTTGCACAGACACGGACCTCCCTTCGGACCTCCATAACCTCAACGTCGCTTACTATGCAGAATCGTGAGGGCGACTCATAAGTAAATCACGTTGCAGTTTACTTTCCGACAATCCGAGAGCTACAGTCTCAAGCTCCTGAAAGCGCCGTCTCAGCTTTCCCATTGTAGTGATACATCCCAGTGTATGCTGCTCTAAAGGCTGAAGAATGTAGCTACTGTGCTTGGTAAGCCACAACTTTGAATGAACGTCAAGTGAGATGAGTGCACCTGCGGTTCATTCCTCAGAGTATTTTGATCAAGTATGAAGTCGATGTCTTCTACTCGGCAGGCCAAGTAATGCTCTTTCTTCAAGAAACGCTCCCCGAAGATAGATCGCCATAACCACATCACCGTTCCATTCTTTTCTTTCTAGAAAAGAAAGCCACATTAGACAGTCTCTTCATCACCATGGCATCCTTCATCAAGACAGAACACTACGAACCCTACCCCGAAGTCTCCCCCATTCTCCTCCGCAGCCAATTCACCGACAAAACAATCCTCATCACCGGCGGCGGCTCCGGCATAGGCGCATCCACAGCCCGCAGCTTCGCCCAAGCCAACGCCGCAAAACTCATCCTCACCGGCCGCACCGAGCCCACCCTCCACCAGACAGCAGCTGCCCTCCGCGCAGAGTTCCCCGACCTAGAAATCTCACTCCACGAGGGTAGCGTCTCCTCCCCAGAGCACGTGGCATCCCTCTTTGCAAGCCTGGACCGCTCCCCCGACGTCCTCATCAATAACGCCGGGTACCTCTCCGAGCCTGTGAGCTTCGTCGACGCGGATTTGAAAGATTGGTGGCAAGGGTTCACGACGAATGTATTTGGCACGGCGCTTATGACGCAAACGTACCTGCGTCACCGCAGGGGCTTACGGACCGGGGCTGAGGACGAGAAGCCTGGGGTTGTAATCAACATCAACACGAAGGCCGCATACGACTTTCACATCCCCGGTATGAGCAGCTACGGCGCGAGCAAAGCCGCCATGCTACGCCTGGCGGAGGTTATTACAGACGATGTCCCGGCGTCCGAGGCGCGCGTTATCTCTGTTCACCCTGGCGCGGTGCAGACGGCCTTGCTGGCCAAGTCTGGACTGAAGCGAAAGATGACGGACGGGAAATTAGCGGGAGACTTTGTGGTGCGGAGTGCTTCGGAGGAGGCGGCGTTTCTGAATGGGCGGATGGTGTGGGTGAATTGGGATGTTCCCGAGCTAGTTTTGTGGAAGGATGTGGCGGATGGTGTGGGTGAATTGGGATGTTCCCGAGCTAGTTTTGTGGAAGGATGTTATTGTCGAGAAGGATCTGCTAAGGAGTAGTATTAAGGAGGCTTAGTTTTGAGAGGGTTCTTAGCTTTCGGGAGGATTCGACAGCGATTCTGCTGCCATTCAAACTTATACTTCTATAGAGGCACCTCTACCATGGTTTGTAACAAGAAAGACCGCTCCGACCACAACCAATGTCTTTCTTGAAATACAAGCAGGGATTTCTCTTATCGAGAAGGCAGCTTCGCTCTTCGCAAAAACTTCAAAACTTCTCAGATTCTTCTCTCAATATATACAATGAACTGAAGGCTATTTACGGGTTCAACTAGAAAACAGCAACTTTCACGTCAAGACAGACCACCACATCTTCGCACGAGAACCACACTTGTCACGCCTAGTTGGTCTCGGCAACGTGGTTCGTGACCAAGCAAGTCCACTCATCGGTACCGTAGTAAATGGTATTTCCGTCGTTGTGCGACTGGCCGGTGCTAATGGTGTCTCCAAGCTGCCAGAAAGCGTCGCCGGCCATACCCGCGGTGGCGACCGAGGCGATCTGCCATGGTCTCTCGATCGTGCAGTGGTCGGATGGCGCGCCGTCTATTATTTGGAGATTTGGGTTAGCTTCTTCCTCCTTCTTGGCTTCTTCGTGGAGCTCTTTTGTGTCTGGCTTGTTACTTACATTCTTCAAAGAAGCAGGGCTTGTTCGCGGCAACGCAGGCCTTTGCGTGGTCGGCTACCCACTTGGCGCCAGTGTCGTATCCAACGCTCCCTATAACCCGTCAGTAACCTTTCCATGATACCTCATTATTGTAGGTGGACTTACATGAGTTAGGATAGAAGTGGAACGTTCCAAAGTCCCTAAACAACAATCAATCATCAGCATCACAGACACAACACCGGAGACCGTGTTCAGGGGGCCAACGTACAGGGTAGTAATGTTCAGCAAACCAACCCAATCCGTTCCCTCGCCATACTGATAAGGGTAAGATGTATCACCAGGCAAACCCATACCCTCGTCGCCGAGCGTCACCATGTGGTTAGGATCCAGCGACTTGACGTAGGCCGACGTGGACTTTGCCCAGTTGTAGATGACGGAGGTCGCGCAGCCCTGGCAGCGGGGCTCGTTGGCCAGCTCCCACGCGAAGATGGCGGGCGAGGCCTTGTACCGGTTGACCACGGTCTGGACGTACTTGAGGTACTGCGTCTGGGCCGCCGTGTTGGTGTACCAGCCGTTGTGGTCGCCTCCGAAGGCGTTGACGTAGGCGTTGATTCCGCCATAGTCGTTCCTGGGACTATATCAGATAGGGGTCCAAAGGGGTGTTTGGGGGAGAAACCAACCAGTTGTTGACAAAGTTGATGATGAGCTTGATGCCGTTCTTCTCAGCGGAAGCGACGACGGTATCCAGGCGTCCGAGACCGTTCTCGCCAGTGTTGATTTGCGAACCCGACGCACTCAGGTACTGGAACCCTGTTCGATCATTAGCTTCCTACAATACAAACTCTAAGAAAGCTTGGGAATGCTTCATACAGTTGTCATACTGGGGAATCGTGTTGACGTCGTTGAATCCCCAAATACGAAGGATCCGGAGACCAGAAGTCTTGAGATGACCCAGGACAAGGTCCACATCGGCCGCGTTGGTGAGGAAACTGCACCAGTAGCAGTTGGTGCCGGGGTAGTACTTCGCCACGCCGTCGATGCTGAACTTTGTGCCGACGGCCTTGGGGAAGCCGGTGCTGGGCGGGGTCGTGGCCGAGGACGTCCGGGAGGTCGCGCCGACGGACGAGGTGGTTGCCGCACGGGTCGATGTCGCGAGGGTGCTAGAGCGGGAGGTCGTTGTCGCGGCGGAGCCTGGTGATGTTGGTCAGTCTTTTAAAAGTTTGTAGCAAGGTTATGGGAGAGAGACATACCGGGAAGACACTGCGAGTACCACTGGTTGCTGTACGTGCAGACTGAGCCGGAAACGCAGGTCGTTGCCCCAGTCCATCCCTGGCCGCCGCATTGTCCGTACAAAGGCGCCTGTGCTGAGACGGCGGCCGCGAGGGCAAGCACACCGGCGACTGCAGACTTCATCTTGAAGGTCTGTCGATGATGAGTTATGAGAAGGTTGACTGGTGTTCCTTTTGTGTTAAACCGGTGGGATGGCCACTCATATTTGTATTCACGAGGGTTCCAGAGCTCAACTCCGCTTCGACAGAGCTGTCAATATCCGGAACCGCCTCGCCGGATCGACGTCTTCCATGGCGCCCCTCTTTGAAAAGGCTTGTCATGAAGCGACCTTTAAAATCCCATCAATGGCGTCGCGGGAACACGGGCAGATGTGGCCATGTCTCATGGAGCCTGGGTCCCTGGATCGACTATGGACTAGTCTGCTCCGCAAATCGAGGGGATGGACATCCAGGAAGGGGACAATGTGGAGGGGCAGGGCCGCAGGAACGAGCAGACAGATGTAGGATTCAGCTCAGCTCTGGCGACGGGTGGGCCGACGGGGCCGGTACATCTTGGTTTCTGCGTCGTATTGCATGCTTTGGACGGGTATCGTGGGTGCTCCAGACGGGAATACCGGGAGCCAGACACCCACGATCTACGGTTGCGAATCCCGTCGATCCACCACGCGGTTATCTCGTTGTGTAAGTGGTGAAGTCGTTAATTGACAGCCACCATAGTAATTGGTCAATCGCTGTATGTAATGAGAAGCGATAGCGAGGTCAGTGGCGAAACATTCTTGATCTAGCTGTTCCGCAAAGCAAAGAAAATTAAAGGAAAAAAACAAGAATGAGGTAGGTTGCCTTTCTTGGTGTAAGTTCCGCCTCGACGTATGGGGCTGCAACGGCGGAGCGTCGTCCGCCGCAACCCGCATTCGAACAAACTCGCCGGCGTTGACCCCGCTAACGGACATTGGCCACGCAGATAATAGTCTCTGATTGTTGCTCCAACAGATTCAACTGAGAGCACAAAGTGCCATTCTTTCAAGTTGGAGAGGAGATATAAGCCGACAATCCGACTCACAAACCCAAAAGGTCATTAATTGTATTTGTTTTGTACTTGACTCCTAAGCCAAAGTTTGACCAGTCAGGAAGTATACGCCGCTGCTCAAATGACTGAAGAAAGCACAAGGCCGGCAGAAGTTCTAGAAAGGCCACAATTGAACGCTTCTGACAAGAACGGACGTTGTGTATCTATTACATATATTCAACTTAACTACCTACGTATATCCCCGCTCTTATATTCTTTTACCTTAGCCTCTCACTAAGTGACTAGGGATCAATGGCAAGGTGGTCGTAAGACACGGCTTGTGTGACAACACCTGCCAACCCTTATCTGATCGCTTTTCCCATTGCCTGAATATACCAAATACACACTCGACCAAAGAATATGAGAAAGGTCTATACCTCCCCTCAACTCGATTCCTGCCAAGAACGGCAGCAGGCGCCCCACAGGCTTGTGAGGCCAGGCCAAACTGCCGTTTGGCGTGATAGTTAGAGGCGAGCCTTGCATACACAAGTTAGAAAAACATCAGGCTGAGTCTTCGCCAGAGATTACGAGTTCGAATCCATGAGCACCAAGAGTTGTAGCCACACCGGTGGTGAGCTCTTTTTTGATTTGATCGGGCTTACGTTTATGTGTAATCTAGGACATGGCTTCTTTCTCTGCCTAAATGTATCTCAATCAATGAGGTAAACTCATCCTTTTTGCTTGAGTAAAAAAGAAAGAAAAAAAAAAAAACCCCAAAGAAACATCACCGCCTACCGCACTCTTACACGAAGGATTTTATTCAAGACGACGTGTAAAGCTCAAGGAAGGAAGGAAGCTGTCGTGGTGTTTCCTTGCTGACGCGGGAAGACGGGAAGGTGCACGGCCCAGTTTGCGGGGACAGCTTGGCGCCACACTCGGACCCTGATGACATAAGACGAGAAGCGGGACGATGACGCGGTGTGCACAGCCTCAACTGGATCATCAGCCCCTGAGCTGCCTCCATCCTCCGTCCTACTCTATGGTCCTGTGCCGCTGCCCATTTCCATATTACAATCCAATTCTTTCTTATTTTATCCTCTGACCGAAACGACGTTTGACAACTCTAAATACTACCTGCCCAATACATACTTACTTATTGACCCCCTGTCGTCACGATACACCGACCTGTCTCACTCCCATCACAATCATAAGGCCTCACCAGTAACTCACCACCAAAATGTCACGATTCTCCCATCTGGACACAGACGAAGAACGTCTGCCGCACGGCATGCGCCGCGTAGGCTACGACGCCGACACCCAAATCTACACCTACCAAGACGCAGACGGAAGCTACTGGGAAGGCGCGCCCGGCGCTCAATACGGCCAACTCACCCAAGTCTCGGGCGCCTCGTCCACCGCCGCCGTGGGCGCCGAAGAAGCCGAGCCCTTTATGCCGGGCGGCAGCGAGCTCAACCGACGACGGAACCCGTGGGACGACAGAAAAGGATGGAGGCACGAGATGAGGCCGCTTCTCAATTTCTTCGTGCTGATTGGGCTTTTCCTGCTCGTCTTGACGTGGTGGCTTTACCGTACGCCATCGTCGTCTTCGGGCGGGGCGGAGGAGGAAGAGGTTGCGGTACCGCAGTGCGGTGGGCTGGCGGTGCCGTATAAGATTGAGATCGGGAATACGTGTTGGGCTATTGCTGAGGGCCAGAAGATGACGATTGAGGATTTGCTCAAGGCGAATGAGGGTTTGGACTGCGATAAGCTGATGCCGGGGAGCTTTATCTGCATGCCTACCCTGGGGTAAGGTCGTTGGGTTAGCAGGATGGCGGTCTCTTTAGAATGAGGATTGCGGAAATGCGCTTGCTGCTGGATACCCCGTCAAGGAGGAATACTCTTTTTCTGCCGTTTTGTTCTTGTACCTCTTATCATTGGTACGTTAGTTTGTTTCTGGGGTTTCATGGTTAGATTTGGTCGAGCTCGACGCTGACTTCTCAGACTGGTCTCTGAGAGGTGTGGACCGTAGAGGGCTAGATTGTGGCCTGCGCTGCCACTGAATGCCAGCTATCGTAGAATCAACACGATGCTTTGAGATTAAGAAAAGTGATGCAGCCTGTGATACTTGGATAAGAAACAAGACACGACGTTGGATTGCTAGACATGTTGGTTAGGCATCGAGAAGCAAGTCGCCAGGCACTCACCATCACATGCAAGTGTCCTGGGACAGGGCAGTTTGGATAAGGATGGCTTATCGCATCCGCAGAGCCCAAGCCGTTTTGGACATCGTGAGCGGAGCTTCCCCAGGTTGGCAGGCACTTTGTATGTATGTACTTACTTTTGCCAAGGGCAGGAAGGGAGTTTGCCGCTTGACCCGATTCGGTGCGAGGGCTGGGGGCTGAGCCGTATTTGTTAGGACGGGCTGGAGAAGCTACATCTTTCGGATGTACCGGCGCATACCCGGGTCCACTGTCGGGTACCTTGCACCAAGTACCGGCTTCTCCCCCAGACATTCCCGTCTCAGCTCCGCTTGTAGACTGTAGTAGGTATTTGGCGTTGGTCGTGTGCCTGGCGTTTCCGTCTGTGATGGCCAATTCTAGTCGAAAGGGAACCAGGAAAATGAGAATCGCAAAAGGATAGATACGACGGCGATAAAATCTCAATCCCTCAGTGTTTCTCGCGTCAATTGAGATCAATTGGAAAGACATTGTCAAGGAAGCAAAACTGCAGGGTGGGCCAACGGTGATGTGCTGGTTGCCGACGGGTATCGTGCCCACTGGGGGGCGAAAAGGGGACTGGGAGGCTGCTAACCTACTCGGAAGGTGCAATTCGTAAGAAGGAGAGGGGCTTTCTCTGGTGCTCGTACGTTGGAAGGGTTTAGCGCTGCCCTTTCCCCAGAATTACAGCGTCTGGGGAAGTGGGACGCTGTGGAGCACCCACTGAGCGTGTCTCCACTTTGCCCCACAACACGGCTCCCCGTCGCTGCAATTCCCTTTTCCCCCATTCGTCCCCCCTCCTCTTGCGTTGCTTCCCCGTCGTGCCCGTCTGCCCTCCAGGCTCGAGGCCCCCTCCCTTCCCGTCTCCAGCGCTGCTCATCTTCTTACTTTCAGTGGAGTGTTTGCCTGGTACCCCCTGTTCTGTCCCCGCTATCCGTCGGTGTGTAGACAGGTGAGTGAGCAGGGCAACATAGTCCGACACAGCTCTTGCTAGAGACTGTTCATGCGATGGAAGTGAGAGAGTTCATAGAGTGAGGAAATGAAAAAGCAAAGAAGTGAACAAGCCGAAAGGACACAGGCTGAAAGATAAACATGGCTGGACCTGGATGGTTCGTGTGGGGTGGCCTCATGCCCTCCTTTTCCGTCTTCAACAGAGTCCAAGGTCTATTGTGATTTGTGAATGTGTGTGCACTGAGAAAGTCTGGGGAAAACGCGGCACGGTCGGTCAGGGTCATCCCGTCTGTATCTTCCTGCTTCACTTCTCTTCAGGCTTCATCTCTGTGCGTTTCTCTCCGTCGCGCCAGAGTTGCCGTAACTCGTCTCGCTGTGGCCAGATTCAACTGCTCGTTCACTTCTCATGTGGCATGTTCTTCAGAGAGCAACTCCTTGGAGTTGGCATCTCTCAGCCAGAGAATGGTCTCTGAATTGTCTCTGTTCAATGCGATACCAGCCCATGCTTGCGTCACTCATCTGCCCACCCTCCACGTCGCAGCGTTGCACCAGGCGGCTGGGCCTACCATTTACTTTGCTCTGTCTCTCTCGCTCTCTCTCTCACTTCTCGCCTCCCGCCTCTGCCTTGCCTCTGGCTCATGCTGCTTGTGTTGCTCTCACTCCTCCTCCTCCTCCCACACACACGGGGCACCATCACAATTCGGCGCCAGTGTTTGTGCGCTTCTCTCCCCTTGGTATGATCTCCCTCGCCTTGATGTACTTTGGCTGCTTGGGGTTACCCCCCTTCCACCAGTCAAACATCCTCATCCGCCCCCCAAACACACACACACACACACACACACACACACACTCACACCCCCTTCCTTTCATCTGGCAACCTTGGGCTGTGACGGCGACGTATGGATAGACCAAGTCACGCGTGGATGATCTGTCTTACCCCGCACGCTCAGGACGGGAACAACAGAAACCCTCGAGGCAGTGCCCCTGAAGGGCCATAGAGAGAGAGATCCCTTTAAGAAGAGGACATCTGCCTCCTCTTTCGTGGCTTTTGATCTTGTGTGACTTGTCTTTCTATCTCATCGAATCATCTCATCTCGTTCCATCCAACCCATCATCAGCTTGGAGGACATATATACATATCACAAGCCAAACTACAACCACAGCGGTGTTCTATACATCACCACCCTCTCTCATCATCAACACAAACCCATCCCACACAAACACATACACACACACAAAATGGCCCCCCGTATCTCTGCCGCAAAGTCCACAGAGACCCTCTGCTACGGCGTCGCCACCGTCGGCGCCTTCCTCCCCATCTACCTCATGCTTCCCGGCGCCGAGCAGCGCCTCGCCTCCCAGACGACAAAGTGGGCGCCCCGCTGGGAGCGCAACCTCTCCTACTTCACGCCCGCCGCCGAGAGGGGCATCAAGCGCGTCGAGCCTCCCGTCTCCAACATGGTCCGCCGCATCGACAACAGGCTGCCCCTCGAGAGGATGGCAAAGGGCCTGGACAAGAGGATCAAGAACGGCATTGACCGCTTCAACAACACCAAGTAGATGAATGATGTCTATGGTGTTGGGAGGGGGTGAGGGGGTTGAGAGTTATGTAAACACCGTGTATACACTTGTGCCAGCTGGATAAGCTGAGGAGAAGAGTGGAGGATACAACGGAAAGATGATACCACATCTGGCTCTAGAGATATAGAGGATGCATTAGATATCTCATAGAAGACACAGCAACCAACAATAACAAACAAAGCAGTTAAACTTATTACTGTCCCGCCTGTCGATGCAATGCTTATGTGCCGCTAATGATCCAACTTCGCAACAGTAATGACTCAACAGCACTCGCTGTACAATTTCCTCGAAGCGTGCCGCCACAGAAAAGCCGTAGTGTCGCACATTTGGTGGTGGGCATGGATGCTTGCATCTCGCTGCCACCCCAATCTGCAGATAATCAGGCCATGATGAACGACCGCGAACGCGAGAGAGCACTGTCTCACCTCCCACGAGCGGGGTTTTACACTTGACAGTACCCTTTCGTTTCCCCCTTTCCCATGCTGCATTGGAATTCCCCAATTCTTTTCGTCATTGCCCGTTAGGCGATACAACAATACAACTTTGATGTTGTTTCGGAGAACAAAAAAAGAAGGGTTGCAGGGAGCGGCCCGATGTGATTGAATTAGCCGCCGAAGCGAATTGCAATCGACCTGTTTGTGGCCTCATCTCTCTCTCTGCGTTTCGCTGGCACTCGCCATGCCAATACGCGACCGCATCTGCATCTCCATTTATCGGCACGGCACCGCCCGCACACTTGTCCGGGGATATGTTGCTTTCTCGTCAAGGGAGACCACAGATTGATCGATTTCGACGCGATCTCGTTCCATTTTCGTTCCTTGTCCACCGCCCTCTTCCCGAGCCTCCAGGCAACTCTGCAATGCACTCGCATTCCCGCGTGCATGCTCTCGTAAACGATTAACGGCGAACTCCCGAGGATTGCCAACACTGGTTGACCGTTGGGCATGCCATAATCGAAGAAAGCCGACCGTCCATCGTGCATTTCTTGGCGTTGCGAACGAAACGAAAACCGAAAGACTCGACCGTCTAGTCAAATACACAACGTTTTGCGAAGATGGATAACTTCAAGGGAGCGAATACTAGGCGCTTGAGATGCTCTTGGCCCCCCATCTGCCCATCTGAGATCAGTTCCTGGTGCCCAATGATCTGCCCGACAATGCAAATGCTACGGGCATCAACATGTTGAAGTTCTGAGAGAGCCACTTGGTTTCTCCGCCGAGCAGGCATTCATGCAGGTCGAGCTGGCCCACTGTCAGCCAAAGACTCTATGCAAACTGCTAGAGTTGTCCTATAATTTGTTTCCGTCAGCCCACATATCCATCATGTCGTAAGTTGTTTCATACCAGCCGGCAAACTCTCCTCTTTCCCTGCATTGGTGCCCGTCAAGACAACTGCCTTGTTAGTGCAAAGCGGCCATGATTACATGCTGCTATACAGTCTAGTCAGGACATGGCTGCATGTAAAACAGTACTGCCCATCTCACTGGACTCAAGGCTAGCAGCTGCAAAATAAATGGTGGCTCTCATTTGTGAAGCCTTGCCCTGAAAGTCGGTCTTCGTCTGCTTCATGTCGAACAATTTTCCCCGACTTGAATTGTACTTCTCATCGTGATGCTTGCCCTGTTGAAGATGCAATGGTAGCGGTCAACTACTTCAAGGTGCTTGTAGTTCTCATAGCCATCTGTGATGCGGCGAGCAGCTTCAGCCGTTGGTGTTGCCGGATTCCCCAGCTCTGCAACGGGTATGCGAGCTGCTCCGTGCCTGTCTGTCTTTAATAAGGATGCAGCTCTTCGGCGCGTTTTCCATTGGGCAATCCCCTCGTCAAGACATATTGTAGTGTCCTTATCACGAGCTGCAATGCGATTCCAAACCCTGTTTGGTCTTCTCGGAAGCAGTGTGTAAGCCTGGACTAAAGAATGAGCTGGTCTTCCATGACAGACGATTGTCGGCATAATACTACAACCGGGGCCATGCAAATAGGTCTTGTAACGGTCTGAGTGAGGGCTGATAGAGGTGACGGTAGCTTCACAGAAAAGAGCTCGGAGCTATGACGACTATCAAAAAGAGCACCAGAAAAGAAGCTCTGAACATTTGACATGTGGGGCCATCGTGAGGGTATCTATCCACCTTCACCTTATCTATGGCCATCTGGCAGCACCTGGAGAAACCATCTCTCGGCTGTCAGCGGCTGTCCACGGTTTTCAACCCACCTGCCAATTTCCAGCGCATGAACCATCACGACGCGAACGCGCTGGACGAGCCAAGCCAAAGTCGCATCCCACCATCCAAATGTCGATCTGTTGACGGCGCATTCGCACATCGTCACCCAATCCCTGTCGACGCTACCGCAAGAAGCCTCGATATGACTCTACGCTCGTCGAGGCGCAAAATTCCTCCAGTCACGAGCTTGTCACGCACACAATTTTTTCGACCGTACCTGAACTGAAGCGCTCTACAACCTCTAAATCAACCATCTTCTAATACCATTTTCCCGCTGATATAACGGAGAAACCCTCGACAATGAACTCAATGGCCCTTCCCCGAGCTCTAGCGAGCACCACCTGGCGCGCAGTCGCCGCCAACCCCTCGGCCCCGGCCTCTCGCGCGGGGTTCTTCGCTCAGCGATGCTATGCCACCCGCGCCGCGAAGACGACGGCCGCCGCTGCGCCGGCTACCGCTACAAAGTCCACCACTGCGGCGAAGAAGACCACGACCACGACGAAGAAGAGCGTGAGCACCTCTGCTGCTAGCAAGAAGGCTGCTGTCAACACTACCACGGCTGCTGCTGCATCCAAGACCTCGTCGGCCTCGACCAAGGCTAGCTCTACCGCCACCAAGGCGGCTGCTACTTCGAGTACGACCCCGAAAGCTACAAGGACTGTCAAGAAGGCCGCTACGAGCACCAACAAGGCTGCTTCTGCGACATCTGCTGCTGCCACCAAGAAGGCGGCTGCGGCAAAGGCTGCCCCTCCTCCTCCCGCCCCCGCTCCCGCTGCCGCTCCCGTTGCTGCTGCCGCTCCCGCCCCGAAGACGCCCACCTCAGTCCCGAGTCCCGCGCCCGCAGCAGGCTCTCCCACGACAACCCCGACGGCAAGCACCCCGAGACCGGCCCCTGTTACAGCATCAGCGGCGCCGACAACAGCCCCCATCCGGCCCTACGCACCCACCCCCCCTCCGCCCCGGGCGCCAGAGGCGGACGCCCGTCCCAAGCTGAACCCGAACAGCAAGGAATATCGGAAAGCGTACGGCACGGCGGCGAGGAAGTGGACCGCGACCATGGTGGCCATGCCCATCCTCCTCGTCACCTCCTACTTCCTCTTCGACAGATGTGAGTTACCCCTCGGCGGCCCCTACCCGTTAAGTAAGAGGACTATTTCACTGACATGTTTCATACAGTGGCTCTGGGTCATGAAGCAAAAGTAATGCCGGATTTTGAAGGTGCTAAGAAGGCCGCAGAGGCGCAGAAAGAGGTGGAGAAGTTTGTCGAAGAAGCACAGGCGCAAGCCAAGGCGGCATAGAGCCCCTTAACTATAACTATATTGTAATGATCTTGATGAATACCCACTCCTATTCTTGCTTGGCCGGCTTGTATCCGCCTTCTCGGTGTTTTGACCTGGCGCCCGTGCTTCTCAATGATGATGAGCCTTAACGGCATAGGCGGTTGGTTTCTTTCCAGCAAGCGTGTGTACCTCCGTATCTCGAGCAATCGATGAGCTGGCTTGTATTTCCCCTTGAACCAGAAGAAAATGATTCCTTCCAGCCTTCCACGCTATTATATGCATATTGGAGCCTTTTCATGTTGAGTCTTTGTTCTGGCATCAAGCTACCACATTCGATTGCGCGCTAATCCAACAGCCGCGGCAAGCAGTCCCACGACAAAGACACCGCCGATGACGATGCCTGCAGCCGCGGCAAGCAGTCCCACGACAAAGACACCGCCGATGACGATGCCTGCGATAGCCCCTGCTCCGACTGATCCAGTATCAGGTACGGGCTCGTCGGTCGCTGCGACGGCGAGCAGAACCCACGCAACGAGAACGTGGGAGACGCAGTAGGACATTTGAGCGTTTCGAGGGACAGAATAATGTGATCTCAGTCCTGAGGGCATGCCTTTGGAGAAGGAAGGATAAAAGCTTATGTGGTCCTAATTGTGGTAGTTATCCTGACTACTCAGCCGTAGTCACGAGCTGTCCTTTTGTAATTTTAGGGTGCTCATGTTCGGGGATGCTGTACATCAATCTTTCACGACCACGCCATATACTGATTCGCAGCTTTAGGCGCTGCTGAGATCCAGATGGGGTGGATGAATTGATAACATCATTCACGCGTAACGTGACTGATGCGTACGGCATACTAGGTGAGTGGTCTGGGTTAGGAAGTGAATGTATATGGAATACACTGGAACTACCAGTCAGTATACACACAGCGAGATCATACCAGCATACCTTATCAGAAGTCTAGTGCCTTCCCATCGTAACAACAAATATCGGGCCTGGTGACCGAGGGGTGAAAGCCGTGAAGTGCTGACTAGTGCGTGATGCTCCGTACTCTTCAGGACTCCTGCGTTCGAACCTTGGTCCGGTCGGCTCCTGTTGTTTTTGCTTTTTTGACCATTTCTTGATTTCGTCTTTCCTGTTGTGTGTATGAATCACAGGGGGATATCTCATGATAACTTTGTGAGTCTACTGACTCACTAGATGTACCATGCTGAAGGTAATCAGGTAGGATATCCACGGAGATCATGAGAAGTAATTAATTAGCTTGCATAACGTAACACTAAATTCGCTCTTCATCACAGTCTAGATACTTCCTTCACCTCCTGATGCTGCTGCTCCTCCTCAGGATTCCCGCAAAACGTCACAGTCTTCCTCGGACCCATGATAGTACCGCTCTTGGTAAGCAACTTTCTCTTCCCAGCCGTCGACAGGGGCGGATCATCATCCTCATCTCGGATATAATACGCCCAGTCTGCGGTCTCGTCCAGCTCCGTCTGCGAGTACCCGTTCCCCAACCACGCGAACCTGTTCCCGGCGTACTTGACCTCGAGATCATCCCATCGGACCTCCTTGATGGCCTCAATGTAATGCAGCGTCGAGCCCGGCCACAGCGCCACAACAGGGCCGTCGTCACGAGGCTTATACCACGACCGACAGGGATCCGACCACACGGTCTGCGGCATAAAGGACTCTTTGTAATCCACAAAGTCGCGGACTGCCTCCTCTTTGGGCGTGAAGGAGACGACATTGGTAGTCTGGTAGCGGTCAATGACCTTGAGCATCCAGTCCGCCTGCGCCTCGATGGCAGGGAGGACGGGACCGTTACCAATGGGGCAGTTAGGCCCCAGAATGATGAAGTAATTTGGAAAGCCGGACGCCCCCATACCCAAGTACGACTCAGGATCCGAGGCCCATTTGTCCTGGAGATTCTCGCCCGAAGGACCGACGATGGGGAAGCGCGGCTTGAAGGATGTATCAAAGCCCGTGGCGCAGATGAGTACGTCTACGGGATACTCCCGCCCGTCATCAGCGACGCACCCCCGCTCCGTGATCTCCTTGATCCCGCCGTACACGACCTCCACGTTGGGCTTGGTGAGCGACTCGAGGTAATTAACACCCGGCGTTAACCGACGACAGCCCACACTCCAGTCAGGAATGAGCTTCGACTCGAGCGCAGGGTCATTGAGCTTCTCCTTCATCTGCTGGACAAAGTACGCGTGCGTATCCTCGTTGATCTTATTATTCTTCAGAAAAATCCCAAACTGCCCGTTGAGACCGGATTCATTATTCTTGCGATACTCGAGGAGGGCTCCCGGCTTCGTAGCGAATTCCGCCTTCTCCGCGGGGCTGAATAAGTGCTGTTCGAGACCCTGGGCGGGCGACACCCACGTCGGTCTGCGGATGAAGGTCGTCACGCGCTCACACTGTTCGCGGATCGCGGGCAGGACTTGGATGCCTGAGCTGCCGTTGCCGATCAGACCGACGCGCTTGCCTTCTAGAGAGACGGAGTTATCCCAGTTTGCGGTGTGGAGCAGTTTGCCCTGGTATTTTGAGAGGCCAGGGATCTCTGGCCACTTCCAGCTGTTGAGGACGCCGCCTGCGTTGATGAGGAAGTCACAGTGGTCGATGATTGTTTCGCCGGTGGACGTGTCTTTGACGTGGACGTCGTAGCCGCCGGCTTCCGAGTTCCAATAGGCGCCGATGACTTTGTGTTGAAGCTTGATGTATTGGTATAGGGAATACTTCTTGGCGAAGTTTTCAAAGTATTCTAGGATCTCGGGGGCTGGGGGGTATACGGCGGACCAGTCCAGCTTTGGTTCAAAAGTCCAAGTGTAGTTGTGCGACGGAAAGTCGCAGGCACACCTATGAAGGTCAGGACTTGAAGGTCTTGGTCCGGGAACGCCTTCATTGACGTTGACTGGAGGTGTACTTACCCGGGATATCTGTTCTCGAACCATGTCCCAGCTACCGAGGGGTTCTTTTCATAACACTGAAGCGAGTAGTTGGAGAAGTGTCGTTGGAGCTTGTAGGCTAGCAATAAGCCAGAAGCACCTGCGCCGACGCAGATAATCCGAACGTGCCTTTCTGTATGGATCGGAGCTGATGAGCGTCTTGCTGCGTCTCTATCTCCCGCACTTGTGGGTTCTGGCAGCAGGATGTCCCCCATGGTCAAGTCGTATCAAATCAGGATTGTTTGGATGAAGTGGATTATAGGAATTCGAGGTTACATGAAAGTCAAGCACGAGAAGCCTGTTGGCAAGGGAAAACCAAGGGCCAGATATGTATATTCAATCAAGTTAGCCACAATAGCGCATTATATATGGAGAAGGGGTACAAGTAAGCTGGGAAGTTCATTGTCCCCGTAAATCAACGTCACGTAGGTATCGAATCGTCGTTACCGTTAACCGTAGACATACTTTTAGCGTTATACTAACAGACAGTTTCTACGCCAAAGGCAAGCCGTAACCTTGTACATTTGTATATTGAGGCGAGGTTCGCCTCTCACACCCACAGCTCCTCCTAGGCATGGCAGATACCAGACAACCTCGGCGGTGGCGTCCAAACCATCCCGGATGACGGCCGCGTGCATTTCATACTGCAAGTGCGGGCAGCGTCAACATCAGACGACTGAATCTACAGTGCCATCGACGGGGCATCCAGGAGTCACTTCGAGTCAGACTTGTGAGCCGCACAGTGGCTTTACTGACTCAAAAGTTTGTCCGGCATATAAGAAATGAGGGTCATCTCTAAGATATGGCACCCACTCGGGCTCATCGGAGTATAGAAAGGTTGAAGATGAAGTGGGTGTTGATCGAGACCAACATTGGCCGAACCTGATACGCCGTTCTTGTTGTACACCATGCTGAAGGGTAGGCGCGAGCGCAACTTGGCTGATGTCGTCTGTACATGAGCTCCGAGGCAAATATGCGTGCTCAAGGGGGATTGGTTGGACACCCTTCGGCAGTTTGTCATGAAATAGAAGGGTATTGCCGCCCCGGGAAGGATCTAGTGTCCGCACTCCACGATGTTGCACAGTACAAGTGATCTCCGGGATATCACATATGACAGCGGACCCCGGCGAAAGCCTGACATAACAGACTACATGAGGGTAGCAGTGACGACCTTGGCCAGAGGGGCATATGCGGCCTTGCGGGGAAACAAATAGTAGGTGGAAACGATCGCGGGTATGTCGGAAGACCTCAACCGGAAAACGGAGCGTGAACTGGGGTTACACATACAGGTACATGTCTTTATGACGTTCTTGTAGGTCAGATCGAGAATGGCCGGTCTCATCGAAAGGGACGCTGCTCAAGTTCGTATCAACGCGCGGAGGACTACACTTGTTTGAGCATGGAGTTCGTCAAGATCTTCATCACGGTTTTGTTCACAACAATATGTGCCTGCATGGGAGCTGTCCTTGATATGCTATTCGACAGTTGATGATGAGTTGCAGATGCTTCCTGCATGACCGACCAATTATATACAAGAGTTGCAATTCATAACCATCACCTCCTCCGGCGCCAAGTATCAAACCCGTTATTGTGTAGCCCCACTATCAATTCACAACCTCGATCTCGGACTCTTTGCGGCCTTCTCCAGGGCCGCTGCATCTCTCTTAGACCACTCGCGCATCACCTTTCTCTGGATCTTCCCGCTCGCAAGCTTGGGAACTTCATTGACAAACACGACACCACCGACGAGCGCCTTGTGCTTGGCGACCCTCGGTTTGATCCATTTTTGGATATCTTCTGGCTTGACCTTCCCTAATGAGACGTCTTGGAGAGCCACGTAGGCTCTTGGCCACTCGTTTCCCTCACTACGTTGTGATGTCAGTGTCCTGATAGCTGCAGGCGTTTCAATGTTATGTATGTTGCTTACATTGTGATTCCCACAACGGCAGCGTCTGCAACGTGCTCATTCTCGAGCAAGACGGCTTCCAATTCTGCGGGCGCAACTTGAAGGGCGTTGACCTTGATAAGCTCCTGCAAATGCTGTTAGAAAGTTGCCTGACTTCAGGGACGCGAAGACAAGACACTAACCTTCTTGCGGTCCACGATCCAGAAGTAGCCATCTTCATTGCAGACGGCGATATCACCCGTCTTGAGCCATCCATCCACCAACGCCTCCTTGGTGGCAACCTCGTTGCGCCAGTACCCGAGGCAAATGTTGGGACCCCTCATGCACAACTCTCCCGGCTCACCAAAGCCGACCTCCTTGCCCTCCTCATCCACCAGTTTACACTCACAGTTTGGCACCAGCTTTCCTACACTGCCAGTGTCGTCTTTGATGCCCCCAGGCACCATGATCCCCCCGCAAGTCACCTCCGTCATGCCCCACCCCTGGTTGATCTGCACCGAGAACCTCCTCTGGCAATCATTCTGCAGCTCCCGCGACAAAGGCGCCGCTCCGCAGAGCATGTCCTTGACGCTCGACAAGTCGTAGCGGGCTGTCTCTGGCCGCTTCGACAGCATGACGAGGATGGGGGGCGCGACTTGCAGGTTGGTAATCTTGTACTTGCCAATGGCGAAGAGGAAGTCCTCGTACCGGAACTCTTTCATAATGTAGATCGGGACGTCCAGTTTCATCGCCATGAGGACGGCGTAGAGCTGGCCGTAGGCGTGGTAGAGGGGTAAGAAGCCGATCCATCTCTCCCGCGGCCGGTTCTCGAAGGAGTATGGCTTCTCCGCGTATCTCATGTAGATCGTCTGCTCGACGTTGGCGATGAGATTGTGGTGTGATACACAGACGCCTTTTGGCAGACCAGTCGTGCCCGATGAGTAGTTGATGGTTGCGACTGTGCTGGTTGACTCTTCCGCGCTCAGCTCTGGCCATTGATATGAGGTTGCCTGGGCTGGCGTGCCAATCATCTGCCTCCAGTCCGGCACACCGTGCTTGACCGGATTCTCAACCTCGGAGAACTGAAAGACCCGAGAACGAGGTATTCTGGACTTTTCTGCGGCTTCCAAGACCTGCTCTAGATGATTTGGGTGGACGAGTACAACCTTGGCCGCAGTATTGGTCATTTGATGCACGAGCTCTGCACAGTTTTAGTCAAACATTGGTTGCAATTCAGTTGAGAAAACGTACCAGGAACTGTGTAAGCTGGGTTGGCACCGCTGAAGACGCAGCCTACGGATACGATACCAAGGTATGCTACCGGCACGAAGATCTGATTGGGTGTGCAAATCATGACCACATCTCCGCGTTTGAGACCGAGGTTTTGGAGGCCGAATCCCAGTCTCTTCACCCATTGCAGCATCTGCTTTGGTGAGAGGTTGATTTTGTCATCTTTACAGTCGATCCAAATGGGTACATCAGATGGCGTTGATCCTTTGGGGAAGAGATATGAGAGGAGATTCGTCTTTGGAATATCCAGGGGCGGATAAGGTGAGTTGAAGACCATTTTGTTGTTGTTGACCGGCTCTGATGCGCTCGGAAGATGGGAATTCAGAGAGATTGAATACAGAAGACCCAAGGGTTGAAGGGCAAATTCAGAACTTGAATGAGATGTTGTACGTCTCCAGATCGAAGTTCACGAAGCTTGAAGGTGCATCTCAACCTAACGAGTCTAGAGAGTCAGGCATTATCATGAAATCTGACTACGAACCCCGACAAGGGTCCGCGTGTGTTGTACCGTCGTCATCCTGTCCAGGTCCTAGCTCTATGGGATGGGGCTACCAACGGCCGTGTCTTCCCTCGGGATCGCCTCGGTAGGGGGGTTTATGCGGGGTAGCGTTGGGGAAACCTGGGGTCGAGCCGGGCGCCATGTTGCTACCCCGACTTGCCCGAGTTCCCCGGGAGGAGATTAAACCGAAGCGACCGGCAATAGCCCCGGGAAGCTCTTCGCTATGCGTTTGGTCACTGACTATCTTGATCTGACACTTTTCCGTGTGTTCTGACGGCGGTTTGCTAATACTGTTGCTTGTGGGCCACTTCGTTTACTGAGTTATCCCCCACCATGTCGGAACTCAAAGACTTTAGCTCCACGTTCTCCCTCGAGGGAAAGACTGCCCTCGTCACTGGGGGATCTCGTGGGTTAGGTCTGCACATGGCCACGGCGTTCCTCCTCTCAGGTTGCTCTCACGTCATCATCACCGCCAGAAAATGGGAGGGCGAGCAAGGCATCAGCCAGGCCATTGACAAGCTCAACCGTCTCCCCAATATTCGAGGAAAGGCAATCGGGATTGCTGCAAACGTCGCCGACTCTAAAGATATCGTCCGCCTGGTCGAAGAAGTCAAGAACATCGTGGGCGAGAAGGGGCTGAACATCTTGGTCTGCAATGCTGGAGCAGCCTGGGGTTCCAAGTTTGAGGATGCCCCGCCCAGCAGCTCAGTCAAGATTTTGGATCTCAATGTCAGGGGTGTGTTTGAGTTGGTCCAAAAGTGAGCGCTTTGCCATAAGCCAATGTGGGTGATTGATATTGATATGTTGACGCCCCTCAAGGTTCCTACCTCTACTCGAGAAAGCAGCGTCAGAAGGCGATCCAGCCCGGGTGCTCACTGTGAGCTCGACAGCGGGTGGCAATGTACCGCACGTTGGTGAACACGGTACCATCATGTACGCGGCATCAAAAGCAGCTGCCAATGTGAGTTCTTACCTCTCGATGAAATGGTCGTAAGTTGCGGTGTCGCTGATATCATTCTCAGCATCTGGGACGTAATTTCGCGGTCGAACTAGGCCCGAAGAACATCACGTCCAACATCATTGCGCCTGGCTTTTTCCCGTCGAAGCTGGCACAAGGTTTGATCAATAACCTTGGTGGAATCGAAGAGCTGAGCAGAGGCAACCCGCTTGGCCGGCTTGGTGAGCCAGAAGACATCGCCGGTGTCGCCGTGTTTCTGTGTTCTCGAGCAGCGAAATACGTGTAAGTACGGTTCCGACTGGTTCAAGGTCTTCCTGCTGATGCTTTCGGACAGAAACGGCGTGGTCATTGAGATCGATGGAGGGGCACGGTTAGTTGCTGGAAGACAATCCAAGCTCTGAGACGATGGGTCGCTGGAATATGGCTAGATCACAGGATATCGTATCCCGGCATAACATGTAGGGACATAAACGCGCTGATGAGACATGAAGATGGGCTAGGCACCGTGTGGCTGCGATCACATGGTAGCAGTAATGGCATAACCTATCAACTCACTATTCGGGATATACTATTATGTACGACTATGGCCCCCTCAGTAAGTCAAGTTCACCATGACAGTCTTGGGCTCAGTGAAGGTTCTTAGCGCATTGATCGCGCCCTCCCGACCCAGTCCACTCTCCTTGGTACCACCAAATGGCGCCGTCAAGAACATCAGGCTGATACAGTTGATACCCACCATGCCACTATCAATCTCCGAGGCAACTCTCAAGCAACGGTTGATATCTTGACTGAAGATTCCAGCCATGAGCCCAAAGTTAGTATCATTGGCCTTCTCAATGATCTCCTCCTCAGTTTCGAACTTGTTAATGATGGACACTGGCCCAAAGATTTCCTGTCGAGCAATCTCGGCGTCTTGCGCCACGCCTTCGAACACCGTAGGCTCGACATAGTAACCCTAGGCTAGATGTTAACAGATTTTTCTCATCTGGACAGCGATCCCGGACAGAAGTCCTTACCTTTTCGCCAACTCGGCCGCCACCAACCAACAGCGTCCCTTGCCCTCGCTGACCACGCTCAATGAAGCCTTGAACCCTCTCAAACTGAGCTTTATCAACCAGCGGGCCGATGGTAGTCCCCTCAGCGTCCGGGTCACCAACACCCTTGAGCTTCTCCTCCATCGCCTTCTTATATCCGGCGACGAACTCGTCATAGATAGGCGCTTCGACATACACCCTGCTGGCAGCGACGCAAACCTGCCCCGTATTCGCCGTGATGGCATTCGCACACCAGGTGATTGCGTTCTCGAGATTACAATCCTTGAACACGACGGCGGGCGATTTTCCGCCGAGCTCGAGCGTCACCCGCTTCATGTTGCTCTTGGCCGCCATCTCCTGGATCTTGCGGCCCGTGTTCGTCGAGCCTGTGAAGCTGACCTTGCGCACCTTCATGTGGCTGGCCAACAGCGCACCCGTGCTTCCGTCGCCAGAGATGATCTGGAATACGCCTGGTGGGAACCCGGCCTGTTCGATGAGGGTGCCGAAGGCCAGCGCTGCAAGCGGCGTCTTCTCTGATGGCTTCAGAATGAAGCAGTTGCCCATTGCAAGCGCAGGGCCGGCCTTTACGAGTCTTTAGTAGCACAAACTAATTGAGATGAGTAATACGGTTTGATTTCATACCTTCATGCCAATACTTCCAACAGGGCCGTTCCAAGGAATGATTCCACAGCAAACGCCAAGTGGCTCGTTGCGGACGATTTTCAAGAAGCCTGCATCACATCGACGTCAGTTAGAACGACGTTGGAGACACGCCAAATCTCACCATCTTCCTGAGGATACGTCTCGCCAGGAAACTTATCCGTCCAGCCCGCAAAGTACCTCAGACTCTCACTAGCCATCTTCATCTCCAAGCTCCCAAAGGTCGCCCAGGGTGCTCCTAGAGTGAGGCGGTTGAGGTCCGCCAGGACCTGGCCGTGCTGGTCGACCAAGTCGGCCAACTTGTTCAGCATGTCTCGCCGCACGGTCGGAAGCGTCTTTTTCCACTTGGGAAAGGCGGCTTCTGCTGCTGCCACGGCGGCGTCGACGTCCTCTTGGCCACCGAGAGGGATGTCGTTGGCTACAGGAGACTCGTCATTGGGGTTGAAGAGCTCTAGCTTCTTGCTGTTTGTGGAGTCGACATACTGAAGTTCTGTCAATTATATGGCTTCGTCTAGAGAAGAGGTTTCTGCTCACTTGGTTGTTGATGTACAGCTGCTTGGGGAGGTTGGTCTTGCTCCAAGGGAACTCCGACTTGCTGCCGTTCACAGCTTCCTTCAACGACGACCCGAATGTATCCATACTGATTAGATGCTCTAATAAGGGGCACTGTATGAGATAAGACGACGGATATCAGGCGAAACTTCAGTTGACAGCACAGAACAGGACGGGCTTAAATAAGCAAATCCATCTTGATGATCTTCTGAACAGCTATAACTTCGGTCATGACCCATTACACACAGGCTATTGAAGGACCACGGAGATAAGTTCGGCGTCCTCCTTCATTCCGGCATCACATAATCACAGCGCATGAATGCACCCTCGATGAGGGGATCGTTGTTCTCGCCTGCCTGGAGACGCATGCACGTCCAACTTGGCGCAGCTTACGCAGCCTTCTGTGCCAACGAAAAGCTCTTGGGTTCCACGACACCACACGAGAAACGCCACCAAGCTGCGGGGATCTTTTGTTGGACAGAAGAACCAAAGCTGACGATAATACTGGGTCTTTTGTACAGATTGAATGCTGAGTAAGTAGTGACATCCTGAGTCGAGTTGGTTGTCTAAATTAAGCATAACTGATTCGGGAGAACGGCTGACTTCCTACAGCATTCACATTCTCCCCACTTTGGTTCTTGTGATTGGATCGCAACCGTTCATGGCTGCTGAGGCGTCGGATTTATGAGTGGCACAGCATTTGACATGGATATGATGCAGGAGGGTTTGATGAAGTTGATGAGGCAATAGTCATCGACCAAAGGAAAGCTAATCCAGTTGGCGATAGCTCTTCAAACCCATCATGAGATTACTACCAGTAAATTATCAGCCTGAACATTAGGAGAAGACTCAGAAATCTATCATTCTCATTTTCTCAAGAGCTGGATTCAAACACACTGTGGCAAAGCCCTAATCAAATGATACATACCGCTCCCCATACTGCTCGGCAAACTTCTTACAACGTTCCTGGTACACCTTATGCTTCTTGATAACCTCATCCGCCGTCTTCATCTCCTCTCTGCCAACCTGATGCCGATGCGCCGCATCAGGTCCGTCCGCAATCCTCACAAAGCGCGCATACGTCCACATCTCAGGGAGCGGCGTGTGCTGCGTCAGTCCCTGGCCTCCATACATTTGCATGCACTCGTCGATAATCTTCGTAGCCATCATCGGCACCAAGATCTTGCTCTGCGCAATCGCCCTCTTGCCAGCCTTGTTCCCCAAAAGATCCATCGTATCCGCAGCGTTCAGGACGACAAGACGGGCGGCATCCAGCTCGAGACGCATCTGCGCAACGCGCTCAATGTTGGAATCGAACTCGCCGATGAGCTTTCCACGTGGCTTCTTACGGGCGTCGTTGCAGCGGATCAGGGCTAGCTCATAGGCTCTCTCGCATTGCCCGATTAAGCGCATGCAGTGGTGGATCCGGCCAGGACCCAGACGGCCTTGGGCGATCTCGAAGGCGCGTCCTTCTCCGAGGATGATGTTTTCTACTGGGACGTGGACGTTCTCGTAGAGGTATTCTCCGTGGCCCTCTGGCGCGTGGTCATAGCCCATGATTGTCAGGTTGCGAACTTGGCTGATTCCTGGCGTGTCGCAAGGGACGATGATCATGGAGTGGCGGGACCATTTTGGGTTGTCTGGGTTGGTGCAGCCCATGAGGATGTAGAACGACAAGTCCTTGTTCCAGAGGCAGTTTCCGTAGAGCTTCCTTCCGTTGATTACGTAGAAGTTTCCTTCGCGCTTGATCCTGATTCCTATCTGTGTCGCGTCTGAACTCGCTACGTCCGGCTCGGTCATGGAGTAGGCGGAGGATGCAGTGCCATCGAGGAGTGGCTGGAGCCATTTCTTCTTCTGTTCTTTGTTACAGTACTTGGCCAAAAGCTCGATATTGCCTGTCTCTGGAGCGTGGCAATTCATCGTCTAAAGCAAGTTAACACATCAGTCTTTTCAATAGCCATAATACAAAGACATGTTTCGTACCTGGGCTGCCCAGTAGCACCGGCCCATTATCTCGGCACAGCATGAATACTCCAAATTTGTGAGACCTGGACTTTCCTTGAAGTGGTTGGGTAGGAAGAGATTGAAAAGACCGCGTTCTTTGGCCTTTTTGCGCAGTTCGTGTATTAATGGCGGTGTTGTCCAGCGTCGAGCCTCAAGTTGGGCTTTGAAGACCTGCTCTCTCGGGATACACTCATTTTCGACCCATTCGTACACAGCATTGATCTTCTCAATGGCCAAAGGTGAGAGCTTGGCTTTTACCCATGGTGGCAGGTGAGCAAAAGCGGGACTCTCCATCGCTTGTTGACTTGATTATCCTTGGGCTTTGCGGTCGTTATTCCCCTTGAACTTTCGAATGGTATCCTCAAAATGAACTTTCAAATTCTAGCGAAAGGCATTATAAAGCCGAGAGAAGTCATCCAAGCCTAGTGGTACCGCGATCTTGCCGAGACCATCCCCTGCACCGTACCAACAGGCAAGTCCAAGTACCTCATGAGATCCCCTCCATGGCAGACTCCAGTATCATCCAGAGCTCAATGCGGCTCCAGACGCTAATGATTCAGTGTCCTCGATACATCCTTTAAGCACCAGACGGCCGGGGAACTTGGGGTGGGGCGTTGACCTCGGCCCCTCACGGTTCTGTAAGCTTGTGCGGAGTCCACGCGGGGTAGCTCATCCGGGGATCATCGGCTGTGCGTCAGGATGAGAAGAAGGAGGAGAAGATTGGAACACGAAACAAGACGGCAACCATTTACCCCTTCAGATCCTTGGTGATGCGCCTTGGAAGGGTGTCCAGAAGCCAATGAGATCTCGCAGGATTTTTCTTACTATCGGCTCCATGAGACCGACCTTTTGCCAGCCTCCAAGTTACTCAAGCTACGCCTACCTGGCGTTGTTGTACAACTACCTCATCTATTATCTTACACGTTCTATCCACTGGTCAATTTACCTTTGGAGGGTTGAATGGGGTTCCCCTGTAGAAATGTAAAGAGTAGAAGTATCTTTGCGTGCTTCACTGTGTGCTGCTCTACTATGCTTGTTCCCGCTGCCGCCTCCCCCCGTAGGTCACGACCCTAGTCTGTGTGGTCCCGTCCTACCATAGCCACACTTGGCAGAACAATATGGAATATCATTTTGATTTTTCTATGTGTTATCTTTCGCCGGATTGAGATAAATCAATGCCGTGTAAAATCAGGTTGTTGCACCTCGTATTTGTATGAAGGCATAGACATGCGGATAGTGAATAGTGCAACACATCTGGCAACACTGCCTCCATAGATCTTTTCGTCAATTAATTCTTTATTGCATGAGGATGATAGGATCATTCTCAGGTAGTCTTCTGCTAGGATGGACTTTATCCTTCATACTCTAAGTCCGTCCAATGTCGACTGCATTGACTTTGGTGTTTAAATCTGCTCGGACACTTGGGTGGTGATGACTAGATTATGCTTAAAGGCACGGCGCAAGGGCAAGCAACGCCTCAGTTAGCATTGATTCCCATTCTATTCTTACTATTAAGCTGAAGGTCCAGCTTTTAAGAGGCACTTGTTAAATGGCAACCTTGGCATGCAGGTAAGCGGTCAACAAAAAGCCGGTCAGACCCAATCCTTCTGAGCAACCAACGTTATCAGCTTACTGTATCTCTGGTCTTTAACCAGTCCTTCTCCTTTCGCACTATCCTGTATCGCCGTTGAATTCTGAATCAGACAACTACAGATGCTTGACCAACTAAAGGGGTGATAACCGACGTACAACCTAACTATAGCAAGCGCTCTGCTCATTATTTGCGTGCTCGAGGAGCCACTATGTCGAAGACAGCTGAGAAGCATGCCCTGGTATTTGGTTTGTATAGCCGTCCTCAAATAACTTACTGGTTCTAACAAGGCGATACAGGCTCGAGTGGAATCACTGGGTGGGCCATTATTAATGCTATACTCCAAGGTTATCCCAGCCAAGATACCTTTGATTCTGTGACGGCCCTCACCAATCGCCCAATCAGCAGCGAAATCACTCAGTGGCCTGTATCTAAGAAGCTTCACGTTGTCAGCGGTGTTAACATCCTGAAACCTGGGGGACAAGAAGCTCTCGAAACAGATATCCGGAACAAAGTAGAGAATCTCCGGAAGATTACCCACGTCTACTTCTGCGGTATGGAGCGTTAGTGACGGCATTTACACCAGCCCGTGTGCTAATACTACCTACCAGCTTACATTATGAACCTCGACCCGGCAAAGGAATGCGAGATCAACACTGAGCTCGTCAAAAAGGCTGTTACTGCCATTGATCGCCTATCCCCAAGCCTGCAATTTGTCGTCCTGCCAACAGGCACCAAGGCATATGGCATCCATCTCATCGATCACTTTCCATTCGCAAAGAATCTCCCTCTGCGCGAATCCCTACTGCGAATCCCTGAACCGTTTGGCTCGCAACTCTTCTACTACCACCAGATTGATGCGCTGTCTCGGCTTTCCGAGGGGAGGAGTTGGTCTTGGTGCGAAGTCAGAGCTGACACAATTGTTGGCTTCGTGCCAAACAACAACATTTATTGCGCGGCACAGACGCTGGGAATTTACCTTTCTCTCTTTGCGGAAATCGAAGGGAAAGGAGCCGATTGCCCATTTCCGGGCAACGAAAAGTGTTGGAACAATCTCAGCCACGAAAGCAACCAAGATATTCTCGCCAAGATTTGCATCTACGCATCGTTGCAGCCCCATGTCACACACAAACAGAAGTACAATGCTGGTGACAACTTTGAATCTTCTTCTTGGAGATACAGATGGCCGGTCATCTGCGAGTACTTTGGTTTGAAGGGCACTCCTCCTCTGCCAGGTCGCCAGGCTCCTCAGCCTGAGCACTATCTGGTGAAACATGTTGAAAAGTGGAAAGAGATGGAGAAGAAGCATGGCCTTGTTGGCGGTCATATTATCAACGACCGCACCTTCATTGAGCCAACCCATGGCGTGGGAATGATATACGGTCTAATGAACATGCTTGGTTTCGACAGGCAGCTTGACATGACCCAGTGCCATGAGATGTGGGGTTCCAGCAAGGAAGAAATCGATACGAAAAGTTCATGGTATACTGTGTTCGACAGGTTCAGAAAGGCTCGAATTATTCCGTAGTGGTTTTCATTTCATCCAGCAATGGTCACATTGACTTCAATACTGGGGTGGTGAACGGATTCGGTCGGGACTTAACGCCGGCCCTAATTGTGGAGGCCTTGCCGGAGGTGGCCCCGAAACCAGACCCACCCTTCCGGCCAGGTACGTGGGTACGTACTATAGCCGAAAACAGGATGACACATGCATCCCAGCCACAGTGGCCGTGCGTTACAGTGGCCACCTTACGATGGACGCAGCTGAAATGCAACTTCCGCATTTCAAACATTCCACGCATTCTTTCAATCCGACGCTGCTTGAGGTGAACCGTTTAGAGCACCTTGTTGCTTGCAGCAATTCTTCTTCGATTTTTGGTTTCTTGGGGAGAGTTTTCTTCTTGAAGTGAATCGTTCACTTTACTTCCTTTCTTTCTACCGTCCCTGCTCAACAGCTCATACGATTTAAACCCGCCCCGCTGTTCCCGCAAGGTCCCCCGTCAGCTGAGGGTCTCCACGATACGGAAGATAAGGCCATCACCCCATCAAGGCCGGGCCTGAAGGCATACTCGTGAGGTCGACGAGTATGCTGCTCTTCCCCGATGGCGACGTCAACGGCGACGACGTCAAACGCGACAAGCTCGCCGCCTTGCCCGAGGAGCTCCTCATCGAGACGCTGAATCGCCTCTGCCACAAGGACCTCTGCAATGTGTCGCGCTTGAACAAGCGCTACCATAGGTTGGCCGATGCCGTCTTGTACAAGAGCGTTCACTTTCAGAGCCCGGAGCTTCATCTCACTTTCAGCGAATCGCTGGGCCGGCGACCGCGGCGTGGTTCGGCCATTAATGAGGTAAAATTGATTTATCCTAACGAGGAGCTTTCGCGCCTGGCTCTCGACGCACCCGTTCACAACTCTCATTATGACCCCACGCGGTCCGACACTCTTTCGCGCACACTTTCCGTCATGTCAAATTTGGAGAAACTCGACATTGCTGTTCCTCACGTCCTCTTACACGGCATCGGCACCCTTTTCAACGGGCCGTTCGATTTGGCGTACCTCAAGGAGTGTACACTATTCTATCAGTGCGCCGGTGACGCCTACTGGGACCTGCGAGAAAACATTCACATCTTCGCTCACCCCACGCTGGAGACCCTGGTCATCAAACGAGCCAAACTCGACGAGAAAGGATTCGACTTCATGGAGCGCCCCCACGAGACGGGCCTGAAGAAGTTACACCTTCTCGAATGCGACATTAACGATGACGGACTCTCAGACCTCCTCGAATTCCCAGAGGGCCTGGAAGAGTTTGTCATGACACAGACGGCAGAGCCGAAGCCCGAGCTGGAGGAGAGCTCCGACAACTTTGCCGACTACGTTCTCGCCCTCAACTCCCAGGCCCACTCACTCAAGACGTTCACCATTGACTCGCCAACGCTCGGCTGTCGCAAACCGCTGAGGATGAGAGAATTCGAGGCGCTCAAGAGTATGAAGATGAATTGGGATTACCAGCTCTTCGGCAAGACGTCTAAGAAGCCGCGCATGCACTCGGTCGGTCTCCCACCAGAGATGGAGGTTTTGGAGTTCTTCAACGAGATGGGTTCCGACGAGGAGGTGACGGATCTCCTTCTCTACACGATCCAGACCAAGGACGTCGTCGCCAAGGCCTGGAAGACCTTTGTGGTGCCCGAGGGCGACGCTGGAGTTTCACGTGAGATCAAGGAAGCGTGCAGAGAGCACGGCTTGCAGCTGGATATTATTGGCGCATTCGACACAGACGGAGAAGCTGACTAGAAGAAAAAGACTTAGAAACGAAAGGCCAAACAGAGGAGGCTAGAAGACTTGGAGTGAGAAGTCAAAGTAAAGACAGGAACAGCAAACTATACGTAGAAAAGTATAAACGAAGAGTAGACGAAGATTAGATGACAATAGACGAAGACCAAGACCATATCCATCATATCCAGTGCTCTGATCCAGCCAGTCTCTTCCAAAAGTTGAACCGTGAACGTGAGGCCTTTTGCATAAGTGGTTTAGTGCTGTCCTCGCCAGGTGAGCCGGACCGGACATGATCACAGCTCCACTAGTCGCGGTCAGAGTTCGGGTCCACCCGCCGCCGTCTCCGGGCTTGCGGAACCTAGTATGGACCAGGCTACTCACCCCAGATTTACATCAGCTGGGCGATGGTACAGTAGACAACGACGACGCTTCAAATCATCTACAACATATCCAGAAAGGTAGCGTATGGAGCCGCAACTTGCGAACCTAATTAACACGATGCTTCGAACCGGAGCGTCCTCCGAAACATTCCCTCTACCTAGTACGTCAGAGAGCGTCTAAGAGCATCACGCCATCGGGGGCCATCCGACCACTGTATGGAGGGTTATAAAAACGCACAATGGCAGAGCTCCCACCGGCATACCGGATGCGGGGACAAGCGGAGAATAGTGAGTACCGCTCAAGCGATATCTAGGAAGAAGCAAACCAGTCAGAGGCCAGACGGCTATGCATGATAGTCTGTAGGCTTCTACGTCACAGACAGCTGACGTAGCTTTGCGGGTGGAATTCAGACGTGTCGGATGCAACGTTCTTTCAAATGAATGTTGAGCTAGGCTTACATGTGATGCGGCACATGGTCTTGGATACTCCATCTCCTTGAGTCTCTACAAAGTGCGTCGACCATTCAGCCGCTACGATCCACTCCTTCATGGCGGGCTGACACTCGTAGCACGAAAGGACTGAACAAGGGAATAAGCCATGTTGTATATTGAAATTGTTAGATCGAAGCAGATAGTCAGTCGAAACCTGGCACAATGCCACTGAATTCGTTGGACTTTGCCTTGAGTGGTGGGAAACTGGGCAATGGCCTGCCTAGGAGCTTATTCATGTTCTCATCTGGGCGCTTCGAGCCAAACTAAGCGTGGGCAAAGGTGCCACTTTCCTACAGAAATTAAAGGCACTGCAAAACGTCACGCCTCTGTATTGTTTAGCCATGAGCGTGATATTCCCACCACCGTATTCACCATTGACTGACTAAGCCAGCCGGCTTTTACTCTCTGGCCTGGCTGTCGCCGTTGCCTTGGCCGCTGCCTCAGCCTTTTGCTTCCGAATCGCCGTGCTGCTAATCTTGGACGCGAAGTTCTCCGTCTCGCTCGCCCCCTCCCCTTGCTCGCTGGCATCCAATACCTCCACTTCAAATGTCTCCAGCGGCTTCCACCCTTGCGCCGTCCGCTTGTCGTTGACGGCCTTTCCTCCCGACCGCGTCTCTCCCGAGTATACGAGCACATCCATCTCCTCCAGCGTCACCGTCGGGCCATAGACGTCCTGGAACTCGACACACTCGACGACGATGGCGCCGTCGCGGAAGGTAGCCTCGACGCGGCCCGGCTGTCTCGTTACCGTCTCTGCCGGGCTTGTCTTCTTCTTCCACCCGCTCTTATTTAGTTCGAGAAGGGATGATAGGAATTCGAGGGTGTAATTGGTTCTGTCATCCCAGGATTGAACGAGCTCTGCGTGTTTCTTGTTGACCAGCATCTGATCTCCGGTGATGCCGACGATCAAGCGGCAATGCGATGTCGAGTCCTTCACCGGCACCCGGAGTAGAAGTACGGCTGCCGTGAGGAGTAACTTGTGGCCTGGGTGTAAATGGTCGAACGTGCCCCCTAGACAGACGATGCTGTATCCCGGGGTATCTTCCACTGGATCCTCGCTCGATCCCTCGACATTCATACTCAGACCTGCCTCGACAACCACCAGTTGCGACTGCAGAATCGTTTGCCTACTCTCAGCGAACTTGAGATATGTCGACAATGTACGATAGCCTTGTTCACTATTGATATGGAAGATGAAGTTCCAGGGGTGATATGCCGAGGCAAAGGTCGGCAGGTCCACGACCGTTGTGTTATTAGGATCGATGGCGGCCTGAAAATCCGGCGCGAACCTTCGGTTGGCATCGTGGTCCACCAAGACGACGCGTGCGTCAACCGCGCCAGGTCCGCCGTCGACATCACTGGCAATGGCCTGCTCGGCGCACATCAAGGCGATGAGGCTGTAGAGACCGGCGATGAGAGACTGGGTAGCCGGCCATGACAGCGATTTGGTTTTTGGTGATGCCCCGCGGAGAAGAGGGCCAACGACAGCTACAATAAGTACGGAAGACCGAATTGGGTTCTTGAGTTTGGATAAGACTGCCTGTAGCGAGGGACGGTATGCGGCGCTGAGCGAGGCCCGTGATGGTGGCTGGGTGGGGAGCGGGAGGAGCAGTAGGCTCGGGTAGTCTTGAGAACCCATTCTGGGAGTCCGTTCGTGGTTGCACGTGACAAGCTGTAGAGAGATACGAATAGTAGACACAAATGGTATACTATAGACAGAATTAGCAAGCAACGGCGATGTGTGCCTCAATCACGGATACAACAGTTCAGTTGAGTTGAATCCGGTGCTGTGAGCTGTTGCTTCCCTCGGGCAGGTGGGGTGATTCCGCAGGGTAGCTCTTGCTGCCAGGCCGAGGTGAGGGGGGACGAGTCAGAGTGTGGGGCTGGCGCTAGCGATGCTGATTCATCCTTGCCGCTGCGGAGATAACGCGGGGCTGCGTTACTGTCATGTGATTGGCCAACCCCATCTCCACTCGCCAAGTACGTACCCTGCCGTGTCTTGTCTCTCGACCTCCCGTCCTCAGCCAACCTCTTTTCATCATGTTCAACTTACAACAACATGTTGGTCAATTCTCCTTTACGTTTTGTCATTGACGAGATCCAGAGACATTCAGGCTTTCCCTCTCAGTACGATGATGCTCTCTGCTGTACTCTACCTACAATGACGTAATGGCCCATCCTTCCTGGACCGTCAACATGTCGTCAGCTTCTAGAGAAGGAGAGCCAACCCAGTTGCTGTCCGCTTCGTCCGCCGCGGAAAACTGTCGGCAAATCCGCGTCGTCTAATTCGACATCGGATCTCGACGTTCAATGTCACTGCGCCGTCCATCTGCGGCATCCGGTGGACCTCACAACCTTCCCCGCATCCGACGTGCAACCATCTTTGTCAATGGGGCGTCCAGACCTTTTCCATTCTCCCCTCGGACAACATCCTGCCGACATGGATTCTTGTCATCGTTGTCGTCGTCCCATACGGAGTATACCCCCTCTCTTTGTGGTATCCATATGGCCGACCCAGTCCTGGCTCCTCCAGCCTCCCGTGGCCCACTATCCCCAGACCATTGACTGTCGGTTCGCCGGATATCCAGCATCAAGCTCCCTCCGTCTGGGGTAACGGAGTGCCCTGGTTCCATTGGGCTGCTTTAGTTCAATTATTTCTCCTAGTCTATCGGGCAAGAGTGAGATTCGCCGTCGCGACAAGTGTCGCATTCGCTGGACCATCCCGGACTCCAGTCCCGAGCTCGGAGCTTTCACGAATCCCCCAACGCAGCCAAGCTCTGAGTTCGGATCCGCAATGGCTCGCTGCAAGTGTAAGATTGGGGAAACAAGCTGTCTTGAACCGTCTCCTCGCCATGCACCTCCGCCTGCACCTGCACCATTCCATCCCACCACATCTGAGCTTGCTTGCCCGGGATCCACTGCCCTTCCGCTGTCTCTACCAAGCCGGCATTCCTCTCCTGGCCAACAACCTGAACGAAACCTGAAAGAGGGGTGGCCTGCCTGCGTGACACTCCCAGGGCCCCGTTGTTTGTCGTCACGGTGGGGTCCAGCATTGAGTCTTGACACTCTTGGACTTGCTCGTCCTCCATCTTCGGCATTCTCGCCGTTGGACAGCCATTTCCCTCTGATTTTACACTCGTTTTCCAGTATTCTTCCTCGAACTCGTCTGGGTCCTCACTTGCGCAATTCTATTATCGTGATCTACTGCACGTTCCCACGTATAATTCCAATAGTACCCGGAAAGCCGTGGCTCTTCACAAAAACGTAGGACACGAGACCATGACCATCATCAAGGATGAAGCCGGGCAAGGCTCAAACGATGATGCCGGAATCACCGCACAAGAAAACACTACTCCTCGCATACCTTCAACCCGCCAAGCCAAGAACCAACAGGTAAGGCATAGAGCATCTGTCGCCTGCGCCTCTTGTCGGGACAGAAGAATCCGCTGTGTAGTTCCAAAGGGTGAGGTGGAATGCGTCCAGTGCAAAAAGGCCGGTAATGAGTGCGTTATCAAGAATGACGATGAGCGGCGGCGGTATGTATACTTGAGAGCCGAATTTTCCCAATTGGATTCAGTCTTGTCTGAAATGCTGACGAAATGACCAGACCAATATCAAAGGCGTACATGTCGTCTTTGTCCGATCGCATTGCGATGCTTGAGGGCATGCTACAGGAGAAGGGTGTCCAACCTCCACCAGCCGTGCATCCCCCGAAGACGAGACACGAGACCCAGCAATTATCGGAAGAGCCAAGAGAGCAAAGAAGGTTTCCAGTCAAGAGACCAACTGCCCCCGAGGTCCCCTCGCCTCCGGATTCTGGAAACGATGACTACTCGATACAAGGTAGCGACCACGCCGAGAACGCGTCCACCACGAGCCCCTGCTTCCATGTTCCTGCAGAAGAACAATCTGCATTCCGTATACTGGATTCAACACAAGAGAACGTTGTCCACAGGCTCCTATCGACGAGAGGGAATCTTTCATTTGACCAGCTATCTGGACGACTCCGGTTCTTCGGCCCGACGGCCAATTCTCACGTTTACTACGCTGACACCAGCGATAGCTTACGGTCTCGTGAGCCGTCAGAGCAAATTCGGCGTGCTGAGCGCATTATTCGGACACTGACAGCAACGACCCATGACTACCTTATGAACAATTTCTGGACGCACTACAACAGCGTACTGAAAATCATCCACAGAGAATCGTTTGAATCCGATCGAGAGTCGCAAAGCCCAAAATTCTACTCGTCGTTCCTGCACATTGCAATCTTGGCCATGGGTTTCCGATTTGCTGATTGCAATCGTGATGACATGAAACGAATGGCTTTAGGGAACCGGGAGAGCACTCTGCACAGGGAAGCCAAGTACATGCTCGATGTCGAACTCGAGAGACCTGGTGGGATACCCAGCGTACAGGCCCTCCTTCTTCTCGGCGACCTGGAATGCGGCGTTGGCAGAGATAATACTGGGTGGATGTATGCTGGTAAGCTGATCGCGTGCCTCTTCAAAGAACACATAATAATGATGCTTCATCAGGGATGGCGAATAGATTAGCTTTTGACATCGGGCTCCATTTGGACTGCCGCAACAGTGGTTTTGACGAACAGGAGGTCGACATCCGCCATATGGTGATGAGAGCCTGCGTGATATACGACAAATATTGGTCCCTATTTCTGGGTCGGCCCACGAGCATCAAACGCCAAGATGTCGGCATGGATCTGCTATCACGGCGCTTCTCACAGCTCACGTCGCTCATGGGAACGCCTGGGCCCACTAACAAGGAGAATCAGACTGTGGAAATCTACGATCAGCTTGTCGAGTTGATGGAGCTTGCGGGTCGAATCGTGGAAGCTAGAGACAGCCGGCAAGCACCAGCGAGTGTTCATAAGAGAGACGGAGCGGATAGCGAAGAAGATGCGTATGTTCAAAGCACCAACCTCGATCGCCAATTACAGAATTGGTATAGGCGGTTGCCGGAACATTTGCAGTGGAAGCCTGCCAACATCAAGCATGCACCATTCAGCTACTTCCTTCTTCACCAGCAATATCACGTGTCGATGATATTGCTGCACCGTTCGTGGGCGAATTACGAAGAAGTTTCTAGCGATACCATTAACACTGACGCAAACCTTACGCCGAACTCGAACCCTGACTCCAAAGACACATCCGACCACCATCAATTCAACCACTCCCTAGGGACGAACTTGTCACAATCAACCACAGACACAGGCCGAGTTGCATCATCGCGTAGTATCTGTAGTTTCCATGCGATTAGAGTGGCTAGAATCTTCTGGCAACACCGACAACGTTTTGATGGTACCAAGATATTCATCACTGGCATTCAGCACGCCGGTACTGCAGCAATTGCTCTGATTGCGGCACTGGCATATCACCGTTGCGAGTCTGATAGGCGGACGTACCTCGGATACCTAGAGATTCTGGCCAGCGCTATCAGCGACATGAGTCAAGCCTACCAGCCAGCAGCACGCATGGACAACCTACTGAAGGCGGTGCTTGGGAAACTCCGGACCGACAACGACAGTCTCGACGGTGCCAGCCAGCCGCCTATCATATTGACGGGCAGCGAAAAGAGTCTCCTTTCAAGCCCTGGCTGGAGGGGCAACACAGACAGTGTGTACTCCGTTCTCCCAGCTAGACGTGAGGCGGAAGTCAGGGACAGTCCACCGAATAAAAGACGTCGCCCATCGACGAGCAGTCGGAGAGCGTCCGAGTTCGCTCGCCCGCCCTTACCTTTCTTCGGCTCCAAGACACAGTCGTCTACACGCAGGTCGTCGCAGAGCAACGTGTACGCAAACATCAGTTCTCCCCTAGAGCCCGCGACGTACGCTACAAACGGAAACGATCATCAGCTATTCAATCTAGACTTTCTCAATGGTTCGGCGATAGATAATGATAGAGAAGACGATGCCTCGGATGCCAAGAGCAAACCTGTGGAGGATTGTATCTTTGTTTCGCCACTGTCCAACAGCTGGACACAGGAAAATACGACTAACGGTAACGCATCGCCGTCTCAAAAGGCGGATCTGCGGTATGGCGATTTAGACCTAAACGATTGGGAGTCTGGAGCATCCGGGATCGGTCTTGAGTCCTTGTCCAGCTTCCAGCTCAGTGGTGGAGGGGAGAGTAGCCGGGAAAGCCAGCAAAAGGTCCACAAAGAGGAAGCCAGCCAGAGCACTCTCAAGAGCGAGACCAAGGGCACGGTAATGGACCAAGGAGGTTTCGGGCCCTTTGGCCATGACACCATGGACTGGATGGGTACCGATGGTGGCCTGGATACCATGACCTCTGTGAGCCTGATTGAGCTGGTGCAGAGTTCAATTGCTGGTAAGGCAGAAAGGCGTCCGGCGGACGAGGCGCCTAGAAACCATGAACTGGACTTTTTGAGCTTCTGAGTCGACCTTATCACGTGGGAAGTCAGACCCGGTTCTTCTTCTTTAGCATCTCTCCTCTTTTTCTCTCTCTCACTCTTCGTTACTTCATCTTGGGCGTTGGTAGTCCATGGGAGTTTGCGGGCTTGGTTCGTTTCTTGACATTTGTACCTGAGTACTCGTTACATGGCGTTGTAGGTAGGGATGTGCCGGCTTTGAAGCATAATTGAATAGATATCTTCTTTTGTCAACTACGTGTCCCAGAGCCATTGACAAGTGACACAAGCTACTCAGATTCTTCGACGGTTTCAAGGTCACCACCGTGGAAACCACCGCCCTCATCCTACATCTCCCAACTCACCAGGAAGACCACCTAATGAGCCGTAAACCCACCATCAGCAACCAACCCAGACCCCTGCATAAAACTACTCATATCAGAAGCAAGGAACGTGATACCTGGATCAAGAGCCCGTCAGTCAAAGTACCAAATCGAAGATACCGTACTTTAATCAAGATACGTAGTTTGAAAAAGACATCAAGAAAGCAATGACAATAAAGACTCACAATCAGCAATCTCCTCAGGCTGCCCCAGCCGCTGCAACGGCGTCATCTCAACATACCGACTCAGCGGGCTCCCCGCCTCGCGCGAAAAGGGGGTTACGATGGGCGTCTCGATCCAGCCGGGACAAACGGCATTGATGCGGATGCCTCGACGGCCGTAGTTGTTTGCGTCGCTCTTTGTCAGGCCCATGACTCCTATTGTGGTTCCGCTTCAGTACCTTTACTGTCTGACGTGCTTTGCCATGTTTCTCTCTGGAAGAGAGGAATGGAAAAGGGAAGGGGTGAGTTGACGACGTACCGTGCTTCGCAGCCGAATACGCCGTCTGCGCCATGAAAAGCGAAGGCGAGACGACGCCAAAGATGGAGGCCACATTGATGATGGCCCCTCGACCGCATCTCACTCCAAGGGCCCTAGTCACATAATCACATCAATACCAAACTCACCAGGGATCGCCCGAGCGAATAATATTCAAATAACAGAAAGAAAGAAACATACTCCTGCTCCAACATAACCCTAATCTCCTCCTTCTGGCACCTCCACACCCCATACAAATCAACATCCACAATCCCGCCAAACTCCTCCTCGTCAACCTCGTGCGTCAATTCCCCCTTACCCGCGATCCCCGCGTTATTCACAGCCACATCGAGGCGCCCGAAGCGCGATACCGTCTCCGCGATGCCGGCTTTTACTTCAGCCGCGTCGCGGACGTTCAAAGGAAGCGTCAGGACCTCGGCGGAGGGGTACTTCTCGCTAAGGAGCGATTTCGTGGCCTCGAGGGCTTGGGAGTTGATGTCGGTTATGGCGAGGCGGGTGATGCCGTTGCGGGCGAAGGCGAGGGCCGTTTTTTGGCCGATGCCTGTTGTTTTGTGGTTTATGTTAATAAATGAAGTGTCTTATACGTTACTGAAAGGATGCGAGATGTAAATGTGTGTGATATTTGCTGTGTGTAAGTTTGTGAGTAAAGGGGGTTTCGTCAAAACGTACCAGAAGCCGCGCCGGTGATGAAAGCCGCACCACGGAGAAGAGACGCCATGATGAAGCCTGCTCGTTTCACTTTTACCCAACACAGATCTGACGACGGCGTTGAATACCTATATGCAGGTTTATAAATGCTAATTCTGGGCGTCGACACTGGATGCGCGGATTACTGAGCAATCCGGAGTGTGGTAGCAGTCTTAACTTATATAAAAAGTCCCAACGTAAATAAGTTCACACACTCATACAGTACATCTAAACCAAGCCCAAGACCGAAAGATGAGATGGATGGACCGGTGAGACAAGCCGCTTCACTCCGCATACGCATCTCCATCTCATCATCTCATCGAGGAAACACACGCGCAGCCAACTTTCCTCGGCGGTGACATCGTCCAAGAAAGTGAGGCGGGAAGATCGCGGAGAAGCGTACCCAGCGTAGCTTCCCGCGCGGGTCTACCCACACCACGGGATGGACCGCTCCCCGCGGGTCGCAGGATAAAGCAATACCCGGAGTGTTGGCACAACTTTGAGCTTCTACTGTTGGAAGTATCTGTCGAACCACTTCCTGGCACGCCATTCTCAAGTCCCGCTCCCTAATGAGGAGGTGGCAATGAGAGATCAAGATAGCGAAGGGTTGAGTGGGATGGAAATTGCTTCGGTCAAGGACACCATTGCAGTGCCCATCTGGCGATCACTCGCATTCCAAGTACGTCTTTAGTTATTTATTTTTGGAAATGGTAGTTTGCTCCCCTGATGATATTCTGAAATGCCATCGCTGAACTATCAATTCGACTGAAAGAAGGAGTCATTCGCCACCGATGAACTCTTCTTAACCCATACTACCTGATAGAACGGATTTACCAGCCCTTACGCGCCCGCTGTTCCAACTATGGAAAAACAATGCTTGTATCATGAAAATACCCCTTACAGCGCACATTTACCAGCTTTTGGAAGTCAACACTCGTCGACTTTGTTTAGACATTAATGAAAGATGTTCGACTCCAAGTCTCAGCATGCGGTTTGTTCAGCAGGCAGCAACTCCAAGTTGAAACCAGCCAGAGAAGAGATATGGAAACCCTCCACTAGCGAATCTGAAATCAACGCAATCAAATATGCCAGGTTCCATGCCCCGTTGTGCATAAAGAGTTATACCGCCCTCCAACCCAGAGAACAATGAGGTGGAGTATCGCGAGAATAACGCTTCCTCGTAAGCCCCAAGCCCAGGGCAGTCCGTTAGACAGGCGTCTCCCGGTTTCTCGCTCATATGGCGTTATCGGGCGCGTGCCGGCGCCGGCAAGTCCAAGATCAAGAGCAGCCAAAATCACCAATGGCGCCCCGACATTTGGGCTAACTACGTACGGCCAGCATGGGCGCGTCAGGCTGAGCATTTTGCTCAAAAAGAAGCCGAGACGCACAACCGCCAGTAGAGGTCCAGCATTGTAGCGCACAACCTGACCTGCTCGCAATCGGCTAATCATGAGTCTGTGCCGCAAGGCTTCCAAAGGTGTAGCAGGGGGTGGCATCAGGAGCGGGGGCGAGCTCAGAGGTTCGTCCTTCAGGGAATCCACACTTTCATCTCGCTCGGGTGTCGTGCGGATAAAGCTATCCTGGCTGCGTTGAGCCACCATTACCTGCGCTTGCGGACGGAGTCTCGGGGAGCTGGAGTCGGACTGTCTTCGTAGACCTGCCGGCATGTCCGAAGTGGGAGAGCCGCCGTCTGCTGCCCTGCTAGGGATGTTGTACCCTTCCTGGGACGAGGAGAACCTCGACTGCTTCTGTGGATCTGCGACCAAGTCAGTTTGATAGATAGCGTCATCTCTAAAGGGTTATGAACCACGAACCTGGCACGGGAGTGCTTGGCGGCATTGGGGAGTCTAGACTCTGTATCCGGCGTCCGTTGATTCCCATGGACGGACTCGAACTCCTACCTCGAGGGACGCCATCCATGGTCGACTCCGTTTTCATAGCTGATAGAACTTCGCTCGCGCTAGGTCGCTGCAACGGATCCAGAGCAAGAAGCTTTTTGAGAAGTTGGTACAACTTTGTCGGAAGATCTGGGCGTTCTCTGCGTTCGTCTTGGAAGCCCTGCCAGTCTGTAATCTCCGCTCGTAATTCATCAATATCTTCGAGCTCTTCGTTGATGGTGTTGGCACTCCGGTATGGCAGACGACCGAAACACATAAAGTAGAGAATCATGCCGAGAGAAAAGATATCAGACTTTGTGGTGAAATTGCCGTAACGTCCGGTCGTCAAGTCTCTCCTCAACACCTCTGGCGCACAGTAGGAGATGGTTCCGGTGGATCCAGTCGACTTACGGACCATGTTCTCAGATTGAACCTCGCCAAAGTCGCTGATCAAGCAGATTATGCCGCTACCCTCTCGATGCAGGAGACAGTTACTTGGCTTCAGGTCCCGATGAATGTAATTGGCAGCATGAAGGTATGCCAATCCCGAGGTGATGTCTTTGAAGAGCGAGTAAATCTCCTCAAAGGACAGCAATCTTTGCGAAGCAAACTGGTCGCGGGGCAGTTCAAGCTGTCCTTTTGATTTCCGTCGCATCTGAGCTTTGAGCTGTTCCTTGGTCGTTTCCTTAGGTTGGTCCCCAATGATATAGTTGAGCAGGTCGCCACCATTACAGTATTGCTGAAGAATGAAAGCGCATGCCACGCTGGGACCGAAGCGTGTCAGCTTGACGTCCTCGAGCCAGACATGGCGGTAAGAGACCAAGTTTGGGTGAGAGAGCTTTGCGAGCAGCTCGACTTCGATGAGAACTAACAGGTCCAGGGTCAGCGGGTAGGTCTGAACAGAGTAGCACATGCACTTTGTACCTTTTTCCAACCATGCGTGATCGTCGCCTACAGGCACGCGCTTACACGCAAAGTGACCTATCCATCATCAGTATCTCTGCCAAACAATCGATTGCTCGGGCTCCATACCAAGCTGACAACCATCAATTTCGTGGCGGACGAGCAGCACCACACCCTTGCCGCCGCGCCCAAGCTCCTTCTCCTCGACGAAGAAGGTTTTGAAATAGTTCGGACTAAAAGCCTCGCGGCGAATGCGGCTGCCCTCCTGGACCGAGGGTGTACTCGAAATGAACTCGGCGTCTTCGGCTTCCTCGATTACGGCAGCTTGCGGGTGGGGTAAGCTTGGTTGCACAATGCGACGAATGGGGCTGGGCGGGGGATGGTGGTCGGCGCGAGAGTCGTGGCCGCCGGCACGGAGCATGCGAAAGTAATTCGGGTCGACAAAGGAATCATGGTGGCGAGCGCTGTCGAATTGACGTTCGGGGGAGGATGATCGCAAGGGCTGGCGGCATGTCGGGCATTCGGACAGGCCACGGATCTCGAGTCTCTGGGAGGACGGGTCACGGACTACTATAGCGTTGCGGTGCCGCCTAGAAGAAAGCACTGTCAGCAAGATGCATTATCTAACCCAGAGGAAGCGAAATGAAAGTAAACCAACAGGACGATTTCGCGACCTTCGCGCGGGTGATATGGGATCAGCGACATGGCCGGTCGATCTTGGTATGCTACGCTGGGGTCGTCGGACCGACAGAAAGGTCTAGATCATGGCCCAAAAGAGGGCAGCTGTGATGTTTGTTCGTTCGCCTGGCGGATAAGTTACTTCAGCCGGGTGTCTTGAGACAGGTAAGCGGCATGGGCCGCGAAGGTCGTCGTAGGCGTGTCGGAGAGAATCGCGATGTTGGGTGAAGCTTCAAGGAGCTACAAAGGTAAGGCGAAGCTCCTGGGTGAGTCAAGACAAGGTGTAGCTTGAGCTGGTGTCCAGGTGTCCAGGTGTACAGGTGAGGAGTTGCAGGTGAGGTAAGGTGAGAAAGGTTGTTTTGTTGACATTGAATGACCTCACACTGTCCGTGGAGCCACCCAAATACCCCACGTGCCCCGCCCCGGAGCGTTCGAACCGCTCTGCGGGGCGCCCATGACTGCCGGGCCAGAGGAACCCACACTGTACCACAGCCACAGCCACAGAGCATCCAAGAACCTAAGCAATCACCATTCACCAAACCGTTCAGTAGCCAACTCATCTTCATGTTGGCAATTTGCTAAAACATGATCATATTTCTGTTTGTTTCACGGAATCATGGGAGTGGTCAAACATTTGATGATTTACAGTTTCAGTGAGGTGTCATGCAATTTACTTTTGTAAGACGGCAATGTCTCGATGAAAGTGCGCTGAGCTTATTCAGCTTCTTCAAGTTATCAGACAAACACACGATATCTGCAACGATGAGGTAGATGAGCCCTCTCTACGTATCTAAGATCTCGCAATGCAAGATACGATCTTTATCTGCAGCTTCTACTTGAAACATGCCAAGCTGTCATGGAATGTATCTGTATCTCTCCCGAAGACGATGCGACCCTCTGCCGGAGTTATACCTAGCTCAGCATGTCTTCCCATATACCTTAGTCCCTAGGGATCGTTTCCAACTTGTACTACTAATTCTCTTTCTTAAACCTCGAAACTTGTGTCACAGCCCGTCGTTGTATCGACTTATCAAGGGCCTCAGGATCCCGCCGACTAGTGTAGTGAGCATCTCCCCCTGGCCAGACAACGACGATCCTCTCCAACTCCATGACCACCAACCCCCGGCACCGTGGTGATTTGACCAGGGCAGTCTCCGTCGCAGTTACACTTGCTGGGCCAGCTCGGGCCCGTCACCAGGGGGTTGAAACAAATAGAGCCTACCTACGGCTACGGATACAGCTATGGAACCACCGCGGCATATTCGCAACGGGGCGGCACGGGAATTCGTATTAAATCGCACCAACGAACCCTTCACCGCGACTCAAAACATCCCCAACCTGGCAACCTGGCAACCTGGCAACCCCCTCAACCCCCGGCTCAACCCTGCCCGTCGTCCACTTCTAGGCTCTGCACAACTGCAGTGTCCCTTCACCGCCGCGCTCAACTCCCGACAACGAAAAAGGAAAGCGTGGATGTGTCAACGCAAGGTCTTCATCCACCACCGTTGTGGCCACAAGATCACAGAGCTCATCGAGCAGTGCGAGACGTTCGAGTGTCCCGGCATTACGCACAAACCCGTCATCAGCAACCGCTATACCTGCATTGTGCGCACTTGTATGTGGTACGGCCAGTTCTGAATTGAACTGTGGTGTGACAGAGAGTGAGTGAGACAGGATGAGAAAATACCGGCGAGTTGGGGAGTATCTCTTGTGTAAGTGGACTACTTCACTATATCCTGGGAAATGAGCCGGAAAACGAGAGGTTTCTCACAATCACGTCGACTAGTGCCAACTTTCGCATCCAGCTCGTACAATTAGATAGAACAGCATCACAAAGCCTCATCAGCCCAACATTATACTTCTACTTAATTCCAGCTACTAAATGTCAACCCCCTACCTCAACGTCCAATCCGAGTCCCATCCGTGCCTTGCATTAGCGACGTGCATCTCTAGTAGCGTCTTTTCAACACTAAAGCAATCCATCGCGCAAGTTTGTCTGATGGCCTAGGTCAAATACGGCAGCTCAACATCGGTTAGACATTAGAAATCCTGCCTCGTCGCTTCAACCGACCGTTTAGAAGTGAATGAGAGGCATCCGTTGCCTTCACGATTTTGAGCAATGTTGATAGTTTAACCAATTAAATTCCGAAAAGAGAGAGCGCTCTCTTCCCGATGGGTATCATATATGTCCGGTTCTGCCTAGCTCCTGTGGTAGGTATTCAACCCCTTCCCGGCTTTTCAATCACCTGAACACTCCTTTGCGCCCCCCACGATACAAAAACACTGTACAGACTGAATAACCAATCGTAAAATCAAAAGGTACCAGAAACGCCACCAATCAAGTGAGAAGGACGACCAACGTGCCCGCACGCCAAGTGAAAAAAGGCCACCTCGCCGATGAGAGACACATCGTTCGCGAGCGAAAGAGTCCTAGTGAATATCGCGATCATGCAAAATCTGCCATTTGCGATGATACAAATTAATATGCGCCCTCAACGCGTCCGCGGACTCGTAATTATCCGTCGTCCCCGTCGGCACGCATAAACAGCACGCAAACATGTTCCTGTTCGAGTGCGACTTGGCCAGGAACCGGCTCGACATGCGAAAGCCGTCCTTGAGGACGATATAGTCCTTGTTGCCGGGCAGCAGCGGGTTCCATCGGTACCCGCACTTGCACCGCTTCGGCGCGTCGGGGATCGGCTTGGAGAGGTCGACCTGGAGCGTCATGGCCTCTGGGCAGAACATGCTGAAGACGCTCACTTTTGGGCGGAGGAAGGCGGAGGCGGTGGTGCTGATCGTGTCTGCTTCCGAGGGCGCGAAGATGGAGACCGCGTCGCTGGCGATGGCCTTCGGTGTTGGTGGTGTTGGTGGAGGCGAGGGCGGTTCTGATTGGAAGGGTGCTTGGTCGGTGCTGATGGTCATGGTCGTCGACATGTCGTCGTCTTCCTCCTCCTCCTCCTCCTCCTCTTCATATTCGTCGTTGTCTTCGTCTTTAGAGATGATGCTGTGGTTGTTGGTTGACGAGCTACTCGAGTATTGCGAGATGGGCCTCGTATGCCGCGAGCGGGGCTTTGGAATGGGAAGGTGCTCGGGGATGTCTGGGCGTCCGGCGGCGAGACGGTGATATAAGGCACCGAGGGCCTGGACTGAGGCGATCCTGACAGACTCGGATGTCTGTATGATATCTGAGATGTTGAGAAGGCCAGTGAAGCTCGAGTCAGAAGAGACCCTGCGTAGGTGAGAAACTCGACTACTGAGGTTGAACAGCTGGTTGGAAAGCATATCCCGGCATGGTGCTGTTGAAGCTATTAGCGTGGCTGCAGACAGATGGAAACGGGTTGCGACGTCGATGGGGTGGAAACTCACTGTCGCCGGTGGAGAAGTCGGTTCCAATAAGAACAGTCGCAATGTCATAAGTCTCCTCGATCTGATTCCTCGCAAGCTCCAACGAGATGCTCAAAGCACATGTAATGACATCCCTTCGAATACCGGATTCTGATGATTTCCGACAGTAGTGGTTTCCAAGTGTGCGCTTCCTCTTCCATTGGGTGTAATGCTCGGTGCCCTCGGCGTATAACTCCTTGAGAGACGACACAGCCTCATCGACTGTGGTTGCCTCCATTGTTGACCTGTCACTTTGATGGCATGATGGAGTGGTGCCGAGAGTAGGTAGGATTTACGTGAAGGAACTAACTTAGTGTTAAAGGGAGTGGAAGTGACGAGAGGGAGAGAGAGGATCGTCTGGGAGGGAAGGGATTAAGAACGGCAGCCAACGGAAACCGGATCGGGAAAAGCAATGTTGGCGGGCGGCCGGCAATCAGCTGAATGGATGACCAGGGCGAGCTGAAGCCTGAAGCCTAAAGGAAGGGAGGACGGGAGAGTTTTGAGACCAGTGGGAAATGGCAAACAGAGTGCTTATCGGCAGATGGGGGGAACGCGACTCAGAACAAGCTTCAAAGCGAGACAACAGATCGAGGGGTGGGTTACCAACAGGTTGGGGCCAAACGGGCGTGCGTGTCTCTTGATGAAGTGGGTTATTCTGGTTTCTTTGATGCTTTGACTCTCGAAGTATTCATTATGGAGACCGGATACATCATACAGGTAACAGCGTACGGAGTTGGTAGGGAACAAGAGTCTAGAGGGTGTGCTCGGGCTTCTTGGATCGACAGGAAAGCCAGGGAGGAAATGGGGGGGAGATAGATCGGGCGTGGAGCTACGGACACTAGAGCAGAGCAGATGGGCGGGCAAACTTTTTGAGCCAATGTGGCGTTGGCGGGCGTTGAGTTGGTGGACGCCAGGACGCCAATCTCACGACTCGAGGTGCAAGTCGTCCGAACGGGCGCACGGGAAGTCGAGGGGGGCGGGTAGCCGACATGACATGAGGCATGGGACGGCGTTGGCGACCTAGGCGTACGGAGTACTGCGTAGAAGACGGAGTAGACGGGGGTGTCAATGGGCATGGTCCATAGGCAAGGGACATGCAATGCCTGTCAAGTCGAGTTTGGCCAGAGAGTCATGTGCGACGATCTTTTGGATGTGATTCTCGTCTCATCCCGCCGTCAGCCGGCGGATGGTGTGCATGCTGACGATGCTGCTGCAGCTGAGGTTTGGTTTGGTTTGGTTTTCTTGGGGTCCTTCTTGGGGTCGCGAATGAACGGAGAAAGAGTCGAGTAGGGTGAGAGTGTTTGCTTTTTGCTCGGAAGGGACCGGTAGAGTTTTCCATGTTGGCAGCTCGCTAATGACTAAAACATACGGTCAAGTGAGTACTGTTAGTAAGAATAGGTAAAACAAGATGAAATACCCCCGGGACGACTTGCTGTGCCAGGAACAGAGATGGCCAGGATGAATGCAGGGCAAGGCAGGCTGGGGCTATGGGAGCATGGGACCAGGCCAAAGTCGCCAAACCAGAGTCGCTTCTATTCGTTGGGTTAACAATATGCCACCGTATTGAAGGCGAGGCGAGTCGAGGCGAGTCGGAGGATCCCACGCGTGCGGTTCCAATTGGCAATCCGTTGCTGTTGGTGGTGCTGCTGCTGTTGCTGTGCCTGCCGGTGTCTTCAAACAAACCACCCAATCCTTGATTCTGTGATGACAAGGTTAAGGTAAAGGTGAGGTGACAAGACAAAGAGAGACTGAGAGTTGGGAGTTTCGTCCGAATGACGACGACGTGACCGGGGTCCCGCCCATCCCGCAAAGAAGTCAAGAGTTCAGACGTGTTATTCGCGTCAAAGAAAGATGGGCTCAGATGGCACCGATGGCACATTGGGGATCCAATGCGACCGCGCCGTCTGTGCTCAAGCTCAGGGTGGACACGCCGCACTTTGCAAGTAACCTAGCACCATGAATGATGGCATGGATCCTGACACCCATCAATCTATCAAACGGTCAGCAACCTTGCACCTTGTCCCGTTCGCAGAAACTCGACGGGAAATCCACGGCCAGTCCGGCTCAGTCCGATTCAGTTCTGTCTGCTGTCTGGTGATGTCCCTGTCACTGTTGACTGTTGACTGTTGACTGTTCCGAGGCAATATAGAGACACAAAAGAGAGTGATCGGGTGGGAAATGAGTCCATTGAAAAAAAGGCTGAGGAGGAAATTAGCGTGCTGACTGGGCGGGCGCTACGCTTCCATTCCCTACCTGAGTACTTAGGTACTTACTAACGCCGTCCACCGTCGGTCCATCCGGCGAGCCGGCCCCGAACTGTGGGCCCCCGTCCTCGGTCTCCCGACATGGCGATTGGCCCCCCACCGCAAGCCATCGCTAAAAAGGTACTTTTGGACAGGTATCTTAGCCAAAGGGTCTCTACCTTACCTTAGCCTCTCGAGGCTTCCATTGAATCCTCCGCCGCGATCCTTCATCCTCTCAGCCGTCAACTAATTATCTTTCAAGCCGCAAAGACAACCCGAGACAGGCACACGCTCCACGTCACATGCTAGCCCTTCAACATCACTGTCGTCCCGTCCGCATCGGACCGCCAAGCATCGTGGCACTCCTCCCCTAAAGCTGCTTAAAGACAGCTAGCGTCCGGCTTGAGGATTCCGCTGCCACGACCACTGCCGCCGCTCATTCACCCAAGTGTACCTCCTACGTGCCTGGGCAAGCCACTTCTAGCCTACCTACATCCGGTCTACACAGTCTTATCAGCTCAGCTCAGCTCCACGCGTTCACATGGCCAAGCCTAAAAGCAAACAACGTGACCTGACTAACATGCCTGGAGGTCCGGAATAGCAAATCATCGCACAATGCCGCCTCCTCGTACTCGTCAAACCCGCCAGAGCTGCGACCGGTGCCACGCCCACAAACTGCGTTGTCCAAAACAGCCTGGCAACGCCATTTGCAGCCGTTGCTCCAAAGCCGGAGCCGCATGCGTGTACAGCCCCGTGGGCACGCTACCCGCCTACCAGGACCTGGCTGCAGGACTGGGTGATGATGCCCTGCCCCTTTCAAACGGTGCGACGGACTTGGACTGGGGCAACTTTTCTTTCGATGACATCCTGGGCTTCTCGTCTGTTCAGCCTTGCGATGTAGCATCATCTCGGCTTGGTCAAGCACCACTGATCCAAGTCCCGGCTGACCCTCGATCTCAATGCTTTGAAGAGCTCACTGCCATCACGGCCACTCTAGATAGAGCCACAAGGGGCCTTCCCCCCATTGACAAATTCCACGTCTCTGGCCCCGATTCCAAGAAGCACTGCCTTGAGATATCCCAACAGTACAGTCACAAAGAGGCTCTCGAACTCCTACTCGCCGAGACTCAGAAGCTCGTCGATGTATACCCTAAAGCTATACAATTCGCTCTGGAACAGCGCCCAAGCCCGGACTGCAGTGTGCCAAACTGCATACACACCTACAACTCCATTACCGGTCTCCAAGACGAGCCCTTTGCAAACTCGGCGCAGCTGATATCAAAGATCGACTTTCCGCTACTAAACCTCCTTCTCTGCTGCCATTACCGATGTGCCGATGTCATGGAACTCGTCCTCTGTCACGTCCAGCTGTGTCTCAGATTCCTCGCCGCGGCCATGCAGCAGGATGTCCAGCCTCACGAGTTTGACGTTCCAGAGCTCAAAATTGGCTCATTCACCCCGTCACGGCGATCATCGCCTTCCATCATCATGGCGATTCTGATCGATCTCCAGTCCTCCCTGGCCAGTTGTGTCCCGCGACTCAGCTCTGCGCTGAACGAGAGGGAAGGGGACTGTGGCAAGGAAGGCCGCATACTTTTGCTTCAATGCGAGCTACTTGCAGAGAGAGCAAATTCCATTGTAGACCGACTGAAGAAGCTGAGAGATACTCTCAGCAATGCAGGGCTTCTTGCGTAGAGTCTATCGCGGCCAAGCGGGCATTAGTGTGTCCAACGACGTAAAGGTTTCACATTGGCCGCTTCTTATTGAAACCAAACATTAACACCAATCATATTGATATGACGTTGAAGCTATTGGTCTAAGAGAGAGCACATACGCTTTCCCCAGGTCATCTTCCGTTCGTGCGTCGGCAGTTCTGGCGATGGCATGGATATCCCTCCATGAAAAGCATCACAACCCCTCCTCCTTAAACTTATCAACACCTCAAACACATATCACAGGTGACGTTAAGTTGATGCGAACCATGGAAAACGATTACTATTATATATGCCGAGATGCATGGTCATATAGAAGTTGCTCTTCACTGGTTGATTGACTTTATCCGCCGGCTGTTTTCTTGACGGTAGGTCAGCTTCCTTAAAGCGTTGCGTTAAAAGACTCTGGTTAATAACCACGATAACTGCAGCGGATGACCTCTGTCTGGATGCCGAGCCGCTTCATTGTCTTGCTCAGTCCCTCGCGTATAAAACTTCATTTCCTAGGAGTCATCCATCTTATTTCTAGGAAATGGTTATCAATAAAACTTCCAATATTTCTCTCACCTACAACGAGGGTCTGCGATATTCGAAGCCATATTTCAGAGTCAACAATCAACTACAACTTTCACGATGAAGATCTCTGCAGCTGTCCTGATACTGGCGTCTCTTGCCTCGGCTCATTGTGCGTAGAGTAGAGCCTAACCACATGTTAAAACCTTTGGATAGAACTAACAAGTATCAGACGTCTTCCCTTCCGTCACCTACAATGGCAAGATAACAAACGACTGGGAAGTCGTTCGCAAAACAACAAACTTCCAGTCCAACGGGCCCGTCACAGATGTGACCAGCTCGCAAATGACATGCTATCAGCTCGCGCCCGGCAACGAGGGAGCCACGGTTCTCGACGTCACAGCTGGCTCGACCATTGGTTCGTCTAATCTTCCTTACTCTGTACAAAACACACATTCTCTGCAAATACTAACACCAGATGAACCAGGATACAACGCCAAAGCGTCCATCTCCCACCCCGGACCCATCAACTTCTACATGGCCAAGGCGCCCTCCGGCACAAGCATCACAAACTGGGACGGCTCCGGCAAGAACTGGTTCAAGATCTACAGCGACGGTCCCACAGTCACCTCCAGTGGCCTAACGTGGCCGACAAACGGTATGACAAGAATACTCTCTCTTACAATGACTCTTATCCAGGAGGGATATTATACTGATGCTACCCATTCAAGGCAAGGCAACAGTCAACGTCCAGATCCCAAAGTGCATCGAGAACGGCGACTATTTCCTTCGCGTCGAGCACATCGCCCTCCACAGCGCCAGCAGCGTCGGCGGCGCCCAGCTGTACATCTCGTGCGCCCAGGTCCGCGTCACGGGCGGCACGGGCACGTATAAGCCGAACCTCATGTCGTTCCCCGGCGCGTACAGCCCTAACGATCCCGGTTTGGTTGTGAATATCTACTACCCTGTGCCTACCAACTACAAAGCTCCTGGGGGTGATGCTCTGACTTGCTGAGGGTTGTCTGAAAATTGGAAATGGGGGTGCAGATGATGGCAACCTGAGATCCCTTTTGCGCTGGAATTGACGAGTGCTGGAAAGCATATCCCATTACGGTAGCTCTCTAGCCCATTGCAATTCAAATCACATTCTCGGTCGCGCTGCACATAGCTTGAGCGCACCCTTGCACAGCGCACTTCCCTCCGCTCCATCTCGTCACCCGTCCTTTGTTACATGTGATGAGAAAAGGCTCCGAGCTTCACTTATCGAAACATATAAAGAGACTGCCATATAGCCCGCTTCCCCTCGCGCTCGTTCCTCTCTCCCATACAGCACGAGCACCCCCAAATTGAAGAGCGATAATAGCAGTCACAGTCACAATCACACCCACAACAGGGTTGACAGCCGACGACCACTAAGATCGACCGCGGCCCGCAGTAGAAGCTCGCCCAGAGGGTAGCAGTCGAAACAGAGCTGTCACGAATGCCTCCGATTGCCACTCTGGCGGCTAAAATTGAAGTTCCCTAGCTGCAAACCCGTTACAGCCTTCCCTTTTCGGAAGATGCCCGTCCCCCAAGGTGGCGATGTAACCCCCACAAGGGATCACACGGAGGGGTGATGAGCATCGTTGACGATGCAGACAGGTTCAGATGCGGGGAAGGCTTACATGTTGGCAACCACGAAATCCATAGATCAATTGTAAGTCGGTATCGCTTACTTACTCTGTCGTTCAGAAGTTGGAACCTGGCGGTTGACGATTTTCAAAGAGCCACCTGCCCACTGACTCAAGCAGCACATTTGATGCGGAGATAACGAGACAACTCTCCATCATATATGTGGGTTTTGGGTCTCTCAGGAGATATAAGCCTTTTTGAATCTCCTACAAGTTGCAACTTACAAGGCAGGCCCCGGCAAGAAGCTGAGGCGCAAAAAAGCTTATGCAAGGGCCGGGGCCAGCAGCTGACATGCTCGCACCGCACGATCTGGTCTAGTGTTGACGACTCACACTCAAACTTCAGAGTAGCTCATTAAAGGACGGAAAAATTATCGCTCGCAGATTGGCGATTTCGCAAAGAGAGGGAAGGAAAAAGGTGGTGTTCGTGTCAGTTTCGGCATCTAGAGTGCCGAGTTCGATATGATGGTTTAATGATGGGAAAGCCAGATTTGGCAGAGTCAGATAGACTTTGAGCTTTCTTAAATACCACGGGCAGAGAACTTTGCGCGAACGAGAGTTGATCAGATCTCGTCAGTTGTCTGATGGATCCAACTTTGTGAACAGTGACCATGTCCTTCTCAGTTTCCAAATTGGCTTGCCTCTTGGCGGCAGCTCACGGAGCTGCCGCAGTCACTTACAGCGTGCCCGCCAAGGTGAACACTGGGGGTCTTTCATACGCTCCTCTCGAGGCAGCCCCCCTCGGTCTATCGTGAGTTTTACCGGGGATTTCTCCCTCATCCCTTCACCCCCTCAGGTTCACTCCCCATCCCCCAGTATTGCGTGGGTTTCTGACTCTTATTGCCAACAGCTTCGAGTTCTTCGCCTTCCCGGCGTACTTCAAAAATGTAACGGCAACGAACCAATGCCTCGCCAACCTCAAAGACCTAACGGGCACCTGGCCCCCGATCCGCATCGGCGGCACGACGCAGGACAGGGCGTCCTACGATGCGGCGACGTCGGCGTACGTCGTCTACTCGGTCGCCAATGCCGCCGACGCGCCCGCTTCGCTGACGTTCGGGCCCAACTTCATGAAGCTGGCGGCGACGTACGCCGGCGACGTCACGCTCGGTCTGAACAGGGGCAAGAACAACATTGACAACACCATTGCGGCTGCCAAGGTCGCTGTGCAGGAAATGAAGAACCTCTATGCTATTGAGGTCGGCAACGAGCCTGAGTGTAAGTGAAAATTGCCAAGTCTCTTTAATTGCGAAGCCAAACTGAACTTTGATTTGTAGATTGGTCGGGAGTACAGCCCATTGCTGCGGGAGGATGGAGTCCCGCGCTGGATGCTGCGTCGCAGAACCACTGGGATATCACTGTCGGCAATGCCATTGGTAAGAAGAACATTATTCAGGCCGGCAACTCCAACTCTCTTCCTCCCACTTGGGGAGCTGAGGAGCTCATCGCCAGCGGGAATGCCACGGTCAGAGAGTATGTGAAGACATACGCACATCACAACTACCCCGGAGGGTCTGTGACTGGTCTGATGTCCCACTCGAGTATTTCAAGCAACGTTCACTTGTAAGTTGGTCGCGTATTCCTACTTAGCAGGCTCCTCGACTGACGTGACCAGGTTCGACAAAGACATTGCCAGTGCGCTCGCAGTCAACAAGCCTTACGTCTTTGGAGAGACAAACTCTGGTACGTTGCATAGACACTCCCACACTTGTGATCTCCTACGGAACTGAAGCTTACGACCGAATAAAGTCGCGGGAGGCGGCGCAGCCAACGTATCCCCAACCTTTGGCGCAGCCCTCTGGGTCATGGACTACACCGTCCGCCTGGCAATGTCCAAAGTCAGCAGAGTCTACTTCCACCACGGCACGATCGGCAACAACCCCTACGCCTTCTTCGGCCGCTATTCCAACGGCAACCCGTACGTCGGCGCCTACGCCGCAACGGCCTTCATGGCCGGCGGCAAACACCTAGCCGCCCTCGACGACGGTAAATCTGCCCTGGCCGCCTACGTCACCTACGACGCAGCCGGCGCGCCGCTACGCGCTCTGCTGTACAACTCCAACTACTACAGCGGCACGGGAACTCGGGGAACCGAGTCGTTTGTACTCAGCGGGCTGACGACGACGGCGGGCCGGGTCCGGAGTAAGCGTGTGACTGCTGCCAGCGCGGAGGCGAGGCAGGATCGCGGCGGGAATGCGTCCTTTGGACAGCAGTTCTTCAACAATGGCACTTGCACGATTGGTGGGACGGAGACGTTTGAGACGACGACGGTCTCGGGTGGGCAGGCTACGTTCAGCGTGAAAGCCAGCGAGGCCCTTCTCGTCTACCTGCAATGAGTTTGATATGGGCTTCAGGGTGTCAAGAATATCCAAAAGTCACAAAGATAAGAGATGACATGAGGTCTCGTTTGAACTAAAGTATTGTATGGCGTCGAGTGCTCGTAGCTTTTCTTGTAAGTGGAAAGGGAGGAAGAAGGGAGTAGGGATAACTCACTAACTCGGACTTCCCGATACATACCCCGTTAATTGAATTGGCCGTCCAAGTTTTCTTTTATGCAAGCATGAGTGATGGTGAAACTTTTCAACTTGGTTCCAGACCCATCTACAAGTAGATTGACATCGAACAAGTGGAAGGAGAATAATTTAGAAACGACGCTTCTCCAAGTGGTTCACATGCTAAATCACCTAGTTTGCCAATCGCGACTGAAGGAGCTGAGGTAAGTGATGCAGCAAAGCCAAGCGCCATGCTTTAGTCTCTCATCTCAACGTCATTGCTCTCTCTCTCTCTTTTCCTCTCTCCAATTTTCTTCAGCCTTAACGGAAGTACATCGCAGTCGAGTCCACCCCAACCCGTCTTGGCACTGTCAAGGTAGCTTGTTCCATGTCAGTCTGTTAAGCCTCCTTCACTGCACTTAGTCCCTCGTCGCTCTCAAACAACAACCTCACTCGCTGCACCTTCAAGCAGTTTCATAACTATTACCTCAATCTCATCACGGCATCATCTTCTTTCACTTCTTTTCTCGTCAGCCTCTTGTCGGCTGAGCTCAATAAACTTGCATCGCTCTGCATCGACTGACTCTAGAGTACAGCTCATATACCGTGAAGAAACATACACATACGTCACACAGTAGACCTCACAATGGCCGATAAATACATCCTCCGTGTGACTGCAGGACCAGGCTACGATCTGGACTGTCAAACAGAAGTCCCCGTCAACCAGGCCAAGCCCACGAAGATCACCAGTGCCCTCGCCGACATTGAGCTCAACGTCAGGATACAAAACTACGCCGGTCTCCCTCGCAACTCACCCTCTACCTCACCCTACTTCTCCGAGGAACCGCACGCCACCAATAAAGACCAGTACAGTATCTCCTTCCGCTTCACGCCCAAAAAGCCCGCAAACGCCTCCTCATCGACAGACGGCATATCGGCAGAGGACCTGCAATTCGGCAACGACTTTGACCACCCCATCCGCGACCGTCTTCCGCCTGGCTTCAACACGGCACTCAACATTGTAAAGTGGTGGATCGACCCCGGTCTGGACGGCGACGCCTACGCCGACGTCCCTCATCTCTACGGCCCCGCGCTAAGCTCCTTCAACACGATCCATGTGGGTTCCGGCGTCCATGACGAAGAAAAAGGCGGGCTGTGGTTCGAGGAGGGAGGCGACGAGGCCGGCCTCGAAGCACGAGAGAAGATTGGCGCGCCAGCCACGTCCAAGGAGCGCATGAAGTGGGCGCTCCGCAAGGACAGCAAGGAGAATTGGCTGTTTGAGTACGGCAAGACGTACGGCTTGGACTTTTTCAATGCCTACCTCGACTTTGCCAACCTGGCGTTGCGCTTACCCGGTTACCAACTCGCCATCATGAAGTACTGGGACGGGCAAGGTCTTCGGTGAGTTTATGCCCTTCCCTTTTCCTACTCATAAACCTGTTCTGCTTCTCTGCGAGTCAAATTGCGTCCGTAATTTTGTTCATATCTCGTGCCATGGCCGTCATCTTTGACTTGTGCTATTGAACTTGGGAGGAAAACGATGTACAGCAACATGAACACACCCGGAAGTGGCTTTTCAAAGCACGGTTGAAAATATTGTCTTTTTTCCTTTTCATGTCATTCTTACCAGCAGCAGGGAGGGGGAGCCTAAGCGCTCACATACGCTTAGATACGTTCTCCGGAACAAGACCACCGGCGACGTCTACCTCGTCGTCCTCTTCGAGATCCACCTCAAGGACGACGTGAACGAAGACGGCACGCTGAAGACCAGTGCCAGGGGCGTCAAGACTGGTGCACTACCGCCGCCGGCCAAGGACGACCACGAGCCTCACGACGAGGCCAAGGCGCTCGAGGAAGCTAGGAAGAAGATGGGTCCCGCTGCGCATGAGACGGAGGAGACCAATGCCGACGATGTGGACTAGAGTGATGAGCCGAGTACATTCACACGAGAAGTATGAAGCTTTTGTGATTAGATTTGGTTGATCCTTTTCACCCTAGATTATGTCGGAAGGCGAGACAGCATGGCTGATAGACACGAATGGATGATTGGGAGGGAGCAGGGCCGGGACTACATATAACTTAATAAACAGGTCTTGCTCTGCAACATCTTACCTCGATATGCTGCTGTTCATGTTGGCAGGAAATTTGACAAAAGCTCAACAGTCATTGTCAGTTCTACTCATTTGGACTAGACAACCACTTGTCAACAGAACTTGAGAGAGAACATGAACAATACGCGAGAGCTGCGACCAAGTGCATCCCATCAAACGTTCAGGAAACTACACGGAGATGTCGAGAGAAGAGTTCTCTACACCACATCAGAGAATGGCTGGTTGCTCATCTTACGACACCTCCTCGCTTCGCAATGAGATGCTGCCTGGTCGACTATCAAACCAACGGTAAACTAGGCTTTTTCTCATTGTCCCCTCGGCAGCGCGTAGAGGATTCAGACGTGTTCTAGTCAAGCCTTGGTATGAAGTCATACACGGCCAAGAACTGTGTTCTCATCTGCCTCTCTCCAAAATTCGGGTTTCGACAGGGCCAGCATGTGAAGCAAACGTGGGAAAATGTTCCTGAACCCCTGTCCGCCATGCCGTGGTTGTGACGAGTGCCGCGCCGCACGCCGAGACTGAGAAACCCCCCATGGTAGCCCCGGCCGAAAATCTAGTCCCTGTCCGTCTCCGTGGACGGTTCTGCCGCCAGACTGCCCCGCCGCCGAGGATTACGGGCCGCTTGGCTGCATCGCCGATCGTCATCCGACAATTCTCCCACGTCCTTGTCTCTCTCTATTCGGCGAACGTTTGTACTGTGTAGCCGTGGAGGCTTTTGTCGACAATGAGCGCAGGCCGACGTGCTACCTGTGGCACGGCTGACATTTTCCTCCTCTACCTTTTGCGAACCATGGTCGATGGAAGCTCTGTTCGCCGTAGATATCATGCGCCACTTAAACCTAATTATAAACAATCTTCTTCTCGCCAACCTTCGCTTTCAACACAACTTGAACTCTTGCGATAGGCTCAAAGAACTGACAGTAATGTCAACATCCCATCTCAGGGGCGAGGCACTCGATTCAAAGTTAATGAGATCCAACTGGCATCCAAATGAAGGAGACACGCCGGGTAAACAGGTAACCGGCCCACGCCCAACCTGGGTTCATAGACGGAATTCAACCCACGGCCTACTCGTAACCTCTCCAGCCCGACATGTAGCACCAATATCTCGCCCAGTCACACCAAGCGGCGCATCGTTCCCCACCGAAAACCTCTTGGACATACGCAGCTCGCCTCGAGGCCGAGCCTCTATTCTCCATATTTTAGTCTTGGGACGCACCCACTCCTCCATGACCAGTTTGTCAGAACATTGGCTCGTTGGCCAGAGATATGCCACCATGAAGTTCAACGGCAAAGTTTCCGCCCTCTTTATTGAATCCGGCGTTCAGAGGCCCACAGGGACGTCTTGCTTGCAGATACTCTGACGTCTCCAGACTATTTAACCTTCTCAATTATCAAGAGGCCCGCTTCTGCCCCTCGAGGCCCATCTTTCTCCCCTAGATTTCGTCTTCTTCCGTTTATGCCATCCCTCAAAGTCGTAGTCTCAAGGCCATCTTTGTATACACTCGGTAGATAGGCACAATTCCGAACATAAGCACATTAACAGACGCCCTCAGTTGGTACAGAGAGAATGCCTCCCCCAAAGGTCGACACAGAGGCCCCTCCCGTTCCCGAAACCACACCCTCCTCCCGAACCTCCGGCAGCGACGTCGGCCCCGGTCCCACCAACACTAAAACCACTTTCACTCCCACCGGAGGAGGAGGCCGCGCCTCAACCGCCGCCCTCCTCCGCAACCCGCTCGTCGGCCTCACGCACGATGAGATCCTCAAAGACGCAGACACCTTCACCGAGGCAAAGGGCCTGCAGGAACACCGCGAGGTCTTTCGAAAGGGCGCCCTGGTCGCGCAGGTGATCAACCGCCCCGACGGATTCGAGTCCGTCGCCGCTCTCGACGAAGAAGAGAAGGCTATTCTGCGGAAGGAGGTCTCGCATCGTTGGCATCAGCCCATGTCGCTCTACTTTTTGTGTGCGCTTTGTGCGGGTTCGGCTATTGGTATGGGGAGACTCTGAGATGGGAAGTTGAAAAGCTGCTAATGTTGTAATCGTTGCAGTTCAAGGCATGGACCAGACAGCCGTCAACGGCGCGCAGGTATTCATCCCTTTCTCCATAAACATTTGATGATGATCTAACGATTATGCCAGGAGTTCTACTACGAGACGTTCGGTCTCCAAAATGACCCAACAATGCAGGGACTCGTCAACGGCGCGCCTTACCTCTGTTCCGCCCTCGTCGGGTGCTGGAGCTCCCCCATCTTGAACAAGTACACCGGGCGCCGCGGCACAATCTTCATCTCGTGCTTCATGTCCGTCGTCACCGGCTTCTGGATGGCTGCCGCAGACACGTAGGTGGAGACACACATATCCGGCCAGCCAATATGTAGCACGAAGTCTCTGACACCCAGTGTAGTTGGTACAACCTCCTCATTGCACGCTTCTTCCTCGGTTTCGCAGTCGGCGCGAAGAGCAGCACGACCCCCGTGTACTCTGCTGAGAGTACGCCCAAGACCATCCGCGGTGCTTTGACAATGATGTGGCAGGTGAGAAAAACCTTGGTAAATGTAGAAATCCTATATGCTGTGGAACTAACTCATGTGTTTTCATCCAGATGTGGACAGCCTTTGGCATCGCTTTGGGCTTCATCGTATCCGTCGCCTTCGCCAACACGGACTTCCTGGGACCAAATACCCAATGGCGTTGGATGTTGGCCAGCACCTCTGTGCCGCCCCTCGTCGTCATGCTACAGGTAAGGACCTTCGTCTGTCTTCTTTGACGTCTTTCCATATAATTCCGTTCCTTTCCCTCAATATTAACAAGATTTACCACACCCGCCCTTCTCTCCCCCCTTTCTACCTTTCCCACTTCAACTACGACAGCGGAGAAACAATCTTTATAAGTGAGGAATACTCACTCACCGAATCCCAGGTCTACTTTTGCCCAGAGAGTCCACGGTGGTACATGGAAAAGGGCAAATACCAACACGCCTTCCGATCGACACTCCGGCTGCGACACCACCCTGTCCAGGCGGCCCGGGACATGTACTACGCCCATAAGCTCCTGGAAATCGAGACAAAGGCCCGCAGCGGCCGCAACTGGAAAGACTTCTTCACCGTTCGTAGAAACAGGCGGGCTGCGCTATCTTCGTATTTTGTCATGTTTATGCAACAGTTCTGTGGTAGGTCCCTCTTCCCCCGTCGCCTACAGCCACCATGAATATCTAATGACCATCTCTACCCTGAAGGCATCAACGCCATGTAAGTATCCACCCCCCACCCTCCATCCCTCGAGTAAACACAGCTAACACTCCCCAAGGATGTACTACTCCACAAACATCTTCGAAACATCCGGCTTCGACCGCTCAACAGCCCTCCTCACCTCAATGGGAATGGGCCTCATCAACTGGCTCTTCGCCCTCCCAGCCTTCTACACAATCGACACCTTTGGCCGCCGCAACCTTTTGCTCGTAACCTTCCCCCTAATGTCCCTCTGCCTCTTCTTCACAGGCTTCTCCTTCTTCATCCCCGAAGGAACAGGCCGCCTCGCCTGCGTAGCAACAGGAATCTACCTCTTCGCGGCAGTCTACTCCCCCGGCGCGGGCCCCGTTCCCTTCACCTACAGCGCCGAAGCCTTCCCCCTACACATCCGCGACATCGGCATGTCCTCCGCCACGGCCGTGACGTGGGGCTTCAATTTCATCATCAGCTTCACCTGGCCGCAGATGATTTCTTCGTTTGGGGTCACGGGCGCGTTCGTGTGGTACGCGTGCTGGAACCTCGTCGGGTTCGTGGTGGCGTACTTCTTTTTGCCAGAGACAAAGGGCCTGACGCTCGAGGAGCTCGATAGCGTGTTTGACGTCAAGAGTCGCGACCACGCTGGGTACTATGCTTCCAAGATGCCGTGGTATGCCAAGAAGTATGTCTTGCGCGGGGATGTTGAGCCATTTCCTGCGCTGTATGCGTTGGACGGTCAGGATGAGCCCGGGTATCGTGAGGGAGGAGGAGGAGAGCACAAGGCTAGTGTCCGTCATGACGAGACGGGACTTATTACGGGACAATATGCTGAGAAGTAGGTGTCGTAAGAAACGGAGTTTTTGGCAGTGATTAAGGCCAGGGGTAAGAGCCTTACTGGATCTCATAGCCTGCCCTGCCATGAGCGTTGGGCTCGAATGGCTGGATGAAAGAGGATTTCACTTGGGTTAGTTGCGTCCTCGTGGGATTTCCACAAAACTGGGTCGACACTCAGCAACCATGCCACGCAAGGCAAGTCTTCGCAAGGACATCAATGAAGTTTAAATGATATGGAACAAGTAACAAGCTGTTGCCAAGTGCGTCTTGTACAATGCTCCCACTCTGTATGGCTTCCATAACCTCTACCATGTTCTGATGCTATTCCCATGATGCGTGAAACTCCGTGTTATGCGTCTGAGCACCCCCGTCCGTCCACAAGACCAAACAATGCTAGGCAAGACCGATCCAATACCCAGATATGCGTCAGATGCTCACCGGAATACCCAACTAATCCCAGCTCATCCAATTGGATCTAAGCACATCGTCCTCCTCAGTCGACTCTTCGGCTGTTTCTTTCCCCTTCTCTGTTTTCCTTCCCTCGTCCGAGGAGCTCACCCTCCCGTCTACGAGTCAATCCCAAAGTCCTTCCAACGAGTCGCCCACTGGAACCAGTTCACGACTGCTAACCTCAAGCACCTCTTTGTCGCTCTTGGGCGTCGTCTCCAACTCATTCGCAGGCCCATGCAGCCAGTTGCCCTCATACGGGTCCGGGTCGGACATTGTGTCTTCTGTATGTGACTCTACATCGCCGTCAGAAGAGTGAAGGTCTGATGTCTCCATTTCATCCGTGTGCGAGGTTGCCTCGCCCCTCGATGGTGGCGCTACCAACTCAAATTCTTTCGCCGGTGTCATCTCAAGGCTGCTCGGTTTTCGGGCGTGGAACAGAGAGGATTCCGATTTTCGTGAGCGGTGCAGTGGCGGTGTAACAGGCTTCCCAAAGTCGAACTCTGTGGCCTCAAGTTGCGCCTGGTTAATCGGGCTCGTCATCGGTCCTCTAACCAGCGAGACATTGTAATGGCTCTTTGCCGCCCTCTTGAGGCGTGGTTTGCGAACAATGACAGGTGAGGAGCTACCATGGCCATGCCTTGCCCGCATCTCTAGTCGTTCTTCCTCTTCCGTCTCTTCGTCTGTAAGTACGTTCTCCATCAGACGCCTATGATGGGCCATGAGTTGCACGCTGCTACCGGAACATCTACGCTGCCTGTTCTTCACGACTTCGGTGTCTAGCGTCAGAGCGGGGGCTACCGAAGATGTCTGCTTTGGAAGGGCAATCGATTTGGGCCAAGGAGGTGGCAAAGCGATGCCGGTGGTGAGCCTCCTCAAGTCAACTTGACTATCCGAGAATACGACGCGGGCTCGCAAACGATGGACCGCCCTGTCCAACGCGAGCTCAATGGCACAACGATCGCGGATCCGGCTCAGTTTTGGCCACGCAGCACGCTCACCCATCAAACAGGCTCGCAGCATGAACTCCGGGCTCGGATTGCTGAGGATTTTCGGAATGTCGTGAACATTTACTTCTGGGAGAATGTTGATGTCGCCCGAATACTTTTGGCTGAGAATGCTCCTAAGCTTAGTGACGAGATTCGGAAAGACACCAATCTCGGCAAGGAAATGCAAACGATGCAATGCCTCGTCTTTGGCGAGGGCAGTGAGGGCGTAGACCCAGTCAAGCTCTTGCTTGCTGGGTGACAGGCTGGACCCCCGGCGTGCCGCGAAATCATCGGGATCCAGCTGGTCATCACGAGCCAGAAACGGGGTAACGTGAGGATTCACTTGAGAGACAATGAAGTGATTTACGTTGAACATCTCTGCAAGCCTCGTCATGGGCAAATCGTTGTCCACAGACCCGTCGATCCATCGCTGCGGTGTCGGATTCCAGGGCATGTGTTCGCCGGTATCGGGGTCCTTTACGAGCAGCGGGGCAGCGCTGAAGACGAGGGGTACGGAGCATGATGCAGCTACAGCGGACCAGATCATGACATTGGGTGCCGTGATGTAGTTTAGCAGACGCGGCAGCTCGTACATGGATCATTGGGTGCCGTGATGTAGTTTAGCAGACGCGGCAGCTCGTACATGGATTCTGTCGAAACGCAAATATTGAGGACTCGCCGAGTTCGGTTATAGGCCTCCTGAAAGGTAAGATCTCCAACCAAACCACGCATCACGCGGGTCAGGTGTTTTATATCGGACCAGCTTCCTTCGGTGAGGAGTCTCCGCATGTGGTCGAAGACGCCGTCGGGGTTCTCGTCGGCGTCAAAGACAGCTAGGTCGCCATAGGGGAATTCCTTTACGAGCCGAGGAATCTCTTCATCGGTCCTCGTACAGATTACGGCCGACACAATGGAACCTGCCGAGGCACCTGATATGATGCGCGGAAGCAGCTTGACTTCGAAGAGGGCCTTGAGAACACCAATATGGGACATACCCAAAGTCCCGCCTCCACTCAAGAGCAATGCACTTCGACCAAAGCTTTGACGGGCGTATAGTACGCTCTCGAGAATATCCCTCTGACCCATGCCTTCGGGCAACGCGAACTGACTCTTCTCTACTAGGGCGTCGATCGTCTGCATGGCCGAGTCGACATAACGTTCGATGAGGCTCTTCGTGCCTACGTAGGAGTGTCTGTATAGATCGACGTTCCCCATGCCGCCAAGGTCTCTGCATAGGGCGGTTCGAACAAGGTGCATCATGGCACGAGTGTCGCAATTCGTTCGTGCATCGTCGAGTTCTTTTAGGCGCGCCTCAATCAGGGCTGGGTTGTAATCTCCTGAATATGGGTCGAGTTTCCAAAGGTCGTTTTCCTCGAGGATGTCGAGCTCTTCTGCAGCTTCCTGCCATTGTTTTCTGCTTTCCGCCTACGTGAGGATGATTTGTTAGCGGACCTGGTTGAGGCCGGTGCAATATGCAAGACTAAAAGAAGAGCAGACGTACATTCTTCATATGAATAGAGAGCACAAGCCTGCGCTCTTCCTTTTTCCTCCTGTTTTCCCGTTCCAGCTCAGACAGTCCATCACGAAGAGACAAGACAAGGTTATTTGCGCCTTTGATGGCCCGGGAGATTGAATCAAAAGCAGCATTTAGAGGCGTTGATGGTGGGTGTTTCTTAATGGAAGAAGGACGGCCAGGTTTGGTCGAGGCCGAGGGACCAGAGGGGGAGGCGGACTTGACCCGGATTGCGGGTAGAGGGTGCACAGGATTCAGGAAAACGTCGTTCATGATGGCGAGGGCGGATTTGGGTCGAAGGTAACGATGCCAGTTTGGAGGGCTAGGTGGAAAGTCGGGAAACGAAGCTGGTGGACGAGAGGCAGCCCTGGTGCCGTCCGTGTCGCATCACAGCCTTGGAGCGTGGTTGTGCAACAGACTCCTGACATGTGCTTTTTTTTTCTTGGTTGTTGGGTCGTTGAGGGCGGTCAGAGCATGCGCGCGTCGGTGTGTCGTCGCGACGGCGGCGAGTTCGGAGGGGTAGAGCAAAGTAGCGTAGGGCGGTGCGGAGAAAAGACGAGGTGGAAGTGTAGGCAGCGATAGGTCAAGCGTCTGTCGAAGAGGTTTGGTCAAGATGTCGTTTCTTAAGGCTGTACAGTCAGACAAGCGTCGTCGGGGAGAAGTTCGTATAGGAAGCCAGTGACAGTGCTTCGGTCTCAGTGCGTAATGAGACAAAGAGTGTGAAAGTAGTCGTTGCGGCTGTCAGATGATTCCCATGACACTGTTTTGGTGATTATGGTAATCTTTGGGTGACACAAGCTCAGGCAGACAGGGAACAGTGTGCAGATCGCCGAAATGGCGCGCAGATGACCGGACAACCTGTTTGGAAGGGGGGTATTGGACTTGTCGGAGGAGTCGAAAGAGTCGTTTCTGCTCGGTGGGGGTGGAAGAGGCGTTAAAGGACTCGGGAGTACCGGTAGGTATAGAGAGAGAGTAACCCTCCTTGGTAGTAGGTGATGACAAGAAGGGTAAAGAGGAACAGGCGGGCGCAAGCGAGACAAGATGGTTGGTCAGATGCCGAGTAGGGTGGTTGAAACTTGGAGGCGAGGGCACCAAGATGAAGCGACGGACTGGGCGTTACTTGATGTCGTCTCGGTGACTGAGCGAGGCAGAAGAAAGAGAGAAAGAGCAAAGACAACAACAGAACGAGACTGAAGGCAAAAGGAAGAGAGGATGTGTTGGTAGAGAGGACCGGGAGTGGAAGGGAGGAAGTGTCGTGTGAAGGAAGAAGAGCGGATGTATTAAGTGCCCGAAGTGAGGTGGAATTGGAAACTTGGCAACGTCGAGTTTGGTTTGGAGACGAGGGAAAGAAGTGGCCCAGTGACAACGTTCGGCCGTCAGTGGCCGGGAATGGAACGTGGAGAACCTGGCAAGTCTGAGGTGGGTGATGACAGTCGCTGCAGACCCCACACAGCACCTCACCTCATGTTAATAACCAGTGCAATTATTGCTGACCCGACCGTCCTGACTCCCGCCGTGCCGCCCTGAAGCAGAAGAGCAGGCGGGGCGAAGGGGAGCATTCTGCATACCGCCCTCAGGGGTCCACGTGCCAGCGTCTCTGCGTCACAGCCAGACGTAATAGGCCATTCAGCGTTAACCGATTGGTCGATCTGGATCTACCTTACCTCAGCAACTATCCGTTTCTGAATACCCAGGTACCTACCTCAGGTATCTTGCAAAAACCACAGATGCTCTCACAGACGCAATCACAGATGCAGCAGCAGACGCACGACACCAGAGGCAGCATACCTTACATCCTGTGGAATACCTTAATACACAAAGTCTGTGGCTCGCTGGGATGCTCGGCTCAGGCGCTGGGCAGATGACCTCTGCTAGGCGGCCCCACCCCACCATCATGACCGCCCCCAGTGCCCCCTTCTCCAGACTCTTCCAGCTTAGTGGCCCACCCCGGATTTGGGGATCCTGGGGGTAACGGAGCACATCAGAGGGGCACGGAGGGGCAGAACACCAAGCAACTGCATCGTCAACCCTCACCCAATCACGCCCTGCCGCGATACACCCTTGCCTGACCCTCGTCTCCACATGCAGACTTTCGCTCACTCACTCACTTCCTCACATGTGCCTCTCACTCTCATTCCCAGTATTCTCATCTGTTTGTCAATATCCCTTTCTCAGTCACAAAAGACTCGTATCACATAATTTCATTCTATTCTTCAGCGTCACATCTCACCCGTTGCTTTCCGTACCCAAGGCTCAGCTGATATTTCGCTCTGAGCAACCTTCAAGCCTTGCCTTGCCTTGCTCTGACCCGTAACATTATGTGACACTCTTTGCCCGTATCTCCAGCAAAAGCCGGATCATCCACACTTCATCTTGAAAATAGAATGTCTGAACACTGGTCACGTTATCCGCACACGTACCTACAACCACCACGACCACAACACCAACAACCTCCGGGACAGGCCGCCCGGCGAACTTTCCATTCCGTCTCATCTCCCATACTCAGCTCCCGCCCACGCCGCTTGCCTCGCCTGTCACAAAAGATGGCCCCAGGCCGTCTTGTTCCGTGGGAACTTGAGATAAACTCTCCGGCCTTCAACTCTGGCCTCCGTCAGGTGAGCACAAGGCATAAAAAGTGTTCCTGGGTCTTGAGCGTAAAACGCCCATCCAGATGGTCACCCCGCATCATCACCTATCTCAGCGCCCTACTTCATCAATATCAAAGTGCCCAGAAATACTCAAAGACCGCTCACCCCATGCACTCCGGAATCTATGTGTTTCTCATCCCCACAACACTAAGAGAAAAAGGGGAAGTATCCAACTGCCGCCCGCAACGCTTTCAACGGCGTCCTTGCTACGGAGATGGATATTCCTCTCAGAAATCGTTTGATTTGCGCACTATGTAAACTGTCTAGAGTATCCAGAGTCAAATACCGAATAGCATGATTGCAAAACCTATACGTCATTATTCTCCCCAAATTATAACCCCGATCTTGTTCCGGAGCATTTTACTGAGACGCTCACCCGACCTCATGATTCAGAACTCTGCTGCTTCCGTCTCCACACTTGCGTCTCATGGTTGATCTTCTTCATGTTCATAAACGTAATCACTCTCCCAAAACCCGATCGATCCTACTACTCTAAGCAGATCCAATGCCCTAGAGCGCAGTCCAGTCTTGGCCGCTTTGTGCCTACCAAAATCCTGACTCGTTTTGCTTGACTTCCCCTTCACTGTTTGCGTCCAAGGCAGACCGACATAGTTGTCATGCAAGTCGACGGCACAAATGACCATGCTAGTGACAATTCTGCTGAGTACTGCAGGATGAAAAATAATGGCCTCATGATGACACTTTTCACCGCCAAGATTCGGACATCGCGGGAGACTGTTTTGGGTCCTAAAACGGCTTTTTGTAGCCTCGAAGAAAGGGCAACTCATCCCTATCTCCTTACTCTTACCCCATGATAACTTTTTCGGCTATCATCGAAAGAATAGCAGACAATAGACTCGGATTCACCCATGTTTCGTATACATGCCGTATCTCCTTATGGATGATGACACTGTTAGTTTGCCAACGAGGATGTACCGATAAGTAATTTCAAACGTGAATGCTGATTTACACCACTACAGTGTCGTTATGTACAGAAATATTGACATGGCAAGTGTTATTACGTATCTACGTCGCTGTTATGAAATCAACAAGACTAAATACTGATTCAAAGATACAGAGATGTCTAGAGATAAGGCCTTACGACGATACCATCATCTCGAGCGTACGTCCGCGATAGGTAGGGGCCAGCATGGCAGGGCACCTTGATGAGAAAGAAGCCACCGACCCACGGAACACTCGCACCTTCCATCTGAATACACGAGAAGGGTATATACCCCCCCTCAATCCCATTCCTCTCACCAGCCAGCAGGCGCCCGTCTAGGTCGACGGGTCAGGTCAAACTGGCTGGGTGGTGGAGTGGTTTACGGTCGACAATTAAAATCGCCAACCAGCCTACTCGACGACAGGCTCAGCGCAAACGAGAGTACCCGAGTTCGAATCCCAGCCTGAGCACCAAGAGATGTAGCCCCCAGTTCAGCACCGGGGGGGTGAACTCTTTTGCCGTTGTAGACCTTTTTTGGTATTTGGTTTTTATGAGACTAAAAAGAGGCCATCACCTTGGGCTGACAGGACGGTGAACATCCATGAGTGATTATACGGTAGGTACTACATGATCGACGATCCTCTGCTTCTAGCTAGCCGTGAAGGGGTCTCGAGTTGTACCGCGATAGCTTCGGCATTGTTGGCACTGCAACATGGCATACGGCAATACCGCGTGGCACGGTGAAGATACGGACTTCCAAGCTACGATTAGGGCTGTCATCACGTCGTCTCTTCCGTTTGATACAGTCTTGCTGACCTGTATTTGCCCGTGTTCGTCAAACATAATCACTAAACTACCTGCAGACACCAACAGGGACGCCCCGAGTCAAACTCCAACGTTGTCCAAGCTCTTTCTACGCCTTACTCTTTTATGTGTCGCTGTGCGGCTTACACTCGCTGACATCCAACTCGTTGCTCATGTCGTCCTAAGCGAAGTATTCTTACACACCCATATTGTATTCATTCGTTGACTAAGGCGGCGGTTGCGTCCTTCGTGCACTGCCGCCATTAAAGTCTCGAGGTACGTTCACACGAATGTGGCTACGCCGGTTCACTGACGGGCCTACCTTCGTCGTCTCCCTGCAATAGCTTCGCCGCAAAGTCCGAGACCTTATCTCGGAGGATGGAAGCCACGTCCCCTTCTGTCCAAAAGTGCCCAGCCGACGAAACCTCCTTGCCATGGAAATGGGATCCGTCGGTCCCTTCCAGACGTTCTACCCACCCTCGCAATTTGGCCACGGGAACGAAGATATCTCTGTCGCCGTACAATGCCAAGGTATCATTTTCAACCAGCTTGCTCTCACTTTGATGTTTTTGATCCGCCGTAAAGGTCGGTGCCCCCTGCTCTCTAGGTCTTCCTCCACCCCGCGAGAACAGTCCTCGACCAGGTGTTGTGTGAAGGAATGACATAGCTGCTAGATGGGTAATGACTCCCTGCAGCGGAGATATGAGTAGATATGCCGGCCGGACTTGGGTCAGATTCGGAACCTCTTCCAACACAACAGAAACTTCATGGTTCGAAGGTATAGTAGCCAATTTTTCCTGGGGCACCGCCACGCCCTTGTGATGATGTCTTTTCGTTTTCGCCAGTAAATCATTAACGCCCCGTCGGATCTTATCCTCGGCGTCAATAGAAAAGGATCTCCTCGTTTCCGACATGGATCTCCGAGCTTCGTGACTCTTGCGCTGAGTATCTTCATCGCCTCCGACTCGCATGCCAAGGTATTTCTTTCGCGGTGATACGGAACTCGCAGCTCTAGCGCTCGCCAAGATGACGTTCTGCTGCTCTGCCAGATGCTGCGCTCGAAGACGGATGTCAGCAGCCGCGGAGCCAGCTGCAGGCACCTTAAACTGTGCGAGGATGTGCGCCATCGGTGGAATCTGCGTCGTCACCATGGCTCCGTATGAGTAACCGCCGATGAGGAGGAGGGGATGGTATGAAGGAGGCCTCGATTGGGCGTCGGGGATGCCTGGAGACAGAGTCGTTGTCGGCGAGCGGGCGCTGGCCGATCCGTAGGGATCGAGGAAGTGCATATAGTAGACCATGAAGCCAATGAATGACATGTAGTCGCTGCGTTCTGGCTTTGCCGTCCATGACGTACGACCTGCTGATCCAGAAGCGCCCCTGTTGATCATCGTGTAAGTGACCGAATAACCTCGCCGTGAGAACGTTCACAAGCCGATCAATTCTTACCTGAAGTTGAAAGTCCCGACTAGGAAGCCTTGTCGCAGTAGCGTGGCTGCAACGATATCGACAACAGGGTCGTCATAGGAACCGCCCAAGGGCGCATAGGGATGTGCGACAACGGCAGCGTGTCGTCTCCATGGCGGCGGGTTCGATGCGGAGGGGTTCAATGCCTGGCAATGATACAAACGGCAGTCCAAGACAGTGTCATCGTGAAGGCTAGGGAGCGTGAAGCTCAAAGTCGGTTCGGGAAGCATTTTCTGCTCTTCATAGTGGAGACATTGCTCGGGCCGTCGATGATAATAGAGAGAGCGCGAGACGATGCGTTGTTATTGGCTTTGTGGAGTGGAGGTGGTAGGCTTGCGAAGGCTGTGCCGAGAAAAGGTCAATGGGTTGGTTCAGACCAGTCAAGTCGAGTCGAGACGAGCAGAGCTTGTGATTGCGTCCCAGCGCCCGTTGATGCGCGGTGACAGCTGAGCCCTCGAGCCTTGTATGCGCAATGATATCGGAAGGGTTAACGCCGACGGGGGGGTTAAATGGCAATGGAGAAAAGGATTGTGGCCGACGTCAGCGCAGTGCTGGGCATTGGATGTGGACAAGCCCCCTCGTCGGAGACAGCGAGCAAGCTTCGAGGTGGCGTTGGAGCGCAGGGATTGCACTCAGCGCTAAGATCGGAACCGACGGGGTGTGACAGTGCCCACCATGAGGTAATCTATCTTATGCAAGCACGGGCCTTAGATGGTCTCACCGATGCTTACCGCTTCTCACCGACGCTCACCTTTGCGGCCCAAGACAACACGGAGACTACCTATCCACCGAGGTTCACATCGTCCAGGTCTTTAATGCATTCGATATGAATGGAGATAGGCTGCTTATTTGCCAATTGACTTTCCTCCGCCACAATCAAGCACGTCTGGTTACAAAACTCAAGGTCATCGCCAACCTGATATGGGGATTGGATATATTGCTCCAAACTTCACACCTTATCAGCCGACGTGATATTACTGCCACCGCCCGAGACATTTAGATTTGAGAGCCAGGCACGATTTGATGGGATGCGAAAACTTTGGTAACTTTGTTTGTGTAGGCCAATATGCACTCGCTGTGTCATGTCAACTCATCACGTTCTAAAGCTTCTTTCTAGCTTCTGCCTCGGCTCTCTCTCGTCTCCGCTTTCTCCATGCCTTGATTTCATTCAACAGGCCCATCACGAGGGGCACTCCCACCGGCCCCAAAAGCGGCAGATAGACGGCAATTTTATGTTCGTCGGGGAAATATAGTTGTCCGACCATACTCTTCTCGAAAAACGCTCGCTCAGCCTCGGCCTCAGCGATCCGAGCATGCTCCAACCCTTCGGGCCCGCCTAGGCTAGCGCACGCGAGCTCCAAATGATGCATGGTTTTGGTAACACCGTCCGCAACGTTGCGAGGAATGGATATAGACGGCAGTGCAAGTGACAGTCTCGCCAGGGACCCCAGGGTAGACGATGCACGCAGCAACAGGTCTGCGGATCGGATGCGCGTGAGAGTCGAGAGCCGCAAAGGAAGAGAGCCTGACTGAGGAGTGCCAAGGAGTGACAACAAGTGCCCAGCAAAGGTAAGCATGGGCTGCTTGAGTGTAGCAGCCGGCACATGTGACGTCGTCGGAGGCAGCGACAGAAGATAAACAGTTCCCCATTGCGGGATGAGCCAGGACTGCGATGTTTCGGACCCCGAATCCAATCCAATCGTTTGATTTCCGACGAAGAGAAGGAAGTTTACCGTCGGCGCACCACCGATGGACGGCGAAAGGGGCCATTCGGCCGCGTTGATGAAGGAGGCAAGGTCGTCTTTGTTCAAAACCTGGGACTGCGCCCCTGGTGTTGCATACAGCTGCACCTGGGTATCTATCGTGAAGTTGTGAATGGGGCTCAGCACATCAAGCATAGGCTTCATGTATGTTTGGATAGCTGCTTCGATGTCCCAGGTATTGGGGGCAGAGCCGCTGGTAAAGAGCGAGAAGCTCAAGTGGTACGTCGGTGAATATCGCAAAGAACGGGTGGTCCGCTTCGCCAGTGACTCGGCTGCCTCTGGCGACATCCCCTGAGGTCTCGCATCAGAAGCTCCCGAGGCTGCTGAAAGAAGGTATGATATAATAGCTTGTTCTTCGGCGTACGTAGTTCGCAATTCTTTCGCAATGTACGAAGCTAGAGCAGAAGAGGACGAAGTCGCTGACGGAATCGAATTCGGGGGATATGTGATGTCGAGAATCGGAGAGTGAGGGTTCAACGAGACTGTCGTGGAGTCCCCAGGGCTAAGGCGAATTGTCAGGGCGACCTGGGAGTCATCCTCAGGAACGACGTCGTCGCCACCACGAGGCGCAAGCTGCAGACGGAGATGATGACCCGAGAAGTCGTTGAGATCGTCGAGGGCATGTTGAGTGAGACGAAGGAGGTTCTGCGCTTCCTGTTCCTGCAACTTGTTCGCTTGTACTGATATACGAAGAGGAAACACGGGACGGCAAGCCTACGCATGTAGTCAGCGGGGTGCCCTCCCTCAACTTGTAAAGGACGCCAGCTGGTCTGAGCCTACCTTTCCATCAGCCCACTGGACCATGCTGCTCAGAGGCAGGTTGGCGCGGTAGATGCTCGTTGTCATCCACCATATTGGGAGACCGAAGAGAAGCACAATGGCCCAGAAGGCGGATATGACGAACGATCGCCGGCGCGCATCGGATGGCTTCTCGGGGGGCGGAGCCTTGCGGGACTCGGTCTGCGGCGGAGGGGCAGAGGTGGTGGATTGATCGGGGGTGAAGCTTGCACCGCTGGCTGCCGGGCTGCCCGCTTCGTCGTCGACAGGCATTTGATGAGCCTTTGCCGTGCGCGGCAATGTTCGGTAGAAGCTACGCAGCGGTCGTGAAGTTGAGCGATGTAAGCTGCAGCAAGCAAGCCACAACGATCATGAGAGGTGGAATTCCAGCAAGGGGTATTCGTATACCTACCTCAGACAGGCCAGAGATGCTTGACTCAGCAACGTCGCGCTTGAGGGGAGCTCCCGATAAGATAAGGACCAAGTAGCCACGCAGCCACGTTAACCTTAACCTTAATTGCTGCGCGCGGTCACGTGGATTATGCAACCGGAGAGGCGGATCGTAATAACCAGACTTTCTTCTGTCTAACAAGGTCAGCCAGCATCATTCCGCCTTGATGCCTGGCACCGTTATGGCATCAAGCCACAACTACGGATACCTTGCCAGCCCCTCAAGACAATCACGGATTGGGAAGACGCCTGTGGTCCTACTTATACGCTATGCACCTGACTCTTGTTCGGCCACGAGATGAAGGCATTCCCAGAGGTTCTTCACCACTCTCTCTACCCGCACTTTGGGGGTGCCTGTCACAATGCACGTCCGTCGGATGCGAGTGCGATTGACGCCTGCGCCGCGGAGGCGAATAGACGTTATCTTTTCCGCTGTGACAACGCTGACGTGAGACGGTGGGATGAGCGGCAACGATCCAATTCAGGGACAATTCAGGAGTCCGAGGCCCAATTTTTCCTCCTCGAGTCCGCTCCACCAACATGCAGAAGCGGAACCAGCATCGAATATTGTCGCCGATTCCTCCGACCCAAAATGTTGAGTGAGCTGACCATCAGCCGAGGAAGCGACCTACAGCTGCCCCTCCAATCTGCCGCAACGGCTTTCGTCTATTACCACGAATCACTCGTGATCGTACCAAAAGAAAGAACAATGTTACCCCTTTAGGAAGGCGAACGTACTCGGAGTTTTGAAGCGAACCTGGCGATCCCTTCATAGTGCGGGAGCCAACAAAGTCTCCCAGCTCGGCATGCATACCCGGTTTCTCGATGGATCCGTCGTCGAGCCGAGTCAAGTCAGTACGGCGACACGGACCCAAAGATAACCAGCTTGAAGTGATCTATCAGAGCTTTCCACACCGGAATACATCTCGATGGACATTGGAAGAGAAACTCGCGATAGACCCCTGTTGCATCGAGCCGTCGTTCATGTGAGCTGATATAAGCAAACGTCCGCCACGAGTTGCACATATATGGCGCTCCTTTCGAGTGCCTGCTGAAGACAATGTGTCAAGAGCCGCAGAGCCAAAGTCCAACACCTCGGCAACCATTGCCAATGCAAAGTTCATCGGAAACGCAAACGTGCTATTCGATCTGTTGCGAGCGGTCCGTAGCTGTCGAAAGAAAGAGAGAGAGAGAGAGAAAGCGAGCGGTAGGTTCGCTCCCGTCAAACCGGGTCGTCTGGACGAGGGATGCGGACAGCGGCAGGGGACCAGGACATGCATCTGGTCGACTGGGGGGGAGGTCTGGCAATGGAAAGCAGGAACATGGAATGCAAGGAACAACCCCGCTCTCTTGCCGACGAATCGCAACTCGCCGTTGAAGAAGCATCCATCAAAGAGTCCAGAGACTTGCTGTTTAGCCTGCGTTTGCTGCCCACCCCTCCCGAATCGGTTACTCAAAACGACTTCTGGCGCAGAGTAGGTACAGACGCGAGGGCGCACGAGCTTCAACAGATGCCGAGGCTCAAGCTTCGATTTGTTCTTCGTTTAGCCCAGTTTGGCAGGCCAGGCCAAGCCTGGCGATGCAGCAGCACCACAAACGCAACGCAAACCAACGAGCTGCAAGCCTGCACTCGATCTGCGGCTGCTGGCTGGCCTCTCTCTCCACACTTCCACAGGACTATTGCGACCTCAGCATGCAGGCGAAAGTATCCGTACCGTGATGGGCGAGGCTAAGGAGAACTTGATACCGCACTCGCACAGCACGGCGCGCCCAGAGAGGCCAGCAATGCCGTCCTTGGATCTATCTCCACAACCCAGCCATTGCCTGCGACGGGCCAAGCACACGAAAAGCAAAAGCATAGCTAGCATTACGCAGTAGAGCTGCCACCATCGACTTACACCGAGGCCAAAAGTCAACCTGCCAGTTCCACAAGCGCGTGCAGCTGCACCACGAGCAAGCACCAGTGCCAACACAAGCGCCAACGTGACAGTCGTAGCTGGTCATATTCCTCGGCTGTCGAGAAGGAATGTCATGCCAGGACCTTGTCCACCGTCGATTCATCGTTGATCAAGAGCTTTCTCCGCCACCCCAACCCTGGTCTACAGCCCCATAGAAGAATATTCTCCATTGTCCCGCCCATCTGGTCGCCAAGTTGTACCCAGTCAAAGAAGTACTCCATACATGGGCTCCCACATCCCAACAGCCGACTGTTGAGGTCACTGCTTCCCAGGAAGTACCGCACCGAGTACGGATACTGTTTGGCGAGAATCGGAGGGGGGTGCAAAAGGTGCTGCTGCGTCGTGTTGTGTTGTGTCGTGTCGTGTTGTGCATGGTAGGACCGACAGGTGGTTTTATCCCATCTTTCCCCCCCCGTACGGGTCCCTCAAACCAGGGACGACACATCCCAATGCCGACTGCAACACAGGCTTTCTACTTTTTAAACCCTTTCTTATCTTGTGACAGCCTCGACAGGCCGTTACAAATACCTATCCTCACCCACACCCTCGCGCAATTGGCTCACTACATTTTTTTGTCAGTGAAGTCTCGACTACGTTGCCTTTCCTTCAAGCTACCCTTACTCGACGAGGACTTCCAGTCTATACGAGCACGGCCTTGAAGCTCTCTCCACCAGCTACAGCTTCAGACAACACTACTGATTCCGAGTCTCACACACCGAACCAAGAACCAGGCGCATAATCAAGACATTTGGCCACTCTCCGCCTCCCTGCCAGTCGGCCTTCTCATCTCTCTACGAACACCGACATAACTCTCAACCTTTGGGACGAATCATCTCTAGCCGGATCCAAATACTGGCCACTCGGCCAAAGTGAAAATGCCTGGTGAGTGAGCTTTCCCCAAGCGCCAATTTTTCCTCCACGGCTCCCACTCTGTCGTCATGACTATTTGGCCCTGGTTGAGACCCCCCGCCAAGAAAAATAAAAACCACCGTAAAAGAGACCGACCTCTGGCACGCATCCAATGCGCCGCAATCGCGCATTACATCAGCCTGCCTCGGCACAGCCATCTGCACAAAACATCGTTGGGGGCCGATCGCGCTGACTTGTTTCGTTTCCTCACCATTTAGTCCCGCTCGCACTCGCTCTGCCGGCTGCAGCCGCAGCTTATTCGTACATCAATGCTCGCCTTTCTTTGTGGTACGATAGAAAGCTGCTTTCCTGTGCGCTACCCGCAACCCTTTCAGCTCTGTGGCGTGAGCGAACGGACCGGTTGAACCAGTTTTACGTCCTCGAACAAGCGGCACAGAACAAATCGTCTGCCAATCGCACGTTCATCATCTTCGAGGGCAAAACATACACCTACCGCGAGACTTACGAGCAGGTCCTGAAATATGGCACCTGGTTGAGGGAGCGTCACGGCGTCAAGCCCAAGGACGTTGTCGCCATCAACTTCCAGAACTCTGACGTCTTCGTTTTCCTATGGCTCGGCCTGTGGTCCATTGGCGCAAAGCCAGCCTTCATCAACTACAATTTGACTGGCAAGCCGCTAGCTCACTGCGCCAAGGCCGCGAAGACGAAGCTGATGCTGATTGACCCCAACGTCGCCGCCAATGTCACTGAAGATGTAAGGAGTGAGCTGAGCACCGTGGAGTTCGTGGTGCTTGATGAGAGCTTGCACAGAGAAATCGACACCATTAAGCCCAGGCGTGCTCCCGACTCTGATCGGTCAGAGAGCCAGTATCAGAATCTGGCGATCCTGATTTACACATCAGGAACAACGGGCATGCCCAAACCCGCCATTGTGTCCTGGGCGAAATGCATCGTCGGTGGTGTTTTCACGTCAAACTTCACAAGCAACTCTCCCAATGACGTCTTCTACACTGTAAGTCAAACCATCAGCCCATCATGCACCCCAAACTAACAGGAATCTAGTCTATGCCGTTGTATCACAGCTCCGCGGCCTTGCTAGGATTTGGTAATACCCTCGAGGCGGGTGGTACGATTTGCATAGGAAGGAAGTTCTCGACCAAGGTTTTCTGGGAGGAGGTTCGCTCCTCCAAGGCCACCATCATCCAGTACGTTGGTGAGACCTGCAGATATTTGCTTGCAGCTGCCCCACAAGTCGACCCCGTCACCGGTGAAAGTCTCGACAAGAAGCACAATGTTCGGGTAGCTTTTGGCAATGGCCTACGGCCGGACGTGTGGAACAGATTCAAGGAGAGGTTCGGCATTGACACCATTGCCGAGTTCTACGCTGCGACCGAAGGCTCATTTGGAACCTGGAACTTGAGCCGAAACGACTTTGCCAAGGGCGCTGTTGGACGAAACGGCACCCTGTACAGCCTCGTCATGGGCCTCGACGTTGCCCTCGCCGAGATGGATGAGAACAACGAGGAGCCTTGGAGGGACAGGAAGACGGGTCTGTGCCGGCCTGCCAAGGCTGGCGAGCCTGGAGAGCTCATGTTCAGACTCTCGCCCGACGACCTCAACCGCCGCTTTCAGGGTTACTACGGCAACCCAGACGCAACAAAGGCCAAGGTCTTGCGGAACGTCTTCAAAAAGGGAGATGCCTGGTTCAGGACGGGCGACGTGGTCCGCTGGGACAGCGAGGGAAGGCTCTACTTCACCGATCGCATTGGCGATACGTTCCGCTGGAAGAGTGAAAACGTGTCGACACAAGAGGTTGGCGAGGCCGTTGGCTCACACCCATTGGTACAAGAGGCAAATGTCTACGGTGTCGAGCTGCCCAACCATGACGGACGCGCAGGGTGTGCTGCCGTTGTTCTTCAGGGCCAACCATCCGAGGAGGTGCTGAGGAGCATTGCGCAGCACGTGAAGCAGTCACTACCGAAGTATGCCTTGCCCATCTTCCTGCGAGTCATGCCTCCCGAGGCTATGCAGACGACGGGTACGAACAAGCAGCAGAAGCACGGTCTCCGATCCCAGGGTGTCAGGCCGGGCGGCACGGACGCCGCTGGCGAAGTGTACTGGTTGAAGAACAACACCTACGAGCCTTTCTCTGGGCGAGATTGGGATGAACTCAACGGTGGACGGGTGAAGCTGTAGATTTCTATTCTTGGGATTATTTTTACTGCAAGCGAGATACCACATTCTTCCTTACTTCATTCGCTTAGAACATAGCTAGTTGGCACATTATACTCAACACCTCATACAACCTTGACCATTCCCCATGAAAGCTGATGTCTCGATGCCTTTCAAGAATGAAGTTTTCCTAACTAACCTTAGGCTGCCATCGCTGAAGATTAAGCGCAGTCTATCCCTCGGCCAGGGTATGAAATCTTCTAGAGATAATGAGATGGCGAGTTCGTACGGCTAGCTGCGCCGTCCCTTAACATCTTAATTACTTAAGATAAAGAAAAGCAATGCGAAGCCAACTCGAAGAGTGTCCAAGCTACCTAGTTTTCCATGATTTTAACTTCGAATTGACAAAGGCACGTACAAAGTACGCCTTTGTATCTGCTCGGTCATCCGGTCAACCGGATTATGTACCTCTGAGGACATTAGAATCGTTATTCACGATGTTTTTGATCCCACTTCAGCCATCTTCACTACTTGGCGTGATCCCTCGTAGATGATTCACGAACCAGACATTGGAGAGTATATAGACCCGAGAAGTTTCGACCCATCAAAGCTATTTCTTTCTCCATCATCACAGACAGCTTCAACATACTAGCATATCTCAATCTTTCTCAACATCAAACATCCACCTCACCACAGAACAAACATATCAGAACAGCTTACCTCGACCTTCTTCCATATTTTACGCTCACCTCACTCACCACACACACCAATACAGTACAAGATGCCTCAGTCTTCGTCATCCACCAGACCCAAAATGAACATCACGATCAATACGGACGTCAAAGTGACGGACAGCAAGAACAATGATCCTCCTTCGCCCAACACCGACCCCCCTACTCCTCCGGCTAGCCCTCCCCGATGAATGTAGTTTAGGGAATCGGCACATCACCGGAGATACCAGAGCGTCGATGCTCACACAGTATTCAAGGCTTCCCGGGGCCAGTAGGATAGAAGCACGGCTATAGCAGAAATAGTCCATAGTCACCAGTAATACAATAAATACCACATACTAAACTGATCCCCTTGACATCCGTGATGCATACCCAGCCTTCAATCTGTCTTCCTCAGCATGCCTGAAAGAGTAGACATAATCTCGTCTGCTTTACGCACCACAAGACTAACATGTCCCTCCCCCTCCACAAACCTCACCTCCGCCCCAGGCACACACTCCGCCGCCCGTTCCGCAAGACCAACCGGCACATTCACATCCTCCCTCCCATGCCACCAAACCATCTCCCCATCCTCAACCTCAAGCTCCCCAATCTCGAACCCCCAATAACTCCCCGCCAACTTGACATCCCAAGCCGGGCCCCATCCCCCAGGCAAAACAGCATCCCGCACACTAGCAAGCATAGCAGACCGGACCCCGCCAACATCCCCATCCAACACCTCCCGATCAACCTCCGGCCTCGTGTTCAAATCTTCCAGCACGATCCCCTCAAACCTCCCGGGTCTTGCCTCGCCTCTCGCCGCCCTGCTTAGCGACATCTCCATACCCCACGCCACGACTGGCGTAATCCACGGTGCTAACGTCAACATCACCCGTCCCTGGAGGAGCATGCCGGCGTACCCAAGCTCAGGGGGGTATAAGCCCGAACAAACTCCCGCCGTAACGAGCCTCTCGCGCGGGATGGCTTTCCAACATGCAAAAACATACGGTGCGCCCCCCGACAGACCCAGGACCCCGAAGCAGGGAATCTGAAAATGGTCTGCGGCGGCGAGGACGTCGGTAGGCCAGTCTAGGATGCGCCTGTTCGGTTGGAACGTGGAGCCCGCGTGGCCTGGTCGATCGAGGGCGATAATTTGCACGGCGTGGCGACGTGCGGCGTGGTGGAAGATTGATGCTTCTTCGTGGCTGCTGGGGAAGCCGTGGAAGTAGAATAGCACGGCAGCGGCCGGACGAGGTTGGTTTTGATGCGTGGGGGATGGGGTGGTGGTGAATGACTCTGCGCCGGCGCCAAAGACTGCAAAGGTTAGGGTGCGGCCGTCTGGGAGGCTGAAGGGTTTGGTTTCGGCTTTTGTGTAGTTTGGATCCATGGTTTTTGTTTGAGTATGGCTAGTATGATATGGGGTTCTAGAGGCTGACGTTTTCCAACCATCAGTGAAGAGTGTTCTCGTTGTAATTGACGCCAATGGCGACCTTCTCCTCAAGCTGAGTCCTTTTCTCCTCCTACCTTACTTCTTCTGATATAGTAAATTGTCGTCTTTGTCCGGTCAAAGAACATAGAAGGGCGTCCGATATGAGGCAAAGATTCCACGAGTGGCATTCTTACGGAGGTCAACTCCGTCTGCACAAGGCAGCAGCATTTTCCCATGGACCCCCGTCAATTCGACCTTGAAACATTCAGCTCACGACTCAGCCGTCAGGCTTCTGTGTCTCTGCCGTAGTCTCGTCCAGAGCAAACCACATGTCGAGGCGCGTGAGAACGCTGATGATCCTTCCGAGTGGCGCAGCATTTTACCGAGATGATGGATGCCCGTCAATTGCGTTTCTACTTTCACTAGAAAGCAGTGGCAAGGTGAGACTAGATAGGATTCCAACGGAGCATTGTCGACGGGCGTTGGCCGTAGGAAATAAGAATTCCGTCCTCGTCGTTGTGGCGCTTGTCTCAGCAACGACGGGTTTGAAAATGAAATGGTCAGCATCAAAGCCAAGCATATGAAGGAAAACGTCACATTTGTAACCCAGGGCGTGCCGAAGGGATACTCGACCAAATTAACATGACGCACCGAGAGAGCAAACAACAGGTTGATTATCACCATGAATCTCCAGGATGGATTGCCTTTTTGAGCCCGGGGATCGGCAGCCGGCAGTCGGCGCGGGAACGGAGGAGGTCGGCGATGTGAGTGGGACCGTGGGACGGGAGGGGCATCGGTTGTCGGCGATGGCGTGCGAGGAGCTACCGGGGTTGGATGGGTAAGCTTTGGGGTACGGAGCACCACTATTTGGATACCCTTGATGCCGTGGCACCTTCTAGGACTCTTCTTTTGTAATGGTTCGATGTGCGGCGTGGATGATGTGGTGACCAAGCAGTGGGGGTCAGCGAGCTGGAGGCTGTCGACTGGATTGCACCATTGATCGCCGTTGGATGTTGTTCTGTATGCCATCCTATACGTATCTCGAGGCTCAATGAAGAGTAGTTATGCTTGGGTTATATTTGTATATATATCGGGCTTCACACACTGCTAAAGAATATTTACGGCATCACATAACAAGACGGGAGGTGACGACCAAAGTGGACCGCACCCTTGAGGTCCCAGATAAGAAACAATACTGCGTAGATACGTAGAACGCAGTACACACAGTGACACACTGCTTTATTCCCTGGAGGCTGGAGCACTTCCTAGCGGGTTAGCCTCTGTAGATAGCGCCGTAAGGGTTCTCCCAAAGGGGCCCAGTGGGCGTCTTCTTCACTGCGGTTGGGATGTGATTTCTCATGATGTGCCCTGAGCCAAGGATGATGTAATCGAGCACGCCATCCGGTCTAGCCGATTTCGGACTTGGAGGGGTAAAAGTGACCTCTGCAAAAGTGAAAATCACAGCCCCTCCAACGCGGGGCAAAAAGTTGGAGGAGCTTGCCGCTCGTCGTTGCGGGAACAACGTGCCAGTTTTCAGAGACACACAGGAGTAAGCATTGGACCTTGAGCTGAGGTTACCCAGGCGATTCCGTGGCTTTCTACGGGTTGCCAATGCCAATGCTGGGTGATGTGACGCTTCGTTGGGGCATATGCTGAGAGTTGTAATCAAGCTGGACCGCGTAAGTTGCATGAGCTTGGCACGTCGGCGACCATATCGTCAACTGGAGACATGGTAATACTACAAGACCAGACAAACAACAGAGAGATAGGCAACTTCAAGGTGTAAGTCAAAGGCCGAGAAATAGGTAAACATGCCTCCAGATAATCTAGTCAGTGCCGGGAAAAAGGTAAGGTAGGTAAAGGCACCAAGGAGGGGATAAACTGGAGAGGTACCTTGGAGAACGGGAAAGCTGCGGGAAGCTGAGGAAAAGGAAAAGGTACAGAGGTACGAAAACGACCGGGCTTTGTACGTTGCTCTGGACTGTGCCTGGGGCGCGCGGCTTCGAGCTATATATTACACCTCGACTCCCACACCATCCACCATAGCCTTCCCCGTTCCTGTTTCTTTTGCTCCTTGTTCTTTCCGTATCATATACCCTTTCACTCATACATCTTCTCACACTTTACAAAGAAGACAGACACAATGGCTGACCAGCGCCCCGCTCCGTAAGTTATCAGCCTGCCTCCTCCTTGAACTCGACCCCGCGTCGTGATACCCCCCCGCCGTCACCACATAAACCACATCCACCAAATCAATGCTAACATCGCACACAACAGCCTCCGCCTCGGCACCGTCGCCCCCAACTTCAAGGCCGACACCACCAACGGCCCCATCGACTTCCACGACTTCATCGGCGACAGCTGGGTCGTCCTCTTCTCCCACCCGGAGGACTACACCCCCGTCTGCACCACCGAGCTCGGCGCCTTCGCCAAGCTCGAGCCCGACTTCTCCAAGCGCGGCGTCAAGCTAATCGGCCTCTCCGCAAACACCCTCGGCTCCCACGAGGGCTGGATCAAGGACATTGACGAGGTCACCGGCTCAAAGGTCGCCTTCCCCATCATCGCCGACAAGGAGCGCAAGGTCGCCCTCCTCTACGACATGCTCGACTACCAGGACACCACAAACGTCGACGAGAAGGGCATCGCCTTCACCATCCGCTCCGTCTTCATCATCGACCCCAAGAAGACCATCCGCACCATCCTCTCCTACCCGGCCTCCACCGGCCGCAACTCCGCCGAGGTCCTCCGCATCGTCGACTCCCTCCAGACCGGCGACAAGCACAAGATCACCACCCCCATCAACTGGGTCCCCGGCGACGACGTCATCGTCCACCCCTCCATCAAGACCGAGCAGGCCAAGGAGCTCTTCCCCGAGGTCCGCATCGTCAAGCCCTACCTGCGCTTCACCCCTTTACCCAAGGAGAAGGCCACCGTCGCCTAAGTACAGGCGCCAGTGGCCACGAGTGGAACTTGGTTTGGGGACGCTATGTTGGATGACGGGTCTCGCTTACGGTCCTCGGTTCTTCAGTATCTAAGAACGTTGAGCGGACGAGATCCCAGAATGTTGAAAAAGCAAAAAAGGGGATGATGCTGTCAGACTGGTTAGGAACATCAACCTCTTCCAACCTGCCGACATGCATATACGCACCCTCTATCTGAATACCCGGCGTGGCGCTGCGAATGGCAACATAGTCCTTCGGTCAGCCTTCAAGGGGCGTGATCTGGACAAGCAGCAGCGTCTTCGCTCTGACTACCTTTTACATAGAACGAATGAAATAATGAGAAATGTCCAAACTCTGCCTTTCCTCGCAACGTGATATCCAGACAGCTATCGCAGGCTACCTCCTTGGCAGGCCACAGTTATCCTCGGATAGCTAGACTTCTAGAAGTTCGAGCATCCATTGTGAGAAGAATTGCGACTTCAAGCCCACAAGGGGCCTTAATCATTAGGCAAACCGCCGTGCACTTGGGAAACAGGAACCGCATGTTCAACCGTCGCATCCATGATCCATGGCTCCGTTCTCCATCATGCCAAGAGAAGATGCAGAGAAGGCAGCATTGAATCTGTTTGATTACAGTATTGTTGCAAGCTGCTCTCGTGGTATCTTCTTCGTGGGCTGCCTTGCATCAGAGAGGAGAAGCCCCGTAGATATGTAGCTCAAACAAGGCGTTGGGCCGAGACGCGAAGGGTAGACGAAATGAGGTTTAGACACGCCCATCGTCGCACTTGTCCGTCATATCAAGCCCCAAGATGTAAGGACGTAGTAAGCGAAGCCGAGCCCGACATGCACACGAAGGTGGAGGCGCGTTTCCGTACCACCGTGTGTCTGTCTGGAGATGACACCGGTATATAGCACATGGAGTCATGGACCCGTGAATGACTGATCGGCGGTCCGGCACGGAGGCACCGCTGATGAGCTTCCAGGGGCTCGTTCCACGTTGACGACCGGCCTGCCTCGCGGGGCCCCTTCCAGGCTTCAGCTCTTTGACCCTATGGTCAGCTAGCCACGGGCAAAGCGGCCACTCTCGCCCGCCATCCCATGACTCGGCCGAACAGACGCGGGCCAGGCCGGAGGAAACGGGTCGGTACACGTCTCGGAAAACTACTCCGTGAAGGGGCGCTAACTCGGTCATTACACGAAAAGGAGACGCCCGCCTTATATTGACCCGACCATCTTGGAGCAGCAGTAGCACTTCTCAGCTAGAGTGAACCGGCTGCCTGGCTAGGACACATTCGGGGCGTTGGTCGAGATGCAACGGAGCAGGTGGCTTTCTTGGTTCGAGGGACCCAGACAGGCACAATCCTGGCGCGACACGAGGCAGAGGCCCAATCTTTGCACAAAAACGAGGCTGGAACAATTCGAGAACCAGGGGACGGCCGGGGAATGTTGAAACATCCGCATCCACACAAAATGACAAGTGGCCGGGTTCCCACGTTTTCCCACGTCTTTGCAATTCGTAGCGTGTGCGGGTTGTTCTATAGTGTACCGTGGTCCAGGTGTGAGAGCCGTGAGGGCGCGCCGCTGTCCGCGATCCACGGTGCGTGTCCAGTCAGCAGTGTTCCCAAACTTCCCAGGGCCATCGTCGGGTCGGCAGGGTGCCTATCCCGGGATTGCTCGCCTGAGACATGACAGGCCAGGCAATGTTTGTTTCCGACGAGGGGTAAGACCCAAGACGCAAGGGGACTTGCTGCTGGATCTGTCAGTGTCACCGACGTGGTGCATAGGTATTCTGCCATTTGTGTCTCTATACCATGTAGCGGAAGCTAAGCTCTAGGCTCCAGTCTCCAGCCTCCTGCCCTTGATCGTCAACGTTGGTCAATTTCGTCCTCAGTCGTCAGCTGGCTGGGATGGAGGCGACCCGGAAAATTGTTCAAGGGTTATAGCACCGAGAGCAGATAGCGTAACTTGTTTCCGTAAGACGGTCAGAGACGGGGGGAGAAAAAACCGAGCGCGGCACAGCAGACAGACAGCGTGGATGACAGGCCCAGAGGAGCGGTGACGACAAGGACCAGGACAAGGACCAGCCTCCCATGGTGATTACTGCTCGCCTGGTATCCGTATCCTCTGGTATCTCCTCGAGTCTCTGTGTATCATGGAGTATTCCAAGCCCAAACGTACAATCAACGTCGTCGATATTTTCACACTACCGGAGCAGAATGTGTATCCGTGGTACTCGTACGCATTCGAATCGGAGGACAAATGGCAATTCCCTTGGTGACGATTCCCCCCTCCGTTTCGCAAGGGTGGGTAGGTGTAGTGTATGCGTAGCGTGTGGGAATGTGGGATGTTGGAAGCTGGCACACGTTCTGTGGCTGCATGTGCAGCGTATCTGCAAGATATAGTAGGCCTGCGCCTAACAGCTACTGCGTAAGTATGTACTATAGACACACAAGGACCGGAAAAAAGGGTCCTCTTGCAGCTCGATCGTCTGATGTTGCTTCCCCTCCTGATTCTCCTACCGCTGCCGCAGGATTCCGATTGATGGTGCGAGGTCCGGCCTGCGGGACAAGAAGACCGGCGCGCAGTTGAGGCGGGCCCCTAACGTCGTACAATATAAGGGCAGTACGCCAGCGCGAGAGAGGGCACCGAAGTTTGAATATCGTGACCAGGAGAGACGAAGTACACGACTGCGGTCCAGCTATGTTTGGTAGATGTTGGGGTATCCTTAGGAAATTTGGGTGGCTTCTTTTCGTTTCTTGAATTTCCCTCGTTTGCTCCCGTAAGAGGGGCCGACGGGAGTTTGGGTCTTTTGGAAGTTGGGAGGGGATGGTTGCTGGGGGGTCGAGGTCCTGAAGATGGAGTTGGAATGTACGGATACGGATGTGTGAGGACTCTGGTCGGTACATCTGGGGCTTACCTAAGGTACATTCAGAAGGTCCCGGGAAAGGGGGGGGAGGGGTCAGTGCGTAAGTGTTTGTCAATTTACCAGGGCTCTTGCTGACACCTGGGAGTAAAGTGAGTGAGAGTGAGAGTGAAAGTTGGGACTGAATTCGACATGACCTCACACACTCATCCACTCACTCACTCACTGGTAAACGATTAGACGTTATGAGACAAGTTCACTTTCATTGTGAGCTAAATCTGAGCACAGGGCAGTAGGATGCTGCGTCTATGTGGTCACGGGCGAGAGATAGCATGCGGTCTAAAGAACAAGGGCAAAGTATGAAAACACGATGATGTTTATCAAGGATAGATTTGCCAAGTAAGGCAAGGTGTGTTTTATTACTGCGTACTCCGTAGACATTCTCAAATCCCAGCACCTGCCTGGGCTGACCGGCGGCGTGGAATTTGGCAAGGTGTAGAAGATACTTGCATGCTTTCACTCGACACTTTTCACCCCTTTTCTCGTTTACTTGTATTTCCTCAGACTCAATGAGTGAAAGCCAGGCAAACGAAACAGAAATACTGCGACATTTAAATACACGATTGCTACGGAGTACCGTATATTAATGAACATTGTCATTAAGGCTTTAAGGTAGCCAATGGAACATTAGAAAAGGTTCGACTTCAGACTCACCCAGATGAGACTATTCCACACCCGGCAATAATCGGCTCCCTCCCCTCCCTTTTCGAGTTCTCCTCTCAACCATTTGTTCTCTTCTTTTTCCCTTTCCCACCCCCCCTTTACCCACTTTGCGGCTTGCCCAGACGTTCCCCGAGTCACTTTTACACCTTCGAGTTTCTTTCTTCCCTCCCCTTTCCCCTCCGCCCCCCCTTCCCACTCTAACAAACCAATCCCAATCACGCCAAATCCCCATCACGAGCCCCATTTCCCATGCTCTCTCCTGGAAGCTCTCAGACCGCCCAGCCGTGAAGTCAGCGCGCTACGCCGTCCACTGTCAGTGAAGCTAGGTGTCTGCTCACGTACGAATACCTTACACAGCAGGTACGGGTACCGGGCACCTGAGAACTGGGAGGGCACCTCGCTGCACTGCGCTGCACACCCACGACACCCACGTTGAAACATCGCCGTCCACTACCTCACGACACTACGGAGTACGGGTACTGCGGTACAACCACGAATACCTGCTTCCACTCGTCGCCTTGTCTCTGCTTCGTTTCGTTTCGCATCTCGCATCGCCTGGCGCGCGCTCTCTCTCACTCTCTCTTCCACTATTCTTGACTAGCTTGCGAATACAAGTTGGGCCAGACAGGCTCCAGAGGAACCGTCCAGTCCATCATATCCCATATCTCGTTGCTCCCACCTCTGCCCGGGGCACATCAACTCTTTCTGCAAGCTGCACCTCACACACACACACACTACATACCTAAGGTACTCTCAGTCTGTACGAATACATCTCGCATAGTCCCCGCCAGCCTACCTACCTTACGCATCGGCATCACCAGCAGCAGCAGCAGTAGTCGCAGTCACAGTCGCATTCCCCTGCTGCGTTCTTTCACACCTCCATCTTCCCAAAGCTCGAATCGGTCTGCGGAACTTGCAGTACCTTCAAGATACTTCGCCCTCACAGGTTCGACCCGCCGTTCAGCCCACTTCTTCCCTCGCGTCTGCCTCGGAGCTCAAGCTGCTTTTCAACCCTCTGCCCGGTCCGTCTACCCAAAGTCAGTCTGTGCGTCCAAAACCAAACGAACGCCCCCCCTCCACAACCTCGTCGACTCTTCCCAGTGCCAAAAGCACAAGTCAAAACCAAGACGCCTACAGCACACGCTTGTCCCTACATCGACACTTTCTTCGCCCAAAAGAGCAGGCATCTGGAAATTAACGATTGCAACCTTGCTGGTGGTCCTCCGGCCGTTGCCGCCGCCCCTACTACTGCTCCTAGTCCCTCTTGGAAATACTCCTCATCGTCGGACTTCGACTCCATACTTACGCGGATCCCTTTTTTTCGGTCCCGTCGCCTTTTCCACTTTTGCCTCACGCGCGCCAGGTCTCTTCCACACGGCACTGACTTGCTGAAGCCTGCTGGGTACAACCGTCGTGACCCTACAACACACATCCCCCTTACGGATACCTGGTTGCGACTCTACAGATACAGTGCTCTCTGTCGTCTGTACCGCGTACGGATACCCTACCGTACCAGAGAACGGCCCTCAATTCTTGCTGCTCACCGCACCTGAATCGTCTCGAGACCGCTATCCCCGTCGCCCTCGCTGTCGCCGGTCGCTGTCGCCGGTCGCTGTCGCCGGTCGCTGTCGCCGGTCGCTGTCGCCGGTCGCTGTCTCCGTCGTCGTTATCGTTCTTCGACGTTGGTCCTTTTTCTCTGCCTGCCGAGCACCCTCGCTTGAATCTAAACCCCCAAGACTTCGCCTCGCTTCCGACTCGACTCAACTCGACTTAACTCAACTCATTGACTTTTGACCCGATCGACTTCTTGGAGTCCCTGCGCGTCCCCTAGTCCTAGGTGCGTACCGTTCGTACTTCGTACTCCATAAACTTCAAATTCGTTGCCCTTCTCGTCCACTCCCCTTCCCCTCCTATCCCATCCCAGATCCCCATCCACATCCTGTGCCCATTTGTCCTCCACACCCTAGCCCACATCCCACTCTATCTCTTGTGCGCCGCTTCCTGTCAACTGTGGGGAGGAATAACGGACAAGAGAGAAAGAGAGAGGGAAAGTGAGAGGGAAACACGCACAAAAGAACGGAGCAGACAAGGCCTCGCTCCCTCAGCCCAGCCCAGTCCCAATCCCAGCCGAGCCCGCTCTAGTCCAGGAATCCACCCCGGAGACACAGACGCACAACACGCACAGAGTGAAAGCCAGACAGATACTCATCCGGAGCCTACCCGTCATAAGTTACCAGGGGCCTAGCAGAGCCGGATGAACAAGCGAACCTGGGTTGGGATTGCTTGAGCTGGGGTCTCTCTGTTCGCTTCATCATCTACTCAATTTTCATTTTTCTGCATTTTCCCTTTCTTACCTTTGGTTTCCGCTTCTTGGGCTTTCTTCTGGCTCTAGCTTTGTCGTGTGTCGGTGTGCCCTCACTTCTTCACCACCTCGGACCTCAAGAACGAGCCGGCCACCCTCTACACTTCCTCACCCCACCGCTTCTTTACCGCGACTACTCTTCTTGTCTACTTCCTTGCGATTGCTCTGGCCTATTGCAAATCCCGTGGTATCGACGCCGAATCAGACCTTGGCAATCTGGCGCAGAAGCAGCAGTTTCTGCCGAATACCTCTCTACTCCCGAGCCCACCCTGCTTGACCGACTCGGTTCCCAAATCCCGCCCTACATGAAAACCACTCAACCTCCTATTTTGAGCCTCTGAGCGCTTTTCTTTTTCTCAACCCGCCGAGACTGTTTCTGTTGCGCATCGCTCTCCAGGCTGTATCCACAGCCTGGGGGCTGATTGTGTCGCAATGTCTGGCCCGGGACTAACCTCGAACCAGTCTTCCGCGCAAGGCGATCTCTCGCGCTTTTCCGATTCGGAGACAGAGCAGGACAGATCTCCTCCTACGACCAAAACGACTTCAGATATCCTCTCGGGCGTATATCGCGGCTTCAAAAAGTTCGCCCCGAGTCGAGACGGCGAATCGAGGCTGACAAGACAGCCGTCACTTTCTCGCTTGGGTCTGCACAGCGTCTCGCCAAGCTTGACCTCGTCGCCCTCTCCCCCCACCTCTTCGACGCCGACACCCGTTCCAAACTCGTCCAAAAATCGCCCGACCCAGCAGCTCCAGCATGGGAGGAGTCTGAGCCTACAGAGCAGCCTCGCCAAACCACTACCCGAACCGCCAGCGTCGTTTCCTTCTCCTACAGGGCCTGAAGCACCTCCTGCACATTACAATTTGGGGGGTCTCGGTGCCATCGAGGAAGCTCCGGCCGATGATATGTACAGTCGTACCAGTACGATGGACTCCAGCGCCTCAGCGGAACGAGCTCAGATGTACAGCGGCGGATCAGGATACAACGCCGACATGGCCAGCAGCCAGAGTAGCTTAGCAAGCTCTTCGAGACAAGATGGAGCCGACGAGAATAATAATAGGGAACCACCGAACTTGACTCCGCGGAGCAACGGTCCCTTGTCAGCAGGCCCGTCTCCATCTTCCAACCAGTCGTCCAACCAACAAAGAACACCCGCTTCGGCGGTTGGTACACCCACTGCGTCCTCATCCTCGGCGCATCTATCCGGACTTATGTGCAATGTGCATAGGACAACAGGCAGGGAACCGCATCCGCTCGTCGGAGCTACAACAACTATACTGGGGGATAAACTTTATGTTTTTGGAGGAAGAATTCTGTCGCGGAGTCGCCCGGCTCCTCTGACATCCGATCTGTACGAGTTGGACTTGATCCGCAGGCATTGGTCGAAGCTGGAAACCACAGGCGATATACCACCGCCTCGATACTTCCACTCCATGTGCCCATTAGGAGACACTAAGCTGGTATGTTATGGAGGCATGTCTCCCACACCAAATCAAGCGAACGCCGGCCCGGATCAGCAGCCAGAGGTGACCGTCATGTCGGACATTTACATCTACGATGTTCCCACCCGAAAGTGGACCTACATTCCAACCCAAGATCCCCCGCAAGGACGTTACGCCCACTGCGCCTGCATATTGCCTTCGTCAGCATCGTTCGCCTCGCACAAGGCGCCACTGTCGGCATTGCAGCACAATCCATCATCCGGCAACCCCAACGAAGGGAGGATAGGGATCAACATTGATGGGACCGGCGGTGCTGAAATGGTGGTGGTTGGTGGCCAGGATGGCGCAAACCACTACATTGAGCAAATTAGTGTTTTCAACCTTCGCAGCCTCAAGTGGACCGCTGTCGAACCTCTCGACAAGAGCTGCGGCGCTTACAGAAGCGTCGTCGCTCCTTTGCCCCCCTCTGTTACGGCACGAATTGGAAAGTCAAGCGTGAATGGATATCAACGGGAGGGCGGCATCAGCCAAGAAGCTCGGGAGCCTGGATCCTCAATGCTCATCTATTCAAACTACAACTTCCTAGACGTCAAGCTCGAACTACAAATCCGATCTTCAGACGGCACCTTGACGGAGAAACCCATGTCGGGCTCTTATTCGCCCCCCGGGCTGCGGTTTCCGAACGGCGGCGTCATCGATACCTACTTTGTCGTAAGCGGCACATACCTCACGTCTTCGAAGCAGGAGTATGCGTTATGGGCTCTTGACCTCAAGACATTGACCTGGTCGCGGATCGATGCGGGTGGTGCTGTCTTCAGCCAAGGCAGCTGGAACCGCGGTGTACTTTGGAACCGCAGGAACACTTTTGTGATTCTTGGCAACCGGAAACGAAGTCTCGTCGATGATTATAACCATCGTCGTATCAACTTTTCCAATGTTTGCATGGTCGAGCTGGAAGCATTTGGATTCTACGACAACCCGAGAAAGACGACGCCCATGTCTGGCTTCGTATCAGCCAGTAGTCCTTACACTAGCCCGGGATTAAGTTTGGCTAGAAAAGCAGGAACTACAGCCGGAGGACGGTTCCACTCTAGGGCGGCCGAGGAGCTTGGCGAAAAGGCACTGGCGATGCGAGAGCTTTCCGACATGGACATCCTCTGCCTACACGGAGAGCGGATACCCATCAATTCTAGGATGGTGGCACGGCGATGGGGCCCGTACTTTGTGCAGCTGTTGCGAGAAGGGACGGCGACTCAGGATGGTAGCGATGCCATGACTCTTCGATCTGGAGTCAACAACCCCATCAGAAATTCCGCTCTCACAATCACCCCATCCCGTAACACAGCCGAAAGCTCGACGTCCATGGCCAGTACTGTGCTCTCGTCCGGTTCATCGGCAAAGGCCCCGAGTACAGCTCCGACCAGCGCCTCAGCAGCCTCGTTCTCCCTCCCGGGCTCGGCCGGCGGCGTCGATCCAGCCACGGTCAACTCAGCCCCGACCCCGAGGTCTCTACCACCGAACTCGCGGCCTCGATGCTTGTACCTTCCTCACACCTACCTCACGGTACAGGCCCTCCTACACTTCCTCTACACGTCCTCACTGCCGCCTCCGTCATCGCCATTGTGCACACCTCCCATCCTATGTTCACTTTTGCAAATCGCCCGCCCATACCGGATCGACGGGCTTCTCGAGGCAGTAGTCGAGCGCCTACACGCCCTCTTGGACTCGAGAAACGCAGCCGCCGTCTTCAACGCGACCGCCATGGCCGCCGGCGGTGGCCGTGGCATCGACGGCTCCCTGAACCCCAACTTCTTCGTACCCTTGGACGCCATGGGCTCTCCGCTCTTCCCCTCAGAAGAGTCCCAGAACGGCAGCGCCGGCGCAGACGGACTTTCCTCGCGCACTGCGGCTCTCCGTATCAACACCGCAATGTCCTCCGGTCGACCGTCCAGCGACGAACTCAGCGCCACGACAAGCGTCAGCGGGTCCGAATGGAGCTCCGAGATTGGCGACTCGGAGCGCGGTGGTATGCGCGAGGTTTGGGGAGGCGAGCTCAGCTCCGTCATTGGCTTGCAGAAGCGAGGCTTGCGAGGTCTCATGGAGGGTAGGAGGATGCGTGAGCGCACCGGGACGAATTCGGGCGGGAGTATGAGTGCCGGCGTAGGACCGTATGGCGGCGGCGGCGGTGGGCAAGGCCGCGTTGGCCTTGGGATCGCCGGGTCGTGAAGAGAATAACTCAAAAAAGGAGAGAACTTTCGGAGAGACGAAAGGGAGGAGGAGCATGGGGCGCGGAGGTAATGAATTTATGATAGCATGGCCAAATGCAGCAGATTCCCCCAGGCGAAGAAAAATAGTAGTCGAGGTTGTGTGACGGCAATGAGATGAAAGAAAAAATCATACAAGGTGAAAAGATGATTCCGTCTAAGTGCTCAATGAAAAGAGGATGTATTATACCCTGGGTATACGAGGCTATGTGTCGGCGAATCTTCTAGGTCGCCAACTGGTTCGAATCTCGAGGTCCCTGAGCTCAGTCCACACAGATGCACGGAAGAAACCAAAACGCCTGTTCATGAGCCTCCTCGGAGGCATCGATTCCGCAATATCTCATGCTTGTATGACTCCTCCTTGAAGACCCTATTGTGTTCCATCATTCCCGTCTGTCATAGGCATATACCACCAACTCATCCCGAGAAGGGACAGGCACCGCGACCACGGCAGCGAAGCATCTCAACCCCCTCAGCCAACTCGGCCGAACCCTTGCCCATCTTCTCCTTGGGACCAATATCCTCGACGAGGAAGCCGTGCGGCATCATCTTCTCCGCGCCGGGGACGGTACCTCCCAGGAGACGGGTGATCAGCGCGACGGGGCCCCAGCGGTTCCAGAAGGTGGCAGGGATGTAGTACGGGTGGACGAGGTAGTCGTGGTGCAGGATGCGGCCGGTCTTGGGGTCCGGATCGGAGAAGAAGACGACGGGGGAGAAGCGGGGAAGCATGAAGTAGCGGACGAAGAAGCGGCGGACGACGAGGGCAGCGTAGGCTGTGAGAGACGCGACGATGCCTGGTTCCGGGAAGCTGTGATGGACACATGTATTAGCTTTTTCCCCTTTTTCTTTTCTAGCCGTAGGAGGAGGGGAAGAGGCCGGGAAGAACACTCACCAGAAAGTGTCACGGACGCGTTCTCCCATGAGAACGGTCAATACCTCTTTCGCAAAAGGCTTAGCAAAGCCCGGAACATGCCAGAGGAGCATGCGTGTCAGCTGGGCGCCCGCGCGGATGTTGGTGCCAGCGGGTTTCATAGCCTCGATCTCGTAGCGCTTGGCCCAGGCGGTGATGTCGTTGACGAATTCGATACCGTCGGCCCACGAGTCCTGAGTGAGATATCCCTTGTACTGAATGTCCATGGCGTCGCCAATGGCCTTCCAGTGGGTGCCGATGGCGCAGACCTCCATATCGGTGAGATCGTGCCATTCGTAGAAGCGCATGAAGTGGATGGGCTCCGTGACGCAGACGGCGAGGGTGTACAGGAAGTCGGCATTGGAGATTTGGTTGCGGGCTTTGTAGCTGCTGTGGAGGAAGTTCATGCGAGAGATGGCCTTGAGGGCGCGGTCCGAAGTGGGGGGGTTCATGGAAAATCTGGCAGGAAATTGTCAGCAGTCAGAAGGGTATCAGGGGAAAGAAAAGAAGGTGTTCAACGTACTCGCCAAAGATGATGGTGGTGTCCTCATATCTAGAAGAATTGTGTTAGCTCCTTGAGCTGGTTTTGCAGTTGAGCATGCACAATAAGTTCTAGTCCTAATTATCTTACCTCTTCTGCGCGTTCTCAGGATCGGCCAAATTCTTGGTTGCGACAATGAGCTTGGATACGGTCTCGAAGCCATAGGTCTGTACTTTGAAGTCAATAGCCATATACACTACATCATAGGCGCAAGGAACCACTAGGTTGGACATACCTTGAAGATGGCAAACTGGAGCGAAAGCAGGTAGAACTTGGGGAACTCATATTCGATGAGGTGCTTAAGGATGAGCTGAGCATCGGTGTTGCTCATGCCAGCAAGAGAAGCGCGGTCAGTGTAACCCATGCGTTTCTGCAGGGCGTTGATGCGTCTGAAGCGCACAGAGGCACACAAGATGAGCCAAGCCACAACGAAAGCTCCCATCACTGAGGTGGTTGGCCATGTCATGAGGATGTTATCGCTTATTCCGATGGATGTGCCGTGTCCAGTTGAGACTGAGTGGGTGAAGTTGGATGTGTCAGGATCCATTGTGTTGATAATGGTTGTGGTAACTCGGTCTGATCTCTTGCAACCTTGTGGTCTTGCGATCCTGTACTTCTGGAATCTTTCAGTCTTGCGATCTTTAGTCCTGCGATCTTTCGATCCTTCGGTCGGTCTTGCGATCCTGAGTTGGGAAGGTGCTAGGAAATGTGTAGTAGGTGAAAGTGATTGATTCCTGTTTGGCCGTTCGGGACTAAGCTGCAAAATGATTGTTACTCCATGTGAGTCCACTGACTGGCAAGTATGAAATTTGTGAGGTATGAGAAGTGAAGCTAGGTAAATTTGAGTGTAGTAAGGTAGGGAAATGGGAAATGGAAGAGGGGCTGTTGCTTGTGTTCAAGACGGGTCACACGTATGACAGGTGAGGAAGGTCGCTCTTACCCCTATGAGTGGCTCGCAGTCTGAGTGCTTGTCTGGATAATCAAAGAGAGAGAGAGAGAATGACTGTTGGAGAAAAAGTGATGTGAAAAAGGTAAAAGCGAAGTGAGATTGTAAGATGCCTGCGACGTTGACCTGTCAAAAGGCGAGGAGAAACCGGTCGTCAGCAGACAACGAGTGGTCACCAAAGTCCCTTTCTTTCTTTCCCCCAGCGATCTGAGGTGAAGATGCTGACCTTGCAAGGGAAGTCAGGGTTCAATGGTGGTGAGGTAGGAACGAACGTGGAGGTAAAGAAAGCACGGAAGGTAGGTAGGTAGGTTAATAATTGGAGTAACGTAGTGAAGTAAGCCCGATGTTGGAGTGCAGGACGAGAGGTGTGAGCACCTCAGTACCTATGGGTGAGGTGAGCAGGGGTCTCGCCTTGTCAGTTTTCTCTGCCCAGGTTTCGCCTTGCAGAATTGCCGTCTGTGGAATGGAAGGAACGAATGGAGAGGAAGGGAACTGAACGGGGATTTTGAATGCTTGTTTTGTTTCCCCCTAACCTAACCTTACCCTTCTCTTTGACCTTGACTTACTTACCTTGGGTACTTTGTCGGCTTGGCTTTCCGTTGCAGATCTGGAGGGGTAATTTTCATCTTTTATTTCTCCTTCCAGCCAAGCTGGCAGCTGCAGCCACGAGTCTTTTGCCCCTACCTGGGTGGTACCTACCTACAGGCTAACGTAGGTAGGTAGGTACCTTATCAAAGGGCTTTTCCTCATCCGACAACAAAGAACGAGGTCTAGAATCCACCACATCGGCATAATCAGCTACCACCAACATGGCTAAAACCGCCTTAGGAGCCGCCCACACGGAACTACAGGGAGGCAACGTGGAGCATTGCGTTCTCTTTGAAAGCCAACTGCTGGAACCTGGAAGCAAAGGAAGCCCCCTTCCTATGGTACCTCCACTCTGGTGTAAGCCACAGTGCCAAAGTACTGGCTTCCTTACCAGGCACACAGGCACATGCATCCAGGTTACAGATAGGGAGTTGGAGAAGTCCAGCCACAAATCATCATTGGATACAGCTGACAGAAGAAGAACCTAGGAAATCCATTTGGCGGCTTGTAGGATCATCCTTAGTAGAGGCACTATTCATCCGCTGGTCTGCCCCGCGCATTTGAAGAAGCCTGCTAAATGGACCGTGCTCAAGCTATTTATTGGTGGCCCGGCCGGCTTCCTCTGTCAGTTTGCCACCGGCACTTTTATGCTCCCACCAACGACTGCGTGGGCATAAGTCGGCCAAAGTCGAATGCCTCCCTATTGCTAGGAACGAACTAAGCCTTCCATATGGTGTTAGTGTGGGATACCGGTATGTTTCGATGGTAAAGAACCACAATCCAGTCCCATAACACCATAGTCATCCGTGTTTTTCGCCTAAAATAATAGCATGGGAACATCCTGTTGTGCCTCAAAGTATGATGATGTCCAAGACTTTGCAGGTGATCCGCTCTTCGAAAAAGGAGAGTGCTGCGAGTCCTACTTCAGATCACCCCAAGCTTCTTCGTAAGGTAGGTAAAATAAAAATCGAGGTCCGACATTTCTCCCTAAGTTGTGAGGAGATGAGTTGTCGCAAAGCAAAGTAAATAGTCATTCTCGACTTGTTTTCGTTCATAACAGAAACATATGGAAAACGACATTGCAGCAGCCTACTATCTATAGCACGGCCCAGCGATGATTAGGGTTTCCCTGCCCTCTGAGTCTCGAGTCGAATAATACATGATACTGCATGACGTGAGGATCGGTAGCAAACAAACAAAAAGTCGTCGTTTCCGGCGTCATCCAGGTCGCCCTTAGGTCACGAGAGAAACAAGCGCTCGGCTGCGGAGGTTGCTTTGCAGATGCGGCCTTCCCTCGAGGGCTGTTTGATGTTAATGAAGTGCATGCAGCCCCAGCAATGTGTTGGTTCTGCAGGCTATGGAGCCGTGCTCACTTCGCTTATTTCCAGAACAGAGAAGAGAGTACAGAGTAATGTGTAGTAGGTAGTAAGAAATGCTTTGCGTGACACTGCAGAAAGGTTCACGGAAGAGAAGAGGAGAGACCCAGCGGGAGGCATGCCGGGCGGGATTGTATTTCTGTGGAGAAACACCGGCCCGCTGTGGACCCGAAAGCAGAAGAGGTTAGCGTGATGCTATTTCCACTCCTGGCCAGTAAAAGGCCCGGCACCCATCCATCGAGGTCCACTGGTAATGAACCGCCCCATTCTGGACTCCAGGCGCGCGTCTAATTAACCTTCAATTTCAATGTCGCTGCTTTCTGCTTTTCCATGTCCACTCACCTCATGGTCCATGAATGGATACCTTTCCACTCCATGCTGTCAACACTTGCTCACGTACACTGGGACGGAATCCTCGCTGTCCAGCCCAAGATGCTAAGAGTTCATGCTTCAGACTTAAAGAAAACCCAGTGGTTCATGCTCAAGTCTCTCGTCATTCGCCTACGCGCCCTGCGAGATCTCCATCTAATCTCCTGCTGCTCATGCGAGGAACCTGACTACCTACTCGAACGAAGCCGGGCTCTCTCTTCGCTTCACGACGCGTCTGCTGGCCCCATGTCTTCGTCGATCGGGTTGTAGATCGGACCCCAGACCCAGTGGTCCCTTGCTACCGTTACTTCAAAGTACCCGCATTCAACGGCAGGCCACAGGTGTCCTTGTCTTGACCGTCTTAACTTAGTTCGTCTACGACATTGCCCACCTTTGCCCACCTACCGCGCGCTCACAATGCAATGCGCCTATCCTTCCTCATCTCCCGCCTCCCGCCTCATTGGCTCCTCCGCCGCCGTCGTGGGGGCTGCGGACCGCTCCAACGACTCTATACAGTCCAGGAGCTTCAATGCTGCCGCCGTCTACCTTACTTCGCTACCTTCTCTCAGGGGAATCGGGGACGTTGTCCGACCCCACGCCATGTCGTGGCATGATCCAGCCCTAACACGGCCGATAACCTCCTCCAAATAGGCACTCGCGAGCGCGGCAAGGCTGGCGCCTACTCTTACCCACTACCTCTACCCGTCTCAAATCCCCTTTCCAGCCCCAGTCTCTCTTCCCGTTTGAGCCCTACTGCTCCCTTCTTCGGGACCCCGGCGACCCGTCCGATCATTGCCCCAGGGTCTATTGTGTAGCCGCCCTCCAGACCCGGCCAGTTCTACGCGCCCGACTTCAGACAGACGCCCATCCCGATGAGACGTCTGGCCAATGTCTGTAGCTCTAGGACTCGTTGTCCGTCCCTCTAGACACACGAGACGGGTTTCATGGGCAGCTCTGGCAGCTCGTTTAGTCTTGTTCTGTCAAGTTGCCCTGTTTCAGACTTCCATAACCCTGGCCTCATCGTAACCGCGCTTCTGTGTCTCTTTGTCTCCCTGGCTGACCGTGATATTGTTTAAAGCCAGGCCCAATGTCCGGCTTCTCGACCTCCTCTTGACCTTGTATTCGCTTGTCAAGACAGTTCTCTCCATCTCACAACAGTTTCTTTTTTTTCCTCTATCTCCTATTTCCTTTTTTTCCTCTCGTCATAGTCATCATATTTCCTAAGTCGGATTTTCTAGATTCCTCTTCAGTCCGTCAATCTCCTTTCGCTCCAATTCTGCCGCCATATAACCAATACCGACCTTTTCCATAAACCACCTCCAGGCGAGGCGCAGAATCATCATCATCATCATCATCATCAACAACAACATAACGGGACACTCGCTTCTCTTCTTACAGGGTAATCAGTAATCTGCACTCGTTCACTTTATACCGGACAGTCTCGTCTCTCTCCAGGTTATCCACTCTGTCTTCGATATCTACTTTCCCGAGTTATCATGCCCAAACACACGCGGGCATCCAGTTCCAGCCACAACCACAACCGTTACGCAAACCCGATGCCAATCTCTCTCGCTCCCGCAGCAAACCCAATCGCAATGTACAACCAACGCATGGCCATGCCGCAGTCGGCCTACTACACCTTGCCATCCTCCTCGGCCCCCATGCAGCAGCAGCCGCAGCCCACGTACGAAAGCTACGCCCCGGTCTCTGCGCCCCCGGTTTCCGTACCCCCGATGCAACACCGCGCCTCCTCGGGAGCCTGGACCCCGCAGGATGATCAGCAGCTGCTCGCGGCCCGCTCCCAGGGCCTCAACTGGGGCCAGATCCAGACCACCTACTTCCCCAACAAGACTCCCAACGCCTGCAGAAAGCGCCACGAGCGCCTGATGGAGCGCAAGGGTGCCGACGACTGGGACAACCGCAAGCTTGAACGCCTGGCCAAGGAGTACATGAGCATGAGAAAGGAGATCTGGTCCGGTCTCGCTGCTCGCACGGGAGAGAAGTGGAACGTCGTCGAGGCCAAGGTACGATACAATCGACCTTAACAGTAGCAACATGACGAGAGACAAGCCCAGCTAACCTCACATCCGTGTTCTAGTGCATGTCGAACGGTCTCAAGAACCTACAAAGCGCAGCCCGCGCCGGGGCCAGACGGGAGCGCCTGGAGTCAGGGCAGCCACTACCACCAGGGTATGACGATGACAGCGGCATCAGCGGCCTCGGGTTAACCCCAGTTGACGAGCTAGACGCCTCCTACAGTAGCCCGGAGACCGTCTCCTCCGGACACTCCGCCAGCGGCAGCAGCGCCTCGGCCGCGGGCTACATGGCCTCCCTGCACCACCTCCAGCCCATGCATGCCGCCCAGTACGGCGGCTACGGCCACCACGCCGCCACCGGCGCCCACCACGGGTACACCAGCTCCGTCTCCTCGAACGGCTCCGTCAACGGCGGATACGGCGGCCACGGCCAGTCTCAGTCTCCCAGCCCCTATCTCCACCCCCACGGCCAGCGGTTGCCCAGCGTGGATATGGGTATCGACGCCATCATCAACCGGCCCGGCGGCCAGCAGCAACAGCAGATGTGACTACATGGCTCCAATAACGAGTCTCTCCAATGGTCCTAATCCCTTGGATGCTGAGGACCCGAGGCTTCTTCACCTTTCCTTCTTCTACTTTCCTTAAAAGTCATGGCGTTATCTTGCAGGGTTTTCAGGAGGCGTTTCCGGTGTTGCATGGGTATTATTCAAAGTCACCTAAAGATGGGCTCTCGGTTGTCGACATTGGTAAGAAACTCGGGCACTCTTTTACGAGTTCACCTTACTTTTTTGCGGGGATGGATGAACAGCACAATGGGGAGCTATTCTTATTGCTTCCGTATAATGATGAACAAATGATCAGAACAGTACCGGGGAAGGAGGGAGGTATCGTGATACTTTATTTTTCTTCTGTATACTAGCATCTATAGAGATACCAGAGGAGAGAGAGAGACCAGGTTGAGACAAAAAGGAGGAAGAGGAACGAAACTAGGGAAACCGCCAATGGAATGCTTTTTTGAACTTGAAAAAAAAAGGGAATCATCATTTTCTGAAGTACACCTGCGCTGTTTGGTCTTTCCGTACGTGAGCAAAATTTTGAGTTTACAGAGCGAGGTCTTTATATCTTTGAACCCAGAAATCTAAGACCGGAGCACCACTATGGGTATTGATGGTTCCCCTCCCACCCACGAGGCAAACGAGCAACACTATCATACAATATCCCGAGTTTTCTACTACAACAACACACCGCCGGCATCACTCTATCCCCGCGGCGGAGGCAACGTGACCGGCATCTCATCCAGCTCATCGTCATCCTCCCACTCATCATCATCGTCCACGCCAACGACGCTGTTCCACACCCGGCCCCACATGCCCTTCTTCTGCAGCAGCGCCAGCACCATGACGACGGGCAAATGCCACACGCTCGCCCAGAACAGACCCCTCGCAGACCCCTTGTGTCCCTCAAACTTCCAGAACCGCACCGCCTCGCGCGTAAGCCACGCGTTGACGGGCAAGCTCGTCACGGCAAAACTCCACTCCGTCACGCCCGCCGCGCAGAGCCCGACGCAGATGGGGATGAAGGCGATGCTGTACCGCAGCGCGACGCGCGCGTTGCGCGCCGGGTTCGTCCAAGCCAGCATCCGCAACCCGGCGGCTTTGTATTCCTCCCGGATACCCCACGACAGCGCCATAAAGTGCGGGAACTGCCACGCGAAGAGCAAGCTCCCCATGAGCCAGCCGCCGATGGAGCTGCCGTCGCTGGCGAAAAGAAGTTCCCGCCAGGACCCGTCGCCCGAGGCCGTCTCGCCAGCGGCGGCGGCCCAGCCCATGAGCGGGGGGATGCCGCCGACGACGGCGCCGAGCCAGGTGTTTGCGACGCTGAAGGCCTTCATGGGCGTGTACATGCCCGCGTAGATGACAATGTTGGCCCCGCCGAGGAAAGCGACGGTCGGGTTGACGCCAAAGTATAGGGCGCCCACGCCCGTGACGGCGGTGGTAACGGCGAAGAGGACGGCGGCGCGCGTGGAAATGAGGTTCCTGACGAGGGGGCGGTTCCGCGTGCGCGACATCTTTGCGTCCGTCTTGGGCTCGTAGAGCATGTTGAGAGAGTTTGCCGAGGCGGAGCACAGGGCGGTACCGGTGGTGAGGAAGAGGAGCGTCAGCGGGCTCAGGGAGGGCGACTCGGTGATGGCCGGGGAGAGGAAGTCGGTGACGGGGTATAGGGCGTAGGGCGCCATCGCGGTCAGGACGACGAGGGCGGAGAGCCGAGGCTTCGAGAGGGAGAGGAGGGTGGAGAAGATGCGGCGGGCCGAGTGCGCGGGTTGTTGGGCGGCGACGCTGGTGAGGGCGGAGGAGGCATCCTGAGAAGGGAGGACGTCGGGCGAGGAGGAGGCTGCTGCGGCAGCGGCCTCGGCGGCAGCTTTGCGTCTTGCAGCTTGGCGGCGACGGTGCGGCAGGTCTTGGTTCACGTCGATTGGTGTCGTCGACTCGGAGCGCGCGGTGGAGGAGGACGAGGAAGACGAAGATGAGGGCGCTACGGAAGCTGAGGAGCTCCGGCTGCCGAGGGGTCTGGGCCGGGCATTGGAGCGGTCGAGGACGCTGTTGGAGATGAAGTAGCTCGCGCTGAGACGCACTGCGGGTGCTGCCTTTGCGGCCGTCGTCGAGGCGGACCGGCTCGTGATCAATGGCAGAGAGCTGATACTACTCCTGCTGTTGCCCCGCGGGACGGTAGCGCCAAAGGCTTTCCGAACGCATTGGCGACAGACATTATCGAGTCGATGAGGGCGCAAGAACGAGGTGGGAGCTGGCCGCATGGTTCTTGCTCTGCTCTGCGCTCATGTCGGCCTGGACGAGGATGAAGCCGGTCGGCGGCAGCGGGATGTTTCGCGGGACTGCTCTCTCTCAAACGCGGACCATTCGGAGGAGGGACGAGGCGTGTTCGAAGGGATGTGCGGTTCGCAGGCGGGAGGAGGAATTGCTCCGCTACGTGGTATCGGTAGGGATTGGGCCGGGCTTGTGGACCGAGATTGGGAGCGTCGGTTTGCGCGGAGAGCCAAAGAGGGTGGTGGGCTGAGAATTGAGAGAGGTGCTGAAAGACGTAAGAGATCGAGAATCAGCCGGGCGATGGAGGCAGATGGGCTCTGGAAAATGTTTAGCCAATCAGGCGGCAGCTGTTGGTGGGAAGAAAAAGGGTGCCCCACCAGGGCCGGCCGCCTGTCGGGTCCGCGACTCCGCATCCCCCGGTGGCCCGGTGCAATCCGTCTCGGCCAGGGCCGCCGCTCCTTTTTCCAACTTCGCGATGACTTCTCTTCTTGGGCTGTATCCTACTTCGGAATCCAGCCCGCCATTGCAACACCCCACAAACTCTCTCATCGAGAAGGGTAGCATCAATTTGCAAAGCTGGACTCGTTCCGCTTGTTGCCCGTACTATTCCTATTCAGCCGGTGCAGATCATTGCTTGGCCTAGTTCTCACTGGCCTCTTTTGGGTCGCACTGAACGAAATGGGCCTCCTCTTCGGCTGTCTTGGGCATATCAAAAGGAGCTGCTGGATAGTAGCTGGCGGGGAAGTTGACGGCAGTTGAGTAAGCTTAATGAAGCGCCGCATAGCTCGCTTAGGGTAGATTCCAGCAGTCTCGTGAGCTCGCATTGCCGGCTAATTTGAGGCTCTTTGGAAACACCCGTCATTATCCAAATGATGTACACAAAACGAAAGCCATTCCGGGTCCTGGTTCTCTACTAACTGACATCCGTTGATCCGAAACATGATGAGCATAAGAAGACATCATCTCAAGACACAAGCCATATCATTCCCATTGAAGCTCGTCTCATCCGCAGCACCACGAGCCTCCCCTGAACCCAAGATCATCTCTTTCTCCATAATCCATCATGGCTCTGCGCGCCTCGCTTTTCCTCCTCGCCGGCACGGCCCTCGCCATGCCCGCCGACACACTCTCCGCCCGGCAAGCCGACTGCGGCAAAGCAAAGACAAACATCCCAGCCGTCAACGACGCAAAGCTCCCAGACCCCTTCACCTTCGCCGACGGCTCCAAAGTCACAACAAAAGCCGACTGGGCCTGCCGCGCCACTGAGATCCAAAACGCCTTCGAGCAGTACGAGCTCGGAGACTTCCCCCCGCCCCCGGACAAGGTCGAGGCCTCCCTCTCGGGCAACACCTTGACCGTCAAAGTCACCGTCGGCGCAAAGAGCATCAGCATGACCGCCTCCGTCACGAAGCCCTCCGGCACGGGTCCCTTCCCCGCCATCATCGGCGTCGGCGGCGCAAGCATCCCCATCCCCGGCACCGTCGCGCAAATCACCTTTGGCAACGACGCCTTCGCCGCGCAAAACGGCCAGAGCAGCAGAGGCCAAGGCCTCTTCTACACCCTCTTCGGGCAGCAGCACAGCGCGGGCGCCTTGACGGCGTGGGCGTGGGGCGTAGGCCGCCTCATCGACGGCCTCGAGCAGCTCGGTTCCTCGCAAACCGGCATCGACACAAAGAGACTAGGCGTGACGGGCTGCTCGCGCAACGGTAAAGGCGCCTTCGTCGTCGGCGCGCTGGAGAAGCGCATCGCCCTCACGATCCCGCAGGAGTCGGGCTCGGGCGGCGCGGCGTGCTGGCGCATCTCGGACAGCGAAAAGTCCAAGGGGAAGAACATCCAGACGTCGAGCCAGATCGTCGGGGAGAACGTCTGGTTCTCGCCCCTCTTCAACACGTGGGCGACGAGGTCGTCGCAGGTGCCCGAGGACCATCACCTGCTGGCCGGACTCGTCGCGCCACGCGGCTTGTACGTCGCGGAGAACGATATCGACTGGCTGGGCCCCGTGTCGACGACGGGCTGCATGAAGGCCGGGAGGCTCATTTACCAAGCCCTCGGGGTGCCGGAGAATATGGGGTTCTCTTTGGTCGGCGGGCATAACCACTGCTCGTTCCCGAGCGGGCAGAATGCCGAGTTGACGCAGTATATCAACTACTTCCTGCTCAACTCCGCGACCAAGCCGTCCATTCTCGAGCGCAGCACTGTGAATGTCAACGTGAAGGACTATGCTACATGGTCAGCGCCGACGCTGACTTGAAGAAGAAGAAGACCGGTGTCGGAGCCAGTCGTGGGTTCCACTGGAGTGAAGCGCGCAAAGGGCATTCGGAGAGAAATTGTTGTTGAGGGGCGGAACATCGGACAGATTCTATTTTGACTGGGTCATGATTTTCGTGTCCTGCATAGCAGAAATGAATAGTTTGCATATGCGCAGTAACACAACTTGCAAAAAGAAATGATTGGTATGACATTACCACACTACCTTGAAGCATGTGAAGATGAGGCTCTTTGCCATGCATGTCAATCAACGGTGATGGATGGGCAGAAGAAACCTCGGCAAGGCGATTTGACGCGCGACAATCCGCGCAAGTCTTGTCTATGCCTGTCAATACATCCCTTATGAATGTCACAGTCACGTTGAGAAGATGGGTCGATTCAACGGCATTGGGGCCTTCTTTGATTGAAGCTTGATATCCAATGGACCAATCAGCGCTATGATTTGCCCAGGGGTTACCATCATTTCCCCCAATTCAAAGTCCTGTCTGGTGTTTTTGAGATACTTGGACACAGTAGTTTAACTTATACCGTACGGGTACGGGGGGCGACTTTCAGATGTAAATATTGCCTAACCTAGGGAGTACAGATGACTCGGATGAAAAGAGATGCGTCTTTGGAGGCAAACTTGGAGAAAAGAACAGGGGCACGACAAGTTTGCGATTCGTTTCGTCATCCAATCCACCGCCGCTCCATCCCTCCATCCCCTGCCTTAGCTCGCCAGGTCGTCTACATTACCTTAGTACACCTTTTTTGTACCGCGTGATTCGGACGATCCCCAACGAAATCTGAACATCACGCGAAGAAGGGTTTCCAGTACTTGTAGTTATCGCTCCAAACCCAGAGGGACCGAGGAAGGAAATGCTCTTTTTGCATCTACACATGGCCGTCACGTTCTTGTTCTCTATTCGTTTGTCTTTTGATAGATAAGAAAACGGTACGGCATCATCTTTACACTAACGGCGACGAGCAATCGTCAGACTCTCATTCATGCCAATCATCACCATCACCACCAGCCGGCAATAAAACTCACAACACCAACACCACTCCAAGATGCTCGGCCGCACGCTTCACGAGTACATCTTCATACGCGCCTGCATAGTACCCCTCCGCTACCCAATCCTCCCTTACGCAGCCCTCCTCTTCGCATGCCTCCTCGGCGCAAACTACACAAACGCCCCCTCAAAATGGCTCACAACCGCCGCCATCACAACATGCATGGCAGCCACGGAACTCATCTACGCCCTCTTCATCTGGCTCCCCTACACGAAGCGCCTCAGGGAACCCGCCTCGCACCCGAGCCCCTCCTCGCCCGCCGACCGCCTGGCCCTCTTTGAGCGGTGCATGGCCACCATCCCAGACTTTGAGCGCTACGTCCGCATGTGGTTCTTGGGCGCCGACATGGCCGACATCCACCGCGACAACGTCCGCGACTTTCTCCTCTGGGCCTTTTTTGACATGGGCGAAAAGGACGTCGGGCGGGCCAGCGCAAGAGACGGAGAGAACTACGACGTGGAGGTGGACCAGTATATAACCCGCAGTGAACGTCTGCTCGGCAGGCCCTTTAAGCCCGGTCGCGGGCCGGCCAAGTGCCTGCGCCTGACCATCGATTCCGTAGATACTAAGTACCGCACCGTCTGGTGGTACGCCATCATGGCCTTTTTGGACCACGTCACACACCTCTCCTTGTGGTTCTACGGGTTCCAGTACTACGCGCAGCCAAAGGACAAGGCCATTTTCCCGCCACGTCTCCAACAGGTCTTTGCCAGCAGGCGGTCCTCGGCCGGTAATCTGAGCTACTGGCACCGCCCCCATCGCGCAGAAGGTCTACCGGTTGTCTTCCTCCACGGCATCGGCATCGGGTTGTGGCCCTACGTCCGCTTTCTCGCCGAGATCACCACCATGAGGATTAGAGACCGCGGCCAGACAGGTGTCATCGCCATCGAAATCCTGCCCGTTTCCTTCCGACTAACTGACCCACCGCTGGGCAAGGAGTTCTTCCTTCAACAGTTCAAGCAGATAGTAAACCATCACGCCTGGGACAGATTTACCCTCGTCTCCCATTCGTACGGTTCCATCCTGTCAACCCATGCCATGCGATGCCCAGACCTGCAGGCTAGGATCCCGCGGGCCGTGCTCATTGACCCCGTGAGCATCCTCCTGCACCTGCCCGACGTCGCTTACAACTTCACACGACGTGCGCCGTCGACCGCAAACGAGTGGCAGCTGTGGTATTTTGCGAGCATGGACCCCGGAGTCGCCCACTGCCTCGGCAGATACTTCTTTTGGAGGGAGAACGCCATCTGGGCTGACGAACTGGTTGGTCGCACAGCAGGATCGGAATCGGTAGGCGTCGAGCGGCAGGAAGCGAGGCAGGTCACCGTATGCCTGTCCGGGCTGGACCTGATTGTCGACAGCCACGCCGTCGCCAGGTATTTGGCCGAGGGGAGCCAGGGCCAGCAGACGGGACACCCCGCATGGTTGCAAGGCGAGCATGGCCGGCGCAACGTTGCCGGACCAAAGGCTGGACCCATATCGGGCATGGGTTACGAGAGTCACCGTTCCGCTGGGTCAGGCATCGACATCCTTTGGTTTCCGGACAAGGACCACGCCCAGGTCTTTGATTCTCCCAGGGCTATAGCGCGAATCGTGGGTGCCATATGGGGCGATGACGAAGCAAGATAGAGATACTCGATAGATATCATGACATTGGCGGAATCCCACCGGGAAAGCCACACTTCACACGTGCCCTGCGAAGTTAATCTTTTTGAGTAGTGCCCGATGTGATGCTTCTGCTGCTGCTACTGCTGCTGCCACACATCGAGCATGCGGCCAGTCGCCTAGAGTTGGAGTCCGTCTCCACGACCGAGCGATGGCATATGGGTTACTTCGCCCGGTCACCTCCCCAATCCGTCAAGCCTACCGTGACCGGCTGGGAACCGCTGCGAGTAATGACCCACACGGTATCTTGATCCGACTCGTTGAGTAGTTGGTGTTCTGTCCAGGACGGAATGAAGGCAAAATCACCCGAGGACAGCTCGTGCCGCTTTACATCTTGTCCTGCACCAGGACTAACTAGCAAGATGCCGGTCCCGGAAGCCATGTAGAGAATGGTATCTTGGCAAGCATTAGAGATACACCGCCAAGAGACCGACGATAAGTCGCAAACGCGTAAGAAAGAGATGGTGGGTTGGGAAGGGGGGAAAAGATTAATCCTAACCTTGCTCTCCGTGATGGCGGATAGCCGATGTCGCATGTGGGTTCAAAGTAATGACTACTCGAGTTAGTTGAAGAAGACGTGGCAGTGAACAAGACACAAGACCATGCGATGTGACAGGGTCTATGGAATCATGACAACCACGACTTGAGCCTTGTTACTCTATGACCGGCAACACAGTTCTCGGTTGCGACGCTACCTTAGGGCGGGTATGTTGGCGGTCCGGGCAGGTCGCGGCAGCTAGGTAAAGCGGCGGTAAAGGCGCTGCGTGATGCCAGAGCAGATCCCGTACGAATAAAGAGAAAGAGAGAGGAATAAAGGTACTCGTAGCGGCAGGGGAGACGGCATCCTAGACCAAGTTGGACTTACCGGAGGCGCAGAGCTTATCGCTTTTGCTGACAACGGCATCGGCCTCGTTGGCAGAAGCGGGATTCAGAGTTGCATCGGAAGGGCGGAGGGTGGTCGCTTTGGTGACGGATACCGAGGAGGAAACGATCATGGGTATCAGGTCGTTGATGAGTGGGATCAGGGAGGCCATGGTGTCTGTCGGCTGTCCTGCAAGGCAGCAAGCCTGAGCAAGGGGCGCGCGCGCGAGCGAGGGAGCGGGTTTCCAATATCCCGGCGGTTCCTTGGTCTGCTGGCGTGCTCCGTTGTGATCTGGCCGGTGTCGGCTGGTCCGCCTGCGGAGAGGGGGGATCAAGGTTGAATGGCCGTAGTTGGGTGTTCCGCTTGGTGAGCAGCGAGATCTGAGTCGAGTATTCGTAGAATTGTAGGATATTGGGTGATGGTGAAGACAACCTTCCCACTGGCGGGCGGAAGCTATTACCAAGTAGGAAGGAGACGTCGGACGGATCACTAGGTGAGGTGGGAACTAGGGGGAGCTCCGGCAGTGGATTGAGCAAGTATGGACGGCGCAAGGTCTGGATATTTCCGTATAGCACGGTGATTCGTGAAAAGGTAGTATCAACAACGTTCTGGGGATATGGTATAGGCGTATAGGTTGATGTGGATACCTATCTACCTATTCTGCCGTGGTCGTATGTTGTGGTTCGTTGAAATTAAGTTGAATCTTGTTTTGCGAAAATTGTAACCTCCGTATTGGTTAAAAAGCGCGGTAAGTCGAAGCGAGATCCAGCGATGGAACCGAAAGTCTGTCGAATTCGCGGTAACAGGCAGCTGTGGTTGTTGTTGGTGGTAAATCAAGGGTTAATGCCTCCCGAGTCCTCAGGTTGATGGAGTTTCGGTGGTCCCTGCAATGAGCGAGAAATGGAGGATGAGGAAGGAGGGGACGAGGAACCACTTACCTACCTAATTGGGTAGGAGGGCTAGTAGACCTGTTTTGGAGACTATGTCATCTAATTACATATATCTATAAGATACCTAGGCACCACCCTTGGGTGGAAACACAAAGAAAGAGGGAAAAAGATCATTTGGAAGACGTGCAATTGAATGAAGCCTGGAATGCTCCGTACTCGAGTTCTATTCCCATAGACACTGCCATCAACCAGAGTTACGACACAGCCAATGAAAGCACATTGCTGGCTTGCCGCAAAGGTTCCTGTCCGACAAGCCTTGGCTGGGACTTTTTGAAGCAATGTGGATTCAATCGAGACGAGATAAGCCATTTGCTATAGGTCAGAATCCTCAGGCCCTTTTGCGGCGAGATGTACGGATAATGTGAGAGCAAGTTGGAGAGGGCATGGCACGTTCTTGGCTTGACCAATGTGATGCATTGGCCGTTGAACAAGCCGCGAAAGGTGCGCGCAAGAACTGGGGGGGTTCTCTGCTCCATGCCTAGTAATCATCTGGTGCAGCCTTTGGGCATATCAATTTCCCCTACCTACCTTAGGCAGAGGTGGATTGAAGCCAGTCTGAGGTCTAGGCTCGTGAATGGTCGGAACAAACAGCGACGATCTCCTGCAATGCGCCGGACAGCCGAAGGGATGAGTGTAGCCGTAGCTTGTAGGTAGTACCTTAGTTCATTGGCGCAGGCATCAAAGGTAAAGTAGTTGAGTGAGTTAAACGCAGACGTACACAGATACCTACGCCCAAACATGACAGATACTCCTGACTTAGGTGGCCCTGATTCATGTCATGACCAGCCTCGCTTCGGGCCCAATGTCAAGGTGCTTATCTTGGCCCGACATCAAGGCAGGCAGGTACTTTGCGATCGTAGGTAAGCTGGAATTGTCAGTCAGGTGGCTGGTTGGGTAGAAAGGCGATGGCGTTATTGATTCGGGCTCTTACGGTACCTTACCTTACCTTATGGATAAGGTAGAAGCCTGAACTGAGGTGGACATGACGGGAGGTCTCTTATCTTGTCTCTCTCGTCGCCCGATAAGCGACAGACCCTAAGGTCACTGACCTCATCCCAAGTACCTGCGTACCTGATCTTAGTCAGCAAAAAGCTCCTTCGTCCCCGCAATCCGCTTCCATTCCGGTTCCGTTTCTCGGTACCTGAAGTGCCTGACCCTTGACGGTGCACCACAGTCCACAGCCCACTCACTGCACTTCACCTTTCCAACGCACAAGGATCAAGACGCGACTCGATGGTCATGCCTGCGTCTTGGCTCCCCTTTGCGGCACAGCATGCTGGGCTACCTACAGCTGCACTGCTGCAGTAATCCTCACACGGTCACCGACATATCCCTACCTTACCTCACTCGAGCTGCGAGCACCTCATGAGACGAGATGCAAGAGCAGACCAAGCTTGCCTGCGCTAGCTACCTAGCTGGTTGAGATGCTGCAGCAACACGCATTGCTTCCACATGCACCACCGGCGTGGCAGGCACAGTAATATCCGCATCTATTCTTGGACTTCCACCTCCACGGTCAACCACAATGGCACTAATGAATAGCCATCCTACCTGGAGACAATCACCTTACCAGGACCTTACACACATCAACGTCGTTGGCTACGGACGAACCCCCTTCCTCTTCCGGGCACAACATTCCACTCATCCTTCAAGTTTCCCCCCGTCCAGGTTCCAGTCACCGATTGGCGCTGCATTAGTCCTGTAGCCCGGGGACGGCGATGGCGGCATACCTTGCTTTGAACCAAGGCCCTTTTGTCTGTTTCGGTCCTATATCCGCCTGCACCACCGACCCTGACCTGGAACCTGAACCTGGTCCCGACCAACCTTACCGCAACGTCCTCTCGAGTCCTCGACATCCATCATCTGTCTCGGCACATCCAGCCGCATGTTGTCACATACGCCTGCGGAATCTAGATCCATCTATCCATCCTCTCCAGCACGCGACTGCTCATGGTTGGCCGTTCCAAGCATCTAAACCGCTAGCCAGCTCTATTGGCACTACCAAGTAACCATCCCTACAGTTACACCCACCATGCCAAACTCTCTGCCCCGCCTCGGCTGTCGTTGCCGCTACTACATACTACCGCTACTGCTGTCGACCGTGCTGTCATCGCTGCTTTCCATCATCCCCGGCTTGAGCCTGGGGTGGATTAGCTATGCGCCGTAACCGGGGGTTCGCAAAGAGGAACTTCTGGCCCGTCCGCGCGACCGCAACCAAAAAGTTCATGCTATTGTTGCATACACGCACGCACCCGACACACCCTCACCCCGGCTGGTCGGAGACGTGGAGACCAAACCTGGAGTCATGACCCCAACATTGCGAGCACTGACGACTCCTATATGCACCACCCTTGGGCAACCCGAACCTCCGTGATACCTCAGACTTACCGCTGGAATCGTTGAGACATCGACACATTTTGACACATGCTGCAAGCAGCGCCAATATTACATCACCCCGAAGCGTTCTCGTCCGCAACATTGCTTTCTAGCCCGAACAATAACCCACGCCGCTGCATGCCCGCATTGCAGCCACTCGCCAAACCTTCGTGACGGAGTATTGGGTCGCCCAACAAGCCACAAGAACAGTTCGCCCCCCTTTCACACTCTGGAGCCCTCGGAACGGTGTTCAACGTTACAATTCTTTTCTCTGAAGAGGCATGGATGCGACTTGCGAAATGGCTACGAGTCCTCCCTCGCCCACCACCTCCGCCGCAGATTCGGATGCGCCAACTCACGACACCATGTCAACCGCCAGCGGTAGCAACTACGGTGGCATTGACCCCGAAGTTGAAGAAAACCTCTACATTTTACCCTACGTATCTGAAGAGGGACTACGCAGCGATGCCACAGATCACCGGAAAACAATTGGAAGCTCCAGAGAAGACTACTATCCCCTTCCTTCTGACTTCAACATTGCCGCCTCAGGTAGTATGTCAACGATCCTTATTTGATCTCTGATATCTCCGACTGACCCGTCTTTGCTATGCTAGCTTTGCCTTCCCTGCCTTCAGACAACAGTTGCCGTCTACTCGCGCTTCCTTCCGAACTCATCGATGCGATCCTCGCCTACTTGCCTCCCTGCGACCTGGCGATCGTAGCGGAGACCTGCCGCACCCTCCACGCCCACGCTGCGTCCGATATTCACTGGTACCAAAGGGTGCAAGCCAATGTGCCTGGAGAGAAGGTTACAACTCCCTATCCATGCCGCACATACCGCGAACTCTACGCCGCACACGACCCAAGATGGTTTCTGCCAAAGTACAAGATCTGGTTCTGCGACCGTGACCTCATGGGCAAGATGATGATCATCAGATATGACCAGCGGAGGGGTTGCATTGAGGGATATCAGTTATTGGCTGTCAGCAATCGTACTACATATCAGCACTGGCCCGCCGACCACAGTGTGATTATACACGCCTTCGAACCTCAGGTCAAACTTCATTTGGACAAGCCGGTACTCCAATTCCATGCTCGCCGTCCAGCCGAAGATGAGGGATTGTTGGGCAGTTTGGGTCAACGATTTCTGCCAGAGGTACCGATGTCAATTCACGACCCAATGGACGCCATGTTTTGCAACTTTATGATGGCTCGCCCTCTTGACGCTTCAACGGCTACGTCGAGAATGGATGGCGTGTTTCCTTATGGGAATGTCTGGCCTCCACCGGCCATTCCTGCCCGTCACAGGGTGTCGGGTGTGATTTCTGGTTTGGACGGTGATGACCTTGCTCCTGGCGACCATCCGACGAGAAGAGCTGAAGCCTCGGACCAGGCTTTCCGGATTCGGCAGTGGATGGAAATGGCCGGGTCCCCAACACCGGGTCTTTTCCTCGGGCCTGGGCCTGTGGGTATCATTCAAGCTATTCAAGCCAACATGGGTATGGGTACTCCTGGTGTCACCGGCGTGCGCATTGGCGAAGAAGTGATTACATATTCGACCCTCGATCCTGTTGTCTACACACCAACGGAGCTCAAGCCATGGCGAGGTGTCTGGGTTGGAGATTACAGCGGGCATGGGTGCGAGTTCCTGTTGATCAACCAGCCCGATGACGAAGAAGTGTCGGATGTGGAACTTGGTCTTGTCCGTGGCTCTGACGAATCAGAGTCAGAATGGACGAAGCGTCGTACCGACGCAAGAGTATACCGGGGCCGTCTTGAAGCAATCAAACTCACTGGCGACCCGAATGTTCCGCGAGGGGAGTATACTTTCGTTGCGGACGATTTGGGCGAGGCTGGCTTCGTTGGAAATGCTCAAGAGGCACCGTTTCAGGGCACACGAGTCGTCAGGAGTAAGGGGCACGTCGCTGGAACGGGCTTTTTAGATGGTATTTTCCCTTTTCCAAAGACGAGATTGGACGTGCGCTAACCATTTTTCTCCAGACAAGTATATCGAGTCTCAGCTTATGCTCGTCTCCCACGACCGACTTGCTCAGTACTGGGTTGGATTTGGACATATCAGCTTCTTTGAGCGAGTTAACATTGACGAGTTTGTGACTCCCTGATCTGGCAGGTTGAGATCATGCTAGGCTTCGATTGTTGGTAAGAGGACAGGCTTCCTTGGTGCCATCTAGGGCAGTTATCCGACCAGCTCGAATTCATCTTCTTGAGGACCAGGATTTTATCAAACACATTGTAATGTAGATATGTACTTTTGATGAGTTTACGGCTGAGGATCGATTGGGTTACCCATGCAGCTAGCAATACCGTTGTCATGAACATAATTCCCTGAGAACTACATGTTGACGACGTTGATGAAACATGCTGCTATGTTCCTCTTCAGACCTGACGAAGTGAGCGTGTACCAACTAGCTTTACCGCATCATGTGAAAGGCTTATTGGTCTGATTGCAGCGATCTTTATCAAGCTGACAGCTACGCTACACCCATGTCATCTTGTAACTTTGGTGTCCTTCCTACGCTTTCCCGCTCGGTTTCTCGAAAGAAATAACAGCATATCGGAAGGTCCCATTAGCATACCCACGTCTCATGGCGCGAAAGGACTGCAAGAATGCAATGCCGTCCCGGCCCTGACTAAAGGCAAAGGCCCACAGAGAAGGGTTTTGGACCAGAGTCCATGTGATGTCCCTAGAACAAGTTGTTACTCCCGGTCACTTCTGATGGTTTGATATTGCACGAAAACTTACCAAGTTCTGCTCACTTCCTTGCTAATATCCTTTGGGCCCGCGAGCAAGGAAAGCCCAGCGCCCTTTGCAAAATCGACGTAGCCCTGCTGGGTGCAAAGCGGCGGGAGAAGCATGCCGTCTGATGGCAGAGCCAGTCAACATTCAGCTTCTTGCCATGCGAGAGGCTAACATACCTTCAATCGGCTTGAGATCATTCGCAAACTCCGTCTCCGTGACATTCTCCGCCTTGAACCAATCCGCCAGGGCCAGCTTCCCACCGGGCTTGAGGACCTTGAACGCATTCTCAAAGAAGAGCGCCTTGTTGGGGAAATGGCTCAGCGCCTCGCTGATCCACACGGCGTCGAAGGAAGCGCTCTGTCCAGCGAAGAAGTCGCCCATCTTTTCGGCGTCGAGCTCGATGAAGCGGATCCTGCCGCGGCCGAGCGGGACGAAGCCATCGGCGTCGGCTTCGATCTCTTTTGCCTTGTCAGATGTCTCTGATGCCTGCTTCTCCGCCTCGGCCTTTGTGAGCCTGTTGGCGATCTCGACCTGCTTGGTGGAGATGGTGATGCCCGTGACGGAGCAGCCGAGGGTGGAGGCGAGGTAGCGCGAGGTGCCGCCGATGCCGCAGCCGACGTCGAGGACGTTGCTGTTCTCACCGACACCGGAGAGCTGGAGGAGGAGCTGGATGAGCTTTACCTGGGCCTGTTCCTTTGTTTCGGAACCGTCTTCCCAGTAGCCGTGGTGGATGTGTTCACCCCTGAAGACAGTGCACGTCAGCTTAGACGAAGATGGTCACGCTGTACGGAACTTGGTGGAGGGGATGAGGGCACAGACTGGACGCAGTCTATCAAGAGTGTGAAAGGGCGCTGTGCCTCAATTGCACGTCATAGAGCGCGCGCACGGTGGATGAGAGAGAGGAACCAGTGATAGCTTACCAAAGGCTCAGATAGTAGTCACTCGCGAGGTCATAATGAAGCTTGATTCTGTCCTTGAGAGCCTGCATAGTTGAGTGAGCCAGACCCATAGGGGTGTCATATTGCTTGCTGAGCTCCGTGTTGGAGGTGTCCACTGCAGCAGCCATATTGTCGTCGATGCAGGACTACTGAGATGTAAAGCAAGTAGAAATCAAGTCAATCACGATATAATTGATGACTGGTGTAACTTTGGTTGGTTCTCAAATGAGATGGATTGGCACTCCGAATTGACCAGAAATGGACAGCTGTTTTGGTGGCTTCGGGAGCTTGGTATCAGATGGGGAGAGCTTCTAAGCCAGTAGGAGCATTGAGGTGATAGGAACAGGCCACACATTCTTCTCCGAGACAAGATGGTTGGGAAACCCCGCGTGCAGCTACTAAGGTATGGGAAGTACTGCGTAGGGTGCTCGTATTCGGAGGCCGAGGAAGGAAACAGTAAGCACCTCTAACGACCTAAGTTACCTTGCGGCAGACACTGTTGAGCCGCCGGCGCAGGAGTTGCACCGCGCCAGCACCGTTACTGTGACTCTGTGAGAGACGTCATGTTTTCGTTGGGTGAAACGTGAGAGCCAAAACGTCCACCTGCATGAATAATTATCGAACCTTGCGGTTCCTGTTGCCTTATGTAATGGTTGTTGGTTTGTTGGTTGAATTGACGCAAGCCACAGACATCAGCCACACATATCATCCTAAGGGAATCACGTGAATGAGAGCCACACATTCCAAAAATAGCGAGACCGGCTCTGCCCAGCCATCACGACCGCGACCACTGCCACGACAACAGCGGCACATGTCGCAGTGTGGCAGTGCCAATGCTCAGCGTCAGTGCCGGGTCCCGGAGTGGGGCCGTGTGGACCCCTTTTCATCTGCCAGCAGCAGCAGCAGCAACAGCCAGGCACAGCAAGGCCTTTCAAAGTTGGTTCAGATCCCAGGCCGTCCAAGGCGCGTCCCCCAGCCAAGCCCGTCTGTCTGTGCTTGGGGAAATACTGGAGTTCAGACGAGAGGCCGACCACAAGAAAGACAACCCACCTGTGACCTGAAGAACCTGGCAAGCCTGGGAAAGAGACAAGAAAAAAAGGAGAAACAGGGGGAATGCGGCCCAGCCTCAGCCCAGCCCACCACCTCCACGTAAGCCCTGCAACTCACCAGCTTGTTTACGTATCTGTCGTAATACACAGGCATTTCCTATGATCGGATTGCCAAGTACCAAGTCTCTGTGATTATACATAAAGAAAACTCTCGCTTCTGACAGGATACACTTTTGGCCCTCTCTTTCTTGTGTTTACTCACTCGCTCTCACCAAAACCACCACACCCAGTCTGTCGCTATTGATACAAAACCCAAACAACAACTTCACCATGGCCCCCGTCCCTCCAACAACGGCCAGGCAGAGCCTCGCTCGCGCCGGTGCCATCGCAAACCAAGTCTGGAAGAGAGCCGCCGTCGTCGTCCTCCCCGAAGTCGCCCGCGCAACAACCAAGCACGCCCTCGCCCGCCGTGATCTCACCGTCAACCACACCCAGGCCGTCACCCTGGGCGTCATCGGCGCCTACGCCGTCATCATCGCCATCCTCTGGAACGTCCCCTTCTTGCGCCAGGTCCTCTGGCCTTTCAAGATGCTCGTCATCGCCTTTCACGAATTCGGTCACGCCATCACCGCTTGCTGTACCGGCGGCAAGGTCCTCTCCATCACCCTCGACCCCAACGAGGGCGGCGCCACGCTCATGAAGGGCGGCAAGCAGGCCATCACCCTCCCCGCGGGCTATCTCGGTTCATCGCTCATCGGCGGGCTGCTCATCTTTTGCGGCTTCAACATCAACGCGTCCAAGGTTGCCTCCATGGTTCTGGGCGTATGCTTCTTGTTGACTCTTTGGTGGGGAAAGCGGGACTGGCTCACGATCCTCACGGTTCTCCTCGCTGTCGGTCTGCTCGTCGCGGCCTGGTTCATCTCTCACGCTCAGGCTCTCAGATTCGTCGTTGTAAGTCAAGCCTGCCATTCCATCTTTTTAATGCGTAATTAGAGATGAGTGAGATTCTAACACACCAGTAGCTCTTCATTGGAGTCATGAGTTCACTCTACTCCGTTTGGGATATCTGCGACGACCTCATCATGCGCAAGGTCAACAGCTCCGATGCAAGCGTCTTTGCTCAACGCTACGGCGGATCTTCTCGCTGCTGGGGTCTCATTTGGTCCTTCATCAGCGTCGCCTTCATGGCTGTCGCCATCGTCGCAGGTCTCGCCGCCTTCCCTCAATCATTCTCCGAGCAAGAGAGTGACTCCAAGAACTTTTTGCCCACAAGATGAGAAACTAGATCGGGAGTATGGTAATACTTTTTTGGACTTTCTCATTGTTTGGAGGCCAGGATCGCATGGTTTCCGAAGGCTCATGTTGAGGCGTCCCTCTGCTACGAATTACGACTGTAACGAACGATATCCACTAGACGCGCGACGCGTTATACCGACGAAGCTGACTATTTTTTTTTTTTCTTCCCTTCGACGATCTGTCGGCGACTCCGATTGCGCCCCGCGGGATGCGTCGTGGGCAGACGTAATGGCATTCGCCCACATCCCGGTTTTTAGGTGGATACGTGTCGACGATTGCTATTGAGAACCGACCGTTCTTGGCGGCTTACATAGCATTGGCAACGACAACTCTTGGAACAGGGCTATCAGTCATATGTGGTAATGCCTTTTCACGACGACGGTTCAAGGCGTACTGGCGTTTTGACCGGTGGGAGATGGTGATGATACGGAACTTCACATTGTGCTGTTCCACGGCAGGTCGATTCTTAGGATGGCGCCAGCAGCGGCAGCACAGACTGGAAACATGTCTATCAATGCTGACGCACGTCTTCCATGTAGCAATGTAATGTGTTGTACAACAAGACCTTGACAGTCGATGAAGCACGTTCGTAACTAATGTGTGCCTTCTTGTCCCATGTAACATTGAACTTGCATTCAGTGCTATCTTCATTGCAAGTAACGCCCATGGCAGTTTTCCATCAACACCAACCCCCCAATCTCACCACCATTTGCCTCTTTGCCCTCTATACACAACCGTGTCTAGCAGCTCTGCCACTTGAGAGCCAGTGATTCCGTGACCGGAGAAGTCGCACCATCCTTGCGTTCTTTGCCAAAGATAACCAACCCCCCGCCTTGGGAGATGATGCGGAAAGTCACATTCAGTATCCCGACGTAGCCATCGGCACCAGTACAAGGAGACGCCGAGTTCACGCGCTGAGCCACGTCTACGTTCCGGAAAACAGCCGCGGAGCCAGACGCCGTGCTCGTAGACTTGGTGACCTTTTCCCCACAAGTCAGCATCCTATCCTCTGTCCAACACCCAATAAGCGTGTACAATAAACTCACAGTATCGGAGGCCGTCTCAGACCAATATGCCGTCGTGTAGAAATCGACTTTGGTGTTGGAGCTTAGGTAAAGACCCCCGCTGAGCGTAACGTCCTGCAGGAGCAGAGACTTGCCGGACTCGCCTTCGTCTATGAGCAGGTGCACCTGGCAGCTCGTCATCTGGCCGGCAGCTAGGGTCTCGCTGAAGTCGGGGAGGGTAATGGTCAGGTCGTCCAGGCCGCCGGACCAAGTCAGTCTGTCGGTCTGGGGACAAGCTGGTCCGCTGTGGGTGACGCTTTTGATGCGGAGAGCAGCCGCGGAGCCGATCAAGGCTATCAGCAGCGCGGGGGATGGAAGCATGTTGGCTTTCAATAATTGTCAAGCTTACGGAATTTGATTCTATTGAGGAACACCTGTGGGGATATTTGTTTCGCTGCGACCAACTTCGTCAGGCGGCATACATCTTGCGAAAGCCCCTTTTTATAGACTGCTCAGAAACCATCTCATGCATCGGCTACCCAGAAGAGACTTGCCACATACAACATAGCTAGTTGATCTCTCAATCAAGGTAGCGGCCAGAAGCCCAGAGAGATCCCAGGTCGCTTTATATTGTGGCGATGTGTCCGGCGGCGCCGGGTAATTAGGTACATACTTAGCAAATGAGCATATACGTGACACTTCAGGCTGTTTGCAAAAGTCTGGGACCGTAGCCACTAAGTGCAAAAAAAAAAAACAGGCTTAAGCAGAAGCCACAGTGTCGTATCAATATAGACATCCGAACCGATTGAGGTCTGGAGCGCCCATTCCTGTCACCATACATTATTATACCGTACATCTCTCGGAGGCAACCTCCATGAAGACGTTCCGTCGCCGAGACGACACTCCTCAGCTTCGATGGAAGCAGCTTGCCGTGGATTCAACGCACTCAGCTCCTTCTCCCTTTTCCCTGGCGGTGATAGGCGCACCTTCCACACGTGACGCTGCACCTTTCATCCGACTACGTGAGAAGGGTTTATACCCCCTCTCAACCCCATCCCCGTCACCAGCAAGCAGGCGCCCGTCTAGGTCGGCGGGTCAGGACAAACTTGGCTGGATGGTGGAATGGGTAAAAGGTCAACAATCAATTGTCGCCATATAGCCTATCTCGACAGGCTCCGAGTTCGAGTTCGCATACGATCCCAGCATGAGCACCATAATTATCAATCGCCAGGAGATTAGCCACACCGGTGGTGAACTCTTTTGCTTGTGATTTGAACTTTTTATGTTGTGCTATTGATTATTGCTGCTCTGGAAGAATTAGTGCCAGTATGGAGTTAGGAAGTGGTCTTTGAATCAAGTTAGTTGTCGTCTGACTTGTCTTTCGAATCATCATACGTAGAGGGAGCTGGTGCACACTACTCAAGGGTAAATACATGTAAAGATATTCGCAAAAGGCGAGCTTTTCTACGCATCTACGTGTATAGAATAAAATGAACAACAAATATATATATATATTGAGGAACTGCCCTAACTTTCTACATACTTAACATCGGCGGGCGCTGTTAGCCTTTCGGCGCTGTCATAGGACAGACCTCCGGGATATCCGTCCGACGGCCGTGACGGCCCCACCTACCGTCTCCGTCCTCCGACCTCTCCCTTTCCTGGAGCAGTCCAAACTTATTTGTTGCGCCTCTTTCCGACTGACGTGAGTTTCCTCCACGTGGCCGTTCGACGCTCTAGGTCCTCAACATACTTGATACAAGCGCCGCGTTCTTTGGATCATGAAACCCCGTACCAAAGAAATCCTGTGATATGCCAATATTCGTCGTCCACACGACCTATAATGAAGCTACGACACTAAATTTTACAGTGTCAGAGACCCCAAACTATTCAGCATGTCAGCAACTGGCTGGACAGAAAGGGGTTCCACTGGAACACCATGATCCAGACCGAAGCTAAAGTGGACATTGTTTCTGTCGGCGATGTCAACAAACTCTAGAAACCTGGTATCTCATAGCTCTATGGACAGAAAGACCAAGAAAAGACCAGTTTGGCTGATTCAGCACCGGCTACGACGATGAGTACCTTACGGAAACAGCCCTACAATACTGAGTCGAACAATGTTCCTTCACGTAGCCCCATCGCTGTATTTACTCATCATGTCTGAGCTACATTCCAGGTTCGCTCTATTCTCTAGGTAAAGTATTCTTGAAACGGGCGTGTGTCACTCCCATGGAAAATAGGCCGTAACAACGTGGTGGAAAACCTGTCAGTATGCCAAGTCTAGCGGAACGCTCGTGCAGGGCTGCCGGGGAACCTGGGGAACCTGGGGAACCTGGGGAACGTGGAACACGCCAGGGAGACTGGAACTAAGTATCTCGAGTGCCTCAATATCTTCGGTCTTAGAACGCCTCGAGGACAGCTTCTTGACTCTCAAGTAAGTCCATTTGAGACCTGGAGGCCTCACCCCCTTCACGAGTCTCCTACCCCCACGGTCGGAGAAACGGAAAGGCAGCGGTTCGTCCCACGATCCAGCTTGTCAAACTCACATTTGCATGACGTGCTTCAATCGGCAAGTTCCAGGTTCCTGTAGTATAGCACTAGCACTGGAACTAGTACTACGTACCTTGGACCCATCACACGGGCCCGACGAGCTGTCAAACATCAAGTTGGCCCGATCTCGCAGACAATCACAGATCCGGTGCCCCAAACGCAAATATACCCCTTGCTACCCTGTTCCCTTTCGACTAAATCTTGGCGTCAAACTCCCCTCATTTTGACTTCCTTACTCCAGGTTTTCCCCAAGTTTTCCCCCGACCTCCCCAAGTCTCGGGGGAAAGGATGTAAAGGCCAAGGGTATTGGCAGACTCCGCCCCCTTCTTGGGGACCAGAGCCAAGGCGGTACCAGAAGCGGGAAGAGGGGAAATTGTCCTTTGCACAGAGGCAGATTTGAAAGCAGTTCTGGGGTCTTGAGTGTCATCCGGCTTTTTAGAGAGACTACTTGTAAGTGATTACTCACGAAGACGCAGCCTCATCAGATTCGTGACAAAATCCCCATTAAGCATTGATAGCACCATTGTTCGGTCAGCTTCATGTTTCTGACAACTTAATCAAAACTGTATTCGCATGTCACATTTGCAAAGATAGGAATCACAGTGAATGATCTCGACGTAGATGTGCCTCTATTTTTGTTACCCAGCTCTAAGGGGACCTCGAATAAGCCGTATCTATCCCCTTGAAAGCTCCCATTCTTTCTCTATAGCATATGCATCATCCGCGTATGTACTGCATTATACAGACAAGAACAACAATTTACTGTGCCAAAAAAAAAAATTGCATTGAAATCAACAGACTCATGGCCCCCTCAAACCGTGTAGCGGAAGAAGGTGGCGTTGTCACCCTTGTGACGCTCGGCAGCCTTCTCCTCAGCAGTGTATTGGGAAGGATCCTTGTACTCGCGGTCTCGGCGGGCGTTCTCGCGACGGAGGTAGATCGTCATGAAGGTGGAGAGAAGCATCGACATGGTCAATGTCGACAGGAGTGTGCCGTGGCCGGGGTAGTAGTGAGGCTTGTCCTTGGCCTGGTACAGGAAGCCAGCAATAGCACCACCAAGGTTACCGAAGCCTATGTTCTGTTAGTAATCTTCACTTTCTTGACAAAGGTGAGTAGCGATCGAGACTTACCGACGTGCATGGCAATACCAACACCTCTCTTGACGGAGCCTCCGATGTTGTTGCCGTTCCAAGCAACACCCTGGGGAACGTTGGGGTAGATACCGGAGGCAGCGAAGAAGCAGCCAGCATACTTCACTCCGTTGCTCTGGGAAGAAAGCAGCATAATGAAGCCGGTCATTCTGTGACGACAGTATTAGCTTGCAGTCTTTGTTGGGACGTGAGACGATACACATACGCGATGAGGCAGAAGAAGATCATGTAAATGCCACGCTGCTTGTGGCGATCGGCCAACCAACCACCACTGATACAGCACACGCAGGCCACGATATACGGGGGGACTGTCATCAGCTGGGCCGTCTCGTTGGTGTAGCCGAGGCCACTGACGATGGTGGGGAGGAAGAGAGAGTAGGAGTAGAGGGGGGTGTAAATTCCGATGGTGATGAGCTGGAGATGCTTGTCAGTACGCCTGCGCATGCAAAGCAGAATTGTCTGGGTACTGCAACTAACCATGTGGACCCAGATCTTCCAGTCCTTCATGGCATCCTTGAAGTAAACCATGCTGAATTCATCAGCAAGAGCGGAGCGGTCCTGCTCAAGACGACGAGTGACCTCCTCCTTCTCGGCGACAGTGAGGAACTTGGCAGTAGCAGGATAGTCGTTCATGATGAAGAAGGCGGCGATGGCTGTTCGGGGAGAACTGCATTAGTATCGAGCTACTGCTTTTACATGAAGCCCTGGGAATCGCAACTTACCAACTGCGAGAGTGAGAATGCCCTCAAGGATGAAGATCCAGGCCCAGCCGGGTCTGCCTCCTACGCCCTTCATCTCAACAATGCCTCTGGCGAGGAGACCTCCAAAGGCACCAGCCGCTGTAGCGGCAGAGAAAAAGATGGCCATGCGAAG